TCGCCAGGACCCGGGGGGACTCTGGGAGGGGCTCGTAGCCACTGCTGCGCCTTGCAGTATTCTTCCGCCGCCATCAAAAGATTGTTGCAACGATAAAGGGCTTCTTTGTTAAGATCAACATCCATGTACCCTTTCTCAAGCAAGGCAGTTGCTCGTTCCGTGTGGACGACGAATGGTTTCTTGGGCATCTCTACCAAGATGGGCGGGGTATCTGCTTTACGAGCTGCGCCAGTCTCGTATTCACCATCCAAGGAGCACCGCATGATATCAATCAACAATCGGATGATTGGGCTCGATGACTGGGTAGCAAAGTCCGAGTTCCACATGTCTTTGGCCATGGGCAAAATCTCCATGCGAAGTTCCACCAAGAGTTGGCCTGGCTGGAAGTAATCGGGACGGTCTCGGTCCCGTTCAGGGTGAGAAGTCAAGGCTTGTGTCTGGCTAGAGTCCACGATGAATTTCCCAGCAGCGAGGTCTGCAAATAACCCAAGAATGATTTTAATTCCACCATACCCGGATGCAAGCCGGTCAGCAAGCTCTTTGTCCTGGTCGGGAATGGACTCTGCAGATGGAAGGGACTTGATGTCGGCCAAGAAGACGTCACAGATGTCCTTCAACACTTTCAGGCCGTTGTTTTTATTAAATGAAACGAGAACTGAAGTCAAGTAGTTCGGACTGGGACGCTCTGCTGAGACTTCATAGAGAAGGTGCGAGAAGTGGGAAAGAACGACAATGAGATATGCGAACCGGTGCTTGGGACTGTCACTCGAATTGGCAGGGTTAAACTGCAGTTGGCGAAGAATACCTTCAGCAATGGCATCCGAGACCAGGATAGCATTCGCCTTCTGTTTCTGGAGCGGATCCGTGCGTCTCTTGCCGATAATGCCGAGTCCGAGGTTGTGCAAGAACCCTGTAATCGAGGTTGGCAGAGCGCTTAGAAGGTAACGAAGCGTACGCGCATTCTTGAAAGCAGGACACTGTTCATCGACTTCGGTGTCGTCTTCTTTCGGGCCCTGGCCCGGCTGAGCCGGTGTAGTCTCTGGTGCACCAGTGCTCTCCTGCTGAGGTTCGGCGCCAGACGTTGCTGAAGGCTCATGGGGGTTTCCGGTAACCGGAGCAGCCTTTGATTTTCCAGAGCCATGCTTTTCAGCAGAGGCCTGTGTGGCTTTCAGCCACTTCTCAGGGATGTTCTTCTCCAGCAAAATTCCTTCCCACACGCAAGAAGCAAGAAGGTTGCTCAATGAGGAGATCAGGGAACAGTAGTGGTCCGCAAGGTTGGCTTGGCCAAAGATGGAGGTAGACTGACCAGGTCGAGTTTGGTACAGTGGCGACGCGAAAGCCTCGCGAAGGACGTCGGTGAGGAGAAGAACGGCATTCAAGTGCCTCACGAAGAATGTGCCAGATTTAGCAGCAGCCGTAGGCTCAACAGCCGGTTTTTTCGAGTCTGCTGGTTTAATCAATTCTGTGAAGAATCCCGATCCAGTGGGTGCAGTCCAAAAGGCCGAAAGGTTGTCCACTGCTGCCTGTGCTCGTCGAACGAGAGACGGGAGCACAAGGTGAGGCTTCGTTTCTGCGAGCATGTGAACAAGCACGGTGATCTCTTGGTTGGCGTTGGTGCTGTGGAAATCAAATGCCAAGCTTTGGAGTGTGGCAAGATCCAACAAGAACTCTGTGCCGCCGGCCAGGATGAAGGATGTGCAGTTGGTCTGGTTCTCAAAGAAAGCGCCCAGGAACCGCAAAGCTGGGAACAAGTAGTCCGTGGCCGAGAGACCATGAGCATCCTTATCTTTAGGCTCAAAGTCGGGGCCCGGCGAAGGAAGAACATGATCCAGATCCCCAACGACCAGCTTAGCGCCGTTCGGAAGAGTGTTCACGTTGAGCTGGGGAGCACCGAATGAGGCAGGGTCGTCTGTGGGTGCATCAACGGCAGTGCCGATCTCTCGGAACAATGAAAAGACATCTCCTAAAAGAGTTGTTTTGCCGTCGGCGTCTTGAGTCCACATCTTTGTGCCCATACCTAGCTCCCATGCCTTGACTCGCCCCAAAATGTTGACACGAGCCGCCATTACAAGAACGGCAGACATAATAGAGGTCTTCAATGCCGGGTGGTGTCGGACAAGCTCATCAAAGGTCGTGCCTAACGAACGAACCAGTTCTGGGTCATCCTTCAGGCATTTGACATGCTCAGGGTTCTCAAAAATCTCGAAGAAGCTTTCCAGTGCGTCGGAGGACTGGAAAAGGTCCAAACCAGAGGAGTTCAAGCAGATGGCTCCAAATGCACCAGGGATACAAGCAAGAGCATCAGCTGCGGGCATTATGCCAGGTGCGAGAGGGGTGTTTTGGGGTCTGACGATAGAATACTCGCGATCTTTCTGCTTTCCCTCAGACTGGATAGCGGCTTCAGCGCTGGGCGGTTGAGTGGCGGCGGGTTCGGCCTCGGTCTCGGCCTCAGTCTCGCGGTCTTCGGGCTCCACGGCCGGCGGCTTCTCCAGCACCTGAAGTTCACGGCCCATAACGGCAGCAAGAAGGCTCTTGCTGAGGCCAGCCTCGGCGATGACAGCATAACTGGTAGGCTCGTTGTGAATGAAGCTGCTGAGAATGTTGACAGCGTTGCTCCAAACATGTGAACCGAACACACGAGCATTCTCGAACACAAGGCGAAGAGAAGTCAACAGCTGAGGTGAATCTATCAAGTTTCGCAGAACACGATCGAAGCCTCCACCATTGTGCTGCATGATGTGGTTGACGAAACGGAACATCCAGCGCAGGGTCTGCTGCTGAAAGTAAGGAATTTGATAGTCAATCGAAGGGTTCCTGTATTGAGCAGGGAATCCATCCCCACGATTGACCTTCTCAAACGCGGTCTTGGTCTCGTGGTCAATCAAATCGGACATGGCGTCAAAGCCCTTTGCTGTTGTCAGTGTACCCAGTGCATCCCGGACCGCATGCACAAATGTGTCGAGGAACTCCATGATGCGGGAATAGACTCGGCGGGACTTTTCAGTCCGCAGATTCAAAATATCAACAAACATGGGAATTAGACCTGCTGCAACCAGGGTCTCCGGTGTACGTGTGCTCGAGCTTGGGAGAGTGCGCAGGAGTGCAAGCAAAGCATCTCGCCACTCATCGTAGTAGGCATCATCCGGATCGTTGTTCTCAGGGCCTAGTTCATTAACCATTTTACGGGTCAAGAACATGAGAATTCCGTGGTTGACATTGACGCTCAAAGCTGCACAGACATCAACAGCACGAGCCTTGTGCTTGGCCAACGCATCCAGTGCCTGGATCGCCAAAGTTTGGACAGACCGGGAGACTTCGAGGTCGCCACTGGCACCGAGATGAACGACTTCAGCAAGCTGATAAGCAAGCTGAAGACGCTTCGGTTGTTCTAAGTCAGATTGAAGAACCTTTGATTGGAAGGTACTCTCCGGCTGGACATGGGCCAGGTTGGTCACTGCCAGTGCCTTGATGGAAAGGATCTGTTCTCGCGTGGCACGCGACGCTGTCAACGCCTTGGCGACTCGGAGCTTTTGAAGCAGCTCATATTTTGATTCAAGGGGCAGATGAGGCAAGTTGGCTGCAAGAAGATCTTCCACCTTTGCAGTTGAAACTTTTGAGTAGGGAAGCTCTAGGACTTTGCCTGCCCGTGTGGCCTCTTCTGCCTTCCCACCAGCGACAGCTGGTGATTCATCTGCATTCGAGCCCTGATTGGAATGAGGAGTGGGGTGTGTTGCACTGCGTCGCAATGGGGTTGGCGTAGTTGGAACATGCGAGCCCTGCTCAGTTTGGCCAAATTCGGAGGTTGTTCTAGCCTGTTCGGGGCCGGAGGGATAGTAGAGAACTCGAACATCTCCCCATTCCTCCCAGCCATCGTTATCACGCACGAGGGAAACCAGTTCATTGGCGTTGACTTTGGTCTGGGTTGTACTTTCCTTCCCCTTGGTTAAAACGGCAGGAGACGCGGAAAATGGTGTTTTACTAGCGATGGCTGGACGCGGGAAAGGAGCTGCAATCTTCTGCAACTTTTCAAGGTCAAGAGCATAGTGGGACTGCAATACAGATTGTTGGTGGGTGCCACGCTGGCGAGAGTGGTATCGTTGAGCTAAGCAAAGAGACAGCCGCAATGTAGATTGTAGGAGAGAGAGTGAGGTGGTATTCAACAGGTCGCCCAGGCGATCGCTGCTGCTGTACAGGCTGCGGTTCCCACATTTCTCAAGTAAAAGACGAGAGAAATCGAGAACTGCTTCCACAAGCTCTCTATCTCCTTCGGGGCCGTATCCCAGGGCATTCAGTTTAGCATCAACACCCTCTGCTGGCTTCTTGCTCTCATCGGCCGAGTATGATTCCTCCAAAACACTTCGCGTGAACAGCTGGGTCTGAGGGCCAGTATTCAGGAAGTATTTTTCCACGGCTGAGGCTAGAATCTCGTCGAATCGGTCCAGGACATTGATCCAATGGTAGAGATCACCGCGTGGGAACGGCCATAGCTTAGGGAATGTGTTGAGAAGTGACGGGAGCTCTGGAACGGGAAGACTTGTGGCACGCGCTATGAATTCTTGCAAAAAAGGTGACTGTGATGGAAGGAAAATTTTTTAGTTGGGTTGCACATCAGGCTGCCGGAGAGTAACTTACGATTGTAGCCTCATGCTTTTGGCTGGCTACCTTCTTAATTCTCCCCATGATAACGATCGGTGGACCAGTCAAACATGAGGGAGTTGAGAGATTCCAGGAGGGTAGTCTCCTAGAGAGGGTGGAGTGAGAAGGTCGTAAAGACCGGTGTCGCGGAGAAAGCGCGAAGATGCCTTATGACGTTTTTGGTGCCGTTTTGCTGCCTCAACGAAAATCGAATCAACTCAACGTGATGGACACCTGAGCAATGTTTCACTGTCAATAAAAAGCAAGTCAAAGAGATCCTAGATCGAATTTACCATCCAATCGTGAAGGAATCTGAGTAAGAAAGCTCAACTCGAGAGCTGAGAGATGAGATATCAGGAAGTCGGTCAAATAAGGGAAAACGGGTGCAGGTCGTTATCCCTCGAGGTTTGACGTAGAGCTAGTAAGACGGGTATGTCAAAAGGAAAATATGAGGAAGAGGGGGGCTGGTTGATAGAAAAGAAGAGGGAAAGGACGAGCAACGTGAAGAAGAAGCTGGTCTTGCCGGCAGAAGGGCGGAGCGGCGATTCCCCCCACTGGGCCTCAGGCATCGACTGTCTGTCTTTCCACTTCCAACTTTTAGGGACATATATGATGCAACCTTGGAATTGTTCGATTTTATCTTACGTACAGAGAAATACGATGAAACCTACTTGACTACAGTCTCTCAGCCATCTTTGAAAGGAAGTGGGACTTCAGATTAAAAGCCAGTTCCAATTTTATTGCTGCGCGGTGAACCACATACATCTCTGAGAACAACGCATGCACACTATACAAACAACCAGCCTTGAACATTATAGAGGTCTCTCAGACAAAATTCACCTCCATTGAAATTCTCAGATATACAGTCTTTACTCCTTCCTGGCAGGCAGGTCTCCGTCCCATTGGATTTTCATAGTCATGGGGAACGGAGAGAAGCTACTGTGCTCGGCATCCATATACATGGCGATTCCTCCCAGTCCATTAAGCCTCTTCAGGTGGCCTTGGGGTCCAGGGGCGCGGCGAACATTATCCAGTCGCCCAAGAACCTTGAGCATAGTGGAAAGTGCAAGAGGGCACATTTTAACACCCAGGCATTCATGAGGACCGAAGCCGAAGTGAGTGTACAGGCTCATATCACGATCAAGACGGACCTTGTCGGGATCGGGGAACGCAACAGGATCGCGGCCTGCAACAACCTATATTTCGCAGAGTCTGTTAATATCTGAATGCTGAGAGAGAAAAGAAAAGGACGCCAAAGAACTTACCAAGTTGCAAATGATCTCCTGGCCAGCTTTCAAAGTGACCTTCTCACCGTTATCTTCTACCACCGTTGGCTTAGTGACAAATCGTGGCAATGCTACCGAGCATCGGAGTCTTGCTCCTTCCATGAAGCTGTATGTAGTTAGTATGGCCTCTTAAATCCTAATTGGGATATTGAGAAACTTACTATCGCACAAGGAGCTCGTCGGCCTCAGGAGTATCCTCCCTAGACAAGCGCTGGATCTCAACCAGATGCTCCGCCGCTTCTTCAGAGAGGTAGTAGTCGATGCATTGGGAGAAAAGCTGGCCTTGGTTGGCAACTAATGCACCAGCCGTGGGAAGAATGTGCGACCACACAACATCCTTAACCGGCAACTGGCTGTCGAGCAAGCGCTGGATCATGTGGACTCCATATTCACTCAAGATATCATGGCGGTGTAGGCGGTTGACCAGGTTGGAAATGAATCCAGTCTTAGCAACGAGTTCAACGTTGGCTAGCGTCAACTCGCCCAGCTGCTGTGCAACATTACGAGCAGTTTGGCAAAGTTGGAAAGACTTGGACACGTCGACATCGTAGAAAATCGAAGCGAATATCACGGCCAGAATCTGGTACAACTCCTGCTCGCTGAACACGCCTCTTGGGTTTGATTCTGTCTTGAGAGACAGGGAGAAGACGTTGGCGCAGAAGTGGACTTGGGCGAGAACGGCAACATCACGAACGATGTCGACCTGATTGACGCCAGCAACCTTGTATGAGTTTCGCTCGAGGAGTTTCAGAGTAATGTCCTCGTAGAAGGCCTTCACTTCTGATTCCCACTTTTCACGGTGCAGGGCAGCACCGAGCATCTTTCGAGAAGCTGCGTTGGCAGGGAGATCACCCGACAAGGCGAAGTCTCGGCCATAAGGACGGCCGCTATTCTCCATCAAAAATTGGATCTTCTCACCCCACACTACCTTGAACCCTTCTTGGTCTTTCAAGATTTTTGCGCAAGCAGAGTGGGAGTTGATGAAGAGGGGCGGGGCTTTATAAAATGGTCGGTCAAAGCTATAGGTTTTAGCCTTACCAAGGCTGGTCAATATTTTCTTGTTCTCATCAGGCACAACCATCGGGAAGTGTGCGTAAACCGAATCGCCGCGGAAATGATTGGGGAAGGCCTTCAGGACCAGTTTGTAGAAGACCTGACCACCGTCAACAGAGACGTCATTGTTGATCTCATTGAATGCCCAGTTTGTGAGATGCTTCGGTGTGAAGTCGACCGTATAGAAGCGATCACCACGAACTAAGGCAACTGCGTCTGAGAGAATGGCCCTCGAGGTCGTGAAATTGGTGCATAGACCGCTACCTGGGGTCATAGGCTGTTTGGCCTCTTCGACAACGAGGCCAGGGTACAGCTCCACAAGGTCGGGATGGTCATAGAAATGCTTAAGCTGGTTCGCGACGTACGGGTCTGAGTTGATCTCCTCAAAGGTTTGATAAGAAGCCAAACCGAAGTACTGACGGAACTCGTTCAAGGTAGCCAAATTCCAAGAGCGTGCCTGCTTGATGCCGAGAACCTCGATGCCTCTGAAGACATCTGGCACATTCAAAGCACCGAAAGCTCCAGCAGGATCCTCAACACCCTCCTCAAAGATCTTCACCAAATCATTATCGTCGAATTTGCCATCTGCTTGGCGTTGCAATTTGGCGAAAGGACGTTCCTGGGGATCTGCTGGGAGCTTTGATTCCCATTGGCGAAGACCCCCTGTGAATTCCTGCATGCTAAGCTGCTTCGGATCTTGCCCATTAAATAGCTCTTTATACAGATCCTCTGACCATTTTTCGTCCCGAGCCGAGACACAAGAATGCCAACGGTAAACAAGATTGAACTCGGCAGATACTTGGTTTCCGGTAGCCTGGGCAGGTGCCTGGCCAAGCAAGCCATCCTTTATCTCCGCACGGGGATCCAAACTCCACACACTGTCAGTTCGGTTGATGTTGAGAATGGTCCGGACATAGTCCTTCAGAATGATGTTAACATAAAGACCACAAGTAACCAGTCTCGCAGTCTGGAAGAGGTCATTATCCCAGGTGGCATAAGCTTGAGCATTTGACTCATCCGGTTTCGTGAAACGGCCACCTTCATTTATGGCTGCCAATTGGGTGACAACAGAGTTGTGGAAACGGTTGAACATAATGAGAAGGACACCAACGCCCGGGGGAATCCCAAAACCCGCTTGGTGGAGAAGCAGTCGGGTTTCAACTTTCCATCCTTGAATGTTCTGACTGTATCCTGTTCTTTCTGGTTGTTACCATAAAGCGGAGACAAGTCCAGGTACGAGGATGTCAATGATTTTGTTTGGTCCCTGGGATCCGTCTGGAACAGGTCTGAGAACTGTTAGCCTCGGTGATTATGCCATCTCGTATCGCAGAGATCTCAACCAACAGACAATAACCTACCATGGATGATAATAGAGGCAAGATAGAATAGCACGCTAGAAATCTTGTTCGGGTGTTCCTTGAAGTCCTTCCGGGCCAAGAGACTATCAAAAAGAGCCTCTGGCTCCGGAAGAGCAGCAGGCTGCATAGTCTTCGGTCGAACAGACCGTGCATATGGAGTGCTAGCAGCACCAATCTGAGGCCAGAAAATGTTCTAGGGCTGTTTAGCAGAGATTCTCAACCTATAAGGGGACAATTCCTACGTTTCCAGATCCATCAGCCTTCCTGTATGCCGCATCGCGTCCAAGATAGCTGCATCATTAGTCAGTCACTGCCCGGAATTTTCTAAACAGACCAACATCGCTTTGAGGGACTCACGAGACAGGGGGTGCTCCAGATCACCCCATAGTTGGGTGAGGAAGGTATTGGTCAGCTCCTTGCCATTTCGAGATGTCGAAGGCAAGCCAGCAGCAAGCTGTAGAGGAGTTAGAATGAGAACATAGCCAATTCCTCGCAGAAACACAAACCTGAATCACGCGCTCCATGATATAATCTCTGTCATTCACAGCCTCGCCAGTCACCGCACTTTTGGCAACCTCGGCCAAAGTTTTGGCATCTTTCAAGTCAAAATGGAGCAGGTCCTTAGCAAGGCCAGTCACAGTTGGCTCTTGTACATAGCTGCCATCGCCAGTTTGAGTGGGCAAGGGCCGCAAGGCTGCAGTCACAACCTGCTCGATCTGAGCAATTTTGCTGCTGGAATTGGAATCTGTCTCAGACATGGTGAATTGAGACGATATAATACAATAGAATGGTACAGAAAATGTCCGAGTGCGAACTGTGATTAATCTGTTAGCTTCAATGTTATAGATACCAGCGAGGTGATATTTTGCGACTAAAGGTCTTGGGAGACCTTGAGCCAGGGCCGAATGATTCAAGGTAGAAGTTGAACAAGAAAAACAAGAAAAACAATAATGTAGCGATTAGGCGCTTACCGGTATATGTCAAGCACAGTTAAGTAGGGTGAAGTATCGAGGTAATAAGATGGACAGCTTAGGAAGAACTCAAAGTCGCAAGCACGTATATAGGGGAGCAGCAGCAAAAGTGCAACACAACTATCACAGGTAGTTAGGAAAAGAAGAAGTGAATCATCATGCGATCATTTCGGCGGAAATGGGATAGGATATTATTATAAGCCTCCCGTGGGAATCACGGAGTAAGCCGAGGGCCATCAGCCAAGCAAAGCGTACGGCTGAATGCACCTCACATTCTAAAAGTCCAGCCGCTTTTCCATTCGTGGTCATTCTTAGCGCAAGGTGGACCTGGGTGAAAAGAACGCCCCACTGCTGCTATGAGCAATCAGATATCTCTGATTCGCGCGTGCTAAACGAAGTATCCCCGGTCAGTCTAAGTCTTACGGCATTTTTGCCTAGCCACTTATCAGATAGCTGGCGGATAACCCGGAATATGACTGCCTAGCTAAACTACTAGACACGAGCTATATTAGCACATCCAATGGCTCAATTTCGTAGTTTCTTGCAAGAAGATGTGGTCAAAACCGCACACTGTGATTGGAGCAATGACAGCGGCTGAATGGGTTCGAAGATCCACAATGCGCTCAGGCTCTGCAAAATAATGTTTTCTAAGAGAAACCCATAATAATAATAACAATAGCATGTAGAAATCTAAAATGGACTTCTAAGGGTTGTCGCGGTCGAGGCGTTGATTGGCGGTGCTGTTCGGCCAGACTAACCTTGTAAGATGGAGCTGAGACTTACGGAGTAGATGTGGTGATATCATTCGATTCTGATTTGATGTTACCATTGGATATTACAGTAGCTTGTTTTTCTCAGCTCCCACAAAACCCAGCACTGCCTTGCAACCCTCTTTCCCCGCTATAATGCATATTGCGCCTCATTAGCGTCCGGGAACGGGTTCTCAGCTGACAGGGGAGGCTACATATATGAACTTTTGTCCCAGTGAATGATGGCATTCCAGGTAGCCTCCTTAGGAAATACTGCATTGAACAGAATGTGCCATTGGCGGACGGGCCAGTCCAATTGCCAAGATGAAGTGAGTGCGGAAGACAAAAATCATCCAGAGCAACGAGACATAGCCACGGGCTGGATCGCCAAGACGCAAAGATTGTAGCTCCATACGACGTTGTTCTCCGTAAGCTGCCAAGGCAGCCCCAGAGCCTTGGAAGGCATCCCAGGAAAGCTCAAAGATTGGATATTGGATATTTGGCCTCAGGTGTCAACACGTGATGTCAACCGAGGCCCAACTTGTAGATTGTTGGGACGCCACTTTCTTTAGCAAAGTCGCGATTTCAAGTTCTCTTAGTGGCGCCAAATAAGCTCCATCGTTTAAGCATTATATTTGCTTGAGCTAAGTCATAATCATGGCGGCTGATAAAATCACGCTCGTCGTTCAGCCAAGGGGTATGCATACATAGCTCTTGTTCACCCAAAGCTCTCAGCAAGATCACAGAGAGAGTAGCCTAGATGCATCGCTGATCTAAAAGCAGGCAAACCCATCCGGAAGCTCCCCAAGGAAATTGAGATCCCTATCAATGCCTCCAGTGAAGAATTGCACACTGCGCTCTCCGCAGCATCCGGTTGCTCAACCCACCGGATGAGAATCACTAAGGGTAGCGACCACAGCGTGGTCCCCAACTCGATCAACACGACCATCGAGGACACTGGCATGCGAAACTCAAGCGTGATCTACGTCAAGGATCTCGGTGCGTGTCTATACCCCATAACGTGAACAATGCGAATCCAACCCCTAGGATCAGCGCTCTCTTCTCAACGAACCGACAGAAACTAACATATAGTTCTTCCACCCAACAGGACCCCAAATCGCCTGGCGTACCGTCTTTATCATCGAATATCTCGGCCCACTCCTGATCCCCGCGCTCTTTCTCTTCCCCCTCCGCCCCCTACTGTATTTCACCTTCGACAAGCCCCTCCCCACGCCCTCAGACCTCCAACTCCTAGTCTGCGCACTCCTGAGCGTGCACTTCCTGAAGCGCGAGTTCGAGACCATCTTCGTGCACCGTTTCAGCAGCGCCACCATGCCCGCCCGCAACATCGTCAAGAACAGCGCCCACTACTGGGTTCTGGCCGGTTTCAACATCGCCTACTGGGTGTTCCGCCCGGACGCGACTGCCGCCACCAGTACCCCCAACCAGGCTCTTGTGTACGCCGGACTGGCGCTATTTGTCTTCGGTGAGCTGGCGAACTTAAATGCGCACTACATCCTGCGTAACCTCCGCCGCCCTGGTACTACTGAGCGAGGCATTCCGTCTGGATTCGGTTTCAGTGTCGTTACCTGCCCCAACTACTTCTTTGAGATCCTGGCTTGGTTGGGTATTTTCCTTGTCAGTCAGTTGAACTGGAGTGTGCTGTTCTTCGTTATTGTTGGTGGGTTGCAGATGTGGAGCTGGGGTTGGAAGAAGGAGAAACGCTACCGCAAGGAGTTCGGTGACAAGTATAAGAAGAAGCGTGCTGTCATCTTCCCTGGCCTGGCCTAAAAAGTTCTCTCAATGGTCAAGTCCACGCTGGTATTTGGCGATCACATATGCCATGGCAATGGGCTGAGTGATTGAATGAGTGGAGAAGAGGAGGAAAATTATAGCAAGGCATCAGATTGCCTTTGTTGACGGCTTGAAAGAAGTCCCAAGCAGCTTATCGATCAACCCTAGTTGTCATGATAAAAAACGGTATGCGCTAATTACTGATACCATGAGGCGATGTATCATTTTGGTATTGGACATAGGAAAAAATGAATGATTATCGTGTTCCTTTTGCAGCTATGCATGCCAACTGAAAGCAGAAATACGCCATATGTTGAGGTCTCCACGACCAAACGCCAACCAACCCTAGAACATTGTACTCATGAACAGGAGAAAGATCGCAAGCAAAACGCCATTTCCCCCACGTAGAAACAGCGAACTCCTAAATTCAAGCGAGCATTTAATCGCTCTGTGCCTTCTTCTCCCATAGCTTATAGTATGGCTCTAGTTCGAGGGCACAGTCTCGGCCCTCTACATCTTCACATCCATGGAATTGGATCACGAGGTCACCATCCTTGTAGGTACCATCCAAAGAAGCGCCCGGCGAGTCATGGCTATAGGAGCTGAGAATGCGCTGAGGAACCAAGGCGGTTCGAGCAAGGACAGTTGGGTGCCACTGCATGATGTGATCCTAGCAGAATTTCGGTCAGAATCAAGGCTCTCGAAGCTCTATCTATATAAAGATAGATTAATAGAGTAAAAGACTTGTCTTACCAGGCCATGGGTCTCCGCCTTAGCAAAGTTGAAGTTGCGGTAAAGCGGGTCAAACCAGACATCCAGGAAGAAACGGGCAAACTCTCCATTCTTCAAAATGAAGCTCCCGGGGTTCAAATCTTCGCTGTCTTGGGTGAGGATAAGTTCCACGTCCTTTTCCTTCTGGTGCGCGAACGTGTTGATGATACTATCTGGCGGCACAATGGGCACATCCTTCATCATCAAGTCTTCCAGACGGCCCTTCTCCAGAATATGAGACTTGAGGGATTTGGTGGGGTTCATGATCAAAGCATTAGTCGCGAGATGGAAGAAATATGCCGAGCGAGGATGTGTAGCCATGGCATGGCGGGTGGCCGGTGCAACCGCCCAGCTCATTGGGGCATCGCCAACGGCTTCGTCATACTCCGACGCACTTGCGAAGAAGTTGGTGTAGCCTGTTCCCGCGTGAAGGTTAGATCGAGTTCATTGCGAAATAAGCTCTTCCACAGCATTTCATAGAAAAATTTCTTACCATGACGCTTAGCATAATCCTCCCGATTTGCAACGATCTTTTTGAGATAGCTCTCGCTGTACCGTTGACGGTCTAGCAGTGTGACGATTACCACCTCAGAAGTATCCGCGGAAGCAACAACGGACGTGGAGGCTGAGGAGTAGAGGTAGTGGAGGAGATAAAGCAGGGATAATATTGCGAGTGCTAGAACGGCGACCGACTTTAGTTGTTTCCTGCGATAGGATGGCATTCGAGAGGAACGGGATAGAGGTAGAGGATGCGGGCTCCGCCGCGGAGATAACGCGAACTGCATGAAGACGTGTACTTGTCCCTACGTGAGGTTGTACAACAAGGGACAGTGTTTCTGTTTCAATCAAATCATAATAAGAGAGAGGGCAATTTCATAAGTTGAGAATTGAAGAAAGAGGCTTGAAGATCGACGCGGGTGCGAAGATCCCGAGAGATGTGGCGTCCGAATGCGGTCCACCTTCTGGCCGCTTCCATTAGAGATCCCACATCCAGTGGGAATTTATATTTAGGATATTGAAAATAATCAGAGATAAGATACATATATACTAGTTGTTGAATAGCTCCATGCTTTAGTTTTCATTGCACAAGAATTATGAGAAAGAAAAAAAAAAAATGATATTGGCTGATATATTTTATAGATCGGCCCTATTATACGTAAACACCAGGCCGCACGATATGGCTTTCCCTTTCCGTTTTTAAGTGCTCACCTTTTGCCGCTTTTTGCTCACTGACGACAGAAATCTGGCAGTACGACAACGTATGGTAAAATTAAAATATATAGAAATCTCTAACTAACTAAACTGTCAAGGACAGAGTTTTCAATAATGGGAATCCCCAAAGACATGCTTAGTAACGATAATATGCACTTTTGTGGGGGAAGCCAAATGGCGGTCCAACCATTTTTCTGGGTAAAATACCCTATATTTAACCATGTATTCAACACAGTATTCGACACTATCTTCTGTTATAGGGCTGGTCAATTACACCGCAGCTCGGCTATTTGGAGCGGATTTCTTTCCTGCTCCGGCGTAAGGGCCAGAAGTGTCCCACAGGGCGAGGCTAGATCGGCGAGCAATAAATGCTCCTTAGTTTTGAATTGTCAAGAAAACTAGATTTCAGGCTAGCACCTGTTGGCCAGGCAGGTAATTCAGTGATGGAGAGGAGAACGCATTGTATTCTTCAAACAGAGACTAATCCTTGCTAAGGGGAAGTCATGGAGAGGATCTGATTCGTATAGATCTTTCCACTGAATCGTATGTATAAAGATGACGATGCTAATTCTATACATCTTCTATAACTACACTTCTTCTAAGAAGTGTGGTTGTTATACCTCAATAATGATGAAAGAACTCTACATATAAAGGTCCTAAGGTATTAAAGGAGTGGCCTTAGGTTGTAAAGGATCCTATCCATTATAATTATCTCCCCTCCTATATAGGTTATCCTAACCTACTATTTGTAAGTTGTAATTTAGTAATTCCACAATTTTTGAATAGTGAAGTAAGTTCAACTCGGTCGAGATACACCCTTAATCTTTAGGGTATATAAAAGATGGTTTTATATTCTAATAGAGATAAAGAATAGATATTATAAATAGTAATAATAAAGTAAAGATAGATTTTTCTAAAACTGCTAAGATAGATCCTTTATTAAAATCGTATCCTAGAGTCTCTCTAACGAGGTATAAAATAGGTGATCCCGATTCTTAGTGGATTCGTCGGCGTTCTCCCTACGATAGCGAACTACTTGGATAACCTCCCTAAAATCGGGGAAGAACCGGCTATACCGACCTCTCTTTAGTGTCTCGTTTATTTTAAATTTGCACTTAATAGTTATAAAGCTAATCCCGACGATGCCTTTAACCCTATAGTGTGTGCATTTATAAAACCGACTTCGATCCTTTACTAACGTTATAATAATCGGAAGGCAGTCTGTGAACTAGTGTGTATAACCTCGGAATAGCTCTAACCCGTTACTAATTCGAGATATGTTCCTACTAGGATCTTGAGAGATACGGTAGACATGTCGAATATACTTATATGGTCAGAAGTTTTCTTTCTACAGCATGTCGATTGGCCAGAAGAATTAAGAATGGACGTTTCTAAAGCTGGTCATGACCTTGCAAAAGCTTTCGATGCTATGCTCACAGCATACATGGGATTTTTCAATCTAGTGGGATTGAAAAGACTCCAAGGGGTATGTTTCTCCCCATCGGCCAAATTTGACATCATGCAGATCCCGTCATCATTCCACCATGGCTTGGGGTCCGATCCGTGTAATTCTTAAGGCCGTCTTGGCCTTGAAGTTTGCCATCAACGCAATCGGGGTGTTTGTTCAGATCCTAGGCGAGAATTCCGCGGTCCTCTCTCGAGGTCGAAGTCTACTTCCCGCCCCCAGCAAGGACCGCAAACTCCACAACATCATCATCGTCGGCGCGTCTTTCGCAGGCTATAATGCCGCCCGCAGCATCGCCACTACACTACCCACCAACAGTCCGTATCGAGTCATCGTGATCGAGCCCCATTCGCATTTCTACTTCACGTGGGTCATTCCTCGATTCTGTGTTGTAGATGGAGCTCACAAGGCCTTCATCCCGTACGGACCGTACCTGAATGGTGCGCCTGAGGGGAGAGTGCGATGGATGCAAGACCGTGTCGCCGAAGTCGGTCGGACAACTGTACGGCTGGCCAGGGGCAACGAGGTAATCCCGTACGTCTTTCTCGTTATTGCCACAGGCTCGGGGGCGAACGACGGGTTGCCATCGCGTGTGGGCGCCGATGAGAAGCGTGAAGGACTGCAACAGCTGGAAGCTATACGGGCAAGAATCAGGGACTCGAAGAACCTTGTCATCTTCGGTGGGGGTGCTGCAGGCGTCGAGCTAGCGGCCGATGCGAAGCACAAGTATCCCGAGAAGAATGTCACACTCGTGCACTCGCGTGGCGCTGTCATGCATCGCTTTGGTCCTGAGCTCCAGGCTGCTGCAAGCAAGGCGTTGACAAGTCTCGGCGTTGAGTAGATTCTCGGGAACAAAACAACGGGCAACGAGATTAAGAATGGCGCTGTGAGACTGACCTCTGGACGGACAGTGGAATGCGACTTCCTGGTGCGTGTAGCCAACTCTAGAATGCCCTCGACGAAATCATCACTAATCTAAATGACTAGGTCAACTGTTCAGGCTAGAGACCATCCTCGGCACTTCTATCCGATTTGAGTCCGAAAGCTATTTTACCGACGGGACACATAGGTGTCAAATTAAGCTTGCAGATCAGGCACGACAGCTTGTCCAACGTCTACGTCTGTGGCGATGTCGCGGATGCTGGTGTGCGCAGCCCTAATGCACGATCTGCCATGTAATAAGCCACGACGGTAGCAAAGAACATTGTGCAAGCGGCGACGGGCAATACCCCCACAGAGACATACTCGCCGTTCTGGGCGGACAGTGTCATAAAGCTAACATTGGGCCTCGTACGTATTCCAAGGCTTCTCGCCAGCAATGGAGACTAACTGGGAATTAGACTAGATCCGTTTCTTACCTCAGCGACGGAAATGCCGAGCTGCTGTAGCCTGCCAAGGAGAAGGACTTGGCCTTGATGTCGGCGAAGGCATGGAGGCATATGGGTGCCACGCCATTCGAGGACCACGGGGTGCCGCCTGCAATGACAGAACTTGAATGAGGCGGCAGCCATTTCCCTCTAGGATCTGAATTTAAATATGCGGCCGGTATTTAGGGTTCGAGTCATCAAGTGGAAATCCGAGTCACATTCATGACTTGATTTACTTGCTTTCTTAAAAATGAGTTTTCCTGGGCCGGAGCTTTTTCTGGTTTCTTCGGCGCAAGAGTACAGATCGTCTTTGAGCTGGAGATGAAAGGCATATTTGCCGACTTCACAGAGCTAATAAATTTATTGGATATACTAGGTACCTGATCTTTCAATCAATCAGAAGCCAGATATTAAGTCTAAAAAGGATTATTTAGCGAAGTCTTCCTGACTTCCCTATGTATTTGCTTCGTATGCTCAACAATCTTATGTATTAAGCAAAGAATGTTTGGAGTCTTTATACATCAAGCTAAGACATAGCAGCACACGACCGAACAGAAAACAATGGACAAGCACACAACGTAACGAGATGCAACAGACCAGGACACAACTAAAGACACGACACGACTAGGGAGCAAGGACAAAAAGCTGCAGCATTTATTGCTAAGACATGAACCTTCATTCCTTGCTTTCCTGATGGCTGCATTTGGGGCTTGAAGGAGTCGTGGTAGGTATTGCATGCTGGTCTTGATTCTCTTCTTTCAACCGATGTCGGAATATTTCCTCATTCCATCTTGGCAAGTCCTTATTGACTTGACTCATTGTCTTCTGGACCGTGAAGGAAATGGCATTCTGCAAGTACATCGAGGCGCGATTCCAATCCTGATACGACATTGCACCGAAAGCGACAGATTTCACCGAATGCGAGTAGAATATCAGGTTCTGTGTGTTCTTGTTCTGCTCAATCCAGTGACAAAAGATGGTCATCGCCTGTTGCGTTACTGTGGCCGAACAAGCTTTGATAACTCCGTCAAATGATAAGTGCGTAGCTTCTTCACCATTTGCGAGAACCGAAAGCTGTCTCAGGTTGAATAACATATTCGCTGTGTTGTGCCGGTTCTGTGTTTCTGCATCCATGCCTCCACTGTCACCTTTCGCCTCGAGAGCAAAGCATGGGAATATAAGGTCCGGAGTCTTTGAAATAGGCGAAGCAATGTGGTTGAGGTGGTGAAGGGCTGGTTCATAATCCAAGAACTGGCTTCGACGGAGACCAACAGAGATGTCAGGGTACGGAGCTGGGATGCTCTTCGAGTTTTCGTCGAGTGGAAATTGGATAGGCAGTTGACACTGTTTGCTAAATGGTATGTCCATTACAGCCAGTGTTTCTGGGCTTAATATCAACCCAATGTAGTTCATCAAGGGAGGGATAATGCCCCCCTGAATGCTGCCCTCATTTCCGGCACTCCGAATGATCACGTCAAAGGAATCCAGGGTTCTGCTGGGAAGGTCCTCCCAATTTGCTGGACGGTCCTCGAGTTGTGCTACCATCATGTGGTATTCTGTTGGCTTTCCATTGGATTGCTGTACACCTCTGGCAATCAATTCTCGGACATAATCAGGCGACTTGTAATTAACGGTCGTGGAGGTTGGAGTATTTGCTACCGAGGATGGCTTCTGACGTTTACGCCGGGACGTTGGACTGGAAGTTGGGGTTTGGACAGATCTTTTGGCTGGAGGCGTTGAGCTTGGGATGGAATCGGGCATTTCTTCATCAAATCGAGGCGGTGACATGGAAGTGGGCGATGGTATGGGGAAACCAAGATATCTTGCAAGAGACCAGTTGTGCTCACAGAGTGAGAAGTCGTATTCAGACATCTTGGGCCGAGAGTGAGGTGAAGGAAAATGGGTTGAAGAGGAAAGTGAGATATGGAGCAAGTGCGACGGCCTTGGATCCATTGATAGAGTGAGATGAAGGAAAGTATGTACACAGAAGGTGTGCTGAAGGGGAAAGAGGAAGCGAGAAATGATTGAGAATATACCCTTCCCAGGTTCCAAGGTTGAACGCATGGATAAGAACAATAGAAGTCGTTTGCTACTAAGCCTATTTAGGAAATAGGTACACCCCTGGGCACCTGAGAACAATGGAAGTCAGCCACCTGGCACTTGCTACTAAGTCTATTTAGGAAATGGGACACGAACCTATAATGTTGTAGGGTTCGAAACTCGAGGTTTATGGCGAAGTGCCCGAATCTGGCCTGGCAGAAAAAGTACGTTTCTGCCCGTGGGCGCTTGCTACCTGAATTCTGGCCAAGCATACCCTGAGCATGCCCACCTGGGCAGGTGGGCATCTATGGGCAGGTGCCCAGGTGGATACCTACATGTATGCGCATGTAGGTGTTGTACTGTAGGTCCATATGTACATATGTACATATACATCTATAGGTAGGTTCCCTTCTTCCTTCCTTCCTTCCTCCTCCCCCTTCCTTTCCACCTCATCTCCATTACGTTTGAACTAACAAAATGAAGCTAGCCTCTCCAACGTGATTAATAGAATCAACGAATATCCCTATGGCTATCTAGCAACACGCGAGCCATACAGAAAATGCATTATGGGTATGTCAAATAATCAGACTAGTCATTGGCAGTTACTTACACGGACTACAGCTCAACCAAATGTCCCACGGCACGCAGGTCTATTCCCTCTGCCATATCATCGACCACACCAAACATGAGATCGAAGACGTCGAAAAGCCAGGGCTGTGGATAACTTGACCATGTCTGACCAATCTCTTATCTCTCATCCATGGAATTGCTGGTCACTTCCTTGCAGATCAGTTACCCAAAGGCATGCGGAGGGTCATGGGCTGATACTATGGCAACATGGAGAAGCCCCCTCAGAGCGACAGTTGCCTTAGCAAGCAAAATACTATAGTTCAGGTTCCATCAGTTGTCTTCAGTACTCCATAGGTAAAATGAAGCTTTACACCATACAGATTCATGCATAACCACTTCTTAGGTGGTTTAACATAGAGCCCTTTAGATATAAAGTTCTGTAAATCATCCTGGGCGAGTAAGAAAAGTCCTTTTCGTTATTTTGGAGATCGAATAGTGTGTGGTATAGCAAGTCGAAGCCTCTAACATCGTATATCAATCCTCTACACTAGAGGTTGTAGCGGAGATCAAACGTCCATTTGATATCTCGATCAGGGAACTTCCATTGAATAATTTGTAGCAATTCTTTATATTGCTAAGCTAGTAAGGAATTCTTGAAAAATCCTAGTTCATCCTCAATGATTAGCATTTCATTTTCCTAATTTAGGGATCTAGCCTACTAGAGCAAAACTAATGTCCTCAGCTGACTGTAGTCTGATGGTACTTTTGCTTTCTTTTATACGTAAGTCACTATCACACTGTATCGGCGCCTCGACATTTCAATTCGGCATATATTATGTTAATTCAAGCTTTATATTGTTGATTGTTGTTGATTCCTTAGGAAAAAGTAACTATAAATATTGGCTTCTTTCCATATATGAATAGGTTAGACAATGCTACCTCTCATAGTACTTTTCACGGTACTTTTCACTTTGACAGAGTCCTATACATGCTAAATAGTCTCAGCTGTACTATTTCCAAAAGAATATCCAGTTGTTTTTGGGATAAGAATTGTGTGGAATTATCGTATGTTTAACATACTATGTTCCTAAGGTTTTATTAGGGGCAAACGGCGCGTCAATGTCGGGCTTTTCAGGTTCTACATATCCTAATTGCCCTTTTGCCCTTTCTTAGTCCTGAATATAGCCTGTCTCTACTTCTGACATTTCCATTTGTCCATGGGTATAGGCTAGACTGACTGCTTCCTTCTGCCTTATTTTGCCCTCCATTTCCATCATCCAAAATCAATCAATTCCCCCTGCTTTTTCCCTTCCATCCAACCCTCACACCCTACGAAAGCCGCATCTCTCATTTCGGAGATCAGCAGTAGTTCTCCAGGTAAGCCACCTTCCTTTAACTCATCTTCTCTTATCTCCTCATCAGATTCCTGCCTTGTGAGCACTGTATCTCTCACTTCCGAAGATCAACAGCAGTCCTCCAGGTGAACCTCACATCTTTTGTCTCATCTTCCCTTATCTTCTCGTCAGATTCCTGCCTTGTGAGCACTGTATCTCTCACTTCTGAAGATAACAGCAGTCCTCCAGGTTAAGCCCCCTTCTTTTGTCTCATCTTTCCTTATCTTGTCGTCAGATTCCTGCCTTGTGAGCACTGTATCTCTCACTTCTGAAGATCAACAGCAGTCCTCCAGGTGAACCTCACATCTTTTGTCTCATCTTCCCATATATTTCTCTCCATATACGGCTTTGTGATCTCAAATATCTCACATCAGAAAAAGCCTAGCATCCCCATGCTCCTTGCTTTACTCTGGTCTTTTCCTCTCCATTCATCATCTCAGCCTTCACAACGACCCATCTCTAACTTTCGATCAATTACAACAGTTTCGCCGCCTGGTAACAGCCTGGCTTTGCAATATTTTTTTTTGCCTTCTGCAATCTACGAAGGGGTATGTGCTCCATGATATGTTCAAATGCCTCAACACTGACAGTTCATTTCCTTCGCAGCAGGATTCAACCCAATTTTCGTTTACGACACATACGCATTCTCGGTTTCAAATTTGCGATCAATTCATTTCGTTCCTGTTTCCAGCCACTATTATGGCTGGCTCGACCCCAAAAGTAGGATTACTCTCGGCTCGTGTCGTTATATCGGATCACCACTAACACTTTTGAACAGACATCTGCCTCAAAAGCAGGCAAGGCTAAGCGTCCAGCCGATTCGACCCCAAGCTCAGTGAGATCCCGAAAGTACCATTGAAGCACGGCCTGGGCTAACCATAATCAGGGCACTCCAGATAGCAAAGGCAAGGCTAAGCGTCCAGCCGATTCGACCCCAAGCTCAGTGAGATCCCGAAAGTACCATTGAAGCACGGCCTGGGCTAACCATAATCAGGGCACTCCAGATAGCAAAGGCAAGGCTAAGCGTCCAGCCGATTCGACCCCAAGCTCAGTGAGATCCCGAAAGTACCATTGAAGCACGGCCTGGGCTAACCATAATCAGGGCACTCCCGATAGCAAAGGCAAGGCTAAGCGTCCAGCCGATTCGACCCCAAGATCAGTGAGATCCCGAAAGTACCATTGAAGCACGGCCTGGGCTAACCAAAATCAGGGCACTCCCGGCAAACGCCAACGTACTTCTCTGACTCGGCAACACAAGATCGTCGATGCTCTCCCCGTCGACCTCAGCAGCCGTGGCAAATGGTTGAAGACAGAGGGCCGGGAAACCATGCTCGCTGGATACATCGGTTTTACCAAGGTTGAAGATCTGCGACGGCTTATAATTTCATGGCCAATTCTTTCGATTTGGTCCTTTTTTGACGAAAATGCCAAGGGAATGAGCAAAATGGGTCCCTTTCAATGCGCCAATGATGAGTGGACAGAACTCCAAAAAATTACATCCACAGAATCAGATGTCCTCGCCATTCGCCCAGGCGCAAGCGCCGACTACGCAAAGAGGCAAAAGTACAGGCGTGTTGCTTGGTCTTGCATTCGACTGATGACCCAGATCAAGACTTACAAGGAAAACTCTGATGACCAAAACAAGGCCGAGAACGAAAAATTTCAGGTGTCTTTCGCTCAAGAAAACGATGTCACATTCCCTGACTCAGGTTCTCAACTCGTCTTCCCGAAACCCACGCTTGGTCCCCTGACAGATAAACAGGAGACTAGGCTGGAGGTCATTAACCGCTGCTGGGAGCTATTGCGATATCTTTCTTTCATCAAGACAGCAGGCCACCTATGGAAACGTGTTGAGACCATAGAGGCAATTCGAAAAGCCCCTTCGGTCGACGAGACAAACCTGCCCCCATGGATGCAACCTCCGAAGGAGCAGGTGACATGTGATCTAGGCCAGACAGATCAGACAGACCAAACTCGTCAACCAATTGAGGTCACCGTTGTATGGTGCTGGAAAAAGGAGTTTGTGGGCAAGGATAAGCTCGATCGTGCACTTGAGGCCGCCAACAAAAAAGGATTGAATGTTCCTACCCCGAAGCGCAAGATGCCTCAAGATCCTCGCGGATTCACATCAATTGGAATGTTCCGGGATGCGATTCGCGCCATGTTCAATTGTCGAGCGCTGGGTCTCAACATTATGACTCTGACATTGAACTACCACAGTGGAGCTGAGGACGAATTTTTATTCCATGATCTGATGATAGAAGAATGGGAGGACATCCAAAGTACCTTTTCGGATGCCACCAACTCTCTCTTTCGAATCTCTGTTATCCTTAGGGCTTGCAAATTCAAGACCGAGAAAATCTACGAGTGCGGCATGATGTCTGATGCTACCGAAAAGGCCATGCTGGCTTCCCCACCGGAAAGTCTGGTCGATGAAGATGGCAATAAGGAACCAGCTAGCAGTCATCCGCTTGACAATGCTGTCACCACGATACTCTCAAGCTCATCTCAAAAGGACAAGACCCTCGCACCCAAAAAGTTTGACTCTCCCGAAGAGCAGCTACGCTGGTACAGTGGGTACAACGTCAACACCATCGCAGGGTGTCAGGAGTGGCAGGCAAAGTTAGTCCTCAAGGTACAAGCAGGTTTCGAGGTGGTCGAACCTGAACCGATGGTGATCCCAGATTCTCTCAATGCCACTCATGAAGAAGCGACCGTGGTAGACGAGGCACAGCAAAAGGCTCACCGAGATAGCGAGGACTACATCAAGCATTCGGTAAGACCGCCGTATGGGCCAAAGTACTTTATGGATATGCTAATGATCTTCATTTTAGGCCGACAAAGACTATTATACCCTGCAGTCTGCCTTCTCTGGAACGCAGAATCGAAGTGGCCCCTATCTTGATCTTTGCCTCGATTTACTTATCTGTGAGCGACAAGACGATGGGCTTTATTCTTCATTGCTGTTAGAACACCACACCAAACGTCGGTTTTACGGATACCAAATCACTGGTGCCATTGGATTGCTCCTGAAACTGCTTGGTTCGATTGATATCAACAAGCTGTTTAAGAATTGCCGCAACGTCAAGTGGAATCGACAGCAACGGACGCGCGCGATTTCGGCTGCAAAGGCCCTTCGGGAGGTTCAGATTTTTGGCGCATTTTTAGCAGACGGCACTGGCTTTGGTAAAACAATACAATGCTTGCTCGCGGCTCTGTTGTATTCGATCCTGGTGACCACAAACAAGCCGATGCTCCTCATTGTGCCCGCACCGTTGGTGGGCCAGTGGCTCGATGAAATCAGGAGCGATTGGGAATACCTCTTCCCAATTCTGTCTTACAACGATCCTACGCTGAATGCAAAAATGCTAGGCCGCAGATTAACGTCACACCAGATGAAACGTTTGCGATTCCCACAGGAGTTGTCCTTTGCTCTTGATCAAAACGACCCTAAGGCCCGTACTGTGATCATTGTTACGTCCTACGAAACTCATATGAAACGCACCTCATACTTGTCCACAAAGGGCAAAGCTCCTTTCATTAGCACGTACTGGAAGACTGATCACAATGACAAGTTCGGCCTCCTCATTGCTGACGAGGCACATCGCGCAAAAAACAAACAAACTGCGACTGCGTCAATCCTTAAACTACAAAGGTTTGAGGCCCTGATCTTCGCAACAGCCACGCCAATGTTCAATTCTATCCGTGTAAGTACTCCATTATGAAAGGAAAGGGCAATGGAAGCATTTCACTAACAGCTATAGGATTTGATTGGCCTGATTGACCTAATTGGCGTCCGCGGCCGGCGATCTCTAGAAAGAAATTGCAAGGCATCTGCCAGCAAAGAGAGAGAACGCGCAAGTTTAGACACAAAAACCTCGAGACAGAAAAGGGCGGCATTCGAAGCCCTAGAACCCACGTCAGATTTGCGACTTATGCTTCTCAATACCAATACCCTAAACGCGATTCTACACTCTGGTGAAAAACTGGCCCATGAACTGGCCAACTACTTCGGCCTTGTGCTGGACCTAGTGGCAATTCAGCGGTCGCAGGGGTCGTCAATCCGCCTGTCTGATGGAACATCGTTACCATTGAAGGACATGTTCAAGCCAATCCATTTCCGTACAGCATCGGTGGAGCTGTCAGTAGAGGAACGCATGCTTTACCAAGCCTTCCATGGGACTGCAGCAAAGTACGTTTAATCCACACCTGCCAACCCCTTATAGTCACTAACATGAGTCTTGTAGGGACTACGTCAGAGAGACAGGGGTGGAACAAAAAGCTAAGCCGGGCCAACGCGTCAAGTCAAAGTTTATATCATCAGCACGGCCTCTCCGCAAGCTTGCGATAGCTAATATGTCGACCCGCCTCGCAAATCTGAACTCCAAGCACGAGTTCACTGACTCAGACACCCTCATCCCGACTCTTCGACGGTGGCGTGATGCGGGAATACCTGCCGAATGGGCCTGGGGTGCAACAAGGGAAGACTTTGACCCTCCTGTCAAAACGGCGTTCGACTTTATCAAATCCCTTGTCCAAGGCTCGCCACGCCTGCGCGTAATATTTCAACAACTTGCCGACCAGAAGGTCATGCGACCGTTGGACAAAAAGCGTTATGGCCACCACCAAAAGGTATTGATCGTGGATTCAGTACCTATCAACGCGTGGTACATAGAAAAGGTTCTCCGTGCTGCCCTCGTCGATGCCAAAACTTTGCACTCCTCCCTCGACCAGCATGAACGGGATGTGCTTGTCAAACAATTTAATGATCCAAAAAGTGATTTGAAAGTTCTCATCACCACATACGATGTCGGTTCCGTCGGCCTGAATCTGCATAAAGCGTGCAACTGTGTTATCCTCACTGCGCCGGGCAGAAGCTAGAGCCAAGAAGCTCAGGCAGCGGGACGCGCGCTTAGAGTATGTCAAATGTCCTTTTTATCCACACCCTCCATGGCCCTCGATCCTCAGCTCTACAGAATCTTCCAAATCCATATTGATATTGCGGTATACTAACGTTATATAGATCACATCAGAATTCCCTCTGCTGGTTATTCGTGTGTCCACGCCAAACACACACGATCAGTTCAGGAATGCAAAACAAGCCGACAAAGCTTGTTTGCAGCTCGCTGTGAACGCACACGATCCGGACTTCAGATCGATGATGTTGAAGGAGTTGATTGCTATCCAGCCCGAGGTTGATGAATGCCACGCCTCCGATGAGGGAAAGCGACTCGCCGACAGTAAGAAGCAGAATGATGAGCGTCTTGACCAAGGTCTGGCTGAGTTCCTCCGGCAATGTGAAGAAGACCGTTTCAAGCGCCAGGGGGCACGATCTGAGACTCCCAATGCTGAAACAGGGGATGAAAGCGCCTCGTTTGGTAAGCGTGACAGAAAAGGACAACAGCATTACACTATTCAAGACCCGTCTGATGAGGATAACGACGGTTCTCCTCCCCCTGAAGATGACTCAAATGACAAAGACTACGCCGGCGAGACCACTGATGAAGCGGATGAAGAGGACGAACTCGAGAGGGCAGAATTGTATGACAGGGATTTCTCATCAGACAGATCCTCGGATGCATCAAACGCCTCGGAGCCAGAGAGTGGCGGCGATGAAGAACCTGCAGCACCAGGGAAGGACACTGCGAACGCTCGTGATATCGAAGCTTGGAACAAGGCCAAAACCTGGGAGGCATTTGTGGACAGTACTCAACCGACCGATGCCGATCGCCATCGTTTGGCACTCCTCACATTACCCGCTCAGAAAACGTGGACTATGAAAGATCTGGACAATCCTCAGTTTTACATGATCGCACTTCGCCTTGTGTACAACAGAATGCGTGGGGTGAAAACTCTGCACCTCGGAACAAGCATCCACATAAACTACGACGAAATGAGCGAGGAACAAAAGGAGCGCATCGGTCTAATTATCGGACCTGAACCAAGTGAGGATTCCAAGGGGAAGATGCGGGAGAGAATCGGGCAGCCTTTGCTGACGGAGGAGTAATTTGGAAAAAAAAAAAAAAGGATTTCGAAACCGATTATGGAAATGGGGAGGCAAAAAAACTTGTCTTTATCGAAGATGGAAAGTTCTCGCTGTAATTATGGAAAATACATCATATAACAGGAAGTAGAAGTCAGTGGGTGAGCACTGTCATTCGAATCCTTTTGATATTTCCATAATTTTTTCTTAACCTACCTACATATATCTGAAAACAAAACACCTCATGCCACACTCCTTTGGCACTTATTACTTTTATTTCTCTCAAGCATTGATGTTTAGAATAAAAATCCACGCTACAAGAATTGTCGGTAGGTTATGCCGCCTTGCCATGTATTCTTTTTAGTATTTTTTTTAAAAATATTTTCTGGAGTATTTTTAGAAGTCTTCTCAGATAAAATTTCAGATGTATTTTTGCACAGATATTTGGTCTATGAAATAGTATATGTCCTAGAGAGATTACCTATACCCTTGTTGACTCTTATATCCATATCCGAATGGATTCTTAGTCTTCTGAGTGTTACTACAACTGCAATGCTTTTGCACTTGCTCCCTAGAACGGAGGAGGGTTCAAGTCCAACCCGTCAACCGTCAACCGGAATGCATCTCTTGAATAGCTTCCCGCAACATCCATATCAAGCCGACCACGCTCACAATCCTCCAAGTCAATGTCAGAAATCACAAGTCCACTTCCAATGCTGGAGCCATCAGCCGCATCATCAGTGGAGACTTCCCAAATAGGTTCAGCCACAACTTCACCTAAGGGGCCGACGATGCAGGAGCCACCACGCGAGATATAGCGGTCTGGAGCTTCTAAGAGATGATGAGTCAGTTTGAACAACCAGGTAAAACAAACCGAGGGTGATCATATACCACGTACCTTCTGTAGTTTTATTCTGCTCAGTGATCCAGGATGGTAGTTCATTGTAGCGCACGCACTGGTTGCAAGAGAGCACGAAAGTGCGGCCTTCGCCACCAATAGTGCGCATAAGAGGCAACCAAGTGTCACGGCTGTCAGCTGTGGGTGCGAGGTAGATGTTCACATTCTGCGAATAAAGACTTTGACGAAGCAAAGGCATGAAGCTTTCCCAGCAGATAGCGGCGGCAATAGTAAGCTTAACTCCATTGAGCTCCGTAGTGACGGCTTTTAGGGTAGAGGGAGAGCCCTGAGCCCATACAAGACGTTCCGAGCCAGTCTTTTTCAACAATTTCAGGTCAGCATTAGTTTATACGTAGGTATCTTTCAAATTGACTACAGTGGACAGCAGAAATAATAAATGACCATGTACTTACTGGCATGACCTTTCTTCTTTTCCCCAGAATACCCCGCAATGGATCGACATACAGCGCGGAGCAGTACAAGCTTCCCCCGGCCTTTTCAATCAAGCCAGTTGCAATAAAGACACCGGTCTCGCGGGACACCCGCTCGAGGAACTCTCTTGTCCCATCACCACGGTGCTCTCGACCTTGAGCCACCGGAAGCTTGCGCTCCACCCAGTCATCTCCCGCTCCAGCAGGCGTATCGCCCAGGTCAACGGCAGCATGGAAGTACTCAAGAAATTGATCCCGGCCATGGGGGGCACGCGCGCCAAAAGCAGTTCCAAAGTCACAAGTACGAGGATACCCGCCTAGATAAGCTTCTGGGAAGAGCAGAAGATGTACACCCTTTGAAGCTGCATGCTGGGTGGTTTTCTTGAGAGCAGCGAGGGTCAACTCAAGTGTAGACAGAGTGCGGGCTTGCGCCACGGCAACGGTGATTTTCTGAGGCATTATAGTGTAGTCTTCTTTGCTGTCGGGAATATTTCAAAAGCGAAGGTTGAAACGAGTTGAATTAAATTGTTACCCCTCTCAGCACTTAAAGTACACAATTCCGACTCTTTTCGGAGGCTGTAATGTCCGACGGACTTTGATATGCCGATGAGTTTGCACAGCAATTTCACCAATAGTTTGAACTTGGCCTTGAATATAATTGGTCTGCTATCTCTATAAATGAACTGTACTGAAGCTAAAGACAAAATAACGAAGGTTTTCAGTCTTCCAGTCTTCATCCTTTTGGTAAATCCTTAGTCACGTGGATCGATGGAGTTCAAAACGGAACCGTCATCGGACATCTCAGTCCGATCCCAGTGAGCCACCAAATGCCGAGTCCGAATGGAAAGAAACAAAGTCGAACCATCTAGAAAAAGGCAGAAAGCATTGGCTTGTCGACGGTGTCGATCACGGAAGCAAAAGGTGAGTGTACTCGATTACAGCCTTGAATCGCAGAAAAACTAACCAGAGCTAGTGCACAGGAAGCAGACCGTGTGATAATTGCACAGCAGCGAATAAGGGTAAGTATATAATGGCATAGACACCATGACAATCATGTCTGATTGTATATAGAATGCCTCTCAAGTGAGCCGGTGAGCCGAAAGGCTCGTGTCAGTACTGAGTAGGTCGAGTCAACCATGGCACAAGTAACCTGCTAACGGCCTTTATAGATACACCCGAGCTCTCGAAGAAAGAATTGTAGACCTCGAGTCTCAAATTCCAGATGGGACACCAGAGAATCTCTCTGTCAGCCGGCAAGCATCTACGCAGGAATCTCCACATCAAAGAGGCAATGAGACGGACCATGTTTCTCACACTTCTCTTGCGTCGAGGCCACCATACCCTCGTAGTATGCCTCAAGCCAGGGCCTCGTCAGATTCTGTGCCTCTGCGGGATTCGGCCCCCTGCCCATCATTAGCCTTACCATTCCCCCATGCAGTGGAAGGCTTGCCAGATCCTCATGGCCAATGTGGACATTCCAGCCTGTTGATTGGCATACTAGCTACTCTCACAAGATCCAATTCCTCCGGGTTCCCCCAAACACAACCTGAAAGTCCAAATGCCCACATTCCCTCTCAGTTCACAGATCAGGTATTACAAGCAGATCGTATCCCGCGGCTTTCAAATGAGGCATCTGATCGCTTGGTTCAAATATATTTGGAACGAGTTAACCCACGATATCCCTTTCTCCATCTCGCCACTTTTCTCGGCTGGTATGAATCGTGGAAGGCTCATTCACAGGTGGATAAGGCTAGACATCAGCAGTCTCTATGGAAGGCCTATTTTGTAACCATGGTATGAATCAAATATTCGTTATCTCGAATTTATATTAAACTTGAATACCTTTTAGGTGCATGCTGTTGCCCTACTTCTCACACCTCGAGTCTCGGTCGATGACATTGCTACTTCTCAAGTAAGGGCATATGAAATACTACATCTACGACCAAAGGGAAAGCTAACAGCCTAGTCTTTGTATAACACTGCCATGCAATATCTTGCCCACGTTTTCGCGCAACCCGATTCTGTTCTACATGCCCAGGCATATCTCCTTCTGACTCTGCACGCACTTCATTCTCCATCATCGCAGATGATTGTCACCATTGTCTCTGCAATGATGAGATATTGTGTCATGGCGCAACTTCACTTAGCTGAGAGTGAGCCGCAGGTGCCGAATCCAGCGTTTTCCTTGGAGGTCCAAACCCGCCGTCGAGTGTTCTGGTCTGCTTATGCTTTGGATCGATTTATCAGTTGGATTTACCACATCCCCAACAATATCATTGATGAACAAATTAGCGTGGAGGTAAGTCGTTTCTCAATAACCTGACATCAGGATCACAGGAAAGGACATGGGAGATACTAACAATGATAGCTTTTTTCAAACGTCGGAGACGCCGACCTTCACCACGAAGGATCAGAGGATGGCCGCATTCAAATAGAAACACCATCGCAGAAAACACATGTCTCACCGGCCCTTCACCTATTCAGATGCAGACGTATACAATCCCGGATCATCAGCACCATGATGCGGTCTGATTTCAAAGAAATCGATGCCTCAACGACATGGCGAGAACACATGCTGGGCGAATTAGATTCCTGGAGGTCTCAATTACGGCTATTGAGCGATGTTGCCTCCAAAAGCTACACGAGCGATCGATGGGTCGGCATGGCTTACAACTACACGATCCTTCTATTGCACCAGCCAACCAAAGCAAATGTCTGTAATGGCTTTGGGGACCGATCAGTCCCAGCCTGTGTTCAGATTGCTATGACATTTAGGACATTCCAAAAAGACCGACAGACAGCACAACTATGGCCTGGGGTATGTGCTCTTGACCCTCTATTCATTTCCACATCAACTGACCAGGTCCGGTAAACAGCTCCTGAGCCAAGTCGCTGTAGGTATCACCCTTCTATACTGCTTCTGGGCAACTCCACCTCAACATCAAACCATCGCCTACCGGTCACGAGAAGTCCCAGAAGCATTACGCGCCTGCTCAACTGCACTGGCCATCCTCGCTGAGCGATGGGTTCAAGCTGAACCTTTGCGCGATGTCTTCGATGTTCTAGCCAAAGAAGTTCCACTCTACGGAACGGCAGAGGAAGACCCGTCACTGAGGCGCATCTCGGCGGAGTCTGCTTCCTACATCCAGTCCCAGATGCCTTTGCTCACGTCGATCATCATGCACCGGGGTGTCCTGCGCATGATACGCGAGATGACTACGGAGGATTTCCCTAGGAGTCTAAATGAGGAATTCCACCACCAAATGCCGGCACCGCATGACCAAACTATGCTTGGGAACTTGGGGAGTCACATGTGCTCCGAAGAGTGTCCGTTCTTCCGTGATCCAACTCATCCTGGATCGATGGCTGGCATGAATACCCAGGCTTTTTCTCCACCTGAGAACCGGATTAGCAGTGCTTATGGCATTGACGATGAGACGCTCATGTTTCCACTCCTCTTTGGCTCGGCGGAATTTTGATTTCGGTAGAGTGCTATATTCTCTTCATACATACAGGAATAGTAGGCCGCTTATGCGGCCTTGTCATGTCTTTCTGGTAGTCTTTTTAGATGTCTTTTTAGTATGTAGATATTTTCGCCCTTATTGGTATTGTAGCTAGAATATAGGCGGTAAAAAAAAGGCTTAAAACGTGCAAACCGACTTTTCCATGTATAACTCTTGACTTGTTATAGACTTGGCGTAAAAACGGAGTTAGATGAAACGTCTTGATAAGTGAACATGAAGTAAGATTGGAGTATAATACACAGAAGACCCAATATGCAAATTGAAAAAGAGACCGCACCCAAATTAGAAAGTTGTGGCCATCATTTCCACCATAAGAAACGAGATAGTGTACAAAGATGGCACAAATTCCGCGGTGCCCAAAAAACCGTCCATCGCTCTTCAGGATAGTGATACAAGCGCCTGTCCATTCCGTCGGAATGCAAGGTCGTCCAAACTGCTCTACCGAGCGTACGACTGGGTGCTTCGAGAAGATGTGCGAGGCTTGGTCATTGCGTCAATGTCCAGGGTTTCGATTTTGTTCCTGATTTCCAGCCTGTGGTCCCTCATCCATTTGCCCAATTTTGGGGGCTCAGGAACGCCGAAGGCCTTGCGCTGCTTTGCAAATCTCTCCTTGATCGTCGGGGTCTCCATAATCTGGTGTCGAAGGTTCCATCCGAAAGGACCGAGCTCCTTGAGGCGTGTTGGCCGATCAGAAAGCAGATAGTTGTCTAGGCCCTTGGCCTTGTAGATTGATCGCAAGGCGCGACGAGTGACCTTGATAAACACAGACTCGCCAAGAGCCTCGCTTTCGATCTTCTTTCGGCGCACATTGGGCTTCCAGCTTCGTCGCGTTTTGCCTGCGTTGCGTCCCTTAGAGATCTTGTTACCGAATCGGATCGAAGCGCCTCCATAGAGACCGGAGTCTGCCTGCTTGTACCATTGGGATGGTCCGTAGGGGTAGACGGGGGCGGTTTCCGGTAGTTTCGGAACCGATTGTGTTGCCGGCGTTGTTGAGAAGGATCGCTTCGGTGTGGCGATGGAAAGACTGCGGAAGGCCGAGGCCAAAGAGAAGGGGGCGGCCATTGCTGATCTTGCGTGTAGGCCTGCCATTGTGTTCGACAGGTATCGGACCCTCGCAGAGTGTCAAAAATGCAAAGAGCCAGAAAGTCGTTAATAGACAACAGGCGGAGGAGAGGTCTAACAGGGAAGAATTTGGGGCAGTACACCGCCCTGGGGGCGGCGTTCTCATTCGACGATCCCTTGCTCGCGAATTTCGGCCAGAAGCATATCTCACAGAGAACCATCGCGTTACCTTTCTTTTCTATCTAGGCTATTTCTTTGAAGCTTTGATTTATTTTTACTTCCTTCTTTTCAACCGATTGACTCATCTTTCGTTAATACCCGTGGCTCTACTCGGCTACACCTCTTCCAAACATGGTCCAGATTAGTGAAGTGAAGGGTAACTCGCGCGAGAACAGGACAGCAGCGCATACGCACATTCGGGGTCTTGGATTGCGCTCTGATGGAACTCCGGAGAACAACGCCGATGGATTTGTGGGACAAGGAGCTGCCCGTGAGGTGAGTGGATAACGACGCTGAATCTACCAGGATATCTGGTTTGCAGTAATGATAACTAACGTTTCAAATCATGGGGCAGGCATGCGGTGTTGTGGTGGACTTGATTAAGTCAAAGAAGATGGCTGGACGGGCTGTCCTGCTTGCTGGTGGCCCTGGTACCGGAAAGACTGCTCTGGCTCTTGCTGTATCGCAGGAGCTGGGAACCAAGGTTCCTTTCTGCCCGATTGTTGGCAGTGAAATCTATTCTGCAGAGGTCAAGAAGACCGAAGCATTGATGGAGAACTTCCGGAGAGCTATTGGTATGCAATGCGACAATAGGGAAAGCGCAACAAGCGTGGAAATTCAAGCTAACGTATGACAGGCCTCCGTGTTCGCGAAACAAAGGAAGTTTATGAGGGAGAGGTGACAGAGCTTACCCCCGAGGAGGCCGAGAACCCTCTGGGTGGATACGGGCGCACAATTAGCCATCTGATCATTGGATTGAAGTCCGCTAAGGGCTCCAAGAAGCTGCGCCTGGACCCCAGCATCTACGAAGCCATCCAGAAGGAGCGTGTCACAGTCGGAGATGTCATCTACATTGAAGCCAACACCGGCTCATGCAAGCGAGTCGGGCGATCCGATGCCTATGCGACCGAATTCGATCTCGAGGCTGAGGAGTATGTGCCTGTCCCCAAAGGCGAGGTTCACAAGAAGAAGGAGATTGTTCAGGATGTGACCCTTCACGACCTGGATATGGCCAACGCCCGCCCCCAGGGCGGACAAGATGTGATGAGTATGATGGGCCAGCTCATGAAGCCCAAGAAGACGGAAATCACGGACAAGCTGCGCCAGGAAATCAACAAGGTTGTCAACCGGTACATTGACCAGGGTGTCGCGGAGTTGGTTCCCGGTGTTCTCTTCATCGACGAGGTACGTGGAGAAGTTTATCCTGTGAATTATTAGATCACATCTCTAACCCGGTTTTTCTCTAGGTGCACATGCTCGACATTGAGTGCTTCACATATCTGAACCGTGCCCTTGAATCGAGCATCTCCCCGATCGTCATCCTCGCATCCAACCGCGGTCACACCGTTATCCGCGGTACCCACGAAATCAGTGCCGCACACGGTATTCCCCCTGATCTGCTTGCCCGCCTTCTTATCATCCCCACCAACCCCTACGCCCCCGAGGAGATCAAGACTATCATCCGGCTGCGCGCCAAGGTTGAAGGCCTCAATATCACAGAACCTGCGTTGAACAAGGTCTCTGAGCATGGCAGCAAGGTCAGCTTGCGGTATGCCCTGCAGCTGTTGACCCCCGCAAGCATTCTCTCGCGCGTCAACGGCCGCCCCGGCGCAATCGAGGAGGCTGATATTGCTGAGTGCGAGGACCTCTTCCTGGATGCGAAGCGCAGCGCAATCATTGTGGATCAAGATAGCAAGAATTTCCTGTCATAAATGGCTATGAGGCTTGAGAAAGTTCCATGATCTTGTATACCAAAGGGGTATCTTGGATGTTTATTGAAAAGGCGAATTGTTTTGTGTGGGCCTGGTGTTACGCTAATGCTATGTATCAAATTCTATTTCCAAATTATTGCAACTTCTAGAAGATTAATGGTTGTAGATCTAAAATAGAGTGTATAGATGTCATATGCATGTCGCAAATGCAACCCCGGCTTAGATGAATCACGTGCATCTCACCGTCACCCGTTCCTGTTCCAGCATTTGTTCCTATCGGCACCTTTGGTTATTTTCACTATTTTCTCTTTGTATTCCCTAGTACTTCGGAAAAGCCAGGCTACATCGTTTGCAAAGCGAAGCCACCCTAACAAGATCCGTTGACCGAACCGCCACTCAGCACTATTGAACAGCGTCACCCGCCCCAGATAAAGGTGGAGCCTACATCAACACATCAACCACCACTGCAGACAGCCGATCTTCACTTCCACCTAAGCTAGAACACATATCATACAACCACCATGTCAAACCCACTGAACACAGACACCGGCTCGGAGATGTTCGCCAGCTACGAGAACGAGTTGAAGCTGGTGCAAGCCGATCTGAACCAGAAGCTGGACCAGATCGCCGAGGCAAGCGGCGAGCAACGGAAAGCAGAAATCGGCAACGCAACACGAGTCCTCGAAGAAGCAACAGAACTTGTGAGTCCACCGAGCCCCTTAACCGCTTTTCATGCGCCTCAATGCGAGAGCAACGAACAACCGCAAGAACAAGAGATACTAACCCAATTAATCCTCATCTAGCTCGACCAACTGCGCATGCAGAAGCAGAACATCCCCTCAGCAGCCCGGTCAAAAGTCAACATCCGCTTCCGCAACTACTCAACCGACATTGACGAGATCAAGCGCAAGCTCAAGTCCCTCTCGGATGACCGGCAAGCACTATTCGGCGACCGGTACACCGACGAGCCGCAGGATGAGCACCTCGAACAAAGACAGCAGTTGCTTTCCGGTACGGACCGGCTAGAGCGCAGCTCGGCGCGGCTTCAACAGAGTCAGCGCATGGCGCTGGAGACGGAGGATGTTGCTCGCGGCACGCTCGGTACCTTGTATGAGCAGAGGGAGCAGATCTCGAATGCTCGGAATAACTTGCAGCAGAGTGAGGGTTACGTTGATACTAGTATCAAGACTTTGAGGGGCATGGCTCGTAGGTACTGACTCCCCTTTGTCTCGTTCTGATCTCGATCTAGACGTGGTTGCTGACTTCTCGTGTCTTGTTTAGGATGGCTACCAATCGGATGATCACTATTGCTATCATTACGGTTCTGGTTCTTCTGATTTTCGCTGTCATTTACAGCAAGTTCCATTAGCGGTTGGGTTTCGCGCTGGCGTTTGTATACTCGGTCTTATGTTTCATATCCTTTTATTTTCTGCTTTTACGTCTACACTAGCAAGACTATTCTCTCCCGCGCGCGCATCTTTGCCATTATGTATGATAGCATCCGGCGAGTCTTGATACAGCTAGACCAAGTCTTTGGTCCAAGCAATCCCGGTCTCTAATACAACGGTTAACAGCCCAAATAAGTCCCCAAGTCTTTTTTAGAAAGTACCAAATAGCTTCAATTGGGGGGTATCTCATAACGCCAAAGAACAAAAGAGAGAAAGTCGCATATCTCAACAACCTTAGTTCATAATCCTCATCGCCCCAAAAACAGCATTAACAATAACACCCACACAAACAGCAACCCCCTTCCTCCAACTCCAAACCCCCTCCTCTCTGCGCAACCACATCGCACAACCAACAGGCCAAAAGAATCCCATAACAGCCCCCCAAAGCATATCATCCATGGCCCCACGCGACCCAGATCCAATCCCACCCTCATCATCCCCAACCCCACCCTCCCCACCAAGACCCTGCACCTGCGCCGCCGTCGACCCCTCGTCCATCCAGCGGTCCTCAAGATCCCGCAGCTGGTCGCCAGTAGGCATAGTATCCGGCGTCCGGGAGACAGACTGCATGGCCAGGAACTGGGAGCGCAGAGCGGTGACCTCCGCCGCCGTGAAGCCCGCTGAGAGGAGACGGTCGAAGCCGCGGGGTGCTGGTGTGGTGGTGGTTGACTGGGGCTGGGGGTGGCGGGGCAGTTGTGCAGATGTTGGGAGTAGAGATGAGACATCCTTGGCGGTGGATTTCTTGCCTAACTTGGTTTGCTGCTGCTTCTGTTGCAGAAGGACTGTTGATGACACGCTTGCTTCGCTGGCTAGGTCTGCTTCTGAGAGGGCGACGTCGCCGATCGAGCAGTGGATGTAGAGACGTAGGCGGGTATCGCGCACCACCTGCTTGCCTTTTCCATTGTCGTCTGATGTCTCGGGTTGGTCTGCTGCGGGGCGAGGGCTCCGGCTTGGTGATGGCGGGAGCTTTAGTGAGACTGTTATTGCGGTTGTGTCTTCGAGACCGCGGCCAGCGTAGATGAGGCGCAGGCGATGGGATGACAGGGGTTTAGGGAGTTCGGCTCGGATTAGCTGCTTTAGCCCTGCGCCTGTTGTGGTCTCGGGCTCTGGGACGTCTAGTTGGAGATCGGGGATTGAGGCGGAGAAGCGGACGGTGATGAGGAGCGGGTCGGTGTCTGGTTCGCCTACTGCGTATGGAGAGAGGAAGGGTGAGGCCATGTTTTAGGTAGGGGGTAATATTGTGCTTTTATGTGGAATGGATAGAGGCCGCTCTATACAAGCAATGACTCGTATGTTTCAAGTTGGAGATGCGGCGCTTACCCCATTCCGGCCCCGGGAGCCTCGGACCATATCCCGTCAGGTGATACATTCTCGACAACAACTGTATACTATGGGGTTTCTACAACCCTAGAATGCTAATAATAGGAAGGAAAGAAAGATAAAGCATCGAGGAAGCAGGTTTATAGTAAATGTTTATGAATTTTTTGAGGTAAGTAACTATATCACATGTCATCATCAATGTCCTTTGGACTAATCTATACACAAAGACATCACATGGTTGATCTTGCAAGGGTTCGAAAGAATGTCTCCGTAGACAAAGAAAAAGAATCAACAGTTTATTGGCCGAGCCTCTAGCCTGTCTCTTGACATGGCCCGCCAACTTGGGAGTCCACAGGCCCACAGTGACCATGAGACACAGTAGAAAAATGCAGAAAGAAGGAAAGTAGATAAAGGTATCAACTGGATATCAAGCGTATGTACTCAAACAAAAGGGTAGTCGTGGAATGTCCAAACCCCCTTTGAAAACGCCGTCCGATGCACCGAGAAGAAAGACGCCGAGAAATTCCCGTATAAGAAAATATCAAAAGGAATGCTTAAGCTGTGCACTCAAGCTGTGTGCTTAAACCATGAAAGATTCGCCGCAGCCACATTCTTCCTCTGTAATCATGAGTCAGTAAACCGAATCTAAGAAGATGCTGGAATTTTTGGAGGGGCCACATACTGATATTAGGGTTGCGGAAAACAAATCGTCTGCTCAGCTTATCTTCTTGCCAGTCCATTTCACTGCCGATAATACTAAACAGAGCCTTGCTGTCGATCAAGACCTTCACGCCGTCCTGCTCGACTACCTCATCGAATTTTCCTGGCTTCTCCACGTACTCCAGGTGATAGGCGAGACCCGAGCAGCCACGGTTCTTTACACCAACTCGAATGAACTTCGGCTCCGGCTGTGCCATCAATTTCCGAAGTTCCTCGATGGCCACCGAGGACAATTTCATGGCTGCCTTTCTTGCCCGAAGCGGCCGACGGGGCTTCGGGGAAGTCTTGGAGGCGGACGGAGAAGCGGAAGTCGGTTTCGATTTCTGCGCTTCGCCTTCCCGTAGGCTCACATTGGACAATGTGCTTTGTGATGTGTTCTGGTATGATTTCATGTCGGAAGGAGGGAATTCAGCTGAAATAGAAGTGTCGGCGCCGCCGGTGCTTCGAGGAGGCGGGAAGGAGGATGGGAGCGAGTGAGGACGGTAGGCGGTTGCGGTTTGCATATCCCGCTTGGAGGATAGGTGAGCGTTTCCATATGATGAGAAAGTGCGCAGGCGTCCTGCCGAGGGCTTTGCCCATCGGAGGAGTGTGGCGGATGATGTCACAGGACGTTGCATGGCGGTAGAGAAGCTCATGGTCGAGGAGCAATCGATGTGAAATGGGAGTGAACCTCGACGAAAATTGCTATTGGGTCATAGGATATTGTGTGAGAAAGATGGTTGAAGGATTGATTAATAAAGTTGAGAAGAAGAATCTCTGACTGTTTTGAGGATTCCCCCGTGGCCCCGAGTTAATTACGTAAGGCAGTTGCATGACGCAGATCTAGCCAATAAGCGTCGAGTAATTTCTACACATCAGCAGTTGTAGCAGTGGCGCCATTTCCTCGATTTAGTAGGTTATTTGGTAATTATAGACTAATTAAAGGAGACGCTTATTTGAGAGACCAGCTGATTCTTTTTTGCCCTATTTAATTCGACTATCTAGGTAGAATGACCAAATCCCAACTCAGAACAAATTGATTCCCAATGTTGTCATCCAATGCGTTTTTCGGAAGCTGAGTCATCCCCAGACCGCGGAGAATTCCGTTCCTCGGAGGGGACCTCGCTCACCCCTCATGAGGATGCCACACCTCCAAATGCAGCTAAGTGGCGGGGAATAGTATCAAAATGTAGATTATGGGTTGTATAGATCCACCGGTTTAATATACAAATATACTGAAAATTGTTCCTCTTTTAATTATCCCACAGTGTAAACACATTGCCAAGTGTAGAGGACATGTGGCTGGATCGGCTGACAAAGTGGCTGGTGTCCCTTTTTCATGAACCTCGAAGCAATTGAATCAACTCGACTTTAAATTAACCTTACTATTTTTGTTCCCGAGGTCCAATGCTGGCGATCTAACCGTTGCAGATCATCCTGTCTAATATCATGGACGCCTCACCCCTTACCCAGCAGAGTAGACCCGAGTCCTTCAAACCTAAGATTGTCCAGCTCTATGAGAATCTCTTCAAAGTACGGACATAAAGCCATGTTTATGTGATATTGCTAACATAAACCTGATAGGCAGCAGATGATGCAGACCCCTCGGAGGGCTTTTGGAGAGAACTCTTCTTGCTACCTCCAGACCGGATCCAACTGCATGCTATCCTAGACAATTTGAGCCCAGACGATACAATCGATCTACAGGTAAGCCGTGATACAGAAAGAATCCCAGAAAATAAACTCAAACAGCTGATGCAATCACTAGATCCAAACTCGACGGTTCTTTGTCCGTGCCATTCGCGAGGCAGCAGCTGGGGTCGCCCCGGCGGATTCTTATGCACTAGATGTAAGAACCCCGTGATCAATATCCGGGGCATATTCGCTAACCTTGTTTCACAGACATTGAGTGTTTTCTTGACGAGCATTCTGAGCAAGAAATACACAAACCCAAGTTCGGATGTCATCACTGTTCTTGCAGGACTCGACGAAGTGGACCATGTCATTTCCGACTTCGTGGCCATCTTGGACAGAATCATTCGTAATGGTAGTAACTGTAAGTCTTTGTCTATTCTGCTCTTAACCGATATCATGGTAGTTGATCCTAACTTTTCTAGTCGATGTGCGGCTCAAGGCTATCAAGACGGCCATTGCCATTACCAGCGGAGCATACAAAACTAGCCTGGTCTCCTATCTTACACACAGGGATCTTTTCCCCTCGCTTATGAAGGTTTGATTTATCATATTGCTTCTATGTATGAAAATAACTGACATTTGCCAATAGTATGTTTCTGATTCTGATACCCCCCTGCAAGTGTTCGACCCATTCCTCCTTCTGGGGCTATTGGCCAACTACAACAAGTTTGAATTCCAAAATCCCTACCAGCTTCGACTTGATGATTTCGTGAATGAGTCAAGTATTGAAAAAGTTGCCAAGGGTGTCGGTCTGGCCTGTAATCGCCTGCGAAATGGCTACATTGCTGTCCAGGATGATATTCCAGAAGGCTGGAGCTTGACCAACACATTGATTTTCTTTGGACTACGAGCGCTCGCTCCTGGCGCCAGAGACAAAGCGAACCCTCCTTCGGCGGAAGAGGCGAAGGCATTGTTCGCTGATCTGTAAGTTCTCTGCGCGGAGAATCCATTGATTCGAAACTAACAATTCTGGCAGCCCGGCACAAGAAGCCGCAATTCTAATGGCCACATACGACTTCACAAACGCCAATAAGCTCTTTGGTTACCATTTGGTTCATCTAAAACCAGAAAGCAACGAGGAAGAATCCCCTTTCTCAAGCTTCCTCTCATTGTCCTCTTATCTTCTCCAACATGCATATCGATCCCCGCGGGTCGGGCACTATGCCGAACTAAACCTGTTTACACTTCGCATCCTGGTCGAAGACCCGACCATCTGCAAGCAAATTTGTAGCGAAGATGTCAAGCGAAAGGTCCGCATTTGTCGACAAAAACAACCCTATCTCCCCCTAGTCAGCGGAGACCGGGTCGTCGCAACCGTCATCTTTGATATCGCCATCGATACTATTACGCACAACCTTCGCCGGCGCCTCGACGTCAACATCTACATGTATGCAACAACCATCCACTGTATTCATTAGCCGTGCATACATTACTAACAATTCTTCCAGCCACACAATCGCAATCACCCTCCGCCTCCTAACCTATCTCTCAAAGAACAAGATCCGCCTCGCCTACCACTGGTCCGAGCTCTGGCGGACTCTTCTCTCCCTCATGCGCTTCCTAACAACCTACGCCTCCGATCTAACCAGCAACCCCAAGATCCAAACCCTCACGACCTCCCTCGCAGACTTAATCGCATTCTGCGTCTCAGGCGGTGACACATTCCTCCCAGACCCAGCCTCCTACGACGACCTCTTCTACAAGCTCGTCGAAACAGGACCCATCATCTCCAAATTCCGCAATGCATACTCATTGTCCCGCTCCTGTAACGCAGCATCAGCCGCTTCAGCCTCCTCCAAACCAGTCGATGCAATGTCCCAAGCCAACGAACTGCATTCAGCAGCCATCGACACCCTCCAATCCGTGTCTACTCACTTCTACACCCTCCTCTTCCATTCGGAGGGCGCGGGCGCCATTGCTGCTACTGCCGCTAGTCCTAAAGCCGATGAGCCTGCGCCGGTGGCGTTGCCGTCGATCAGGAAGAAGAATCTCTCCCCGCGTGAGGTCCACCGTATCATTAAGCAGGGCTATGATACGCTGAGTATTCAGCCGCCTGAGGGTTTGAGTGCTTGGGCTAAGTGGCGTGAGGCGGAGTGGAAGAGTGAGTTGAAGCGTGCGGCGCGGTGGGCTGTTGATGATGCAAGGCAACTGGTTGCTTAGGTGTCGGCTTGTGGGGTTCCTTTTTTCTTTTTTCTATTTTTATGAGATCTTGGATTTTGATCTGGATCCAAAATGTTTGTGGGTGGTGCTGTGAAAGGGTAGATCACTGGGTAGTAGTGGTGCTATTGAGTTTTCTATTAAGATATCCAGTTGAGAATTCACATTTTCTGCCTTCTCAGTATCGAGTCATTATTGCATTGTATCCATGATAACTACAAGGTAATAGCATAGAGATGTCAGTGTTTGCTCTCTCTACTACCTATACAGGTCGTGACTTTTCAATCCCACGAAAACCCTAGAATACTCTACGTCCTCTTGGAGACTAAGAAATAGCCAAACAACGTATTTTGTATTCCAGGCCTTCCCAGGCCCGCGCTTCTCGAATCGAAATTTAAAAAAAAATAAAAAAAACAAGTTGCTGCTGGAAGGGTGGCCCCCCCACCCCCAACGAAGGCAACAAAAAAGAGACACAAACCCCTTCCCCTTCCCCTCCCCCTCCCCCCCAAAGAAAAACTTCATCCCGCACTCAGTGAGTGCTCTCCGCCAGCTGGTAGCTGGTAGCGAAGTACTTCTCGGAGTTCTTGCTCAGCCACATGGACAGCTTCGAGATCTCCTCTCGCAGGCGGTTGGTGGCCTGCATATCCATGTTAGTCTGAGCAATCAACTCAGGCATGGTGCCTACACGAACGCAGTAATTAGCACAGTTCCCAATCACAGTTGAACCGAAAGTAAGGAGCCGGAACGGGATACATACTGAACAAGCGGATCAGGTGCTCCGCTCCGTAGACATCGATGGGGCCCTTGTCGGCCAGGTCCCCGGTGGCAGCCTCGAACTTCTTACGCAGCCCGCGGTACTGGGGGCGCTCGTGGCGGTAGAGAAGGATCTTGTCCAGACACTTGTCGAAGTACTCCTGGATCCCGGCAACCACTTCCTCCAGCACGTCCTCGTCTGCCGACGAGCCCGACCGCTTTGGAAGCTCTTCCTCGTGCCAGTCCTGCAGGATCTGGCGGACGGGGTACTTCGCTGGCAGAGAGGTGACGCACTGGTTCTTAGTTACCTGCTCCCAGTCATCGACAAGTAGGGACTTCAGGTTGTCTGGCATGATGATCCGGACTGAGGGGCGGATGTTGAAGCTCTCCTCCTGTTGCAGATTGTTAGGATGCGGTCATAAATGTTATATAGTTCTTTTGTGTTTTTTTTTTCTTGGTTTTGATTTCCATTGCACCAAATTTGGTCGATGTGTTAATTGCATACCTTTTCGATTTCACTATCACGGGCTCGCTTGGTGCCACGGCCGGGCACGGAGCCGCGCTCCTCGCTGTCCCGCACAGAGTCACGGTCGGAACCGGCACGCTTCTTAGCAGTGACCTTGGTATTTTTCAGGCGGAAAGAAGCTTCAGCTTCGCGACGCAGATTGTTGGCCAATTCGCGGTTGTCTTCGGTGTGCTTGCGAAGACGGTCCTCCAGAACCCAGTCATCCCAACTGTTCGAATGTTAGCAAATTGTTCAATGATAATGATCTTGCACGTATTGATTTCTAGAAACATGTGCAGTAGAAAAGAACAGGAGTTCATGCATAACAGCGTGCATAGATCAAGGTCAAGTCTTCCGTGATGGCCCGGACAAACTTTCCAAGGTTGGAGGGGAACAATCTCAACATCGCAGCCAGGATGTAGATAAACAGCGGGGAAAAAGAAACAAGCCAGACTTACGTATTCTTCCAGCCCTTGTAGTGGACTTGGTATTCAAAGGGGCTCTTCTTGTCGCTGGAGTCCTTGTGGCGAACATCCAGGATCTTGGCATCGTAAAGGATCTCATGGTGGAAGCAAAGGACCTTCTCGTCCTTACTATACATAGAAATAGGAGCCATTTTGTCGGGAAAAAAGTAGAAGATGGGCGTGTAGAAGTTTGTATGACAGATTGCAGACCTTCAAGGTTGAAGGTGTAGAGGAGTTGTCAAGATGTCTCCTGTCTTGCGGGAAAAGGGTGTGATACAGGCGGCAACAGCCACGATCAGAAGAACCTTGGAAGCCTTCAAAGACTCCAATGGATTGTAACACTGCAAATAGATCTTGCAGGCTTGAGCAAAGACAGGCAGTGAGGAAGATGCACAAATGGCAGTACAAGATGGTTTTTGACAGCAAATTTCTTTCAGCAAAGTGGAAGAAGCTGCAAGAAGGAACAAGATTAGATCAGACGAGAGACCAGCTCAAGAATAGTAGAAAGAATCAAGATTTTAATAAGAGAGAATGGGGTTGAGACAAGTTGGCGATGTAGATGTAGTAGATGAAGTAGAGTGGAAGAAGAAGGAAAACAAGCGAGGATGAGTGGCCCCTTGGAAGAAAATAGGCGCGGGCAGCTTATTGTCACCTTCACATTTACAACTATTCATACAAACTTCTATTTATTACAATAGGAACTATTCTGGATTCAATTACATTCTTCTATTCATTCTATTTCTTCATATTCTTTGTTCACGTGAGTATTGTCAACTTCGGTTCGCGTCAAACGGGAGAACTACACTCCTACACTCAGTGAGGGAAAAGAAGAAAAACTATACTCCGCATATTTGTGTGTACTACACTACATTACACATCCATCATGCCTCCCTCCGAGGAGTCCATCCTAAGCAATTTCCTGCTATCTCCAGCCCCGCTACCAACAGTCATGTCACTGCAAAAGTTCACAGAGCTCTTCCCAAAGCGCCTGAGAGCCCATCCACACATCAGGACTTTGTATCGGGAGCTGCAACAGGTCCGAGAACAGGACATGGACCGAGTCAATGAAAGCATCGACAACGAGATCAAGCAAGGTGAAAAGCAGAGAGCAGAGCTCCGAAAAGCCATCCTAGCCCCTGGAGTCGAAGCCTCAAGTTCTGAAGAGCAGCGCGAAATGGACATGGATCTGCATCTGTTCGGCCAGCCACCTAGTGCTGCACCGGGAGATTATCACTCGGTGGCTAGTCTCCTGGCTGAAATGGAGACGGCTAGCGCTAATATCGAGCATGAAATTGCTGGTATTGACCAAGAGGCTGCGCAGGTTTTGGCTCAGCTCAATACGACTGTTGGTGATATGAGTGATCTCCGTTACGGCAAATTACAGGGTCCAGCTGGGACTGCTGAAGATGTGGCTGGTGAGGCGATCAAGGGCCTACAGAACCTCGAAGATGTTTGCTATAAGAGTAGCACTTCTTGAGAGTTATGATTCTGGCTCATTGTGCCTTGTGCCTTGTGCTCATTTGCTATTTGCAATTGAGTAAATACCCCTGAACTATTGGTACGTGGTTTTAATGTTGATTCTAGCAATTCAAAGAACTTAGCTGACATATTAATATGCAGATAAAACGCAAAATATCACGGGCGCTTTGATATCTGAATCTGATTTCGAGGGTTGTCTGGCAGTTTGCGCAGGTATCGAGCTCTACGTTCTAATTTTGAGCGCATGGTTTCTGTGTTGTCACCCCTTTCTACCTCCAGAGCTATGCTGCAGAGTCAACCAAGATAATAACTGCTCTTTTGCAACGACACGAAACTCGTCCTCTTGGAAAGGCACTCTACCACTCCCTTATGACGGCCGTGGCCTTGGAAGAATGCTTCTATTACGCCAAAGCTCATGTCAACCAGCCACGCTTAAGCCCAAAGTTATGTATGTAGCACACCTACATCAATTGTTACCTTTGCAATGTATTAGCACCGAATCACTTGATTCCTGGCTTTGGACCAAGTGTTGACTTATGCCTTTTCCCGAGACAAGAGAACAAACATAATGGACTATTCAGAATCCTTGTATCTAAATCCATGTATATACTCTTAATCCTACAAGTCTACAGATAATAATAATAAAATTCATTCTGTGGTCGTAATTCCATCTACAGTAATTGCCCATTTCTCGCGATAAGAAGTGTGGGGAAATAACCCAACGCGTGCCGCGTTCGGGTTTTCCTCCTCCAACTCCAATTGAACAGACTACATCATGCCCTCCATAAAGCTACAACCACACTGCTCAAGCCCGTCAAAAGCGACTGCAATCGCCTCAACGCCGAATAATCCCCTCCCAGCGCTCCTTCAAACACCCTCGGGCCTAGCCATTCTCGAGCTCCAGGGCACAATCAATGTCCCCTCAGGGAACGAAGAGGAGGACATAGACTACTCCTCATCTACGGACAATCCGGCCTCCACCTTCGAAACTCCGATCGGAAAACTCATGTTCCCAGACTACTCGGTCCATAACCCAGACGACACAAAATGGATGAAGCGCGCTTACATGTATGTCGGCCGGTACCAGCGGATGACCGGAGAAGTTAAGAAGCTGCCACGGCCGATTGCCGTGCTACAGAAACGTCAGGCGTCGGAGGGCGAGGAACTGGAGGTTGCGGAGATTGTGCGCTATAAGATCTTCTTCAAGAGTCGGCCGGAGCCTGTGACCAATGTTTGATTGGGCTGGGTTGGAGGTTTCATTAGAATCAATGGGATAAACTGGCGAGATGGGATCTTCTGGAGATGGCATATGTTGTGTACAACATATACTGGAGCCGCAGGACTTGGATGAAAGGTCATGACATGCATGGCCAGCCCAACTGAACATGGCCTCGCGCTTTGCTACGGAGAACAGCGGCTTCTCTCTACGGCATTGACCTCGTTGTTGTGCAAAAACATCAATTCGGCTTCTGCTGGTATACCGGCCTGGATTCGAACCTTCCAAGGCCAAACAAGGACAAAGCTCTGTTTTACCTCAAGGCCAACAGCCCGCACAGACAGCAGAAGGAATTACCCAGTCTGCATGAATGGATGACTTCAGCATTGCCTCATACATTTATCTTAGATAGCCCATCTCCCTCTATTGATCCGGAGATGCGGGCTTGGAATGTGACACGTCTGGGCAGGGTTCCCCTCACCAGCATTCTATTTTTCTCCCGAACCTGACACAGTTGTCTTCAAGATCACTCATAAATAACTTGACCGCAACTTATACCGGCGCCAAGGGCTGGCGGAGGGATGACATGTTTCTCGGTCCACACCGACACCGACACCATCACCAACGCAGCCACAATCAACAGCACCAACCATGGCCGTCCCGGAAAATGAAGATATCTTTCCCACGAAGATGGGGCCCGAATACGTCGGCTTCGATCACATCCATTGGTACGTCGGCAACCCCAAACAAGCCGCTTCGTACTGGATCACTCGCATGGGCTTCCGCCCCATTGCATACCGCGGCCCGGAAACCGGCTCTCCCTATCTCGTGAGCTATGTTGTAGCCAACAGCGGCGCTACTTTCGTTCTCACGGGGCCAGTTTGTGGCCCGCCGAACGAAGGCTCAGACGACGGTCTCTTGCGCCAGGCTTCGAATTATGAGCGGACGACGTTGGCTGAGATCCATAAACACTTGACCATACACGGCGATGGAGTGAAGGATGTCGCATTCAGGATCGCGGGCGATATACAAGCTGTGTGGAAGCGGGCTGTTGGGAACGGTGCTCGCGCCATCGCCGAACCGCGGACGTCTGCTGTCGAGGGGCATGGATGGATCGTCTCTGCAACTGTTGGGACGTACGGGGATACCGTACATTCTCTGGTGAATCGTGAGCGGTATTCGGCAGGCGCTCCCTTCTTGCCTGGGTATCGATTGGTTGATAGTGAAGATCCGATCACACAGCTTCTGCCGCCCATCAACCTTCTTGAGATTGACCACTGTGTCGGGAATCAGTCGTGGGGAGGAGTGGACAGCATTGTCCAATAGTGAGTAGAATCGTGGTCGTCCCTGTCGGAATTGTCACTCTAACAAATGAGCTTTAGTTATGAGGAATGCCTCGACTTCCATCGCTACTGGACAGTCGACGATAAAGACATGTGCAGCGAGTACTCGGCGATGCGATCGATTGTCATCGCTTCACCAAACGAAACCATCAAGATGCCTATGAACGAGCCCGCAACCGGCAAGAAGAAATCACAGATTGAAGAGTACGCAACCCGCCCCTGTTCTTTCTTTCTTTCTTTCTTTCTTTCTTTCTCGTCTCCTCTACTCCACCCACATAACAACCATTCTAACCCCCACAGATTCGTCGACTACTACCACGGCGCCGGAGTGCAACACATAGCCTTCCGCACGCACGACATCGTCGCTGCCGTAACTGGGCTCCAAGCGCGCGGTGTCCAGTTCCTCAATGTACCAGCTACATACTATGCGGGTCTGCGGAAACGCCTAACACAGGTGTCCTGGACGCTGGGAGCCGATGTAGACGTGCTCGAGCGGCTGAATATCTTGGTTGATTTCGACCAGCGCGGATACCTGCTTCAGATCTTCTCCAAGCATGTCGGGGATAGGCCGACGGTGTTTATAGAGGTCATACAGCGGAATTCGTTTGATGGGTTTGGGGCTGGGAATTTCAAGAGTTTGTTCGAGGCTTTTGAGAGGGAGCAGGCTCTGCGTGGGAATCTGTGATCACCGGTGGTTCCTTTTTGGGTCTTAAGAGCATGGAATGCTTGAATTGGTATGGGAGAGGAGCACCATGTCATATCCAATGTAAGGACTCTAGTCAATAGTCAATCTTCTGGGCATCATAAGTGATGATAAGTTCCTTCAGGCTTATGTTCCGTGCTTCTAGTGAACCATATAGTGAGCCATGTAGGTATACTATGCGTAGTTTGTCCCACAGCATCGTGACAATAGTGCAAAAATAATATACCGAGGGACTTAAATATCCATCCTAGGCGCCTATATAATCCCCATCATCCTTCAATACCAAATTCCGCACACCAAATACCCGGGCGGAAATCGCGCGCTCTCCAAACAACACCATTCCGCTCAACTCACAACCTATGCAAAGAGACCTCCAATTGAAGAGATAGATATAGAAGATACAGAAAATATAGAAGACTCTCAAGGTCAACACTAACTAGTCCAAGAAAAACCACGGATCAATTAAACAAATCTTGAATTAACGGGTCTACTCCGTTGCCTTCACCCCACAACCCGACGGAAGTATCAGGAACAATGACATCGCCTTAACCCCGCCATATAAAACCCTATAAACCCATATAAATATCCCCCTTAGCCCCGATATCCATGTCCCGACTCCTCACCCTCCACACCCTCAAAACAATGGCCCCAATCGAGCGAATCACCCTCTTCAAGATCCCCAACGAGGCGGATCGCAACCGCGTGCTGGAGCAGTACAAGGTTCTTGCGAAGACTGCTACAAAGGTGAGTGCATATTGTCTTTTCTATACTCAGTCCTGGTTCTGTGCAGTCTGCACTGTCCGGCCTACGTATATGTACTATGTTGTTATACCCAGCCATTCGGAGAAACGGGAGGGGGGTTCGGAACGAAACGTAATTGAACGGTTATTAACGGGTGTTTTTTTTTTCTTTGTTTAGGACGGGAAGCCCTATATCCTCGCTGCTGCTGTTGGGGCTTCGATCCCTGATCCTCGCAATAAGGGATACAACTTGTCTGTCAAGACGACTTTTGCTTCGATGGAGGATATGGAGTACTATGATAGCGAGTGTGAGGCGCATAAGGCTCTCAAGGCTTGTGCTGGGCCTGTTAAGGAGGATGTGTTGACGACTTACTATGAGAATATTTTGTAATGGATTTGAAAAATTGGAGATACGTATTGGGATTTGTGCATGTTTGAACTTCGTATAAAGAGAGTATAGGTAGAGATAAGGTAGAGCTGACACAGTAAGAGAACAAAGTCCATTGATGATGTACATTGCATACGTCTAGTACGCCCTGCCCGAGGATCGGAGATAGACATACACACTAAAGCAAATATAACTCAACAGGTAGTAAAACACCGATGCCTTCCAGAAATGGCATGCTGAGAGCTTGGGGAAGAGGTCGAGGTCGTAAAAGGGGCGCAAATCATAATATTGGCTGAAAACGGGGGAAAGCAACGGGGAGTAAATCAGGACAAAAGCAAAAGACCCGGCCCATAAGCATGGTGCAAATGCGCAAGGTAGGACGTGATCGCAGATCCTCGCCATCTCATCTGCGCATTCCAAATATACAGAACCGGATACTGTTATCCGGGGTCGAGAGGTGGAGTAGTAATAGGAGCAACGATGTAATCAGTCGAGGGCACGACGGAGGTCGCTCCATTTCTGGCGGAGGGTCTCGTGGTTCTCGGAAATCTGTTTGAGTTCGTCAGTCTCGGCGTCTCGCGCTGAATATTGAAAGGGAATATCTTACCTCTGCCCACTTCATTTTCGTGGCAACCAACTCCTTCTCCATGTCGGACATTGATTCTTCCATCGCACGGTTCTCGTTTTGCACCTCGATGTTCCGCTTCATGATCCGTTCCATTTCTAGGCGCAGCTTCTCCTCAACTTCGGCCGGTTGCTTGTCGACCACGTTCTTGAGTTCGCTGACCTGGAGTTCCAGCGCCTCGTTGAGGTCGCGCAGCTCCTCATTCTCAACCTTAACGTGAACCAGCTCAGAGGCCAATTGCACATGCTCCTTGTCTGATGCTTCGGCACGTTCCTCGAGAAGTCGGACACGCGCGCCCTGCGTGCTCACAGTGTGCCGCAGGTGCTCCAGCTCGACTTCACGCTCTTTCTCAGTTCGGGTCTTTTCCACCCATTCGGCGGTGTACGTGGCAAGCATCTCGGACGTGAGCGGAATGGCGCAGGCGTCCTGAACCATGATGTCGGATCGGTAGATCTCCTTATCAGAGGCACCGGAGCTTCCGAAGAAGCCTGACTCCAGGATTGACGAGGTGGATGGCTGCTTGTCAATGTAGGCGTCGAACAAACGCTCTTTCAAGAAATTAGTGAGCACACTCATGTCTTTCATTTCAAGCAACGCGTCTGCATTTCGTCGCATAATCGCAACACCGAATTTGAGGATGGTGGTCTCTAGTCCCTCTTCGAAAATCAGGTCGTAGATGCGAAGCACCAGTTGCAGCGGGAAACGATAGGCGAACAGGGTCAAGAACCACTGCGTGGCATAGAGCTGAGGAGGAACTCCACGGCGCCGGAGATGGCAGTAGAGAGCGGGTTCTAGGTCTTCTAGAAGTCGTTCGAATTGGTATAGGCTTCGGTGAAGCCCAGGCATATCCTGAATGAACATATCTCGTAGAGAGTACTTATTCATCAGCTTGACCATCATGGCGAAAGCATCGACTTCGTCCATCTGCGTAAAACGTTAGCCAATGAGCTCAATCAGCTTGATTGAGGGTATACTCACGTTGAACAGCAATGGCATAGCAATAAAGTTCATGCCTTGCGCGTATCCAACTCCCGGATCATACAAGGCGTATGCCTTACAGAGCCCAAAGAGGCCTTCCTGGCTACCCTGGGAAACAAAGTATTTCGCGTAGCTGGTGCGAGCACCCAGGTCTCGCCTGATGACCTTCTCCAATTTTTGCAGCGCAACAGCGTCTGTCTTTGCTTTCTTCACACGGTCGGTGTCATTGGAGGCATGTTCCTTTGACAACTTATCTGCGTCTCCTTCGCGAGATGGGCTAGGGGCAGCGCTGCTAGACCGTGATCCGGAACCCGAGTGGTGGGACCGCACTGAAGAGCGCGACGACGTAGTTTCAGTGCCAGTTCGTCCATCTTTGTCTTGCGCTGTGCCACGCGCCACGAGGTCTCGATAGATGTCCTCCAAATCAGCAGTCTGGCAATCCGCCAAAATTTGCCAAATCACTCCTCGGATCGTCTGAGGAATACCTCGTTTGATGGCAGCATTCAGTTCCTCTGAGCTTGCCAAGGCCTGGGGCCCATTATTCACAAGGTGTTGCCACATCTCCCAGTCCACCGGGGTGGAAGCATCAACTACAGAACCCGTTCTCCCAGGAGCAACGGTCATCGAAGGTGAAATAGCTCCCGATGCTGCCAAGATGCCCTCCTCTCCTTCCTCTGGGATGATCGGGGGGCTAGCTCCAGACTGGCTGATGCTGGCCTGGCCCGATCGCACGCTCGTCTGATCGAGCTCTGGCGCATGGCTCTCCTCACGCAGGCGCAGCATCTTGAACTGATCCTTCAGGCTATTGCGTCTCGGCTTCTTTGAACCGACACTCGAGACGTCGTCGCCATCACGAGCGATATGGTCTAGGTTGCTGCCAAGGGTCGATACGGAGGTGGCAGTGTTGCGTCGACTGGCAGAGTGGGGTGGGGATTTGATGTCCTTTGCAGTGGTCGAGGTTGAGCTTCGAGAGAACCACGCAAAGGGGCCACTAGGCTTTCGAGGCGGGGCTGGCTGAGGAATAGGTGGGTTCTTGTTCACTGGAGGAGCCGCCCATGGGATTGAGGGCAGGCCACCCGACAGACCCATCAGCCCGGCGCTTGCCGGAGGGGCTGAATCGTCCTTAGGAGGTAACGGAGGCGGTTCTGTTTTGTCCCCTGGACCCTGTGCCTTGTCTGTCGGCTCGTCTTCCTTGCTGTTCATCAGGTTCACCTCGTCGAGCGATGATGATGTTGATAAACGGTGGGACGTGAGTAGAGGTGACTTCTGCATTTGGCTCTGATCGTGGTCTTCTTCGTTCTTCTCTATCTCTGTCTGCGTAACCTCAGACCCTTGCTCCGGCTGGTCACCCTGGGTGGGCTCATCGGTCGCGATGTTCACCTCGTCCTTGGCGTCATAGTTATTCTCATCGTTGGTATCCGTTCCTTCATCCTGTTTCTTCCCCTTTCTCTTGTTCTTCTTTTTATTTTTCTTGTTATTCTGTCCGTCCTGCCCCTCGCCATCTTTGTCCTGCTCCTCGGCGGTCTCGGTCTTCTTCTCGTCCTGCGATTCAGAAGGGAACGGAGGTTTCTCCGTTGATTCCGGAGACATATGTGAGCCAATTGGAGGACTGTCGGTCAATGATCGGGTGGAAGTGGACTTGGGGATGGTGACGTTGAGGTTGTTGTTCTCCTGGATTTCGGCTGTTTCAAGGGCGTCGTCAAAAGACTCCTATTCAGATGGCGATAAGCTCTTGCCAAGGCAAGCTGGGGGTTTGGAAAGACTTCTAAATCACTTACCCCTTCGTATTCAGGACTGTGTTTAGGCGTAGACATGTCGGCCATAGCTGTTTAGATGACCTCACAACAATCAGAAGATGGAACACTCCATAGGATAAGAGAGCAGAGACTCGAAAGAGCTAAAAGACAAAATCGCAAGGGAGTGGAATTCGCGAAAAGGGAAAAAAGATGGAATGAGGAAGGAATTGAAGGGATTTGACGAGTTTCAAGTGATTGATTCCGATGGCCAGATACACTCGCCGCTGATTGGCGCCCCAGGGCGGAACCGACAGGTTGGAGACGTTGGGAATGCATTTGCATATTCTACGATGTATATATCCAAGCTAGAATTATAATTAGCCTATCTCGATGCATATCATATTTAGTATGCTTTAGAGAATGTCTTAATATGGTATTTTGGTCTTTCTAGGAATTTAATGTCTTATGGTGGCACTACATACTGCCCAGGTGAGCAAAGGGGTCAATAAACAGATAACCCAACGTATATGCATAGGCTGTAACTATCTATTTTCACAAGGTCTTCTCAAAATCAAGCCATCTTTCTCGTCGCAATGGATCCAGTTTCTTCAATTCTGAGAGCCAGCTCAGAATCTGGTCCCGATCCTCGGAAGACAAGCTGCCTTCCACCTTGGATGCGAGAAGGGTGCACTCAATTAATGCCTGGTAGATGTATTTGCAGTCTTCAGCTCCATCCAACATCTCCTGGATCTCTTCAATCTCATTTTTAATGTACTCCAGCCGGTCGGACGAGCTCAAATTGGGAGCCATAGTTCGTTCGGCCATCGACGGGTCAAACACACTCATCAGATTTTGGTGATAGAACCAAAGTGACTGATCATAAGGATCAATAAATGCCTGATGAATGAGGGATAGTTCTGAAAACGCAAATTAGCATAGGGCAGACTCCGATAAGACAGGTTAGACCAACCCTCATCCAACATTTTTCTCCGATCGTCATCGCTGGCAGATTGCTCATCCAAAAGGGATTGGATAAGCTTTGTCCGGTAATGCCACGCGGAGAAGTTGGAAAGATTAGCGCCAATCATCTTCTTGGCATATTCAAATTCCTTCTGGGTTATGCTTGTTGCTTCTTCGGCAGTGCCAAGTTCCTTCAAGGTCTCAACCACGAAGCGTCGATAACCCCACCCGTGGAAATTCCGGCTATCGAGAGTCAACATCTTACCCACAAGGGCAAGTTCTTGCTGCCAGATTTTCCGGGCCTCGGCAATGGGTAGTAGACGACGAGCCTCGTCCAACAGCCATAAACGATAGTTCCAGATCCAGTAGCACTTGGGGAAGCTCCGGAGAAGGGGAATCAGGAAATGTAAATCATTTATGATTAACTCTGTGACTGATTTGGCAGCAGTCTCGTCATCCGAACCCCCTACTTGGGAGAATTGATACTGCAGTACCTGCCGGCGGTAGTTCCAGGCTGTGTAGTATTCTGGATTGCTAGACAGTAGCTCCGAGATCTTCTTCAAGGTCTCGATTGTGTACTCATGCTCAGCCACCTGTCTGGTGTCAGACTCTGTTTGTAGGTGAGATCTACAAGATGACCAACCTTTTTGGATACCGAAAGCTCGAGATCCTTGTAATTTTCTATCTTCTGCAGCTCTTGCTGTCGTGCCTCGGCGGACTTCTCAACTGGTTTGTACCGTGGCACACCATGCTATTGTAATCGTCAGCCCCGAGCGGTACAGCCATGGGGAGTTAATCTCACACTGGGCATTTTCGATCTTTGTTTGACAATAAGCAATAAGTAAAATGTGTTACCTAGGTAGGTTGCTTCGTGTTGATCAAATGCCGCCCACTAGAATTATCTCATTGGTGCAATGAGGCGGTGGAGTAACTTATGTAACACCCCCGGCATTTGTATAGCTTCACGTGATCGGCACTCTTTCTACTTTGGGGACTTGTCTTTTGCTTCATCGTCTTCCTCGTCTTGCCTCTATGCCTTCCAAGAGAGGCCTCCTTATACATTCCTTTTCTTAGCTCTAGGTCATTACTCATATACAGCTTATCGACCTGCATCCAGGACAATGGTAGATATGCAACGTCACTCCTTCGAGGAAACCTCTACAGGTAGTCATAAACATCCATTGACTTCACACTCTCGATCCGAGTCTTCCAAGGACAGTGGACCTGTCCAATTGACTGAATTTGCAACCATCAATTTGCCATTCTTTGAAACACCTACTTCTCAATCATCATTGTCAAAGCCCAAGACCCGACCTGTTCTAACACCCGTCCCTCATTCCAAAGAAAATCGGGTCTCATCACCCAACAGAGGTCGCAGCAGAGTGAGAAACCCTGGAAATGCAGCAGTACCAAGAAGTTCCTTCCGAAGTCCGATGTCGCCTGACAGATTCATCCCAAAGCGAGACTTCGTGGAACCAACATCAACAACCTTTCGTGTGGCCAAGCATCCGCAGCGTCTTTCGCCTCAAGAGAGGCTACTTCGACGACATCCTCCCGGGGATGATCCATTTCTACCCTCAATCCCACGTAGGACTTATACTACCAACAGACCCCGGCAGCCAACTCGACTTCAGCAGATCCCACATCAACGGCCTCGTCTGGTCACTGAAGGCAATATCACAGGCAACAACGCTGCACACGAATCTTTGAGACAGGTCAGCTCTGGTGCAGTCTGGAACGTGGGTGGGGCCTCTGCAGTCCTCGGTGGTTCCCTTATTGCGGCTCCTGATGACACGCCGACCACTTCGACCAATGGATCATCAACTGCCCCAAATTTCGTGGCTCGGTTCTTACCCAAGAAACCAAAATACAGTGAACAAGAAATCCATGAGTCGAGGCTTGCGCTTGCTTTGGGAATTGACCCGACGACTAGACAGCTAGGTACTACTTGTCTGCGGTATCTGGATGCTCCCCTCGATCCAGCTTCTCCAGACTTCGAGCGCCTCTCCCCATTTGAATGGAAGGACAGTGCTTGGAAGAAAGTTGAAAAGGAGCGTTGTAAGTGCAACTGCAGTTTGCACCAGCCACTCCCCGACCCTACCTTTGGAATAAATTTACCATTTACAGACAAAACATATATGATATTTTAATCCAACTTTTGGAAATTGTGAGGGTGGCGGTATCCACAGCCTTTCCCAAGGCATCAACTGACTCAGATTGTTTCCCAGGGCCCATATCTCCTGCCAGAAAAGAGGTTGTCCCACCGAAGCCTTTTCGAATCCTTGATGCTCCCTTCCTTAGGGACGATTTTTACTGCAGCACTCTTGCATACTCAACAACATCTGGGATACTGGCTGTGGGCCTGGGCCATCAAGTATATCTCTGGTCTGAAGGACATGGAGTGGACTATCCCCCCTTTCCAGATCTGCACCCCTCAAACTATGTGACCTCCCTGTCGTTTTCTTCTGAGGATGGCGAGCGAAGCATTCTTGCAGTCGCCCGGCGGTCTGGTCAGTTGTCTCTATGGAGCACCTTCGAGAAGCAAGCCCGGTTTGAGATCAGCCATCCCAGTACCCTTACATGCGTGGCATTTAAGCCGAAAACATCACGGCGAGTTTCAGAACGGTTCATGCATGTGGTAGTCAACGTGGAAGAAATTGTTGTCGGTGATGACTTTGGAAATGTCTGGTACTATTCGGTCGAGTGGTCTGACCAGGAAGACCAAGCCAAATGGAAATGGAACGGGTCCATGACGCTTCTTGCCAAGATCTGTGCACACACTCAACAAATCTGTGGACTGGCCTGGTCACCCGATGACAAGTACCTTGCCACGGGCGGTAATGACAACGCCTGCCTTCTCTTTGAGCTGACCGAGATTGTTCCGCCACAGCATATGAATTATACGGTCCCACCCGTTACGCCCCCGGATTCCCCTAGCAGCTTCAGCCTCGGTGTATTTCCATACCTTGCTCTGGGCACCGCAAGAAGACGACTGTTTCTTAGACGACCTGCTCTCCCATCATGGCTTGCTGCTCCGATTAAGCCTCCAGCCGCGGCCGCGCTTTTAAACCATGCAGGCACTCTAATTTCCGGTGGTGGACGAACGATTCTGGTCCCGTACGGCCGTCAGAAGCATCGTCTGATGCACTCCGCTGCAGTCAAAGCAATTGCCTTTGCGCCATGGCAGTCATCTCTGCTCGCGACAGGGGGAGGTACCAACGACAGAGCTATACACTTCTATCACACCCGGAGCGGAGCCTGTCTTGCAACCATCAATGTCTTTGCGCAGGTGACCAGTCTTATATGGAGCGAAACTCGACGGGAGATCGCCGCTACTTTCGGTTATGCACAGCCAGATCACCCATTTCGAATCGCCGTATTTGCCTGGCCCAGCTGCGCACAGGTAGCTGTCGTTCCCTGGGGGCCCTATGGAACCACCTGGGATGGCCCCGACACTCGAATCAGCAACTTCGACTGCGGAAGAGCACTGTGGGCAGTACGATATCCAGGGAAAGTCTCTCATTTCTCGCGTGTACACACTAGTAGACCGGACAGTCAATCATCTTCACCTTTGTCCTCATCAACCCAGACTCGGTCTCCAGAACAAGGAGCCCCGACCCGTGGCCGCAAGGTCAGTAACCGCAAGGTCGGTGCTCGGATGGTCACTCCCAAGGAGAAGGAAGGTGGAATGTGGTGCACGCGAACCAAGGAGGAGGGATGCATTATTGTCGCGTCTAGTGATCAAACTGTGAAGTTCCATGAGGTCTGGACTGGAAGAAGGGCAAGCACTGCTTCTGCTTATGGACTCTTTGGTGGAAGCGACATTCTCGAGGGCCTCGAGGGCATTGAGAAGTCTAGTGGTGAAGTCATTCGTTAGTATTATTTGTCTTTTTGGGTCAGAGTACGGGGTACTCTCACTATCATTAAACGCTTATATTTTTATTAGTTTAGTGCTGCAGAGAGGACTTGGGTAGGTTTATCATTCTTTGTCTTGAGGAAATGAATTATTGTGTTCTTGTTTTCTGCAGTCCAATCCAACCAAATGGACTTGTTTGACATACATATGTACCTAGGTAGTAATATCGACTTCACTTTGAAATATGTATCGACACTGACTTGAGCGGGGGGAGAATTCCTCTCAACGCTAAAATGTGATTGGTTTACACCAAGTAATAACTACTACCTCGAGATTGGATATATATACCCTTTACGCGAGTGGAATAGCACATATAGCAGATATAATTCGAGTTTTGGCCTAGATATGACAAACCCTCCAATCGGTAGAGAGTACGAAGTACTAGAATCTCACATTCCAAATAGTAATATACAACCAATACATTGACCTCTGCATTAGTGCCAGCCTATTACAGAAACCATAGGCTTATAAGAGAGCGCTGATCCCACTCCACCTCTCTTCAGCTCTCAAAAACAGATCTCAGGTCTTGGATCTTCTCCTTACTATATTCTCTTTACTAATTTCCTCTTCCTCGCACAATCCACCCCAATTTCCTCAGAATGCGCCCTCAATCCCTCATCCAATTCATCCTCCCATCCACAATCCTCGCCCAATCCCCCGATACCTCCCTCGGCTCCACCCTCAACGTGACCGTCCTCGGCGCGCGCCACAATCGCTCCACCTTAGAGTGCTGGGCTCTCCAGCCGGGATTTAAGACTTCCGATCAACCCGGACAGGTCGGGAGCGCCGCGCTGGATTTGGGGACTATTGGTGGGAACGCGTCGTTTACGGTGTTGCCGGCTGGATTTGATGGCGGTAGACATAACGCGCCTGCTTTGCAGTGAGTTATTTTTACCTTTCCCAAGGATTCTTTTCTTTTATATACATCCATGCTTGTCTTTTGCTATTTCAAAATCAATGATTCTGAATAGTTAGGTTGTTAAACATGTTTTTTTGTTTGTTTGTTTTTATAGAGTCCACAATTCTTAGCTAACGCACTATAGATGGGTGGTCTTCCTCTCCGGCTTAGCGCATATCACGCTCCCTAACTCGACAACCGAGGCCTGGATTGAAGGTGGCAAGAATGGGGCCATCCTGGCCCTCGACACTGCTGATGTCAGTGCATTGGGTCACTTCACTACCTATCCCTCGCAGGACCGGACGACATCCGTGCTGATCCCCCTCGGGGAGAAAGGGATACCGGGTCATCGGGTCCTGCATCAGGGTCCCTGTCAGGGGGAGGAGTTGTTGGTATAAATCCCTGTATTTACATAGAAGGTCCTCTGTACAGTTTATCGTATGCACCCGAAAAGACTACAAAAATACATCGGTTATAGCTACTGGAGAAGTATGGAGTACTCCGCACAAGGAGAGATATCAAGACACCAAGGTAGAATTCAATAGACATTGATAGAGACGCAGAGGCGCTCGGTAGAGGCACAAGATATCGAAAGCAAAAGATAAAACAAAGAAAAATGAAATGCAGACCCGATCGGATGCATCGAAGGAAAAATAAAATATGTTCTTTTATAGACCGTTACCCCCTTCTCCCATCTCTAATTCGTACAACTGCAAAGAGACACGCTTATTTTCTGCCGCCCTTGCTCTTCTTGCCGACAGAAGCAGAAGACTTGGTCTTCTTTGCTGGCGGGGGCTGCTGCTGAGCGGCATCGTCAGACTCGTCGTCTTCCGTGTCGGCAATGAAGTCAACCATCGAGCCATCACTGTCCTCATCATCGTCCTCATCCTCGTTCTCCTCCAGCGATTCCTCGGCATCAGAAGAACCGACAGACTCAGCAGCCTCAATGTCCAAAATGGGCTCTTCGTCATCATCCTCATCGTCACTTCCATCATCCTCGTCATCTTCAGACTCATCGACGCCGTTCATCATTGACTCATCCTCATCGTACGCCTGGTCGCGTATTGACTTCCGCGGCGTCTTGGCCTCGGTCTCACTGTCCTCGAGATCATCCTGGCCCTCGACGTAGATAACATTATCCTCGTCCTCGCTGTCCATACCCTCATCACCACCGCGGATCGATTGCCGCAGTCCCAATTGGGCATCGAGCATGTCGAGCTTGCCCTTGAGAAGCAGGAGGGATGGCAGGCTGGCAGAGCGCTGGTCCATGACCTTGTAGAGGGATGTCATGCGCTTCAGGAGATCGGGATGTCCAGCCAGGGCGCCACCGTGAGCGACGCAGGTCCACTGCACCCAGACGAGAAGGTGGCCGTAGCGACCAGGCCGGGAGGCGAGGCGCTCAGCGAGTTTTTGAAGCAGAGTCGCGGCCAGCGAGGAGTCGAGGCGCTGGATGGTAGTGCGGATGATGGAGGTATCACCGGTGTGGAAACAAGACTCGAGCATGCCGTTGTCGTTGGTCTTGAGAGACTGTGTGAGGACAGTAGCAAGCGAAACACCAGTGGGAATCTGTTGCACTGCGGCCTGGGGCTTGCCGGGAACCAATGCGCCCAGGAGAACGTCGTCGTCAAGCTCGGCCTCGACGTCGACTTCCTGGCCTGCGTTTGCGCGAATGAGTTCTCCGAATGATGGCTCTGCGCCCTCTTCTTCTTCCTCTTCCTCCTCGGAATCGGATGCGTTCTGCATCTCAACGTCCTCGGTTGCTGCGACTTGCTTGGTGGGCTTTGTCTTCTTCTCGTTGGAAACCTTGGACTTCTTGTTGTCCTCGTCATCGGAATCCTCCTCGCTGCCAGAGTCGGATGCGTCTTGTCGTGAGTCCTCCATCTCTACATCATCGTCGACCAGGTTTCCCTGCTCGACATTCATGCGAGACTCGTCAACACGGGTCTCGCCTGCGCTCTTAACTCCGTTCGTTGTGACGGAAGAAAGTGCTGAGCCGGACTTGGTCTTCACCACGGTCTTGATTCCGGTGAACGAGAGCTCATCGGTGCTCTCGTCGAGGAACTTGACACGCTCAAAGACAGGGATCACACCACCCTCGGTGTATGCAACCACGAGGGTAGGGCCCTGGAATGAGATGGCCGCGACGGGAACGCAGGCGCTCGAGGACTCGGTGTTCGTGATTTTGAGGGTTGCGTTGGCTTTCTGGGTCATCTGTTTCCGGCTGGCCTTGGCACTTGCGGAGGGCGCACTTTGGGGCTGAACAAATGGCTTCGTGAAGAGTTCGATGCTACCATCTGCGGTGACAGCAGCAAGCACTTGCTTCTCCGGGGTGGCAACGCCATCGGTTTGCAGTGTAATCGATGAGACCTCCTGGTCGGCAACAAGGTTGCGAACAAGCTTCTGGGTGGCGGCATCGAAGACGTTGACGAAGCGGTCACCATCGGATGCAAGGAATGCACCCACGCCAGCAGACTCGGAAGAGGACGAAATGACGGTGTGGATAGGGTTGCGCATGGCAGGGAACTGAACCGGCTCGTCGGCCTTCTCGGTATCTATTAAGTACGGGGTCTGGGAAGCGCAGATAAGAGGAGGGTTCGAGGGAACGGGGCGGGAGAGAGCAGTGAAGACTGAGGATGCGGGGAGGTGGATTGTCCTAGAGGTATATCATTAGTTTTAGGAGCTCGGTATAACCCAGCAAGTATCCAAACTTACTTGGTGCTTTGTCCGGTGCGCAGGTCCCACTGGACAAGCTTATTGTCACCACCGATACTCCAAGCCTCCTGGGCGGGCCGATCGGCCGTGAACTTGAAGTCCTTGATACCCTTGTCATGTGCGCCGGTCAAGGTGCCGACCACCTTATCTTCGGATGGGGAGTACATGCGGATATCCGATGTGTTTGTGCCGAATGCAACCACGATATCCCCCTGGTCCAGGCCATCAACAGCCCCATTGACATCGGAGCCGCGCTTGCGCTTCTTTTTCGATAGATCACGACCCTTGCCTGAGCCACCGTAGTATCCCCAGTCCAAAGAGGTCACTGTTTCCTTCGGCCCCAGAGCATGCTCACACTGGAGGCGTCCTGTCTGTGTGTCGTGAATGCGGATGTGCTGGCCATCGAGGCCTTGGATAACGGACGCAAACAGGGCCAATTGGTACTCTGATGGGGAGAATGCAGCGCGCAGGATGGACGACTTGCTGCCCGCATATGTCAGGCCCGATGCCGGCGATGCGGCAGCCGAGGCGACCTTGGTGGATGGGCGAGTCGTCTTCTTTCCCATCTTGGCTGTAACTTTTTTTCTTATCTTCGTTTTTTTTCTCGCAGTCGAGGGTGCAGTGGTGTGAAGATAAATATCAATAAAGCAGACCGAAATAAAAACAGCAAGGATTCCGATAAGACTCTATTTTTTTCCGCCCCTAAGGAAACAAATGGGGGTTTAGGCTGGTGGTTTCGCAGTTGATCCGGACAGGAAAAAAAATGTTCTGTAGAGCCTTGAGGAGCTAGTCCTAAAGGGGTTTAGACTGTAAGAGGTTCTTATCTAATCATATCATCCCGTGATGCTTCAATGTCAGCACTATAACTAGGCCCCGGGGTAACTATGCCAATTCTTTGATTCATTTTGATAAAAATTTCGAGTTTGTTTGCTTTTCATATCCGCTGGGACTTCTTTTTTAACTCTGGTGCTTTTATTATTACAGCTTATTTTTCAATTTTGGGCGCTTTTCATGTCAGCAGCCCTTTCCTAAACGAAAATATATAACAAAATTTGCAGGCCATTTCAACATATACTTCGTGCAGACATCCCCGATATATATTTTATAAAACTAGAACAAAATTCCAATGAGCTTCAAGTTCATCGTGTGACCCAAAACAAATTGAATATATATAAATTGAATATATATGAGAAACATGACAGTACAACATAGCTAAATTAGAGCCTTCGCTATGGCGCTTAGAGATAAACCTGAGCCATCTAAACCGTCCAGCACTAAAATTATGTCCTATACATAGTTCAAAGCACACGGACTCCTATTGGGCAGATCTTCGAGGCCAAAAGTACCTACAACATAGGTACCCCCAGGTCACAAATCATGTGACATGTGTATATTTGCCTAACCTGTAAGGGTCGAGGTGCAGCTGCCCATCAATGTATGTTGTAGTAAATGCAAAGTGCTGATTGGAAATTTCCAGGATGCTTAGCGGGGAACCAGGTAGTGACTAGCCTACTCTATCCTCTATGGATGTTTCAAGATTCTATAACATCAATGTTCCTTGCGCCAGATATGTATAGAAAAGTGATGTTATTTCCTATCAACCTTGGAACGATGTACAATACGTGTACTCATCATGATATAGTCACGTGAAAGCTGGAGTGGTGACGTGACTCAGACCCCCATCACGCCCGGCCTAACCCGGATTTAGACAGAACCCTAGGGCTTCGAGTTATCCGAGATATGCGTGCACTGGACTTCGAAGCTTTTATACAACCTGTATAGGCAAAGCTGAGAAGAAGAAAGTGAAAGGAAAAAATTATACAGGAAATTTCATTCAATCATTTAAGTTGTTCACCTCGATAGAAGCGAAAGAGGAAAGTTGAGGAAAGAAAAGAAAAGAACCAAAAAAAAAAGTTCCAGGGGTATAGAACCAATCAAGGGGTAAGAAGGTAAGTGAATCGGGACTAGTGTGGCTGGTGGAACTGGGTAAGAGGAGAGTGCAAGGCGGCCGTTTGTACTTAAGGATTCTGGCATCCCCTCCCGACCATTTTTCTGCTTCCGTCCTGGTTTCTCCTATTTTTATTCTCCTGACCGCCCTGCCCATAACAAACGCGTCTTCGCGTCACGGTTTTATTTCCTTTTAACCGCCTTCACCCCAAATTCTTTTTTTTATTTTTTATTTTTATTTTATTTTCATAATTCCCTTTTATCCCCTGATATTTGCCTCAGGCAATCATCATCGGGAACTTTTTAGCTCCATATCTTGGTTTAAGTCGTCTAGACCTGGCTTCAATTCTACTACGTCACGTGAACACCTCCATACCGCCTTCTTGGCAGTATAAATACCTCGTCTCCGATCGCATTCTCCACTCTTCCTATCTCTCGATCATCTCTGACCTCACTCTTCCCCCCCGCCCGTCGCGTTTTTTTCGCGCCAACACGTTTGATATCAAACCTCATCAACTATTGAGTCCATACTACGTGGCCTTGGTTGCTGCTAGTGTTTGTTCACTCGAGATTGTTTCACGCGGCAAGATTGTTTCGCGGAGAGATCCCACGGGTGTTTTCAGTTGATCACTAGCTTTCAAAACACCTTCCCATAACTCTCACATCTTCAACCCTTTTACCCATCCCTAACTTGTATTCTTGTTTATCCAACGCGACCCCAATGGCGACTCCGCCTCCCGAGGTTCCTCCTGTCACCAAGGAGGACAAGCCTCAATTGCCCCCATCGCCCACTGGTCCTTCTGCGCCTGACTACCCACCCACCAGGTAAGTGCATCAGCTTCATATCTGCTCTGTTCTTGATCTGACTAGTGCGCAGCGCGCAAAATGTCGCAGTGAATCCCAAAAGTGACAGTCCCGCGGATACCGAGGTTAAATCGCCTGCGCTGAATGGTCACACCCCCATCGCGCCTTCGAACACCAATGGCACAATCGTTGCTACCTCACCGCCTAAGTCCCCCGATCCTCAAACCTCCGATATTGTCCACAACAAGACACCATCTGCCGCGGGATCTGCTCCACCCGCGGAGACAGAGCCGACCGAAGGAAAGATCAGCCCTCCGCAGGGCCAGGAATCTGCCACTCCTGCTCCAGCCAACGATGCGGCTGAAAGTGTCGTTTCGTCCGCCCCGCAAGCTGCTGTACGCGCTCCTACAGTTCCTGCATCAACAGATGGTCCTAGTGACACACCCGAGCCAATGGCAATCGATACCCCTCGGGATGTTTTGACTGCCGTGCAAACAGACCTGCCTCATCATCCTACCCCGGCTGCTGCACCACCTGCACTCACCGCGCCGCATCCCGTTGACCAGGAGATGAAGGACGCATCAGAGGCTCCGCTATCTCCTTCTAAGGTTTCCCGACAACGGGATGCTGATCTCAGCGAAGAACCAGCTCCTAAGAGGACCAAGGTTGAAGGCGATGACTCCGTTTCTAACTTCCAGTCACCGGGATTCAGCTCCCCAGCTGCTGCAACACCTGGTCCAAATCGCACTAGTGGCGGGCCAGGGCTCACTAAAATGCAACATAAGTTCATTTCAAAGAGCCTTACAAGCCTCAAGCGCATGCACGATGCGCGTTTCTACAAGGAACCCGTGGATGCTGTCAAGTTGAACATTCCGCAATACCACACTATTATCACCCAACCAATGGACCTAGGAACTATGGAAAGAAAGCTCAAGAATAACCAATATTCTTCCCCCCAGGCAGTCGCAGATGACTTTGCACTGATGGTCAATAATACAACCATCTTCAATGGCGCCGACCACCTGGTCACCCAAGAGGGGATCAAGCTGAAGGCGACATTCGAGAAGCAGATGACTAATCTTCCCAAGCCCGAAGAGGTTGAAGAGAGGAAGCCAAAGAAGCACACCGAGAAGACCTCTGCTGCTCGCCGGGAGCCTCGGACTTCTCTGCCAAGCCAGCCCAAGGCTTCCTCTCCCCCGTCTCAGACATTTGCGCTAGGACCCGAAGGTCTGCCCGTCATCCGCCGCGATTCTTCCAACCCCGATGGTCGCCCCAAACGGTCCATTCATCCCCCGAAGCGTGACCTTCCATATTCTACCAAGCCCAAGAAGAAGAAGTTCCAATGGGAATTGCGCTTCTGTCAGGAAGTCTTGGATGAGCTGCACAAGCAAAAGCACTACAGCTGGGTGATGCCTTTCTATTATCCCGTGGATCCCGTTGCTTTGAACATTCCCACCTACCACAGCGTGATCAAGAAGCCGATGGATCTGTCGACTGCTCAATCCAAACTTAAGACCGGCCAGTACGAAAATGCGAAGGAGTTCGAAAACGATGTCCGCCAGATTTTCAAGAATTGCTACCGCTTCAATATCCCCGGTGACCCCACTTACATCTGTGGCCAGCGCGCTGAAGAAATCTTCAACGCAAAGTGGGCCCAGAAGTCGGACTACCTCGAAGCGCATGAACCACACCCCGAGCAGAACACTGATTCTTCTGATGAAGATAGTGACGAGGATGCGGAAGAGAGCGAAGAAGATGACGAGAAACTCACGCTGCTTCAGAAGCAAATTGCTGAGATGTCTCGTCAGGTCGAGGCTATTACCAATAAGAAAAAGAAGACTCCTCCTTCCTCCAAGAAGGTTGGCAAGGCGAAGCTTGCCAAGAAGGATTCCAAGAAAATCATCTCTGGAAAGAGAGACAAGAAGAGCAAGATCTCTCAACCTGGCAAAACCCGCGCCATCACCTACAACGAGAAGCAGATCATCTCGAATGGTATCAGTAGTCTCCCTGATAAGAGGATGCAACAAGCCCTCCAAATTATCCAGAACAATGTTCCTCAACTCAAGGTAAGATTTCCATTCGTTTATTACACACAAACCAATTCTAATATACATTCCGCAGGGTACCGACGAGGCTGAAATTGAGTTGGACATCGACGAGCTCCCTAACGATGTCTTGCTGAAGCTGCTCAACTTCGTGAAGAAGCACGTACCGAATCTCATGGATGATGAAGACGAAGACGATCTCCCTGCCAGCAATGTGGCACCTCCCAAACCCAAGAAGAACAAGCCAATGAGCAAGTTCGAGCAGGAAGCTCAGATCAACATGCTCCAGAGCAACCTTTCTCGTTTCCAGGGTGGCGCTCACTCTCCCGATCCAGTGGCCTCTGTTGAACACAACGAAAGCAGCGATGATGAGTCTGATTCGTCCGAGGAGGAGAGCGAGGAGGAGTAAAAATACTCTGCCGATTCAATCCCGCCATTTTTTTCCATACGGGATGGCCCTTCACCCTGACTTGCGTTCCAAGCGTCGTTTTTCCCTAGTGCCCTTCTGAACAATTTCTCGCCACATCTTTCTTTTTCAGTCACACCGCTGATCCTGACGGGCTGGTTGCAATGCGCTATGCAATCCCCGCCGGTAACGTCTGTACATACTTTGATTTCGAATACCCCTGCACCCGGCAAGGTTTCTACTGCCACCGACGAACCTTATGCTCAAGATTGGCCGAACAGGATTTTATTCACTTTAACCCCTTGAATTTCCCTTCCCCTACGCCTGAGTGTACACTTTTTTTTCCCGTTTCGTTTCACAGCCAGGATAGGTGGATAAGGTTGCTCTATTTTCCCCGACGACGTTGCGGTTGGAAGAGGTGGACCGAAGCTTTGGCTTCAACTTGTATGATTACGAAAGAAACGCGGAAATGCAAAATGAATGTACTTGTAATAGTAAAGTATCTAATTTCTATTAGGTATGTAGTTTGAATGTACGAAATATTGCGAACCTCGCTTTCCCTATCTATATCTGTCTATCATTGGCCGTGACGAGTCGGGTCTTCTTCGGCGGTGAACATCCTCCGTTTCTTTGCAACATCAACATGATTCCTCCCTGCGACCCTTCAATTCTTGAGCACAATCCTCAATTCAAACGACTATATGAGAATCTAACAACCTCCCTCCTCAATCCAGATGCCTCAACGCGCGCTCAAAGCTCGAGCCCATCCCGCACAGCTGTGGTGGAAGTAAGTAGCCGACACGCCATTGCGCAGCACATACCCAACGGGACTCAAGCACGAACAGAGCTCTGACAACACTCTATCACTAGGAGCTGAAGCAATGCCAGACTCAAAATGCCAAAAAGCGAATCAAGGAGCAAATGCTCCGGCGATTGGCCTTCGCCCCAGACAGCAACCTACCCGTGGAGGTTAGTACAACCCCCGCCATAGGCCACCAACCCATCAAGAGAAAAACCACATCCCTAACGTACCTACCACATCTAGTGCCATGATAACCTCGCTATAATAACCCTCTACCTAGAGACCCCATCCAGCGCAATCGAGCCAACCACCCCAAAGCCAGAAACCGAACCCAAGAAACCAGACGAAGCACTCAACCTCCTAGCACCAGACATTGAAGCCTTCTACACCAACATTCCGGCCTTCATCCTGCCCTTCTCCAAAACCCTCTCATCCGCAATCCAAGACCTACGCGCCCTATCAACCGCAAACACAGACTCAGCCATCGTCCCCGATGCAGACGCCCCAGCCACACAGCCCTCGAACCACAACGCACGCACCCGAGCGCGCGACCGCCGAGTCCGGACCTCGATGGCGCCAGCCCCACCGCTCTCGTCACAGCTGCAGGCGCGGGTGCGCACGTTGCGCCACGCACAGCTGTCCGACCTGCCAGTTGCTCGGCGGAAGATGGCTGCCACGGCAGCGGAGGTTGTTGCTGTGAGGGCGCGAGTCCTCGAGCGCACTGTTGTGACTCTGGAGCGGGCGAAGCATGGGGCTCTGGCGCGTGCGACGAAAGCCAAGGCGGAGCATTTGGCTGTTGTTGCGCAGGGCGTGGAAGGGAAATTAGAGTACGTTTTGTCTTTCCGGGTTTCAAGTCTTGCTGTTATCTCTCTGGTGGAATTGGTCTTTTAACGATTTGGACAGGGTTACGAAACTGGAGATTGCGGCTACGCTCTATACGCCGGAAACACTTGCTGCTCTTGCTCGGTATAGGCAGCATCTGAGGCAGACGAAGGAGCGCTTGCAGCACCGCCGAAAGATGACGATTCAAGAGCTGAGGACTTATGGTGATGTGGAGGTGTCTGATCCGGTTACTGATATCGATGCGGATGAAGGGTCTTTCGCGGATATTGCTCGTAGGTATGGGGTTTTGGCGAGAGAGATTGAAGAAGTAAAGATGGAAATTGCACGATTAGAGAAATGAGCTACAACTACATGTCCCAGGTAGTACATAGTACAATTAAGATACGGCTTCAACACATGCAGTGTTAGACTTGTAGATCACTAGACTCCCGGTAGCCCTAGCACCCTCTTGACGGCCATGTGGAGAGCCCAGGACGCCCCAACCTCAATTCTTCCTCACAGGTTCAAGTCTGCTTTCTACAGCAGCCAGAAAGAACAGGCTAAATGGCTGACCACAACAAGTCAAGGTCCCAATCCATTATCAAGCTCGCTGTTTTCGCCAGCTACCTCTCTATCGCCGCAATCCATGCTGTCACATTCTGCAACCTCATCTATGTTTGGAACCTCTTCGTCTTTCTGGCAGCTTGGAGCCTCGCCACGGTATGGTACTAATGTAGATGTCCATGGTTTCTAAATATAGACCAGAGATGGCAAGATAGAAACTTCCCTCAAGACATTCATCAATCATTGCTCACGGGGCCGTTGATACGGTGTATGATGTCCACGAGGCGTATTGGAGAAGATAAGCCAGGAATGGTGGGTGTCGTATGAGACCGGTGGATTTAAGACTCTGGATGAGAATATTAATATACTAAGTATATCCAGCTGAGTATATACATAGTTAAGTTCGTCAATATGAAAGTCAATAGTTCATCAACCTGCCAAGTCTTAAATCCGGGGATGCCCCTCTCTTAACCCCGCCGATCACATGACTGCGCCAAACTTTTTCTGCCCGAAAGAGTCAACGCTACAAGACCTACTCATTCGCCACATCTCTCCTTGTACATTCCCGATAATTATTCAAAATGGCCGACGATGGACTGAACATCTACGACGAGATCGAGATAGAGGACATGACCTTCGACCCGAATATCCAGATCTACACATATCCCTGCCCATGTGGCGACCGCTTCGAGATCGCAATCGACGATTTGCGCGACGGCGAAGAAATCGCCGTGTGTCCGAGTTGCAGTCTGATGATTCGGGTTATCTTCGACCTGGTATGTTTTCCTATCATATAACCCAGATATATGTCGCTTTTTTCGTTTGGTTGCTAATTATACGCCCTGGGTATCCGCAGGCCGATCTTCCTAAGGCCGATACGCAGAGTACGAGCGGGGTGGCTGTTCAGGCTTAAGTGTGAGATAAAGGAGATTATGCAAAATACCCTTGAAAGGATCGAGTCAGTCTCGGCCCGAACAGAAGGACTATGCTGCTGAGTTTTGGAAGTCGGCTCCCAGCCATTCTCATCATTTTGGCGGAACCAGCTCGAGAGATTGGATGCTCTGCCATTCCACTACCAGATGCGACTACTCGTCATGGACTGCATAGTACGCCTCGCCGAGTTGGGCGGCTTTAATCCACTGGACCTCACCTCAAACACCGTACCGCGCGAGCATGTTCTATGTTCTGCTGTGACTGTCGTCTATATGCATCTTCCCATCTTGCCATGTGACTCGGTGTTTCCGGGTGCTATTGGTCTCAGTGACTCGCACTGGGGTACCCGCTGTACCTTGCTGAACATATTCAATGTTGACTTGGCCTCCGTCGACTCTGTCTCTGGTGTGAGTTTTGAGCCGGACAACATCACTTGGCCAGGCGAGACACCGTTCCATTCATCGGGTTGAGACTGTATTTTGGCCATGCACGTCATGTTCTTTCAAAAAGAATGAACAACACTTTCATACGCCCGTTCAATTAGGGCGATGATATGACTCTTTCCTCCTTAGCATTGCGTTCCCTTTACATATTATCATTCTATACCCACCTAGTGAATTCACCTCAAATGATACCCGCAACTATGTTCCCAAATTATTCGTTCGCCTCCCTCCAGTTTATGAGAAAGGAATAGCACACGAAATATTTCAATGCAACCGCATCATAAATAGACACTAAACTACAGTATGTAACAACATTCCAAACAAAAGCTGGAACGACAAGAATTCTCTTCTTTCTAGGTAATCGATAGCCCAGCAAGACGACTCACTCACTCAACGATCTCACTGTAGATATCCTTGGGCAAACGCAAGGTCAACTCGGAGTTCAACAACTCGGTCAGATTAGACCCATCACGTAGGTAGATCCACTGCCCATTAACGAAAGGCCGGGAATCCTGCTTCTCATGCATATAATCGCCCTCGACAATCCAGTCGTACCGCTTCGGCCCGGAGATGGGCGAGCTGAGCCAGATCTGCTTGTTGGGTGGTTGCTTGTTGAGTACATAGGTTCCGAGTGCGGGAACGGTGATGTTCAGAACACCGGCCTGGGGAGAAGAGCGGGTTAGTAATCTTTTATATTTTATATGATGCCAACAGAAGATCTTTGGGTAGACTGAGATAGATAGGAAGGAAGACGAAGAAGACCGGGAAAAAGATAACATATAGAAAAGAAATAGGAGAAACATACACTGTACTCTGCCTCAACATCCGACCCCTCCTCCTGTGCCTTCTCCAGCTCGCTTTGCAGCACGTTGAAATAATGCTCCGAGTACTCGTAGTACTCCTCCGGCGTCAACGGCGAGGGCTCAGTGATATGAGCAGCAGCTCCGGCAACAGGACCCGATTGCGGATTTGGAGCTGGGGGGTCTGCTGATTCTGGGTGGATGCCTTTGCGGATTGCCGGGGAGGACTGGAAAGAGCGGGTGAACTGTGAGGCGGAGCTGGGCCGGATGGCGCAGGCCCGGGGGAGGAGAGTTGAAGTGGTGGGTGCTGTTGTGCGGATGGATGGGCGCACGGAGGCGAGCAGAGCTCGAGAGGCTGTGCGAGAAAGCATTGTTGGGTGAGGGTGTTTGGATTGGAGGTTGTGGGAAGAATAGTAATTGAAGGTTGGGGGAGCTGTTCTGATGATGGATGCGGAGAGACGGGATAATTTACATCATCGGAGTTCACCGCCTGCTTCATTTGGTGTGATTACTGGCAGTACTCGTGATTGGATGGAGGTATAGATAATAGTTGCTCGATGTGGTATTTATTTACAAAAAGTGAATTATAGATCTTTTGCAAATATGATGGTTTAGCTTGTTAAATACTTGAATTGATTTATAGACATTTAGTGGTTGGCCAGGTTGAGGATACACTTGTATAGTAGGGTCGTCACCAACAACCACTAAGACTACATACGTCATTTAGTAACTTCGAAAAAAAAATAATTTGTAGAATATGTTCAAATTTATTTCCTTCATGATAAAGTGTGAGCGTATGTTTGAAAGGAATATAATATTTGCAAATGACTTTTATCATTTTACTCCAGGGCAACCTTTGACTACTTCGCCTTCCAATGATGGTCTTGTTGAGGATCCCCTTATAACCCCAGGGGTTTCTACTCTTGAAATTTATATTACCATTCCCTCGTCATTCGGTAATATAGGTGATCAATGAAGCCGCAGTATAGACCTCTGTATGCTGTAAATTCTTACATACATCTTCGAGTACTTGTTTAGCAGGTGCTAAACAAAACGGAGATAACAGGCTGGAGTTAGTAACCTTGGAAAGCAATGAGAAGTCTATTGCATGCTGTCGATGGCACTATTGCTCACAACAACGCTGACATGCACGCGGAGAGAATCGAATGTGCCCAGGCAGCCGTGACTGCAGGCAAGGCTGCTGTAGAGGTCGGAACAGCCACAACCAAGAGCCTGATGCCCATAACAAGGAGATTCGTGTTTAATGAAACTGCCGATGCAAGAGAGGTCGTCAGGTACGCATGATTGTCCGAAATCAACATAGATGATGTGTCAACGGTGATAGCATCTACACCGATAGCGACATGTCTGGCGCCGTTCATGATGAGACCAAGGAGACTCGCATCGCCCTCGCCTCCGCATCTGAGAAATAGAAGGCATAGTGATGGTGAGCATCCCATAGGAACATGAGGTAGACTTATTATATCAAACACAGGCATGCGTTGTCATGTACTTCCTTGAACCAATGAATGTCATCCTTTGAAGACATATTCGTATCAGCGACCATAGCTACCTAAACATGTCATGGACTCGTGTGGTGTCTCCAGTATATGGCCAGTGCCATGAGTGCCTGGCGGCCAAGACCACGCGTCACGATCTAAAAATGGCTTTCGATAGCGAGGCTGCTCGTTCAGTTCGGGGACTAGTCAAAACTGGTAGGAATCCTGGGACGACAGTTTGGGCAAGAGAGTGAAGACCTTCCAGAACAAGATTGGTAAGTAATAAGAGATGAACATCCCGTATCTTTCCTATTCATTGTTGGGATTAAGCGATGTTGTACGGAGTACAAAGCCAGCAAGCCTCCAGGGATGTGCGGTAGGATGACGTGGGCAGAGCGCCGGAACTTTGGAAAGTGGGAACCGACAAAAGCCACATTACTTGCCAACGCGGCCAGAACAACCTAAGAATGGTTATATAATTTCTTTTTTTTTTTCTCGCAGAAAACTATTATGATAATAATAGTCCGGGAATTAATAGTTTGAAAGTATGCTGTAGCCCTGAATAGGAGTAAATTTAGAGTCTTGGTCCGCGGTGACGGGATCACAAAGAGATCGGTGGAATTTAGTCTGTTTCAGATGAGAAGAACCGCAGTCTTGGTCATTGGAATAGAGATATAGGCATGCATGTGCCTCGGAACTATGCCCGGAATCTTGGCTGCAGAGGCGGGAGGTGACTGAAATCTGATCTCATGGCGACCTCGCGAGTCTCGCCAGTGGCAACTATTATTAGTCCGGGGAGACTACAGTGAAACTAAAGAATGAACGAAACCCGTAGAGTGAGTACCACAGGGCACTCCGGATAATATGATTGAAAATTTCAGAATCTGCTTGGCATGTAACCTTGTACCATTCGCATCTGCAGGGTATACTTGTGTACCGACTATGTCCTGACAGCCTATAGGAGAATTGGGAATAAGAGCATTGGCCCCTAGTCATCATCCCAAGGGGGACAACTACAACTAGCAAATCACTAAGAGGTGGCACAAGGCGCAACCAGAACCAAAACCGACAAAATGGAAAATTAGGATATGCATTTGCTGGAGAACAACGAGGGAAGGACATGGAATGGGGCGCCAATCCAAATGCGATGTACCAGAAGAAACACCGGCGTGTAGTCCGGCAAGGCTTGTCATGGCCGTTTTTCGGCAACAGATCGGCAGGGGGGCTGTAGAGGGGTTTCAGGCCGCGCCCCCTCTTTTCTTCTAGCCCTAGAACAACGCCCCAGTCGATCCAGAAGTAAGGAACATCCCGGGATATCGGTGAAAGGGAGAGACGGTCTGGATCTTATGTTGGATGTGAAACATGGTGTCGATCGGGGTTGGTGTCACTATGAGTGGCCGATTCGATCCATAATCCTGTTGATGTGGTGGCGCCTACACAGTCGGTGTATCATATTAGTCAGTTTCAGTTGACGCCTGTGATTGTGTTGTGGTTGCGTGTTGTATGAGTTGATGAATGGTATTATTTTTTCCAATCTAATCTATTGAATCCCACAGTCTTACAATCTCCCGAGGTCACAATCTCACAATGAGACTTTGGAACCAATTTAAATTAAATGTTGATGTTTTCATTGTGTTCCTAGGGTTATGATCAATAACACAATGATATGATAGGTCACCGGAAGACCCAGATGACGATGTATCTAGGGTGCGCCTATCAGAGCGGCTCCCCTGGCCGGGAACCAGGGAACCGCGCGGCGGACTGCATGGTAAACCATTGGATGATGCAATGCCATCCGTGGTACGTTGCCGCACCCACTGCACTCCAATTTATGTCAATTTTCTGTCATGGGGCTTTACATCTTCCAAGGAAGGTTGTTTCTCATTGCATGCCTTTGTATTCTGCCAGGGGCAAACCATAAGACAAAGCTACAGGCACCAGGAGCATAGTTTCAAGGCGTGCATTCTCCCGTCATTGCTAGTCAATGTTAAAATTCGATGTAACAGACTCCATTATGGTCCAGGCTATTGTGGAGTGGTCTACAGATCTTGGCTGTGGAGTTAGACCAGAAGTGAACCTACTTGATACCGAAGAACTGAAAGAATTAGTGTCAATTAGCGCCTTGGAGAGTGAATTTCATTGCACATGTAAGAAAAGACGCTCGGTTCAAGCCAATCACCACGGGTTCAATTCCTGTCAATGGTCCATGGAGTCCATTTAGATCCATCCCCTGGTGTCCCCCAGCGCCAATGATATCTTGCATACAGCGGTTAATCTGGCCAAAGGCATGGTTATGAGGTAGAGCCCGCCTCCTAGGCCCCCGAACATCCAATAACCACTTCCTAATTGCACTCCACCCGTGAAGAAACGGAATATCTTCCAGCCAGCGGGTTAGGCTGGTAGGTTTGACACACTGATGCCTGGGGGATTTAAACCCTCCACCTCCCTCGATCTTTCTTCTTTTCTTCTATCTTCATCACCTACCTTCCTTCATTTATTCTCTGGTCTTCTAGTCCTGTGCCGTGCACGGTCTGAGCCTCACTTTCCTTCAAGTCTACATTCCTTTTCACAAGGTCGAGAACAGGTTTCTCTCTATTTCCCTCCTTTTTTATTCTTACAAGTCCACTCCTTTGTGACTTATCATCTTTGTTCAAAATGGTCTCTTTCACCAAGCTTTTCACCGCCGGCCTAGTCGCCACTTCTGCTATGGCCGCCCCCATGGAGGCCAAGCGTGCCTCCTCCGGCAAGCGTGGTGCCGCCTACAACGACATCACCACCGTGTCTGCTCTGACTAGTGCTGGCTCTATCTCGTGGGCCTACAACTGGGGCGGCTCCGTCTCTGGTTCGCTCCCCACAAACGTCGAGTTCGTCCCCATGCTCTGGGGCCCCAACTTTTTCGGCGGCTGGGTTACCGCCATCGAGAGCGCTTTGTCCAGCGGCAGCAGCTACATTCTGGGATTCAACGAGCCCGACATGGCTTCGCAGGCTAACATGAGCCCCTCGGATGCTGCCAGCTACTACATGACCTACATCACCCCGTACTCCGGCCAGGCGAAGCTGATTTCGCCCTCCGTCACCTCCTCCACCGACACCGGAGCTGGCCTTAGCTGGTTCGAGTCTTTCATCGGTAGCTGCAGCAGCTGTGGTATCTCCGGTCTGGCCGTTCACTGGTACGGCAACACTGCCGACGAGTTCAAGTCCTTCGTCACCCAGGCCGTCGATACTGCTTCCAAGTACAACCTGTCCGAGGTTTGGATCACCGAGTTTGCTCTCAACGCTGATATGAACGGCGCTATGGATGCGTCTGCTACTGCTGCTTTCCTTAACGAGGTTATCCCTTGGTTGGATTCGCAGACAGGCGTCGCTCGCTACTCTTACTTCATGTGCGCTGAGAACTACTTGCTCAGCGGCGGCACTCCCAACCAGGCTGGCCAAGCTTACATCTCTGCATAAGCCTGTGCTTGTTTGGCATGTTGAAAGCAACGAATTAAAAAACAATGAATCACGAAAATAAGAGGAGGAAGGGTATGCGAGCAATTTATATTTCTTTTATGGTTTCTGCTGGGCGATTGGTCGTCTTGGAGGGTCATATCTATGAATTTTCTGTTCATATTTTCTAAGGAGTTTTAACGCAAATATCCACCACGCCATCTGATTTTTTTCTATTTGAATCACTCTATCTTGCGTAATCGTAACTAGTCTGTAACATCATATCTAGAATATTGATCAAGTTTGGACATGATCAAATCTCGCCATCAACCTTCGTATGAGGTGGCGGGTTGGCAATGGCCACAATGGCATTAATATGGCAAACCAGGCCCGCCACACCAATACCTCATTTCCAGTAGGCAGATGAAACAATGCGATAATATTTAGCTTCAAAGGTCTCATTGTTTGCCTAATAATAACGTTGAACCTCGAAACCTCGCTTTGTTACAGTCTAGTCTTTGATTCTATTTTAGTGTCTACCATCACGTCCTGTTCTTTGTTCCTTTGTGTGTCTCTTTCAAATATTAACAATGTATATTGAAATATCGAGATTCAAGGACACAATGTATAATACTTCATCTTCAGTCACAAAGAGCATTTCGAGTATTAAACGGTGGGAAAGGCCCTCTCATGACCCTCGACTTTCTCAACCATTCAACTATTCAACCATTCAAATATATCAACTTTTCTCAAAGCTAACAAAAATGTCACTACAGCCGCAGCCGCTCAAGAATTGGCCGCACAACTTCGACAAAAAATATGTATTTAAGCGTCTTGGCATACCAGATAGCCCCGACGACCAACAGGTTCTCCACGATTTAGGACAAGAAATCTTTGATATAGTAGCGGTTGATGCTTTGAACGACGGCAGAGCCATCGCCAACCTTTTCCGATCGAGTTCTTCACGCAATCAAATCCTATTTGAGTGGCGCAAGCGACTGCCGAGGATACCAGCCGCTGTTAGAAATCACGTCACGGACGTCGAGCTTCTCAGTGGAGCGCTGTATAAATTTCTCAATTGTGTTCTAGATGAGTTGTACACGGATTTTCAGAACCGGCAAAACCAACCAGCAGGACAGGTAGAAGGACAGGCAGAGGGATCAAAGACGGCACAGCAGCCAGCACAGCAGCAATCAGAAAAGTCAGCACAAAAGCAACCAGAACAACCCAAGAAGTTCAACTATCATCGACCCTACATAGTGCCCAATGTTGACGTTCAGATCATTCGAGCAGATCACCCGGATATGCCAATTGCAATTAGAGTGAGTGATTTCTTAACTGACAGAGGAAACCTCCAGGATGTATGCCCGGATGGGGATTGGATCAACATCGCCAACATTCAATTCGAGCTTTTCAGACAGAACCTCATCCAAGAAGGCTATCTGGCAGACGGGGACACAATCTGGTTAAACCATTTCTCTCTGGACCAAATTCATCCTGCGTTTATTGCTGACCCACAGGGTGGCGAGGTACGACTGACCTCCTTCAATCTTGCATCTACACTTTTGAGAACTATCCGTGAGCATTGGCCTAAACTTCGAAATCCCTCCCCTGATCCCTATGGAGCTGAAAAGCGCTCACCATTACCCAGACCTAATATGACTATCATTATCCGAGGCGGTAAAGTAAAAGGTAAGACCTCCTTTCTAATTCAGTTCAATTGTTGCAAGACCGCATACTAACATTCTTCTTCTTCTATAGGTGGCGCCTTAGCTGCTAAACAGCCAGCATTAGCTCGTCCCACTGTAAAACTGGGTGGTAGTACGGTCGCTCCTAACCGCCGGTCTGAACAGATGGCCAGATATGCGGCAGGCAGACACGCCAAAACCAAACGAAAGATGGCAGAGGTGGAAGCGGAAGCCGGGGCAGAAGCCGGAGCAGAAACCGAGGCTGAGGCGAATTCTCCGCCAGCTAAAAGAAGAAGGTTAGCACACAAAACTGTCACTGCCCCCGCTGCTGGTCCTGCCTATGCCCCTGCCATCGGTCCTGCTCTCGATACTGTCCCTGCTCTCGCCGGGCAAGAACCCCAGGAGGGTGATGACGATGATGCTGCTCTGCTCGCGCTTTTAGACCCTGAACTCTTTAACGAAGAGGGACTTGCGGGCGATGAAAGCGCCGCCTTGCAGGCATTCTTCGAGGAGAACGAATGGGCCGGAGAACCGATGGAGGAGGGTTGAAAGGGGCAATGAGGAAAAGAGGTAAGAAAAGTAGGCGAGGTCAACACCGACAGCCCTCACCATTATTGTGTTTCTTTCATGTTATGCTATGCTAATATTGTATTCTGATATATCGAGCTACCATTCTCTGACGCCACGCAAAAATAAAACTTACAAAGTTACTTCTTCCCCTTGTACATCCAATGTCTCTTTCCTTCTGAATGTAGTAAATTGTAGAACTGGAAAAATGAAAGAAAAAGAGATCGCCGGAGTTATATTGAAGCGAATGACAGTCATCGTAGTTCGAACTTTTATATAAACATAACTACAGACCTGAGTCCCTTGAGAGATTGTAGTTATTGGGGAGACAAAAAGATAGACATCATCACATTTTTGCAATATTTCAAGCGCAGGTAAATGGCTTACTTACTGACCCCGACTGGAATTTATCAATCTAGGAAGCATAGTCAGTAATCTTGCTCGGAAGATGAAAGGGGAAAAGGCTTACCAGTTCAGCGATGCTAGCATATGTACCACATCCAAAAATAATCATGCCCACCAGGAATACGACACCATTCAAAATCGCAGGCTTCAAATTGTGCTTTTCATACCATGCACCCTCTTTCAAAAGCATATACCACATGATTGGTGGGATATAGAAAGACAGACCAGACACAAACAAAGAAGAAATGATAGAAAGCAATTCGGAAAAGATGGGGATGGCCTCAGCAATTATCCAAGCTAGGATGGTAACAATAAACACAAGACCAAGCCATGTGCTCCAACCCTTCGCGGTGTTGACGAAGCGGACGACTGAGTCCCGGTATATCTTTCCGTGGATATATCGACAGACGACTGTTGTATTGATAGACCCCGAAATGAAGATGACTGGAAGCGCTATGCCGAAGACAATCCTTGATATAACGGGGCCTGCGGACAGCAAAGCAGGCGATTGCACCTCCTGCCCGACAAAAGCATAGATGATTGACCCTGTCAGGGTGTAGATAACAATCTGGATACCTCCTAGCCACCATAGCGTTTTGGTATAATCCTCGGGAGTATGCATATCTTCCATGAAAGACGGCAGACATCCAGCAAAGGAATATGCGAAAACAATATTATTGGTGGCTACGATAGCCGCGGAGAAAGTGAGACCAGGCTTCGGCCAAGCAGACCACGGTACGAGATCCGCAGCAAAGTCACCCGAACCATTCGAGCTCTGAATGCCAGTCGCAATCATCGTAACCCCAATAGCCAAGACAATCGACGCGAAATCAATATAGCCGAGTATCGCAATCTCAGCAAAAGACGGAGGAATAGCGAGAAACATCAGGATTGCAGCAGATGCAACGCTAAAGATAATCGAGCACGAACTGCTTTGAGTGATATTCTGGAACGCAATCGCGCCAGTCAAGCAGTGCGACCCGATCACGAAGACAAGCAGAGCAACAAAGCTGCCCACGAAGAGTTTTGATCCCAAATTTCCCAGCAGAAGTCGGCCGACATCTGCATAATGACCAACTTGTGGATACCGCAGTTTGACTTCGCCGATGTTGTAGCCCGCGTAGATTGCAACGAAGCCAAGTCCAATAGTTAGGATCACGCCTGCGACCATTCCCAGAGCGGCGAATGCAGATGGTAAACCTAGGCTCCCCAGAGCGATTGCCTCGACTATCGAAATGACTGTGAGTCGTTTCCAGCCCAAACGGCGGAATCGGGCGTTTCCTTCTAATATTCCTTGTAACTCAGGGTCGGAAAGGTCCTGATCCTTGGGAAGACCTTCGCTGGCCATTGTGTCGAGATCTCGTGGACAGTTTATCAATGAGTTGTAGAGCTGTATGCCAGACTGGTGTAGGTGTAAGCGCAGCCTAACAAACGTAAAATTAACGAAAAAAAGAAAAAAAATCAAAACAACGAAGAAAGGCGGATCAGATAAGATCAAAAGAGTTAAAATCAACCGATGGTCGGACATGCAAAGTGGAGTCAACCCCTCAACAACATGATGCTTTACCCTTATGAAGGGTACATCGCCTGTCTAGATGTGGAGCACAGTGGAGTCCGCCAAAACGATATGTATCAATCATATTGATTGAGATATGGGGGACACTACTGATTCGCAAGATTCCTGGCGCTAGATTCGGTTCAACTATATTCTGCAGGTGGAAAGTAGGCCGTGTCGGGCGAAGCCGCAGGAACAATGAGACACTGGCATCCGCTAGGCTTATACAGGATAAGCACCGGGTCTTTCCAAGGCTGCTAACGAAAATTTCAAGGTCCAACTCCCGAGGTTGTACGTAATTGTCTCTCGTAAATCCAGCTCGTGAGGAACATCTCTTGCTTTCCAGGTCGTTTATGGGATAAATATTTTTCATTCACGTTTGGGTTCTACGTCCCTCAAATATCATATTTGCTTCAGATTTAGCCCTTCATTCTACCCTATTTTCATCTACATACTTCATCCGAGCCTACTCTTCACGAGACCGGTGTTCTTCATTCCAGCTAGTCTGTAGACGAAATTTTCTCGCTATGCTTCAAAATGCAGCTCTTAAATGCCCCCCAAGAACTCAGAGGAATTTGGCAAACCAGACACCTTGCTGGAGGATCCAATTTTTGTTTGGAGTCTGACATGTCTTCTTGAATTCCCCCATGGCTTGCCCGAACATGATGATGAAGGTTATCCCTTCTACCGAAGATTCTCCCACAAGAGTGGTGTGGACATTTCCATCTCGTATCCGAGCAATGCATGTGCTGAACATGTCTTAGCAAAACCTCAGCCCTACTGAATTGTCTTGAATTGGTACAGAGTGGACATTTGAAGCTCGATCGAGGACATTTGCGCTTCTTGTTCGACACTCCCTGTGCGTCGATAAATGGCCAGCCAATTGCGGGTCCAATATGTGGCAGAGCAGCAGTGACATCGTCTCCCCTAGCATCAGTGCTCCAGTTGCAGAATAATTCATCAATGTGAGAATCTTGTTCTGGAAGAACGCCTTTCTCGCGCAGGAGTTGAATGATATCATGGTGGCCACGATCTAAAGCATAGGAAACAGCAGTGTTTCCTTGATCATCTCTCCGGCCAAAATCAATGCAGTAATTGTTGAATGCGCCAGAAGCTCCCGTTTTAACAACGGAGTGATCCAGTAAAGTTCGAACTATCTCAATCGAGCCATTATAACACGCCCATAGGAAAGGGGTCCGCCCGTAATTGTTCATAGGGTCTGGGTGTGCGCCTCTATTGAGAAGAAGTTCGACGGTCTCATGGTGTCTTCCATACGATGCCTCTGTCAGAGGGATTTTATTCCCAATATCTGGGTTTGGGTCGATACTGTAGTCCAAGAAGAGCTTCACGACCTCAGTGTAACCGTTCAATGCAGCTAGAGAAATTGGTGTCTGGCCTTCTTCGTCATGCTGAAGTGGCTCAACCCCATGATCGAGAAGCATCTTTACAACTGACAAATGACCATTCGAAGCGGCCCATGCGAGTGGATCCCGATTCATAGAGTCCCTGGCACACGACCAATCACACTGGCTGATAAGAAACTGCAATACTTTCTCCAATCCGAACCATGCGGCCAGGTGGAATGCCGTAAATCCCAATGGAACTCTCAAACAATAGCTTTCGAAGCCGTAATATCCTTTCAAGGAAAATAGCGCTTGGACACTCGCATCTAGCACGTAGCTATTCCCTAAAAACCATAGTAAGAGATCATCGATTGTTGAATGCACCCGAGCATGGTGGCCCCAATTTTTGGCAGCGTAAGAATATAGCGGATATTGACTAAGCCGGGCTTCAAATTTGATGTCATTCGAACACATTCCTTGGCGGAAGATATCGTATGAAAGGTAAGTAAGGCAGCTTGCCGTGATAGTCTTATCTGCCTCTGGGAAGAACCCAGCCTGATGTCGTGTGAAGTATTCTTGCATCGTATAATGGGCCAATTGAACCACTTCCTTTGTACCGTCGGACCCAACCGTGATTAGTCCTGCACACGAGGAGATTATGTCTTCAAGATCATAAAGATCTTCTTCGTTTAGATCCGATTCTCCTAGTTCTATCGTAAGAGCGGTACGTAGCTCTAACGTAGTGAGGGGTCGTTTGGCGCAGATAACCCATGACAACGTGTCTTTGGCCAATCTTTGGCGACGTGGGTCTTGGTTGTTGATACGTTCCACAACGTCTCGGTACGCATCGTCAACGGCAATGTTTCCCTCATCAATCTGATTTGATCTATTGATCAATCTCTCCAATTCGTCATTTATCTCTTTGGATCTAGGAGCCGAGATCAATGAATCTAAGTAGAGCTGCGCCAATAGAAACCTATATAATTGTTAGAAATTGAGATGGAATAGTAATACCGAACTTGTGGCCTTGAAATCTTACATTCCCTTAACAGAGTCTGCGATGACAAGTATAGCCTTCTCTTGCAGAGCCGGTCTTCGGATCAAGGCACAGTCCTCCTCGCAATCTTCCAAACGAGCCTTGAGATATCTCATAACATCTTCTTTTCTTGCACGTATCTCTTGAAAAGGGCTCCCTTGGAATCTCGCCTCTATCGCGGGAACAGATCTTGAGGTTGACAATAAGTTCAAGTTCCCAGACGCCCGAGTCTCGGATATTTGGCTGAGAATGCGAGATATTGTGACAGCCTTGCATTCATCAAGTGCATCAATGACAATAAAAACTTGTTTCAAAGCCATTTGAACAACATCTTTAAAGGCTTTGGAAAGGTCCTTGAATGAAGGCCGGGAGCCATTGCTTCTGTGCTTTTCATACAACAACAGAACCGTCGATGGAAGTAGCGGAAGTCTCCGAATTAGCTGTCGAATCATACTTGCTAATACATTATCTGGGGACTGGCGAGGGTCATCACAATAGCGAAAGCTGCAGAAAATGTAGGCAATGCCAACACTAGGATCGTTTCCATGACGACGATCCAGCTCATCTATAACGATTGATGCCATATTAGACTTTCCTGCTCCAGGTATCCCAGGACAGAATAACGTTTGCCCCGGATTCTGGATCCAAGTCTGAAATCCAGGTGACTCAATGAACCACCTCCCAGTCCCTGGCTGGTAGAGTGGTTTGCCCCAATCTGCTGCGAAGCTTTCTGATGACAGCCAGTCGAGATGTTTCTGATGCTGTTCCTCATTCTTGTAGTTGACAAGCTCTTGAACTTGATCTTGGGTGATGCGCACATTAATAGCAGTGAGGGACTCAATGACGCTACAAACCCGATCCCGAAGTTCTCGAACGTCTTCTGGGTCCAGTTTGAGGCGTTTCCAAACATGTTTGATGCTAGAATTCTGGCCTATCTCTCTGTATTCGCCAATAACCTTCCAGATATCTTGGATCAGATTTTTGCAGTCGTTTGCTATCAGTTCCAGTTTGTTTTTCTGTGCTGCGTTTGGTATATATGTCTCGACGTCCTGTATGAGAATGGAGAGTCTTCTCACTCTATAAGCCTCCAGGTCAGTATGACAATGCAAATCGCGCTCGGAATTCACGAGGAAATGCTTTACTCATCGTTGAGAAACTTGAACTGAGCGGGCGCACCATTAAAAACTCTTCGAATATGATGAATATCCTTGATGATGCCGAGGAAATCCCCGATGCTAAAGCCGAAACTCATATCTGCCGTTTCATTCAAGAAAGATCAAAGGCGAGCCCAAGGACCTTTGTGGGGCTCCTCAGCATGGCTTTTAATGTCGGGCGGAGATGAGGCTGTGTTGCGCTGTGTTGGGGCTGTGTCAGTTGCGTTTGTCTGCGCTGCCTGATGGCTCATTTTGCTTTTTTTTTTTGAAATATTTCGACGCACCATTGGGTCCAATAATCATTAGCGAGACTTCTCGCGCAGGCGGTAGATGTTCCACAGTAAAAGCAAAAGGTATTGTGGAACTAAGGTGTAATTACTTCACACCATGTGGCGGCAGGCGGACGATCCGGTCGGCCTGCACCATGCCTATCTATCCCCCGTCAAACTTTGAAAATTCCAACTACCATCGAAACATATCACGCCGCCAGATAGGGCTCCAAAGGCGTGTCTCCAATACAGAAAGAAGAAGCGCAAGTGCAATGGCCGGCATCCAGCTAGTTGAAGAGACCGAAGCACACTGCGAGAGGTCAAAGCAATGACAATCACCTGGAGTTGCTACTATTGCTATCATAGTCACGGACAAGACGAGACCGCTGCCTTCTTGACATGGGCCATCAGCCAACTCTGTCACCGAAGTTGCTACATTCCACATAATGTGCAGGTAATGTACCGGATGAGCGGTCAACAAAGTCTCACCGGGTTGCTAAACGCGCTTGAGAGTGTTTTCCACTGCTCTTTGTGACTATACTCCCCGTGCCATATATAAGAGTAGCCCACCTTGAGACTATGGAGAGTTGAGAGTTCCCGTCGTTGATCCTGGGTTCAACAGAGCCCAAATTATGGGAAGTGACTTATTTAGCCAATTGTGGGTTCCAATATGTCAATACGTTCTGCGATCATCTTTATTGAATCATTCTCATAACATCAAGTCTGCTCTAAACCGTGACTTCAGAACCTGCCCTCTGGCGTAATTTATATCTTTGCTGATGAGCCTTGCGCCGCAGTAAAGTCGATAACCACCTTGAGGGCATTGTGCGCAGAAGCCTCTTTGAAAGTGTCGTACGCCTTTGTTGCCTCAGCTAGAGGGAAACCTGGAGCTATGAGTAAGCATGGTTACATCGCATTCTTTTGCCTTTTGTATACATACTATGAGTTACCAATGAACTAACATCCAACAATCCTGAATCTACAAGGTCCAGCAACTGGGGAGTCGTGGTTCCATTTACCAGGGATGTATATATGTCTAAAGGGTCAGTAGGCTTCAGTATCCAAGATTTTCCAAACTTACTGATATTCCGATCCCACAGGGCTTCCAAATGCAGATCCACCTTGATTCCATGGACGCCTGCGTTGGCAATACGGCCACCCACAGTGACAAGGTCCTGGCAAAGTGCAAACGTCTCAGGTATACCAACTGCTTCGATGACAGAGTCAAATCCTTGGCCATTGGTCAAAGCCATAAGCTGCTGGAGGGCATCTGGTGCAGAAGAGCTGATGGTTGCGTCAGCACCTAGCTTCCTGGCAATGACAAGTCTCGGTTCATTGCGTCCGACAACAACAACTTGCTTCGGAGAATAGAGACGCGCGGTGAGGAGCGCTGCTATACCGACAGGCCCAGCTCCTATAATCACGACAGATGCTCCCGGAAAGACATTTGCGCCGAGAACACCACATTCAAACCCGGTTGGAAGAGCATCTGACATGATGACCGCTGCACGGGGATCTATAGATGGTGCAAGTGGATACAAGGAGGTAGCCGCATGTGGAATGCGCACATATTCAGCCTGTGTGCCATCAATGCGGTTTCCTAATATCCACCCTCCAGTTTGACAATGAGCGGCGAGACCACCTCGACAACGCCGACATGCGCCACACGAGGTAATACAAGAGATCAGTACTCTCTGGTTGACCTGTAAGTTATGGACTGCAGAACCTAAGGATTCGATAACCCCAACACCCTCATGGCCAAGTATTGTTCCGAAATCGGCAGTAGGGACATCTCCTTTGAGGATATGAAGGTCAGTCCCGCAAATAGAGGCATACATTAAGCGCACCACAGCCTCAGTGGGTGCTTGAATAGTAGGCTTTGGGCGGTCTAAGAGCTCAACCCTCCCTGGGCCACTATAGACGAACGCTTTCATTTTTGCCAATGTAGTCGAAGCAAAGAATAGGGAAAAAGGCCCTCACTTGTTAGAAACACAAATTTTAAATGTCAGATAAAAAAAGGGATGTCTGCGGGGTATTAATACACAACTGGTATCATCTTTGCATAATATTTTGGGTGAATTTACGCGATGAGTGTGTCAAACCTGCATATGCAACCATACTAATAGGGTCGGATAGCTGAGTTTCTTCCCTATGTTCATCTTTCAGCTCAGCCCATTTCCTCTTGATAGCGGCGCTTGCATAATTATTAAGGACTGGTTCCTCTGGCTAAATTAGCATCATTCCGTATTCGGGGTTTTGCTGTTGACATATATCAAATCATGGATTTTTTTTTTTCCAGTCAAACAGATTCTGTTGGAAATGGGTTTGCTTTTTCCACCCAATCTCTGCATCATAATTCAAGCGGGGCTCTGGTGTATACTAGGTAAACGGATCTAAAGCGCCAACCTTGGAAGACTGAGATCTTTAATTTTCACCCTTTGAATCGAGACGGACATTGATTGCTTTGTCGAATGGGTAGGAGGATATTACAGTAAAGGGAAAAATAGAGGATGTGATAGCTGCTTCATGTGTTTCCATGTAGGCTTAGTACGCGAAGCTTGTAGCAGCTCCCGTGATAACTATATTCCCCAAGCCTGTTTCCAGTGGACTACGGTTAGAAGGCCCGACGAGTCAACTTAATTGTAGGTTCAAAAGGTTCCAATTAATCATGAAATTTATATTCCACCGAAATTTGCGACACGAACAATTTCAGATTCTTGCGGAGAGGAAATCTCAGACGGTTGCAGTCCTTGTCTTCCACGCGCCAATAGGCACCTTGAAGTGAAGCGAAAGTCAACTGGCGCAATTAAGTGAAGTTGGGCAACGTTCTTCTACGTCGACGAAACATTATAAGAGTCACAAAATTTGTCGAGCTAGAATTGCGAGGCAGTCAATTTGCAGCGCAGAAACACTTAGTCGGTCTTTTTCTAGTGGCCCAGAAAGCCATGCTTGAGCAGCATACACCCATCGATGAACCATTTTTCGGAATCCGATATCTGTATTTTCCTGCTTGTGTAGGCTTGACCCTATTCCAATCACGAGAAGAATTTTGAGGCGTAGCTCATTGGGGGCATTATGAAGATCGTTCCAATACCTCCGGTAATCAGCCCAAAAGGAAGGTATATGAAGTATCCGATGCGCTGACTCGAAGTATTGCAGATATAAAGTTACCATAATATCTGGTGTCTCGCGAGACGGGGGTTCAAGGCCAAGCTGGGGATTCGATAGTGATCTGCTAGGTCGCCAGATCTTGATGCTTCTCGCTGTGTGTTTGCATTTTTGAAGAAGATCACCGGCTTCAAGGAGAAGCGCTCTGCTTTCAGCGCCTTCGAATGTTTCTCCCTTACCATTTCCAGTAGCTTCGGTATAAAAGGCCAAAAAAGGCTCAAACTTGCGATATAATTAGCGGAATGGTTTAAGAGGCATGTCAATGCATACCGTAACTCTTTAGCTGTGCCTATCCACAAACTCCATCGCATAACTCTAGTTTTTGTGAAAATCCACTGAAGACCTTCAAGCTGGGACGGGCGATTGAATATTTCCCGACTTGTCTCAGGTAAACTATGCACAGGTGTTTGTGCCGAAGATTGTTCTAGGCTCTGGACCCGTCGTAAAAAACTCGCAATGGCTGATTCTGTGTTTCGTTCTTGCCTTGGCTGTTCATTACCAACCTGACCGGGAAAAGCCGAACCATAATATGGTCTTCCTGCTAGTGTTGGTGTCCCTATCACAGTAGTGCGGATTCCAATGGCTGGCCATGACCTGTAGATGACGGGGGATCATCTCTGGACGGTTCAACATGTGACGATGGTGAAGGTACGAGAGTACCCAGTGTTGATTGTCTTGAGGTGCCTTCTCAAGACTCCAGGGGGGACCTGGGTTGATCGCCGTAAAGCTTGTAGGTACATCGTGTGTGGACAGAGACACAACGCGTGCAGGAGTCATTTCGGTCCCAGCGGATTTTGCGACGGCGACACTCAATGCAAGACCAAGCTGGCCTTCGGCGTCGACGGGGTTGAGACTCCATGGAGAATTTGCTTGGATGGAAGTGTTTTGATAGAAAGAAGTCTGGGAGAGCGGAGATTTCGTGAAATGAAAATGCCGGCTACCTTGGAAGAATTAACCAATGAACTGCAGTTGAATTATGCATCTCTCTTTATGAAAGTCTTGCGGGGTCAATCATCTGCAGGTTCTTTGGTCATTATACATCGATGCTGCATATCGGTCTCTCGTCTCCGACGGAGTACGAGCAACACCGTCGGACAGATAATGACATGTGAAATGTTAAGTAGCAACTAATTTCATTTAAAAAAGAGGAAGATAGTGGAGTGATCTTTAGTTCTTCAATTTATTCAACTTTGCTTGATCCATCAGATGGCTCTTCTATCCCTTTTGCTCTCGCCATGGGCTATTGCCGTGGCCATCCCCGCGTGGTTCGCGATCTACTACATATACCCCTATTTAGTATCATACGGGCACTTAAGTCGAGTTCCGGGTCCTCTTGTTGCCAAATTTAGCAACATATGGGTCGGATTAAGTGCCAAACATGGCCAGAAATATGCCGCAGTCGACGCGGCGCATCGAAAACACGGCAAAGTCGTCCGTATTGGTTTCAACCATGTGTCTATCGCAGATGAACGGGCATTAAATGTTGTTTATGGGCATGGAAATGGCTTCCTCAAAGAGTAAGTCATGTTTCCTGTCCGAATTTATATTTCCTAGTGTTAACGAAAGATATTTAGTCACTATTATGAAGCCTTTGTGGCGCGAACCCCGGGCATGTTCAATGTTCGCGACCGTGCCGAACACACACGCAAGCGGAAAATTATATCACATGCCTTCTCTCCCAGATCAGTTGCTGAGTTTGAGCCGTTTATGGCAGAAAACCTAGAGCGATGGACAAGCCAGCTGGACCGGATCGCGGGTTCTCAGTCACAAAACAACGGGAAGGTATTTGCTCCATACAACGCAATGCCCTGGTTCAGCTATCTTGCCTTTGACATAATCGGAGATCTGGCATTTGGTTCACCATTTGGCATGGTAAACAAGGGCAAAGACGAGACTGAGACGCAGCTCGTGACCGGAGGACCCATTTCATACACCCCGGCAGTTGACGTGTTGAATAGACGAGGCGAGATCTCTTCGACATTGGGCCTTCTTCCAGCACTGCGTCCATGGGCTCGGTACCTTCCCGATCCATTTTTCACCAAGGGCGTAGCGGCCGTGGAGAACCTGACGGGGATTGCTGTCGCCGCTGTCGCGTCACGACTAGATGCCGCGGAGAAGGGAATGGTCGACTCGCGCAACGATATTCTTTCGCGCTTGCTACAAGCCAAGGATGCTAATGGAAGGGAAATGGAGCGGGACGAGCTCATAGCAGAGGCTCTGACACAGCTTATCGCTGGCTCGGACACAATATCCAACACGGCCTGCGGGATCTTTTACTGGATCCTGCATGGAGAACGTAGTGCACCGGGTACGATAATTCCCCGACTACAAGAGGAGTTGGACCAAGCAATTCATTCTGAAGCAAAGATCGCATCTTATTCTCAAATCAAAGAGCTCCCATTCCTGCGAAGATGTATTGATGAAGCAATGCGACTGCATTCTACCTCGGCTATTGGTCTGCCACGTTTGGTCGCCGATCATAGCCCGGGTGTCGATTTTGATGGCTTCCACTTCCCACCTGGAACAGTACTTTCAGTGCCCTCGTACACTATCCATCATATGAAGGATATTTGGGGAGACGACGTCGAGGAATTCAAGCCTGACCGTTGGTTGAACCTGACTGCCCGACAGAAAACTGCTTTCAACCCATTCTCATATGGCCCCCGGGCATGTGTCGGACAGAACGTCGCCATTATGGAACTGCAGCTAATCATTGGAACTTTGTTTCATCGGTATGAGTTTGCATTGTACCAGCAAACCATGGAGTCTCACGAAGGGTTCTCGAAAAAACCCAAGGAGTGCCAGGCAGGTCTCAGGTTGAGAGAGTGCAGTTGACCTCTCGCATTTTTTCAATGTTTATATGAAACTTACAGGAATGAGGATTATATTCACAACGGGAGTATGTCAATATTTGTTAACTGAGGTGAATTCAAATCATATTACCAAAGAACATATCTTCAAGCGATGGAAACTCCTGTTCGATACCCCATTCGTTACAAACCCAGGGCTCAGTAGCATGTTGCACTGACTGCGGCATATAAATATCTGTGCTATTCTCTCCCATCGAAGTCACACAATCTTCTTGCTCAATCCTATCTGCAACATGCTGCTTTATGATGTTTAGAGACCACCGGCTCACAGGCTCGGCTTTGCCTCCACATTGAATATGCGAAACAGCTTGTTCCATGAGAACAATTACACTTCCCAGGTCATCTAAATGGGACACGAACTCAGCCAGTGTCACCATCGCAAAGGAACATAGCACGTTTTCATAAGCAGGGTGGATATAAGTGGTCAAATCTGACATGGAGACAAATAGGTTCAAGAGTTCGTGCGACTGGCTAATCGCGAACCGAATTAACGGGAGTGTTGATTCCTCTGGTGTTGTTCTGGAGTTGCTAATTTCCTCGGGTTGAGTTTCGCTCATATGTTGGAGTGTGCGACGTGCCAGGATCAGGTATGCGCAGGAGTATGCAAACCGTAGTGGTTCAGAGGAATCGAGCTCTATAAAAAATTGGAATTAGTGTTTATATAAGTGCTCTGATTAACAATTGCTCACTGTAAATGTTCTCCTGGGACTTTCGCAAGTTGTCGATTTCGGGCCAAACAGCACTTCCCTTTTGTATCACGTTGGAGCTTATAGTATCCCAAAGGAGCCGGTATAACCTGACTCCAGCCAATACAAGTTCATCCCGCGCGTTGTATGATGGAAAATCGAGGACTTTAATGCATTCGTCAAAGTACTGGCTAGATATGATGGGTGGACGACCAGAGCCAACAGAAAACCTGAGATCGGTGTTAGACTTGATATAGACATCGCAAGGATCGGAAGTTGGTTATTGTAACGCACTGTAGCTGACATAGGCAAATCAAGTTCCAAGTGCGCATTATTTCTTGTGCTTGGGCTCGTTCGCGTCCACCGGCGTCGCTTGTATTTGGAAGCTGCCCAAAGGGAGTAGTCATAATCACCCGCATAGCCGCCGTGCCACTGAGAAGCCACGAGGTACCGTGGTCTGGGCCCAAAGTTGGCCGTAGGTCCCACATGGAGAAAATCAACATCGACTGTATTGTGTCGAGCGAGGCAGCGGAAGAAAGATGTGCCTGACCCAGCAGTCCGTGAATATGGCGATACAAAGCTTGATGTGTTGATGAACCATGTAAGGAGGGGGTGATATGGAGACCGGCCAAAATACAAGTACCAAATAGGAGCTGCGATTTGGTGCGTAGCTGGACGGGGTCTGTACTCATGAATAACCAGCGGTTGGATAATTTCGAGAATCTGGCAAGTCAACCTCGGAATAGGTTCCAAAAGAACATTCCTGAGAGCGTACTCACCCTTTAAGAAGTGTGATAGCAAGTTCCTCGGAAACTATACCGTTGATTATAATGTCTTCAGTGCTATCATCGCTGGTCGACAGTTGTTCATGTAAAGTGATGTTCTGTCGGATCTCTTGGATAAGATTCATGGGTGCATCGCGTGCAGTTCGTTCAATAATTGATGGAGCTACCTAGAATATTCAATCAATTGTATTGCCAAGATGACCTGCAGGTAACTGAAATTTACCCCTGGTCTACTCCGGCAGTCGCTAGCACTGCGGACAGATAGTGATGCTTGAAGTTGACTCAAGGTGGTTTCCACCGCACAAAGCCTATTTGTCATCAATACATTGATCGAGTCTAGCAAAATCTAGCATGGGATGGGATGGTATACCGTGCATGGTAGTCATCGCGGCTTGTCACAGAATCCACCTCCGCCTCCAGCAGCGGCTCGGGGTGACTGCGGGAAATGGCCTGGAAAGAGCACCTAACCCTAAATATGGTCAGATATGAAAGCCCAGTAACCCGATTTCTCAATCTGGCTTGCTACCGGAGAACATTGCAACGATGACATCGGTCAGAGTTGCCCGTTTCGCATCGCGTTTTCAACCGCCGACAAGCTTCGCAGGATCGCGCTTTGCTCACTTTTGGCTTGCCTGAGGCGTTTCTATTTCGTCTTCGTTTCCCAACACACGACTCGGACAAAGGCATGATCGGTTGATGGAATGAAGTTAGGTAGGCAACGGAGGAACAAAGATAGTGTGAGTCCCACTCCTGGGGAGGACGAAACTGTTGGTCTTATGTTTGCCTGCAGATGCGGGCACATGCGCCTTGTTTGTCAGGCTCTTATAAACTCATCAAGTATACAACTACTTAATTATCCCATGTGTGTGTAACGTCCATTGAAACCACATGTTCTATTATGCATGTTCAATGTTGCTATGTGGATAGCTACATACCTGGCTTGAATTTCTATAGCAAATAACCCCTCTCTCCTTTCTATATATCCTCACATATCAAGACTCTGGTATACTTGAAATTAGTTTATTGGAGATTTGAATACTAATAAATTTGAGACTATTGATAGGACAGCATAGATCATCCTTCAATTCTCGAACATTAGCGAAAAATCATTGAACCCCCACCTTTGACTTGCTATCGCACTGATAACCTCCACTACTCCACTCCAAGCCTTGAATTCTACTCAAGTTCTTTATCCGATTCAATTTATTGTGCTGTCATAGTGGGCCTAGCAGAAAGAGAAATTGAACTAAACATAGTAAAGACGAAAAGTATGTGGGGACCCGAACTTTATATTCGAAGATTGTGGGTAATATAAGGGTTTACTCGGATATAACATCCTAAAAGTGAGATCCGCTAGATGGTTTCGATTTATCAATGTTTCATAGAAAAGAGCAAATATATAACTGCGTAAAATGCGGCGATGGCGCTAAAGATAGTATCAATATCCAATAAAATACAACCAAACTCTAAGCCATTCGACACCTTGCCTGACCTAAAGACTAGCTTCGCTAATGTTAGTATCTAATAAGACTAAACCCCAAGCCATTTGAAACCTTGCCCGACCTAAAGAAAAGAAGATGCCCCAGCTTAGACCGTCTTTCCTGCTGGATCCCTGAGAAAATACTCGGTGAGGATCTTGAATGCCTTCGATATCGACGTTTGGTCGGATAATTCGTAAAGATTAGAAGAGCGTATGATAAGGGATTTTGATGATAAATTATAATAAGACTCTAATAAACGTGCACGCCTTCCTATTAATGAGATAAGTAGAACCTGTAGAATACTTGGTTAGCAAACCCAAAGGATACAATAGAAGAGAGGAAAGAGGGAATAGAGCATTACCGGTGATATTTTATGGTGAACTAAGCGCACTTCCCTTAATTGGCCTAATATTATGCGAAGGCTGATTAAGAGTTCTTCACGGAAATAAGTTTTATCATCCGCCTTTAAGCCGTTGTATATGACTGCTTTAAAATGTGGAAAATTTCTCCCGGAAATATCTATCACCCTGTCTATGTGCACTCGCCGCTCTCACCCCTAGTCGCGCGACACTAAAACTATTCACCCTCGCTAACCTGCCACCATCAACCGATTCACAACACATATTCGTTAGAAATGCAAAACCAAGTACATACGACCATAGGGTGTGGAAAACAGGGCTTCCCGTCCGCTCAGCCGTACTTAAGCCACACGCCGGTGAGTTAGTAGTTGGGTGGGTGACCACCAGCGAATCCTCACTGTTGTATGTTTTTGTTCACTTATATTTTTTGATCGGTTAGGTTTAGTGCCTTGCCGCCCTACTCTTCAGTCCCTTCAGCCTATTCACCTGAATGCCCTGAACACCACTATTCTACACCTGAATATCCTGCACGCCCCTGAACCGCTGACGTGTCCCCCTCCCACACTGATTTTCTTTCCCTCATAGACGAGTTGTTTTGGTCACAACTATTTTAGTACTAGCTTCTACCAGTTGACACATCCTCCTGAGATTCAAATGACAGCCCATGCAGCTTTAATCCATTGAAGATCATCCCAGTCTAATGTTGACGAATCTCGGAGCACGGGGGTATCGTTGCCTGGCTCTCCTGGATGTTGCACTTTTGCTCCTATGCTATTAATAGTACTTGCCTCCAATTCAGCTTTCAACCGCTCTCATCTGCTTCCGATGACAGCCAAAGGCGCTTGGGTACCCGCTCGCGACCCCCTTCTCTTTATTGAGCGGTAGGTATAGCTGAAAGGTCACGGCACCTCCACCGAATCGAAGATTGGGATGAAATGCACCTTCGGCCTCACAGCATGCAGCAATTTCTTCATGGGAAGTGGACGGGTATGTCGAGACGGCGTAGACAATATTGTGGCGCGCAGCACCACGCGCCAAACAGATATCGCCGTAAAGGTGGCCTAGCCTTGCGAGGGCAGTTGGAAAAATAAATACAGGAAGGCTCTTCTCGTGGCCCATTATTCTGCTACGGAGCGACACTCTAGCGACATTGCGCATGACACGGGGTCGGAGAGTGATCTTTGCCCAGTCGTCGCGGCTATAGGTTCTCTGCGCCGGAGCTGTAGTATGTCCAAGCTCGGGGGCTTAGAACGAGTTTTGCGACATGCTCGAAGTCCTCCAGGTTATGTAGAGTATCTATAGTTGGAGTCCTTTCGGTATTGAGCTTTCGATGTTGGGCCTCGTTATGGACTGTTGATCTCTAGAAGGATCGATTGGGCCTCGGTGTGTTTCTGGTCTTGCTTTAGATATAGCTTCAACCTATAAATGAGACATACGGACCTTGAGGAAGTTGTTCAATGGTACCTGGGGGATGGAGTGTCCCATAAGCTGCTGTTGCATCTTTTCCCGCATGCTGTAGAATGGCACCCGCACCGCCGGGTGCTCATCCAGAAACTAGGTCACATCATACACATAATTCTTGATGACAACCCAGCATGAGTGCCGAGAGTTGCTTCGGTGATCGCAGAGTTGCAAAAAGAATTAATGCTCATCTCACAACAGAAGCTCGTCAGCAGTTGTTGGAGAACGTGTTGGCGGCAAACTGCCCCACGGCAAACCATGAAGGACGTCTTATCTCTTTGTCTAAAATTGCTGTAACTTCCTTGGGAAGAGAATCACTTAGAATGATAGCTCACCCCACAGACAGCCTGGGGTTACTGCCTCGCCGGTTCCCATGGCGCTCTTCTCTTGCAGTAAGAATGTCCATATTCAAACACCCTTGATAACCTGTTTATTCCCTTCAAGATCCGAATTTACCAAAGGATGACGCAAAGTTCTTCGGTTACCTAAGACTAGGGCATTGGATAAAACCTCCGTTATTTGACTACTAGCGCCTGGTAACGATTTGGTCTCTACTGACCTCATCGCCAGGCATATGGTATACCCGTTCCACTAGTGCTGCTTAGAGCTTTAGCGTACAGCTTTAACTGGAAAAACCGATATCCACTTAATTCAGAAAATTATGCCACCGCAATCCGAAAGTATATACCTGAATTGCCAAGCAAACGTAAACGTGGAGCACAGCTATTGGCTAACGCTACAAGAGGCCTCGCCTTGCACCTTGCCATATGGAGGTCGATCTAGCCCCGCGTGAGATAGTTTTGAACTGACATAACTCGAGGTGTTTTTCAAATTGTCAAGGACCTGGGACATTACTATGATTCATGATGGACCCCTTATCTGCTCTTAGTCTTGCCACCTCGGTTATACAATTTGTCGACTTCGCGACGAAACTCATCTCCAAGGGCAAAGAGCTGTATCGGAGCACCGACGGCATTCTGGCAGATCATGCCGAGAAGGCTGCCATCTCCTCAAAACTAAGTACTTTATCTAAGGGGCTCCTATCCTCGCTAGATGGAATTTCAGCAACGCAAGGATTATCTGCCGCCCAGGAAGGCCTCCGAGATATTGCTCAGGAGAGTTATGTGGTTGCGGAAGATTTCCTAGTGACGCTGGATGAGCTGAAGGTGGCGACGCCGGGGCGAAAATGGAAGAGCTTCCGCCAGGCGCTAAAGACTGTGTGGAATAAGGACAAGGTGGAGGAAAGGATGACCACTCTGGATCGTCTTGGCCAGGTCGTCATCATACATCTGCTGTTGATCCTTAAGTAAGGGTTACCCCTTCTCAGTTAATTTAACGGAATCGGGCTTATCTGCTTCTAGTGAGGACCAGATAAAGTCTCTTGCTACAACAACCAATGAGATTCGAAGCATGGAAGGCAGGGTTCGAGACACCCTTTCCGAGTATAGAAATGAAATAAAACAAGAGCTTGAACAGCTGCTGCATCAATTAAATAGCCTGGCCATCCAAGCGCGAACCCAATCGACTTCTGAGGACGATCGGAAGAGAGAGATTGTTCGCAAGAGCCTCCTGGATGAATGGAGAAATGAGAACGACGAGGTTCTCGCGAAAATACTTCAAACTCTCCAACAAAAAGCTGACGATCAGAACCGAAGATCGTTCAAACGGATGTTTTTCGACACTTTGTATTTCTCGAGAATGCATGACCGGGAAAACATGATAGACAGCAAATATGATCTCACCCTTGGCTGGGTCTTTCGCACACCTACAGACATGGGATCCATGTGGTTTGACCTACCCAGTTGGCTCTGTGGACCTGGTGGTTTGTACTGGGTATCAGGCAAGGCCGGATCCGGGAAGTCTACCTTCATGAAGTGGCTCCTCCATGAGTCGCGGACCAGGGAGGCTCTTGACATATGGGCTGGGGACAAGCAACTTCTAATAACATCCCACTTCATTTGGAGTTCTGGTACCGAGGAACAGAAATCAGTGTCTGGGATGCTGCGCTGTCTTTTATATGAGCTGCTGATACAATGGCCAGATTCAATTTGGGAGCTCTCACCCTCCAGGTGGCGCTCCTGGGATCTTGAACTCGGGCATTTCCCGGCATGGTCTGACGACGAATTGATCTACACTTTACAATCTCTCCTCGGGCGCTCGGCTCACCATCACCGAATATGTCTGTTCATCGATGGGTTGGATGAACTTGCTGGAGACGACGATCGGCTTGAGAAGGTGTTCCGCCTGTTACAAGAGTCATCTCAATGTTCACATATCAAAATCTGTGTTTCTAGCCGGCCCTGGGAGTTACTCAAAAATAATTTCTCTTCATATCCGCATCTGCGGTTGGAGGATTTGACGTACTCTGATATTGAACTCTATATCAACACCAGACTCCGGGCAAACGAAAGATTCCGAGCCCTCCAGCAACAAGATCCTAGAATCTGTTTGCAACTGGTCTGTGAAATGATCGAGAAAGCAAAAGGTGTCTGGCTTTGGGTTATCCTAGTTAGTCGCTCACTCTTGCGAGGGTTAACGAACCATGATACAGCTACAGATTTGCTCGACCGGTTAAGGGGGGTACCGGAGGAACTGGAAGCATATTTCCTCCAAATGTTCGCCAAAATCGAGTCATTTTATCGAGTCAAGTCCCTTAAGCTTCTCAGGCTGGCTTTGTACAGTCCTGGCGGAGTTTCATTGATGACATGTTCCTTCCTAGACGAAGATCACACAGAATTTCTTTTGCAAACAGCGACGGAGCCTTTTGGCGAGGAGGAGCTGATTCAACGGCTTCAGAGGGCAAAGAGCCGTGTTAATATATTTTGCTTGGATTTACTCGAGACCACTGACTGGGGATCCGGGAGACACATTTTCTACCGCCAGAGTGTTGAATTTCTGCATCGGACAGCGCGGGATTTCCTTCTCGAAAATACTACCCAGCATCTTTTGCAGATGCAGAATATGAAAGATTTCAACGTCAATCTTTTCACCTGCAGAGCGCTGCTAGCTCAAATGCAAATGCTAGAACAACCAACGCGGCTGCTCGTGGCTGATTTTATGAAGCATGCAGCACTGCTGGAGAACGAGTCTCCAGAGGCACTTCTCCCTCTGACAGCTCATCTGGATAAACTACTAGACAGCCAGAGGAATAAACCGTGGTCAAGTGACTCACTACCAGCCTGTCCAGTGAAGGGGTGGGATTGCAATACCCAAGGCCCGAAACCCCTACTTTCTCTAGCCATCCAGCACGGACTCACAGGATACGTCCAAATCTGCCTAACCTCCAACCCGAACCTCGTATTCAAGCAGCAAGGCCGGCCACTCCTAGACTATGCACTCCGCCGGAGAATATATTCACCGTTGGACGGACAAGCCGAACAGCTCGATTATCCAGTCGGTGGCCCCCGCGACCAACCAAACCCCCGGCTTATCCTTCTAATCCTCCAGCACGGCGGCAACCCCAATGAACGGCTTGGCAGCTCTACCCCCTGGAAACTTTATCTTGGGTACCTCAGCACCTTTGCAAAAGAGCTCAATCAGCTCGACGAAAGTAGCCTACAACCGTGGATCCAAACAACAGAACTGCTCGTCCAATATGGAGCTGCCCGGGTTCTAGAACGCCACACGGTTATACCGCGGCAATCAACGGGGCGCACACGAGTCAAACTTTCTTACCGAGATATAACTGCCTGGGATAGTTTAGCTGCGGCTTTTGGAGCGACAGAGGCTGATAGACTATATTCACTATCCTGGAAATTAGATGCTACAGGGCAATCTCTGTTGTGGAACTCAGTCCGAACTGTACGCAACTTTCTGCGATGGGTTGGGTGAACTACTCTTGAATAGAGCGGCGAGCCGCCTATGTCCGAACCGTGGGCGCTAGGTGACCACGACCTTAGACTCACTGTTGTATGTTTTTGTGGTTTTTAAGAAGAAAATTAATTTTTGAATTACAATTCCGACAGCCATTGGTGTGATTGTTGTGTTATGATGTTTCCCTTAGTAGTATTAATATTGGTAGGGAACCATCCTAAAAGCACTAAATAAGTTAGTGCCAAATGCGGCAGCGCCATCCTGGTATAGGGTCTTGTAAGGGGTGTGTGTAGTCGATAGGACTATCGACTAAGGTCAGCTAAAATGAATAGATAGAGCGATATAGCTCGAAATAACGGTCAACTTGCGCTTTCGAACGCCACGGATCGGTATAATCGAGACACACGTCGTGGAAGGTATACGAGTTCCACGAAGTGTGAATAGTGTATGCACGAGAATATGGATCTGAATGAGTAGGACCATCAGGTGAACTAGCCTGATCGAGTATCTCGCTGGGTTGCGGGAGGTTAGGTGTTGGTGAGAAGAAGCGGGGCTTGAGCTCTGAGTTTTGATCGAGAGCCATGTGGCAGAGGTTAACGTTCAATTTCTTGAGTCGTGTCGCATCAAATCTGTGCTCATCAAGGGCCTCAATGGCAGCCTCAAGATCTATCAAGAACCAGCGCTGCTCTAGATGCTCAGTTGTTTCGTGGACTTCATTTTTTGAAGACATGTTTGGTAGCTGAGAGGTTTGAAGTTGTATGGTGATGGATAGGTTGGATAGGAGTGGTGGATTTACGAGTTGCCAATTTTGGGTGTATCGTTAGCGAAGCAACCCCAATTCCTCGGCAATGAATTAGAGCGAAGTGTAAATATCAATGTCATATATTTATTGTTCATACTAGTTATTCATTGTACTTGTATAACCCCACAAATTTAGGAGGAGGATCAAGGCGAATATACCTCGCGAAGCTGAAGCTCCGGGCATTTGAAGTTCGGATCAAGTTCCTTCTCCGACAGGTCAATTGATTGTCCGTGCTGAAGAAGCCGAGCAATTTTGACAGGATCCAAGGCACCCCGCGAAAGAGTGAAGATCTTATCCATTTCCTCAAGACTGCGCCCGGCAGTCTCGGGAAATAGGTAATAGATAACAGGTATCATCATTGCATTGCAGCTCGCGAAAATGACAAAGTATGTCTGTCCCATGCTGTTGAATGCAATGGGTGTGACAGCAGTGAGTATGATGCTGACCGCCCAGGATATGCTGATGCTAAAGCTGTTGATAGTCGTGCGTAGATGCAAAGGCGCAATCTCCGCGGCGTAGAGATAAGGTATAGCGCCAAAGCCGATGATGTAGCTGAAATGAAACAGGAAAATGAAGAAAACAGCACCGCGCATTGCAAGTGGGTTGTCGGCTTGGGTTCCGAGGCCAGCTACTAAAGCCAGACAGACGAAATTGCCGATTGCACTGCCTAAAAGCAATACACGGCGACCAAGTCCGTCGATTTTGAAAACACAGAAGGCTCCGCCAAGGGGACCGACTAGCTGGTAGACTGCTGCCAGGACTGTGGATGTTGAATTGCCGAGCGAAAGGTTGTTTTCGAAGATTGCGGTTGCTAAAGGGCGCAAAATGAGTCAATACACTGTATAAATAGGGGATAGATGATTCGGAATGCGTACTGTAAAAGGTGATGACCGTAGAGCCAGTAAGTTGCAAAAACAACATTGCCAAAGCAGCAATCATAGCTCGATGGAAAGTTCTTTGGGGGCCCATGTGGAATATTTGTCTAAGCGACTTTTCCTCAAACAAGTCCAGTGATGCTTGGACATCCTTGATCTTTGTTTGCACGGCTTGATCATCGACACAAGTATCCTCGAGAGCTGCCAGAACTTCACTAGCCTCAGAGAGTCGGCCTTGTCGGATAAGCCACCGGGGGGATTCTGGTAACAGGTAGATGAACACCAAAACCGCGATGGAAAGCAGCACCACAAAAGCGAAAGGAAATCTCCAGGCGACGCTGCCTTTGGTGAATGACATTCCAAAGTCGAGGAAAAGGGCAAGGGCACACCCAAAACCGCTAAATATTCCCTTCATGCCGACGTGAGCACCACGCTTGTTGGCAGGCGATATCTCAGATTGCCAAAGAGGGATTGTGGCCAGTAGAACACCAGTGCCTACGCCGAGAATGACCCGAGATGTGATGAGTTGAACGAGAGAGCCTGCACTAGCCATCAAAACAGCTCCAAGGACTTGGACGACTGATCCTGTCATTATTGTGCGTCGGCGGCCAAATCTGTCACCTAGCCATATACAGGAGAGAGTCCCGAAGAGCCCTCCTATGGTGTAAGAGGCCACAACAAGGCCTTGTATTTTTGATGCATGTGGTTTATTCTCGGCAGCGACAATGTTGATTTCGGGGAATTGTTCTTCGAAGTTTTTCAGCGTCAAGACACCCCCGAGTAGTGATGCGTTGTAGCCTATTGTGAGGATTCCAGGCATGAGCACCCCAAGAATGGTTGCGATATTGAGGCTATTGCCCCGAAGGCCGAGGAAGCGTGGCATGTGTAGGGCTGGGTGAGGATCAGTGGGTAATATAATTATAATGGATCGGCGGGATTGGGATCGACGCTGATGAACGGATCGTCTAAGTTTTCGGTACAAGGCAGACTTTTTAGCAGCTGTCAAGTTGGTGAAATCCCGGAGATTTAAAGAAACCGAGGACAGTCGAGGCCCGGTTATTTCGGCTCGTTAGTATCACCCTCTAGGCATTCCATTCTGTTGTGCATTATCTTCTCATTGCCACCGAACCCAAGTAGGATGTTTGAACCACATGATCCAGAAGTAAACATGCAAGGCTATTGGACTCATTCGTCTCGGCCCGCTCTAGAGCGAAGGGCTTCCAGTGGCCAGGCCGACAATACTTGGAAGAAAGTGAAAGGCAGAACAGGAAAGGGCCTTGTGACAGGGCTCAAGAATGCACAGAAAGGGAGAGTAACAGGAGAGGGAAATGAGAACTTGGTAAACGGCTTGGTAAAATTGTTGAAGAAACCTCGACGTCTGGCTGGCATAAATGGAACCCAAGAGCCGACGCAAGGGGAAACCTCCCAAATGAGGGTCTAGGCATCTCCAACTCAACGCGCTGAATGTTTGATGCGCTACAGCGTACGGAGTACATGGCCGTTTATTCGCAAGTTAATCTTGGAGCTGTAATAAAAGTGAAAAGCAAGGCCGCTGCGGATCACGCATGGAGCACCTATTGTGAGTCCACTTCAAGTAGTTAAAGAAATAAGATATTAGGGACAGATTAACCTTTACAAGAATACTCGGATGGTAACTCACCCGGGCCGACCCTAAGGGACTCAAATTCTAAGCTTGGAAGCTTCTGTCCTATGAAACCTTGGAATAGACCTCGGGAGCATATGAGCCCGAAACCTGATCCCGAATGCCAAGGGATCAGGAATTCCATATGGAATGATACTGTAAAATTGGGTTACAATTCCTCTCTGTGGCACCTTACCCTCTCATTCATTTTTACAAATCGAAACTACACATTTTGCCACAACTCCTTTGGGGAGCAAGGAGATTTGAAATGATTTTGGAAGCCAAGATCTATGGACAATTTGACCCAACCATCTTACAATAATCCAGTTTTAACAAGGTTTAACCCTAGAAAGTAACAAAGGTATTATGCTGACCTCGGGAGGTCTAGTTATATATAAATATTACATAAGATAACTAGCACTTTAAATTTTGAGGCAAGGTTAATTGACAAGATATCCATCAGGATAAACAAACTCCTTGGGCTTAGTCGCTTTGCTCGACCATGGCACATCTTCATCCTTCCATTGTGAGTAAACGAATTCCTCACTAGCAACCAATTGGTGGATATTACGCCTGGTGCTATATACCATATTCCAGGCCTGCTCCTTGTGGAATTCAGCCACGTTGTTGTTCTCGATATCTGAATCCCGGGAAGCCGAGCCGGCCTTTCTATATGTACTAATCAAGTTGGGAAATGGGGCCCAGCATTCAATCTTGTGACGCCCATGAAGACCCGCGCACAAGTCACTCAGGGCATCATCTACCCGCTTATCCAAATGATCGATGGAAAGAGCGGAAAGAATGTTCCTAGCGCCCCTGATCGTAACTGCATAGCCAAACATGCAGCAGCTCATTTCAGCGCGATAGATAAATCGTGTCGAATCCTCGGCCAATTCTAGATATTGTTGCTTTCACTTTTCGGTGGGTCCACCCCAGGTGGCTCGGTGGTGGACCCTTGAAACTGTGGGGTCCCTCCCAATGCACGTAGGCCTTGGAGAAATATTGCTTGCAATTTGTCTCGGTGCAGGCGGTACAATTTGGACGACTTGAGCTCAGTGATCAGAGCTCTATTCTTACCATTGATAATGAGAAGGCGATCGTTTTCCGTGATAGGAATATGCGGGTAACCTGCACCTGCTCGAGTCCAGCAATGTGGGCACGAGGTATTGCAACGGCCCATAGCCCCAGCGCAGTCCTATACTCCGGTTTTGATTGCGCGTCGGTTCTTATTATTTTTCGAAAATTAAAACGGGATTTTGACCTAAAATGGGCATCGTTAGTGGGGCAAATATATAACTTCAACTTTTGAATTGTGAGACAAAATCCTCAGAGTTCACTGTGGGTTACTTTCCAACCTCCGACCCAACTCCGGGGAGTAAGCGATGCCGAGAACTACCTAGGCACATCCTAGTGTGAGTCTTTGGATATTGTGAATAAACGCAATCTATAGATATATCCACCTCATTTCCCCGCCATGATAATTAAACGCTAAATCCATCATGATTAAAGACGAACATCAAAGAGAAAACAAAAAAACAAGTCTATCTATCTTCTATCTATAAGAGAAACCCAGAAACCAAGTCGTAATACGGAGTTAGATAGCAACTGGGCCGGCACCCAGTCTATCTTTAGGTCCGATACCTTTGTGCCGAACCGCAAACAGACCGATTATCAGCCCTAGCCCAGCTAGACCGACAGAACACCAGAGACCGGTAGCGTACTGCTCTGCGAGACTGTGTCCTTGCTGGATGTCGACAGCATCGGTAACAGCCGCTGAGATAGCCAATGCAACACCAGAGCCAATTTGGAATGCTGTGTTCAGCTAGTTTAGGATGTTAGCATATAAAAGTTGAAATACAGGAAAAGGAAAACTCACCATTCCGCCAGCAAGACTCTTGACTTCGACCGGTACACTTGTGAGTACCACAGTGCTCGTCGTGACGAAGATAAAAGACACCGATGAGATACTGATAAGGGATGTGGGGAGAACATTGAGCCAACTGTGAGAGTTAGTATATTTTTATCCAAAAGGAAATGGCGATACATACAAGCCTGCTTCAGGATTGGAAGTTAAAGCACTCGAGATGGGAGCTACCACAGCCAGAACCAGTCCGGCAATGAGGAGGTGCTTTCCATTCATGTATTCGAGAAGTTTTCCTGTTCCAAGAGAGACAATGAAGCCGATCGCTCCCATAGGCAAAAAGCGAAGTGCTGTATCGCCAGCAGAAAGCTTGTCCACTTCCTGTGCCATAAGGACGATATAGTAAATAACGTTTTGGTAGGTGCCATAGCCAGCTATCTATAATTAGCATTGCCAGAGCACAAGTTCGGGAAACAGGCAACTTACTGAAACCAATGACCCAGAGACCGGCGAAATTGCGAATCTTCCACAAAGAAAGCGGCATGATAGGGTTGCTGACGTATTTCTCAAGGATTGCGAATCCAACGAGAAGACCAACCGCCAAGATCAGCAGGACAATAATGAACGGCTGGTCCCAGCCGTAGGTTCCACCACTGGACAGGACAAATTGGAGCAGGATCAGGCCGGCTGTCGACATCACTGCGCCAATATAGTCCATTCTTTCGTGCTTCTTTTCGGAAGGAACATCGCTTGGGAGGACGATAAAGCCCAGGATTCCCAAGGACCCGGTGATGATGACAATCAGATAGAAGATGTATCTCCAGCCCAACGAAGAGGTCAAGAAACCGCCGAAGATGAGACCGGTACAGAATCCCAGGGTTCCAGAGGCTCCATATATTGACAGTGCACGGGTGCGATCAACGCCACTGAAGTAGGAGCTGATGATTCCAATAGCAGATGGCACTGTCATCGCAGCTCCAATTCCTTGAATGCCACGGAACACTGTGAGTTGAATAAACGACTGCCCAAATCCAATGGCTAGGGTCCAAACAGAAAGCCAGGCAAGACCTAGACAAAGGATCTTCTTTCGTCCATAGCTGTGCAGGTTAGCATTATGTCAAGTCTAGAGACATCAAGTCTAGAGACAATGCAAGGAAGTGTCATACCGATCAGATAAAGCGCCAGCTAACAAAAGGAAGCCACCAAACGACAAAGTGTATGCAGAAATCATCCATTGCAAATCGGTACTAGACACGTCGAAATCTTGTTGAATTGACGACAAGGCGATGTTGGCGCTTGTCATGAAGACATTGTCTAGAAACTGAGAACCGGAGGTGACAAGCAAAATCAGAGACCCTTTCCAAGAACCCAGGCGGCCGAACTGATGCGGGATCTTCTCGAAAATAAGAGGATCCTCGCTACCAGCCGGGGAAGGAAGCATATGCGCAGGTGTGACAGCGCCCGAAAAGTCCGGACTAGAGATTATATTAGGTTCGATGACTTTTGGGACCTCCATGGTGGGTGTTTCATCACCACCATGTGCCTGATGGCCACGCGGTCGACTGAAATAGTCCACAATGCCCATTATGATTGTGAAAATAGAATGAAGATTAAAACGGATGGCCAGAGTAGCACTGGCACCTACTTTCATACTAATATACTAATTACTATCAAACTAAAAATCAAAATCTTCAATCGATCCAGTTTAAAAAGTGGAGTGAGGCCTTTCGGATTACCATTTCGAGCAAGATCTTAGAATGGAGCATGTTCTCTCGGGTTACCTCTTTGAGATGAGAAGACCCACGATGAACCCACGAGGAGTGGAGAGGAGAATTTATTGGCCCTATCACTCGCACATACGAGATAGTATAGGATTTTTATGATTGACATGTGGCACTGATAACGCAATGCATATGCTCCGTGGCCCTATTGCATACAATTTGTAGAGACAACGCATCAATGGCGTCTTGAAAATTGCTATCAGCTTAAAGTCTTCAATCTTTTTTATAAAAAAACTTAAAATGTTATCGGGCCGAGCGCTAAGACCCACGGGATCCCGGTAGGGCTTGGTGAACTTGGCGTTTTTAGGGCTACTTCCAAGGCTGGTGTTTTCTAAAGCTATATATATGGGCTCGGATAAAATTCAGCTAGGACTTTATTTTAATTTTATAGTAATGATATTCTATTTCTACAATTTTTCGTATATGGTCAAATTTTGAGATTCGCCACGCTGATTTTTACTCTCCCGCCGTGACAGCTCATCCCACGTTCATCACCCACAGGCCGTCTTCTAGACCTCTGGTTCTCCCTGAGTGGGGGACCTATATTCTCCGTCGAAAATTTCAGAATCGAAAATTTCACAATCACCCTGATTTTCCTTTTAGCAGTTTGCGCATTCCTTCCTCCGTATGCGTACGGAGTACGCTCCTTTTATTATTAGGAGCGTGGTCCCTACTCATCCTAACGTGGCTGTTGATAAAAGGATTCTATTTACTGAACTTTCAGATTTATAGATCATTGGTAAACCACGGTATGTACCTACAAAATAATAACTACCCCTCCAACCCTCGGATCACGTTTGCCAAGCCCAACGTGAGCAATAAGAACATTCTCTCCTGCATTGCCAAGCTGATCGCCAGTCAAGCAAAAGCTTTGACTAACATGACTAGCATGACCCGCATGGCCAACCATTGATGATTGATAGTAGTAATGATTATCTGCTACTCGAGGACTATATCTGTTGAGGCAGCCTTACTGCTTAAGCCGGATAGGACCTTTGCTCCCACTACATGTAGTTGATCTTCCTTCCTCTCTCTCCCCAGCCAAGAGCCCAATTCAACACATGGTTTCTTTCCCACCTGGCCTTCTCTACTATATCTCAACTTGGAAAGCATTCATGGCACAATAATACTACGCTATAAAATTCGCGGTCCTGGCGCTTGACATGTAGCTCTTACTGCACTGCGAGGTGCTTGATAAATACGCACATTTCACCTTTTTTTATACACAATTCGCGGGCACTCGGTTGTAGTATTACATTGTATCCAGTGATTTTGCATAACGCCAAAGATCCAGCTTCGTAACAACCCTTCAACTTACTCTCTCGTTCCTAGCAATTATGAGTCTCGCAGTCAAGCTAGATACGGACTACGTATACTTACCGACATTCCAAATCACAAGCCATTATGCATTAAGCCGAACTCACACGCCCAACTCACACGCCCAACTCACACAAAAAGAAAGTATTTAGATATCCGAGGCACCTCTAGGGCTCGGCTATTGAAGTTTAAATGACGTCAGGATGCAGGACCAGTGCCAAGCATTCAGTGTCCCCTCTCAGTGGACATCCATGGATGACTTTTGGTCTCTTTTGCCAATCACAACGTTTTAGATAATACTTCCCCATCATTCAAAGTATGTTGTAGACCGAAGCAGAACCCACAATGACGTGCGAGATTATATATCGTCATACCCTCCTTTTCTTTTTAACAATTAAGATCTCATATAAACATATATTAGCTTACATATCATTACAATCACAAACTTGGAAGAAAGCAATTTACAGACCTCGGGAAGATCGACGATCACGATTCAGCCTCACCTGCCATGCGCGCCACCCGAATCTTTTGCGGGTAACACATAATTGAGCAGTCATCAAACATTTTCTATCGGCGTCTGACGTCTCTTCCGTTGATATTGGAAGAAGCGCGACTCGGCGCAAAGAAATAGATGACTTTCACTTTTAATCAAAATGTCTCGGCACAACAGCTGGCCGACATCCTACCGAACGGCGTCGCCATCCTCAGCCATCGATATGACCTGATCTCCGCGAATCGCCGATTTCGGGAACTCATCCCATGCCCCAGCGTCAACTTCTCCGAGTGTTGGTTACGCTCGGTCCATCCCGACGACTACGACCGAGTGTCTATTGAGTACCGGGAGGCCGTATCCTCCAAACAACGGCTACGTTTCGAATACCACACGCGTGACCCGGACTCGATTTGGTGTGTCATGACATTGGATCGGCTGAATGATAAAGATGTACAATGCTTTGGGCTAGGCGACGGTGCCATGTTCATCTGTACAATTGCAGATATCACCCCAGAGAAAAAGGCAGAGCTCCTACAGAGGCAGGCTGCGGAAGAGGCACAGGAACGAAAGAAGCAACAGGAGCGATTCATTGATATGATCAGCCACGAAATTCGCAATCCTCTATCTGCGATAGTACATTGCACGGAGGATATTCAAGAGGCAATCTATAACAAGGAGCCGGGTGAAATATCAGTCATGGACATCACCGAAGCAACCGAGACAATCAGTCTATGTATCAGGCATCAAAAGAAAATCGTCAATGACGTTCTCACGTTTTCGAAACTTGATGCGTCGATGCTGCCGCTGTCGCCACGAAAGGTCCAGCCGCAGCGACATCTCACCATTCCGATGGCGATATTCCGACCCGAGCTCCGAAAGCACAGAATACATTTCGAATACAAGGCCGATGTTTCCTATGCCGAATGCAATATTGATTGGGTCATGGCAGATCTAGATCGAATGGGCCAGGTTCTCGTCAACATACTCTCGAATGCTATCAAATTCACCGCCCAGTCGGAGGGTCAGCGATCCATCCGAGTCTCAGTGGGTGCTTCGACCGAGCGTCCAACTTCGTACCCGCCAAATATTGTCTTCTTCGATTCGGGCGAAGCAGCGCTCCACAAAGACGCGACTAACAATTCCGAGTGGGGGAGTGGCGAAGTTACATATGTCATGGTCGCCGTCAAGGACTCCGGTATTGGGGTTACCGAGCAAGCCCAGAAACGGCTCTTCGAACGTTTCAATCAAGCAACCCCCAAAACCGAGAGCATCTACGGTGGCTCTGGCCTTGGTCTCAATGTGTGTAGGAAGCTGTGCCACCTACATGGGGGTGAGATTGGCGTGAGCTCCAAAAGATCTCACGGAAGTACCTTTGGGTTCTTTTTCAAAGTACGCAAAACGACCAACGAAGATGGTAAAGGGGATGAGTGCCTCGGGGTTTCTGCAATCGATAAACTCTGTGTTGATATCCAGTCATTGGGAAATAAAATGCGCGGTGTCAATGAAACGACGGAAGAACCCCAGATGTCAGAAAACCCCCCTGAAGATATCATCTTGGAGGCACGGCCAGGTGGCCCTAAGGACGCAGGCACAGTTCATACCGACAGTATAGCCCGCGAGGTCGATAATGAGGAGAGCAAACGGGCGAATCGTGATGACGAGAAACTGACCGGCGACGGCCAGCGTATCCTCTTGGTTGAGGATAACGTTATCAATAGGCGAATTATCTCGCGCAAGTTGAATACACTGGGTTTTGACATATCGGAAGCAAGCAACGGGCAAGAGGCCGTGGATGCGAATAAAAATGCCCCATTCGACTGCATTCTCATGGATCAGCAGATGCCTGTTATGGATGGCAACTCTGCCACGAAAGCAATTCGTGACATTGAAAAAGAAAGTGGAGACCATGTGCCTATTCTGGGAGTCACAGCGAGTGTCAGAGACGCACAACAAAAAGAAATGACCGATTCTGGAATGGATGATGTCATCCATAAGCCTTATGGGACTCATGAGCTGGTTGAAAAGATCCATCGCATGGTTTCGAAGGAAGGGAAACCATGATGAGGTAAGTCGAGGATTGTGCCCAGGTGGAATTTTTGCTCTTTTTGGAAGCATGCGAGATATGAATTTGTACAAATAGACTGAGAGAAAATATACCAACATGATAAATCCGACCGTACAGGTCGGAAGTCCTACAACTGCTATCACAATGGATATCAATTCTATTGTGAAAGGGTTCCAGCACGCAGAAGCCCAAATGCTAGCAACACCTTTATGGACGTTTCGTAAACACTAACGGACACCCATCCTGTATCAAAAGTCAGCACAAGGCACGAGCGGAACAATACCAGAAAATAGGTAATAAGGCTACTAACCATTGGAAACAATGTAGCAAAAACTCGAATTTCCTCTGATCTCTCCGTGGCATGATGCTCCCAGTCAAGTTCCAGCGCCGCTTTCCCAATCATACCAGCCATAGATAGTGGCACATACTTTCTTGCGAGACAATCGTGTGGTCCCGCACCGAATACTAGCCAATTCTTAGTCTTGGACTCGGCATCCCCGGAGATCCAACGCTCGGGATCGAAGTTATCGGGATTAGGGTAAACGTTCGGATCATGTAAAGCCGGATAACAGGATGGGATGATCATGGCACCCTTCGGGACGGTATAGTTAGGCGTGACAGGGAAGTTCTTCGTCGCAAGATATGGAACCATAATGACGGGTGGACGGTGACGCAGAAGCTCCTTGATGACTGCATTGGTGTAGGTGAGCGACTCGAGCATGGGAAGATCGAAAGACTTGTTTTTATCACCACCGCGAGCGGCCAGATTTTCTTGACGCAATTTATCGAGCACGTCGGGCCGCTGGGCGAGGATTTGGAATAGCCAAGTCGTGGCACTGCTCGACGCATCCTGAGAAGCAAAGAGGAAAGTAAACAATGTCTCTCCGATTTCCTCATTCGTGAACTCGCGGATCATGTTAGTTGGCCTCTCGGCGCCCGTCTCCCCTGCCGCGACCTTTTCCTGGTATCGCTTTGATTCCATCATGTGGAGAACCCAATGGTCTACGATACACGTTGGTGTCGCACCGGTGGCCATATTTGCTTTGCACGCAGCTGCGCATTTTGAAAACTCGGCGTGGACAGCGTCGGCTGTCCGCTTCCCGAGCCAGGGCTTGGTGAATGGAATGTAGATTGACAAAGGCACGTTGACTAACTCGAGGGCAGCTGTGGCAAGGTAGAAGTCGTCTGCAATCTTCTTGACGGCGGCCTGGGAGATATAATCGCCAAAGAATGTGCGGCATGAAAGTGCACAGTTGATCTCGCGGAACATGGTCATGAATTCCTTTGGCTGTCCCTGATTCGCCTTGCTGGCGGCGACAAATTTGCCAAAATAATCGGCCAGTACTTTCTCTTGTACCGGCAGGTATGTAGCCATGGCCCTGTTGGTGAACAGGGGAGTCAACCCCCTGCGGTACTCGGCATGATCCCTACCCTGAAGAAACACCCATGCTTTGTGACCTAGGATATCTTTTGCGATCGGTACTATACATGGCTCGGCGTATCCAGGCGACTTGAACACTTTGTGGGCTATATCTCTGTCGGAGGCTAGGACGACAAATCTATAGTACATTGCATTAGTTTGGACAGTTTGGCGGGTTTGATAGAACCCGATGAGACGATAGCCGTGAGTGCTTACTTGTGGAAGACAGATACACAGCTGAGTGGTCCACTCGCCCACTGTGCAAGATACCCTTCGAACTTTGGGTGCAAGGCTTGTATAAATGGGCCCATAAGCGGGATTTTGAGTGGAGGTCCAGCTATAGAGCCTTTTCGTTTGATATACATCACTAGATACGGCATCAGCAGATTCCTGTGGTATTGAGGGATCCATTTACCTTGATCATAGACTAATATGGCAATTAGAAAAGTCACTGCGTACTGCCAAAATGAAAATCTCATCAAGGACGCCAGCAGGTGGCTTTGAAACTGGGGATGGCTGGAAGGCCATATCTGCGGCAGCTCATTCTGGGCGATGGAGATGTTAGCGATCTCAAAAGCCATGTTGGTGTCCATGATGGTAGATGACAGGAGCAAGTTGCCAGACTGCCTCTTTTTTAAAACAGGTACGGAGTAGAGAATACCTACCTATGTAGGGCAGATTTCCCTAGTAATGGCATGATATGGATGGATACTGCCCTGGTATCCACAGATTATACATGTTACCTAATTAGGACTAGACTCCGATGCCAAGCAGGGGTAAGGCGGGGTCTAGTCCTCTTTTGATTTGGACTCGGGACATTAACCTGAGGTCCACATATAACGGAATAATCGCCCGGGAAGTTCAACGTCGAACCTTCTGTCAAGACATACGTTTGTGCCGTTCCAACTCTTTGTTTCGCGTTGTGATCTCGACAGCGGTGTGGGGTTATAACTTGAGCTATTCCTAAAGCTAACACATTCCCCCCTTTGGATGCCCACCAATATCCTTTCAAAATGCGCCAATCTCTCCGCCGGTCCTGTGCGGCATGTGCCAAATCAAAGTCCAGCTGCGATCTCCGAACGCCGCGCTGTTCCCGCTGCGTCAAGCGTCAAGTCGAGTGCGCCTATGCAAACGAACCCTCGCCGGGGCCGGCAACTCCCGGGTGGCAGAATGGGGCATCAAAAAACCCACTGGATGGATCTGGCACTTTAACTAACTATAGATTCGGGTCTCTTGATCCATTTGATTCGTATCCACAGACTAGACTTCCCCGGGAACACGTTCAACGTCTGATCTACGGCTGTATGTAGGCTTCCAATGAAGCATTGTCGATGAAAGCTTAGCTTACGCATCTAGTCCTCCACAAAATCGCCTTCCAATACTACCCTCTTGACATGAATGCGACTTCAAATCCCTTTCTGATATCCTGGTGGCCACTTGCCCTAGGGGATCCTGCACTATTTCACGTTTCTCTACAAACGGCATGTCTTGACGAAGAGTTGTTGGCTCAGAAAGGCTTTCAGACCTCCGAACTTCTCATGGCAGACTCGGTGGCGTTACTGCGACGCAAGGTTGATCATATGTCGCTAGCTGTTCAAGATGGGACTATGAACTCAGTCATCACCTTGGCAACCATCGAGGTAAGATACTACCATAAGCACCCTCCTTTCCTAATCTTTGATAATTGGAACCAATCCCTGATTATATATCACTCTTAGTTCGGCAAAGGCAATATAAAAGTTGGCGAAATGCATGTTAGCGGATTGAAAAAGCTGGTCGATATGAGAGGTGGTATCAACGCAGTAAGGCAGACAAGCCCGCTTACCGCGAGAATGGTCAGCTGGTAAGCCAACCCCTTTGCCACTCAGTGGACCGATATTCACATAATCCACAGGGTATCGATGCTCATCATGGGTCACCCTCAATTCGAGACACAAGATGACTTCGGCATTGGAGATGGCATCCCTCCTATCCCGGAATGGCAGTTCGACTCGACCGCGGTTGACGACCAGCTATTTCATCTCAGCACTATTGAAGTGGACGATTCTGTCAAGAATGTCTTCAATCGTCTGCGCAACATCTTCCAGCGAGCAGGCAATATACTTTTCCCAGCCACACAACTTCACGACCTTACCTGTTTTGTCATACACCGACTCCTACTCTCCGCTCCAGCTACGACAACACCTCCGCTCTCACGGATGACGGAATCCATTCGTTACGGAATCGTACTATACATGTTCATCGCTCAGGGACCAACATATTACTCGCATGCAGTCATACTGAATACGATTCTCATTCGATTTATGGAGCACCTCGAGAAGTCAACGCCTCGTATCTATGATTCACTTGACGTCTGGTTTTGTGCCGTCGGGATGGTGGCTTCATCTGGCACGGCTCATCACCGGTGGTTTATGAACAGGGCACGAGATATAGCTGCTGCTCTACAACTGGCCAACTTTAGTGACACACTCGTCCACATCAAAACTGTGTTGTGGTTGGAAAAACCGCAGAGTGAAGATCTCTTTCGATCTCATTGGGATACTATCTTCAATCTTGCGGATCAATTGGCACTATCAGACCTCTCGGGGTCGGTCTCGCCATATAGCAGTAGCGTGGAATTTATATGAAATAAATTTGAATTCAGCGGTTTCAATGGGCAAAGCATGACTTCTGTCAAAAAGCCTTGATAACCGAAAAAGTCGTTCATACGCGACACTATCATAATGAGCACCACCACCCAAAAGACGATGGCTACCTGTGAAACACAACCTATGCCAAGCGGGCGTTCACTCAGCCCTTGGACAGTCAGCCTTTTGTTAGGGATATGTTTTCTTGCATGCTGGAGGAAGTGCGACACTACCACACCTCTCTTGGTATAGCTCAGTGCCACAGGTGCGAGGTCTGACCTGTCTCCCTTCGCTGCGACCTATAGGCGTGCCACAACTGCACCACCGTCTGAGGCCTGGTCCCCAACCGTGTCTACCGCACCATTGCTGTCGAGCCCATGACTAAACCATAGCGAATTTAATTTGGGACCGCTCATGATACTGTCACTTTGGCAATCCACATGCCAAGACAAGGCGTGTTTTATATTTTTCTCACTAAGCTTCCAAGTGTTTATCTCAAAGACAGTCGAACAGTGACCAAGATATACCTATGCGGCTATACCCCGGAGACAATCCCTTGCCTACAATATGTACATCGTACATAGATAGGTAGTGGAGGTAAGGCGCCAAAACCAAAAGTGCGTGCACAAAACACCAAATTGTGCGTGTGCAACAAACCCAGCCCCCAAATCAGGCCGATTCAGCGCGGGCCTTAAGATCCTTGTGGAAGATATCGAAATGGGCACGCATTTTCTTTCCAAGCAGAGAAGGACTCATAATGAACGCAAGGAGACCCTTGAGATCCTCGGACTGGGTGAAAACAGTGGAAGCACCATCATTGGCCGGTTCGATATGGAATTTATGCAAACCAGCAATGGTAAACACGGGCGGGCCTTGCCAAGAAAACAAGCTCTCGGAGTTCTCCTTTGCCGTTTATGGGAAATTCAGCTTAATTTTCTTTCTTCGAGTTGGGGGAAGCGTGTCATTCTCACCTTGACTTCGGCGACAAACTTGAAGTTCTCAATGTTGACTTCGATTTCATCTCCTGAGGAAAGTTCTTGCGGGGTCTTGGTGGTGTCCTTGAGTTCGATCCCCTTGAGCCATTCCGTGTGCCATTCCGGGTATGCTGAGAAGTTGAGCAGCTAGGGGCGATACCTGGTCAGCTTGTTTCGCCAAGAATTTGGCTCTCAGGGCTGGTATGTACATACAATATCGCGCACTTTAGCGGGCGGTGCGGCTATTTCAATTGTGCTTGTGATCATTTTGTGGGTGGTGTGGTTAGGGAGTGTGTTGGATGCGCGAGAAAGGGGATACCAATAAATGGGATTCTCATGAGGGAAGTGCGTGGATGTAGAATAGTGCATATCCTTGCTGCATCCATCGTGTAGCTGCCCCACCCGATCTGCAGATAACCTCAACGATCCTTTTTTTGGTCATTGCGTCTTTCACTTATCTTCCTCCCAAATATGGACATGAAATAATGTGAATACTGAAAATAAAATTGTATGTTTTGAGCCTAGCTCATCTAATCAACTTGCAATGGGATATAGAACGAAATCCAGCCCCAAGATTATGTAGCAGCCATGAGATGGTCAATAGCAAGGTCATTAAGAATCCCCTATCTACCCATGACGAGTCATATATACATAACACACATGAAAACAAAGGTATATGCATGATTTCACGTATTTCTAATAATTCACCTGCATGTCCAGACCAAAGCTCAAGGCTCGATACTGATCTTGCTGACACGCCGACCATTGTTCTGCTCTCTGTCTGCAGCAAGCGTAGAGGCGAACTTACTCTTCGCGCGAAGCTGCGGTCCCTTCCAGTAGAAGACATAGATGGGAGTCACAACCAGACAGGAAAGACAAGCCAGAATAGTGGTTGCATACTCCACATGCCACTTATTGCCGATATTCGTGTACATGGGCGTCGCGTACATGGCCGAGATACCAGCGAGAAGATCACGCGCGAAAGCATTGCCACCAGTTGCAGAAGCCGAGTAGACACCATATGAAGCGACCATGTAATCAACAGAAGACAGGTAAATGGCAAAGTTGGCGATACCGACACAGCCGGAGAAAATCATGGATCCGATCCAGTGGACGTTTTTCGAGTCGCCGAAAGATGTCCAGGCGAAACCGAATAGACCGATTGGTTCGAGTGGCGCGAGGAAGAGCAGCCATTTGAGACGGCGCTCGGGTGGGATGGCGGCATCGCCATGTCGGAGTCGAAGCTTTTGATCACGTATGAACCACGGGAAGTAGCTGAAGTAGGCAATGAAGTAGGCGGCGTTGATGGGGATAACTGCCCAGGCTTGTCCGAGGGTACCGAAGCCCCATCCTTGCTCGTAGACGATGGCGAAGCTCTCCAGGAAGGTGAAGATCAGAGCATCGGAGAAACCGGAGAGAAGAGAGAGACATAGGACGATGGGCTCGCGCAGAAGCATGTAGAATGGACGCGCCCAGATCCTGCCGGCTTCCTTGAGGGAGATACGGGGGGACTTGAGCTCGTTGGGTCCGTAGATATTCGGGTCTTCTCCGGTCTTGCGGCGGCGCTTGGCTTCCTTGTCCATGATAATGGTTGAACGACTCTCGGGCATGAAGAAGATGATTAACTGGGTAACTCCTCCGAAGATGAGTTGAATCCAGAAGAACCATTGCCAATCGAGGACTAAATATCAAACATATTTGTTAGCAATGGGTCGTAAACCGGTCAAGGGTGAAAAGAGTAGTTCGCTTACATCGCGCAATTGGTCCACCAATCACACCACCAATACTTGTACCGAGACAAGAGGACAAAACAATGAATGCGAGAGGGAATTGTTGCGTCTCGGGCTCGTAAATATCGGCAATAAGACCGAGAGTGACACTACCACCAGCAGTAGAGAGACCACCCTGAATATTATGTTAGTTTACCAAATTATCAAAACGCTAGTTTGCCGATGGAGAAACCAACCAATGCACGAGCAACAACAAGACTGCCCCAGTTGGGGGCAAGGGCTGCGGGGAGTTGCCAAATGTTGATCAAGAACATGGAGAGCTGGAGGATAGGCCAGCGACCGAATTCCTCGGACCAAGGGGCCCAGAGCTCACAACCAATAGAATAAGTAACCAGGTACGCCATTTGGCCTGTGCGAGCGTGCTGTTCGCTAATGTGGAAGGCCTCAGACAAACTTTTGACAGCAGCAGGGTAAACTGAGGTATTGAAGTTCATAGAAACCTGAACGAACGCGACCGCGGCCAGATAGGTCCATTTCTTCCATCGTGGCCAGCAGTATCCCAGGATCTCGTAGCAATCTCCTTCCTTCAGCTCGCGCTTTCCATCAGCGCGCTCGCTCTCTTTTTTCTCAAGCGCGGCGGATATATCGACGGGTGCGCTAGCTTCACTGTCTGTTTCATTGACAGATAACGATGTACTCTCGCTGTGAACAGCTTGAGGTTCTTGTTGCTCTGGGGTAGACATCCTTGCGTGTGGGGGATGGAGCAAAGGGCGTGAGAAGGAAAAGTTTTGTGGACCTTCTCCAGGTATTATATGTACAAAGTACGGAGCATGGACGGAGTATGTACAAAGCATGTGCAGACTTTTTCTTACTTGCGACTCCACGCGCTGAAACCGGATTTATAGTGGATCTACAATGCAGATGGTGGCGGCCGAGGCGTACATCGCAGTACAAATTGATCTATAGCGCTTAGAGTTGATATAATTGAAGGTGTTGAACAATTGAATGTTTAATATTATTATACATAAAGATTGTCACACTATTTATAATACTCACCATCTCCCCATTATCCTATGTGTGAATATCTCCAAAAAAGAAAAGAACCCTGAGAGTTCAGATCTGCGGTCCCGAGGTTTCTTCCTTTCTTGGCATTCTCCACTTACCCTGACGTCAGTGTACAGATGTACTCTTCTATTACTGCCCATTTATGCGTTGGATTTGGCGGTAAAATATTCTAAGGTTGTTCAGTTGCCACGAATAATCTACCACAACCAAGCAATGATATCTCTGGGCTGTCTCTGGGCAGTCTTGGCTGATCAGAAAATACCGCAAATATATTGGGGATACTGTTGTTTTTGGCCCTTGGAAGTATGTTGCGCAACATACCTATATATCTACACTCCGTTGAGCTATGCACGGTAAGAGGAGAAGTAGAGGATGAGAATAAGACCTGGGGAAATTGACATGGAAGCGACGTTTTGAAGTCATCCCTGCCGGTTCCAAGGGTGGAATAACATTCGAATTGGGAACCACAGGGGACCTACACAGCATAGCCAATCAGGGAATATCTATGTCAGCCGGGAGATCTTCGGGCATAAACTGAATTCGTTCATAACTAATGCACAGACCTCCAGGAGCTCAGGTGTTTAATCGATTTTTTAGTGATCATCACTCATAAGTCCATGTAAGGTACAAGCGTACCTATACACTCCATACGGAGTACACCGGCCCCGGGGTCATAGCTGACTACATACTATAGCGGCCCGGTGACCTCGGGATCTCTTCGGGAGGGCCAAGATGACATCATCATAAGGCAACTTCGATCTACTCCGTAAAGATTAGGTACATAAAATAGTGTGTACTAGGGCACTGAGTTGTGATTTGCTATCGTTATTGCTATTGCTATTGCAATCAATATTAGAATGGGGAAGCTAACAAGAAAAACTATATGCCCTAACTTTTGAAACCCAAGGCATAAATAAATAAACATGCCTCGGGTCCCTATTGTTTATTATCTAGAAAGCTAGATATGAATCCTTATAGTGGTCGAAGAACATTGGAACTTCAGATCTGTAACTGGCAATTGTTAGCGTGTTTGGATATTTCGGATTATCAACAAGGCACGTGTACGAAGACCCATAGCGCTCAGGGTTCAAAACCCCCTTTAAGGGGGATTCTGGAGGCCCGAATGCCTGAATTAGCACCGCTCTCCATACCGCTCTATACAATGTGTTGTAAAGGTATTAATTACATGTTCAAAAGAATGAAGCCTTCGGACCCATACAAATCCCGGAATCTCCAATTTCTAGAAGGTTTGCATGCCTCTCATTCATTTCTCATAGTGGGAAGGCTTCAACGCCGAAATAAGGGAATTCTAGGATATGTGTCACATATCGTGCCCATTTTCTAAGGCATTAATGTTGTCGACCTTGAAGGGCTCTGTTATGGTAATTCAGGTATTTCAATTTTCTGCCGTTCTAAAATAAGGCACTCAGGCATCAAACCCCTTCTAAAGGGGGTTTTGAACCCTGAGCGCTAGTTATGGGTCTTCGTACACGTGAAAGGGATGACCGAAAAGAGTCAAGTTGTCGCTGCACACGCCCGATCATGTGATGCATGTGCATGTGACAAGGATATGTACTTTCTGAACGTGACGCGTGTGGACTTCGTTCCTCAACAAAATGTACGCACGCAGGGTTTATGGGATCCTTCAACCCAGGTCTCATTTGCACCCTGGCAAAACTGAATCCGTTTCATCATGCATTCCATCGAAAATTGTTGATATAGCCAGGTTCCGATGTTGGCCCTCTCGCCAGACGCAGACATTTTCGACATCTATTTGGCCCCGGTCGCATGCAACCCCTGCCATACAAGGAATCTCCACGTTAAACTGTGACGAGGATAGCCTTTATTGTTACACATCGGGAAGATAGCTTTGGAATGAGAAGGAACAGCTTTCTCGCCGCTATGTTAAGTTCAATCTGGCAGAACTCGTCAGGATCGCAACTCGGGCGACAGGGTCTATGTCCTGCGTCGAAGTGCAGATGCTCCCAGAGGGGAACTTTAATAAGGTCTTCCTTCTTACGATGAACAATAGGAAAGAAGTGATTGCAAAGCTTCCGAATCCTAATGCTGGACCTCAATACTTTACTACAGCTAGTGAGGTTGGAACGATGGACTATGTAAGGGTTGCTTGGCTTCGTGTTGCTAAGCACTATATGACCTAATACTATACTCTTCTAGGTTCGGAATATACTTAGGATTCCAGCCCCAATTGTGTACGCTTGGAGCCCCTCTACCGAAGAGATTGGAGCCGAGTATATTATAATGGAGAAGAGTCAGGGAGTGGAACTTAGCAAGCTGTGGGATGGTATACCGGGTCCTGACAAACTTCAAATTGTTCAACAACTCGTCGAGTTTGAGAAAGCACTCGTATCTACTCGGTTTCCTATGTATGGAAGCTTATATTATGCGAAAGACCTGCAAAAAGTTCAATCAAATCAAATGATTGACATTGGAATTAAAAAGAGAAATGTGGGTTTGGATTTTGCGGTCGGTCCGACTACGAAGCAAGGTCAGGCAAAATATCCATCACCTATCAATCTTTGAACGAAATCCTACAGCATCACGAGGCATTAATTCGCAAGCGTTGGTCCAAAAAGACCCGCCAGCAGAGGCTAAAGATTCCCCTAAGTGCCTGGCCGACTATCCCGGCAATGCATCGCCCGGACTTCGAAGCTTTCGTCGGTCATAAGAAAGGTACCAAATATCGGGATTCTTACATCTGGCCGTACATAAATCAAGAGGATCCCCTGAACACCAAGACGCTGTCCTTGTTCTGAACGCACGAGGTCGTCATAACCCTTCGAATTTTGCTGCCGTCGACTTTGGTGCCACAAATATGGGCAGGGTCAGCAAAGCAATTGGTGTCATCTTGTTGGACAGCCATACTATGATTATGAATGGCCTGACTGAAAATGTCACGAACTACGGGAAGATCGTTGCTTGGAGTGAACACCCAGATGCCTATGAATGGACGGCCAAACAAAAGCAGTGCATACCTGGAGAGGGCCTGCTGATACTGGAAATACAGGAGCGACTTTTAACATTTGTTTTTCAATGCTGCAGGCAGCTTCTCCATGACATCCCCGAGTCCACCCTGACCAGTGACTCCTTCCCTCTTCTACTAGAACTGCCCCTGAGGTCCGAAAATGAGTTAAGCGGTTTCCAGTCTTTGGGTGTGATGGCTGCGGAAGCCCCATATCGTGTTCCAGCACAACTGGGTCTTACTCTTGTTGCGTCGCTCCTCGCGGCCAAGGCATCCGCTGCAGAAGATCACCTGTGGGCTTTGCGAGAAGACCCAGACTACTTTTCCAGGATGCTGCACGGGGCCAAGGACCATCGCCAGGAGACTTTCAAGAACGTCAACGAAAATACCCACCCACTCCTGAGCCGCAATCGGTGACAACTTCTCTGGACGCACATCATTGGCTCTGTTATATCGAAAGCATACCTCGACCTGGAGCTGTTCTCCGAACTCAGCAGCCAAGCCAAGAAGTTGGTCTTGTTACAAAGGCAGTATGCTGACGACATATCGATTTCAAAAGATTTACCGGAGGAGTATCTGGAGGCATTGCTCCGGTTCCGTTACTACCTCACCCATGGAGCGCGGGTGAGGTAGTAACACAGAGCCATTATCCAATCTAAAATATGCGATTGTAGCCTCTCCATCTTTGCGAAGACACTTTGCTCGTCTGCCATCACCCGACTCTCACTCGGAAGATATCTCGGTTGTGTTCAAGTCCGGGTCCAAGTTGGGCAAGGTGGAAAAGAGACTTATTTGGCTACTTGGCCTCCTAGGTGTGGATGGCACTTACTTGTCTTTAGCTGGTATGTCTCTCATCGTGGACGAGCTAGATCGACTGCTTCAATCAGATGCAAAAGTGCGGGAATTGCTCTCTTCGTACATCACTACGGTGGTGGGTGATATCTCAATCATCTCTCAGTGTTTGCACCAGTTGGAAATCTACTACCCATGGACCCGAGGCTTTGATATTGAACCTGCCGAGCGTAAGGATAGATTCAGCCAGGACTACACAGAGCGGACGATGCCATCTGCCCGGATTCTCGCCGGGCTTCATGATACAAACATCTTGAAGCAAGCTGCGAGTCTTAGCGATCCTTCAGGTGGGAAATTTACCTATCCTGTTGAAAAGCGCCGGATTAAAGAAAACGTCGCGGCGCTGCGCAGCGCTGAGAATCATCTTGATGCTTTCTGGGCTGCTGTTGACCAGGCCATGATTGGCAACACTGGTGATGTGAGTGGCACAGCTGTGCATGATCTCCTGTCCCAGCCGCGCATCTTCCAGCGCACTCCGGAGTGGGTTGAGCCTACAAACCCTACACAAAACAAATCAGGTGATTTGATCTTGACTCTTCTCAAACCCATTCCGATCTTCCGGGGGAAACAATGAATGTTACACGGCCTAAGATAAAGATCAAGACTCGCGCAACGCCACAACCCCCGGCACCCATCACAGAAGCTAAAGTGCTCACGCCATCCAATCCTACTACTCGTCAACCCACCTTTTTGGTTGACGCGCGCGAATTCAAGGTGTTCCGCACTATATCTTTCAACCCTGCTGTTACATCTTCCCTAGGGGAAGTCCCCTGGCACGACTTTCCCTATGCCATGACTTCAGTGGGATTTTTTATATAGCCATGAAACTTTACGGTTCAGTCTGGCAGTTCCAGCCGGCCAGGTTGGATGTCCAGAGAAGCATCCAGTTCCACGAGCCCCATCCGAGGGGCAAACTACCTATCAGAGTTGCGCGCCTATATGGCCGTATGCTAAACAGAGCATACGGTTGGGTGGGAGATATGCTCTTATTAGCTAATAAGTGAGCTATAATTAAGAATTGAGCTATAATTGAGAAGTGAGCCTTACTTGAGAAGAGTGTGAACTACCAAGTGAGAAATACCTACCGCCGAGGCAGTCACAGTGCAGTTGGGATTTCTATTATAGACCTTGGGAAGCTGAAATGCCCACGCGACCAAATCCTACCAATCGTCAACCCACCTTTTTTGTTGACGCGCGTGCATTCAAGGTCTTCCGCACTATATTTTCAACCCTACGGTGACATCTTTCCCGGGAGAAATCCCATGGAAGTTTCAATGACCTCGGTTGGCTTCACCGCACTGAAGCTGTACGGTTCGGTTTGGCAGTTCCAGCCAGCCAGGCTGGATGCTCAGAGAAGCATCCAGTTTTACGAGCCCCATCCACGGATCAAACTGCCTTACAGAGTTGCCCTCCACTACACAAGCTCGTTCCAGCCAATCGAAATTGGGAGCTCCGACGACTTTGAAAGCGCAAAAGAGAGAGCAGCCGAGATAACCGCGGCTGACGACAAAGCTGCCTTTGGGGATACCCATTAAGCAGGAACAGGATCCAGCCAATAGGGACAACCAAGCCCAGTAAGACGACGACCAAGAGCAAGACGATGCTTCCGACTACGACGAACTCTCCGACTAGGCTCATGCACGGCTTTATGCACCTACATTACGGCTTTGACTTACTTTTATCACTACTAAATGCCTTCCTCAGATTCAACACTGTTGGCTTGGCCACCCCCAAATCCGCCCTGGTACCCCCCATTTATTTGCTTTACGTGCGGCTTTCAACGCCCATTTATGCTCTGTATCAGCCTTGACGGATTCAACATCGTCAGCTGCCTTCCCCAATTTGCATTTGCTTTGAAATCGCCTGCTCAATTGTCTCAACCTCAATGTACCACTCCACGAAACGATCTCGTCCCGATGAAAAATGAGCCTCAACTGAATAATGAGGTTTAGCTGAAAAGTGAGATTGTGAACGATCAAATGAGAAGTTCTTACCGTCAAGGAAGTCACAGGACAACTAGGATTTCTATTCAGCGGTGGGATGCAAGATATGAAAAATGCATTTACAATGACATGGCAAAGGTACAAGGAGATGAATAAAAACATCAAAAAGTAGATGCCTACACCCAGTTAGACTTACTGATCATAGTATATGCAACAGAAAAGAAAATAAAAGAAGGGGTTAGGAGCCTTAGACTAGAGCTGTTCCGTGCGCCCTGCAGGAAAAAGAGGGGAAGATACGTGCCTAGGTAGCTAAGGAAGACTCTAGCAGGGATATTAGTAAATTACTAAATTCTGACCTTTTCTGCACACAATTCCCCGTTTCATTCTTTTCCCTCTTAATTCTGTATCCGAGTTCCAATCTTCGCCATGTCAAGCGAGAAGTTCACCGTTACTGAGCATCTTGTCCCGGGCAGTCATATTAGAGAATACCCAGGGAGCACCGTCACGCAGGAAGATGTACTGAAACTTCATGTCAGACAATATACCCCCCAACACGAAGGTCCCATTCCAGCGGATGCAATTACTTTCATTGCCGCTCATGGAGTCGGTCTACCGAAGGTGACCCTATCTTTAACCTGATATTTCGTCTCATATGCTCAAAAATCGGACACAGGAACTGTACGAACCGCTGTGGGACGAGCTGCTGGAACAAGCTAATGGCTTCCACATTCGAGGCATCTGGGTGGCCGACGTCGCCAGTATGAACCAGAGCGGGATCCAGAATGAGGACAAGCTCAGTATGGATTGTATGTGCTTCCCATTCGATTCTTGAACATCTCCCAATATTGAAAATTTCCTAGGTTCTTGGATGGATCACGCGCGGGACCTATTCTTGATGATCAACCATTTTCGTGAGCAGATGCCACGTCCTCTCGTCGGAATTGGCCATAGCTTTGGCGGGAATATCATGTTTGTGACGAATTAACCCCTCTCAATTTTGAGAAGTCAAAGAATAGGATACTGATCATTTTTCCAGCACAAATCTTGCCTATCTACATCCGCGCCTATTCACAACCCTCCTCCTTATCGATCCACTCATTCAGCTAAGCCCTCCCTCGATGGGCTTCGGCACCGACCCTCCAGGCCCGATAAACTACACTCTCTGGCGAAATGACGTCTGGCCCAGTCGCGAGGCAGCCATACGTGCCAACCGTGGCCTCATCCACGGCTGGGATCCTCGGTGCGTGGATCGTATGGCAAAATACTTTTTTCGCGAACTACCGACACCACTGTATCCGGATGTCGAGGCCGTTAAGGCGCGCTTTGATGCGGCCACCGACACTACTGCCACTCCGGTCACCCTAGCGACGCCCAAGTACCACGAGCTTATAGCGCAAATACGGCAGAACTTCAACGCCCGGTCCCCGACCACGGGCCGGATCGAAATCCCGCGAGCCACTCATGCCGATATGGATCCATTGGTAGCGTATATTCCTTTATACCGGCCAGAACCTCGAAGTACCTTCCGCCGCTTAGAGACACTCCGACCGTCATGCCTGTGGATTGTGGGCGGGGCGACGTTTTTGAATGTCGATGAGATTCATGAAGGTGTCAAGATATGCGGGTCAGGCATCGGCGGGAGTGGAGGTGTGTCTGAGGGAAGAGTTAAAGAGGTTATCTTACCTGGATTGGGGCATTTGATGCCATTCCAGGAGATCAAGACTGTTGCAGGGACATGTGTGGCCTGGTTACAGCAGGAGATGGATCGATTCCGGCGGATGGAGAGAGAGTGGGAAGAACAGAGGAAAGGCAAGAGTCATCTAGTGCTAGAGGAGAACTGGTATAAGGTCTTAAAACCAGTGCCTAGTGGACGTGGCAAGGGCGGCAGAAAGGAAAAGTTGTAGATAGCTGGTCAAATGTCTACTTTTCAATTTTATGTTATTGAGATATTCTTGTACAACCCAACAACCCTCGATTATCCGTCTACACCTCAACAGAGCGCTTAATATTAGCAACAAAGTGAAGTCTAGTGCACACGATTGATATATCGCTGGACATATGCAAAGGTCAGGGTGGTCCTGGAGAAACCCAGCAGACAACGGGGCGAGATCGACATACTTCTCTACAATACCTCCGATTCCCACACTGCTGCTTGAATTATATCCCTCATTCTAACCAGAGGTCTCACATCAGCTCTTTCATATACCATCCGTTTACCGTATGTAACTTTATATGTATGTTGTAGATCCCTAACAAAACGTACATGTGCATTAGCCCCGAGTTTGTATTGGGATGTGGTAACCCGTGTAGGTTACCGAAACGGGGTAGGTTACTCGACATATGCATGCAGGTGATGTGGTACCAAGGATCCACTTTCCTACAACGTTTTTCTTTGTTTAAAACATTTTTTGCTACACGTAATATTAAATAATAACTATTTTATATTCTTTGCATGTATTTGTACTCAAGATGAATTGTTATGTTACGTTATTTGCCACCTCGGATCAGATTGCAACGTTCCAGACCCAAATTCGACGGAAATTTACTGGAATAGGATTGGGGCGGGTGACCCAGCACCAGTCACCCGCCTAACACCGTATTACCGCCCCAATATATACATGTACACACAACATGCAAGGCCCACTTGGATCGAAATTACATACATGCACGCTAAAAAGGGCAGAGATAAAATATTACGAAACCTCTGGTAATTTAAACCCCTGTCGTATTGTCAAAATTGCAGAAATTAAAGGTGCTAGGCATCATGACAGAAGCAACGAGGCAGACCAAAGACATGCATGGACAGCCCCCAGGTTCCACCTAGCGTGGACTATACATCGAGAGACCAGATTTCCGTTTAAGCCAGGAAGTGAGAGGCTTTGGTGTCACCAGACGCGGCTACAAATATAATAGGTCATCTTCCAAGTGTAACGTGATATTGTGTACACCTTTCTCCCATATTCTCTGTGTTGAAATCGTTCATCAAAAGCACCATGGCCACCAAGTCTGCGACCTCCATTCTCCAAGAGCTTACCTTGGCAGCTAAAGAATTCGAGAACAATGAAGCTGGTGCAAGGGAATCCCTAATTGCTCATAGTAGAGCTCTGATCTCCGCCCTTGAAGTTCCGAGCGAGTTTATTCAACACACTTTCTGGTCTCAGGTAAGCTTGATTTGGCGGGGTAAGACTAGAAACTATTGCTGATGTTCATATAGCCCGCACTGTCCGCTATTATCAGGCTTGCTGCTGACGTCAATCTTTTTCAACACTTGAAAGATGCCGCGGGTAAGGGGATAGATTGTGAAGCTCTGTCTTCGAAGACGGGCGTTGATGTCAGCCTTCTATCGCGCTTGGCCAGACATCTCGTGGCTATGAATGTGATTACCTTTCAGAATGGAGCATTCCATGGCACAGATCTGAGCGATAGCCTTGCCGCCGAGAACTATCAACACTCCATCCGCTTTTGTCATGATGTGTCAAGGCCCTCGTTCAATGAATTCCCAGAATTCTTCAAGAGCAATGGGTACAAGACCCCCACGCTGAGTGGAACTGATGGTCCATTCCAAGCTGCTCATAACACTGAGCTCACCTTTCCCCAATGGCTGGTCAACACACCCCCCTATCTGCAGTATTTCCACTCTTACATGAGTGCCTACCGCGCTGGAAAACCAAACTGGTGCGACACCGGTTTCTACCCTGTCTCAGAGCGTCTCCTTTCCGGGTTTGATGCCTCTGTCAGCGATGTTCTGCTGGTTGATGTGGGCGGTGGTCGAGGGCACGACCTCGAGACATTTGCCTCTAAATTCAGTCCTCTTCTAGGAAGGCTCGTGCTTCAGGATCGAGAACAAACCATTGCGAGCATGTCGCCCGATGAATCCCGCCAGTTTGAAGCGACGGCTCATAACATCTTCACGCCGCAGCCGGTCAAATACGCTCGGGCGTACTACATGCACTCTGTTCCCCATGGCTTCGGAGACGAGGATGCAATCAAGATTATGGCAAACCTTGTGCCTGCGCTGGCGAAGGGATACTCCCGAGTTCTTTTGAATGAGATTGTCGTTAGCGAGGAGAAACCAATTCTAGCGGCAACTAATATGGATATGATTATGTTGGCCCACTTGGCAGTGAGGGAAAGAACAGAAGCTGAATGGAGATATATTTTCACCCAGGCAGGATTAAAGGTGATCAACATATATTCGTATCCGGGCGTGGCGGAGAGTTTGATTGAAGCAGAGCTCGCCTAAACGTCACCAATTATAGGTTAGCTACATATTTAGGAAATGAGAATCAGACTCCACGGAGATAATATAAGAAATAAAAGCCCGAATTCGGCCGCAAATCTAGGCTCCAACCTTGGAAGGTTAGCGCATTTAAATTTTCGGTTCTGTGGGGCCGGCGGCCGCAGCCCGTGCACGGGCAGCCGCACATCCTCCAGTCCCGCTCTCCCCCTCGAGAGGTGTGGACCCCCCCTGGACCAGACATTTGCCTCAGAAAATCTTGATTTCCATTAGTAATGTCATTCCTGGATCCCGGGAGACCGATGGGTCCGTATTTTGATGATGAATTTCAGTCCCTGTCGATATCCGGCGTTCTTCTAGCGTTGGGCGAATAGTAAAGTAGAGACGATAGAACTTTGCACCCATTAGTGCTGAGCCCGGTAAGGCTTGTCTTGACGCTTTTCTCTCGAGTCGCGTGCTCTACACCGACAATCTATTAATACCCTTAGTTTCGCATTGATTGGTTGTCTAACCCCTGCTAGCGTGGTATACTTTGTATGCAGTTCCCAAGTTTGAGCCTGTAACAAAAGTACATAAATTGATACGCTAAACTTAGAACGGGCTCATTACGGAGAAGTCCGTACTCCGTTGGTAAAAGCCTTGAGACAACCCATGGATTAAACAGGTCATTGTGGGGCGTAGATCATCAAAGAAAACGAAGGCCTTTCGCTAAACGTACCCCTGCCGGAGTCATGTTAAAAGGCCACCCCTCCCCTGCCCCTCTGACTTCCTTTGGGAATCACCCCCCCATTCCCAATACCTACTAGTTTTTTTTTTTCTTATTATCTTTTTTTTAAACCAGCATTATGGTCGAAGTTCTGGATTATACCAAGGCTTTAGAAGTGCTCAAGGAGTATCCTGGAGATGGCCTCCACGTCGATACTCTCCTCGACTCGGATAGTCATGGAGCCTTGACCTACAATGACTTCCTGATTTTGCCCGGTTCTATCAGTAAGACAATGAAACTTATTTCATAGCTTGTTCTCTCTAATCGTACGAACAGCCTTCCCGGCATCGGATGTTTCGTTGGAAACCAAAGTAACCCGGCGGTTCACCATCAAGGCCCCTCTACTGTCTTCTCCCATGGACACTGTGACCGAACACAGCATGGCCATCCATATGGCTCTCCTGGGAGGTCTGGGTGTTATCCACAATAACTGCCCACCAGACGAGCAGGCTGAGATGGTGAGGAAGGTGAAACGCTATGAAAATGGCTTCATCCAGGATCCCATCGTTCTGTCTCCGGAGACGACGGTCGGAGAGGCAAAGGAACTCAAGACTAAATGGGGATTCGGCGGGTTCCCGGTGACTGGTTAGTTGGATTTCTCCTTGGTGGTTCTTTTTCTTTTTGTTTCGTTTGGTGATCCTTACCTTGTTCCGTTCACAGAAAAGGGAACCCTCCACTCGAAGCTTCTCGGAATCGTCACCAGCCGAGACATCCAGTTCCACAAGAACCACGAGGATCCTGTCACGGCTGTTATGGCGACAGACCTCGTCACCGCACCGGCAGGCACCACTCTCGCCGAAGCCAACGAAGTCCTCCGGAGTTCGAAGAAGGGCAAACTGCCAATTGTGGACAAGGATGGATCCCTGATCTCCCTGCTCTCCCGGAGTGACTTGATGAAGAACATTCACTACCCTCTTGCATCAAAGCTTCCATCCAAGCAGCTGCTCTGCGCCGCGGCCATCAGCACCCACGACGCGGATAAGGTCCGTCTCCAGAAGCTCGTCGATGCCGGTCTGGACATTGTCGTCGTGGATAGCAGCCAGGGCCACAGCATCTTCCAAATTGCTATGATCAAATACATCAAGCAGACCTTCCCCGACATTGACGTTATCGGCGGTAACATTGTTACCCGCGAGCAAGCCGCGGCGTTGATCGCTGCTGGTGCAGACGGTCTGCGCATCGGTATGGGCAGTGGCTCCGCGTGCATCACGCAGGAAGTCATGGCCGCTGGTCGTCCTCAGGCTGCAGCCGTGCGCAGTGTGTCTTCCTTCGCCGCGCGCTTCGGTGTTCCCACTATTGCCGACGGTGGTGTCCAGAACCTGGGCCATATCGTCAAGGGACTTGCGCTGGGTGCCTCAGCAGTTATGATGGGAAGTCTGCTTGCTGGCACCACCGAGTCTCCTGGCGAGTACTTCATGAGCAGTGAAGGACAGTTGGTCAAGGCTTTCCGTGGTATGGGCAGTATTGCGGTTATGGAGGACAAGAGCAAGAGCGGCGCTGGCAATAACGCCGGTGCTTCGCGGTACTTCTCTGAGAATGATAAGGTCAAGGTTGCGCAGGGTGTTGCGGGCTCCGTTATTGATCGTGGCTCTATCACCCAGTATGTCCCTTACCTTGTTGCTGGTGTGCAGCATTCTCTCCAGGATATTGGTGTCCAGAACCTTGATGCCTTGCGTGATGGGGTGAACAATGGAACAGTTCGCTTTGAGATGAGAAGCGCTAGCGCCCAAACTGAGGGTAATGTCCACGGCTTGCACACCCACGAGAAGAAATTGTACTCTTCTTGAATGCGGGGTCTTTGTTTTCGTCGAATGTTGTCTAGAGTTCCTTCCATCTAGTACATCAGACCAAAAGTTAGTCAATACACTCACATATAGTTCTTGATAATCTGCCATAAGCAAGTTCTTGTTAAGGATTTTGAAAAGCTAAGACCTCCTAAGCCAAAGCTAGAACTGGGAAGCTGGGCGGATAGACATCCACATCAGTCAGGTATGACGTGAGATAAAATCCATTATTTGATAAGAATGTCCCTGGCAACTTTCAGAGGGAGGGTAATAATATAATACATGCCTGTAATAGAAATCTGGTGATTATACATGATTCAGGGGGTAGGGAGAGCTCCTCAAGGATTCTCTGCAAAAGGGAAAGTTTTATGAAATTCAAAATTCAAATATATTTCTACTTGTTCCCTTCCATAGCGTCTTCAAGATCTTTGTAAAACAGCCACTTCGTCTTCTTGCCGTACCCCTTTGCCTTCCAATCATTGATAGTCAAAGGATAAAAGTCCACATTTCCTTTCAAGGTACTATCATGAGCAAGAATCACAAACACATCGTCGTATGCATCGAGCTCTTTGATGTTGTCGACTGTCTTCAACGCCGCGTTGTAATCAGAAGGAAGCACAGGCGACAAGGTGAAGACAGATTCCGATTCGGACGAAAGCGGAATGTGACAAGAGTGAGATGGACAAGGAAGATATTTTGAAGGCCGAAGTACACCAGCATGGTGGCAGGAATCTCCACCCATGAATACGAACGAGTCCGGCGAGGTGGTAACCCGCGCGAGGGCGCCTATATGACCAATGGAATGGCCTGCGGCGTTTAGAATATAGAAAGATCCATCACCGAAATAGTCCAGCGCGTCGAACGAGCCGATCTTGACGGCTCCCCTTTCTGTCTTTTCGAAGGAAATCTCCCGCAAATTGCGGCCTTGGATGTCCGAGTTGAGATTAATCGCGTCCGGGTTAGTTGGGAATCCAGGCCAGTGGGTGTCCCGGATTCCAGGACCCACGACGAGCTCGGTAGACAGTGGGAAAGTGGACGGATCGCCGATATGGTCGAAATGGGCATGCGACCAGATGATGGCTTCGATGTCTGTGCTGCGGATGCCCAGGGACGATGTGTCTGAGTCCAGAATGTTCGAGACGTTGCGCGGGTTCTGGATAGTTGTCTGTGATTTGATCATGGCTACAACGGATGGCGGAAGGCTTTCCCAGTCCTGTCGGACTCCTAAGTCAAATAGAACATGGCGAGTGCCAGCCGAGATTAAAAAGCAGTAAGTTGGTGCTGTCACCTTTTTGAGGCCTGGAAGTTCGGGTTGCCAGAATAGGTCAGGTCGTAGGTCAAGGAGCGTTCCTCTGCAATTATTAGGTCAATCAGTTCCCATGGATACGACGAGATAGGGCCTTACGGGTCGATCACTCGCACATCGACAGTTGATAATGAAGGAGGAATATTCAAGACAGGTGGAAGAGTGGGCTTGTCCTTGCTACTAGAACCTCTCTCCATTTCCGTTCGCCTGCGAATCACTGCTTGTAGCCCCGTCTGCTTGAAGAACCAAGCATTTTCCGTTTTGTAGTTCTCCGGGTTCACAATTTGTATCTGGCATGGAACACATTAAGAAGAGCACATGCCTCAATTTACGCAAAGTACTCACATCGTAGTTGAAAAGCAGGACTGGAAATAGCTTTTTGATCTCAAGGATGGCGATATTCTTCCCCAGACAAGTACGACGGCCCGCCCCAAACTACATCTCAGGATCAGTAAGAGCATGTCTGACGTAGACGAAGTTTAGACTCACAGTTAACAAGCTATTCTCCAGCCTCTTTCGGCCTTCGTGACTCAGACCTAGCCATCTCTCGGGTCTCCATTCGTCTGCATCATTGCCAAAGGTTTCTTTGTCCCGGTTGGCCATATACGGGCTGATTCCGACAATGGTCCCTGCTGGAAGATATGTCTCGCAAACAGTCAAACCACCGTCAGGAACAACCCGCTCAAAAGGTAGACAAAATGGAGGATGCAGCCGTAAAGCCTCTAGAACGCACGCGTCGAGGTAGGGCAACTCTCTCACTTTCTCCCACGAGGGACACGTCCGAGAAAGGCCATTTCGGCTCGCGCATTCCACAAGCTCATCTTGCAGGCGGCTCAGTGTGTCCCGATGAACCAAGAGATTGTACATAATTGTACGCATGACATTTGCAGTCGAGTCAGAGCCAGCCATGATATTAGAGAAAGTCCAGGCTCTTGGGGCCCTAGACATGAGTTAGCCGGATATAAGACAAGGAGAAATAGATCAGCGGGAAGATTTCTTTACCAAGGCATAACATCAGTGTTTGAGGCCTGGATATTGAGAAATTGGGAGAGCATATCCTTCTCGTCCAAAACCTCGCCTTTTTCACGACGGGCTAAGCGCTGCGATATAAACTTGTCGACTACCTTCAACACCCCAAACCCTGTCGGTGACCTGAACAATGCTATGAACGGGTTCGTATTACAGAACTCGTCAAACCACGGAATTTGGCCCATCTGAGAAAGTCATGCGCATTAGAAACCAACTGTAACACGACGTGCAGAGCTAGAACCCACCACGGAAACTCTTTTCATAAACTTCCAAATCTCACCCAAGATTCCATTCATATCGCGGCCTTGTTCCAGAAATCCATATCGTCGAGAGAACGTCAATGTCCCCATCGAATCAAACGCAAAATATTGAAGCCAGCTCCCCAGATCAAACGGAACATCATTGCTGTCTAGGAACCGATCATCGAGTTGTTTTAACAGTACCGCGAGGGTTTGATCGACAAAGGGCTCGAGCTTCACCACATTCGTCATGGAATATAGAGGAGCAATCGGGCTTCGAAGCCTTTTATGAAGGTCCTCGTCTTGGGAATTGAAAACCGCCGGCATGGCGCCCTTGTTTGGTGTGTAAGGCTTCTGCGTGCGATAAAAGTCGCTCTGGGGGTAGCGATGTTAGCGATTGAAATCCGATTATGACTGGACGCAATAACTCTGGTACTACCATTACTGACCTTGGGAAATCCGGGCCTACTGGGGTAGATAGCCGGGATGGCGCGAGGATCCGAGATAGAGACCATGTTTGGACCGAATCGAACGACAGGCCCATACACAGCATGCATCTGACGGTGGTATTCATGGGCTCGTCCGGACTTCACCCACCACACGCGTTGCAGATTTGTGAACTTCGCAAACAGCGGACCTGGTACATTTTGGAGATGCAAGTATAGGCCACAAACGTAGCGGACGAGATATAGCACAACAGCAACAGCTGTGATATGTATTATGATCAGATAGTCCATAGTATATAAGTTTATGTCTTGTACGTATACTTGTGCTGGAGGATTGAGAACGAAGATGAACTAGACTTCCAAGGTTGAGACCAATCGTCTAGCATCTATTCCCTAAAGTATTTTGGTAGAACAACAAGCTACTAGCCCAACGGGCAGAGTCCATCCGCATACACCTCGCCTCTTTACACAACTGAATTGAGTTCGTATCAATACAGGTCATGAAAATTGGATATTTCGTACTCTATAGGCAGTTGCCTAATTTGCGCCTCAGTGCATCTCCACCTCCAAATCTAGAATGCTCCCACATACAGCCCCGCGCAACCGCGTATACCGCACGCGAATCAGGACTATACACATAATAACACTCCACAAAAAGTGAAACGGACTACCCACATGTATTGTAACAAGTGTGTGACGTTCAAGCCTTTGCATGTCTTACTGTATTGTATACCTGCACTCCACTCGAATTCCATATTGATTGTTCGGGCGATCGTAATATGATGACGACTGGTTGCCAGATGTAGGCACCTTAGTCTGCATCTGCATCTGGCCCCATGTCAATAAGCCTCAATAGATAGCCCCACGGGATTACGTACGTCTTGTGCAGATCGGGAATATTATCCCACTCCACATCCTACTCCACAAAATATCCACAGGTGAAATGTAGTACTAGAGCCACATACTTCGTACATGTAACGCTGCATATCGCCAAAAGCCTGGCCTAGACTATCAGGAATATACAATCGGGTCCACTCTAGCTTATTGTGCATATCGCCCCCGGGCCTCAACGCGCATTATGTGAGAAGCGTTTGTGGCAGTGTTGGAAAAGCAGATAGGATCTCCCAGGATTGACAGAATGAATTGATTTACAATCGCTCTTTTACCTTTACGGAAGTATCCTGGATAACAAACACGACATATAGGCAGTGTAGACGGGATCCTACCAGCGAACAAGTAAAGGGCAGTATATATTAAGAATGGTGCTCATGGTGCGTTTTTGGTTGGTATTTCCGCACTATTCGACCATCCCAGAGGGACGGCTGGCCCCGACAAGGGAGGCCTAAAGGAACAAATGCAATGAAGTGGCGAACGAAGGATTTTTCGACATTACATAAACTCTACAAGGTTTATTCCAAGGTTGCTGCAGCGTCATATCCACCGCTCGTATCAAAGTATGATCTTCGTTTGCTACTTTTCATGGGCCAATACTAGTATGTAAGCTACAAAATGTAAATGTAATACAACTCGCTCCTGAAAACCTAAAATACTCCAAAACTGAGACAACACCCCACCTCTATGCAACTTCCGAAATTTGGAATGGACGTCAGCCTTGTTAAAGTAAGCATGCCGATCGGCAGGAGATGATTGGTGCGCGGAACGCCCCTTGCGGGCCGAATAAACGTAACTGTGGGAGCCGGCCCGGGCATGCCCCGCGTCCAGGCGGGGAAAAACGTTTTCTCATTGGAACCCGACTCCAAGCTACTGTAGCTTACTTGCAGGTATGTGAAAACAAGATTGGAAAATGGTATAGAACTAGATCCTGAGACCCCCATTTTCAGTTCCGAGAGATAAGAGACGATCATCAAAGGGGGAAAACAAGGCTGGAGGGATGAATCAATGGGTAGGGAGGGGTCGAGGCGCCACGAGGTCGCATGCATCAAAATGCGTAAAAATTCCGGGATTCGGACCATTCTATGGTCCGCTTTGTACTAGCATTACACGAGGGCTATTTCCGTCTCACCTTCTATATTGAGATTCCAACTCCTGAGGATAGCATGTATGTATGAGCCCTGTTGAATGACTTTTCAAATAATGTAGTAAGGCTAGCTTTGAAAGCCTGCACGCCATTATATAGCTCTAGCAAGGGTTGGTGGACGGTAGTAGTGTTGTCTAACTGCTTAGAACCAGGGAGATAAAGTAGGTTTCCAAGGGTATATTGCTAAATAGCTTGAACAACACAGCCGAAGCATCTCAATACCTAAATTTGATGCAATTTAGGAAATCTTACTTGCAGAACGGCTCAGCGACAACGTCACACCAGAATGCCTAGTTTTTAGGCAATATATCAGCTTGTAATGTAACAAAATTCTGATTTTTAGTTTAGTACCTTCAATCTCAGAGCGCTTGAAAATCGTGTGCTTCGTTATAGTAATTCAGGTAATTTACTTTCTTGGCCACCTTAAACCTGCAGAGGCTCTAGCTGGCCCCCATATTTTTCCGTAAATGGGAGATTGATAGTTTTGTAGCGGACTAAGCCTGTCGTTTTTTGCCTTATATCAATGGACTTATATCCTCTCCCGAACCAAGTTCCTTATAGACCTGTAACTATATTATATCCTGTACGTGAAGAGCGTACCAGGAGCTTATTGAATTCTTACATCTATCGAGAAGCTCGTTTCTTCATTGAGTTTCGTGTCATGTCATTGAATACAGAGCATTCAGAAGGAGGCCTTCGTCTTCTCTTCGGACCACAATGCTGTGAAATCGAAGGCACGATCGCCCACATCCGGGATGCTGTATACAAAGATCCAGCCGGCCTGGGGTTCTTGTCTGATATTCTTGACGAGCTTCCCTCCTTATGGTCCGTCATAACTGCTGCCTGGCCAGCCCTACAGAAGGTGTCGGGGGAGAGGCACCTGGCTGCACTGGGGCGGCGTTTTGAGAATGGATCTCCAGATAGCGAGGCAGAAGCCTCAAGTCTCATCATGACTCCAGTCACGGTGATGAGACATCTAGTTGACTTTTGGAATCTCCAAAGTGTTGCGACACATCCGGCGTTTCCATCCTCATCATTATCACAGACCGCAGCCCCAAGGATAATCGACACACAGGGGTTCTGTGTGGGCATTCTGGCGGCAATTGCCGTGGCCTGCTCCCGGGATACACGGGAGTTCCAGTCTTTGGCTTCGAACGCCATACGGCTCGCTGTCTGTATTGGGGCGTTGGTAGACTTCGATGAGATCGTGTCAGGCAACGCTAAGTCGATGGCAGTGCGGTGGGAGTCCCCAGAGGACCATGACTATCTTGAACAGACTTTGACAAGGAATCCCAATGTTAGTTTCTCCCCATGAAAAGAAAAGGAAACAAAAGCAAAAGGCTGATAGACATCCAAGGTATATATCTCCTGCTATACAGACGTCAACAGCGTCACTATCACTCTCCCCGGTGACACTCCACAACGGGTGAAGCAGGAGTTCAGCGGCCGTGGTCTGCACACAAAGCAAATCCCCCTCCGGGGCCGCTTCCACCACCAGCAAACACACCGCGAAGGCATCCAGCACATAATGAAGCTATGTGTGAAGGATCCTCGCTTTCAACTCCCTCACAGCAACGCGTTGATACTACCCCTTCGATCAAGTCAGAATGGGGAGGTGCTCATAAACGCAGCCATATTGCACACCGTCGCCTTGGAGTCGATCCTCTCCGCTAAGGCAAACTGGTGGGGAATAGTCTCCGCATTACTGAACAGCGCCGATATGCAAGTTGACGAGTCCCGTCTTCTATCCATCGGCCAAGAAGAGTTCGTCCCACGATCAGCCAGAGGCCATCTAGTAGCCAGGAGCAACCTTGATGTCTACGGGGCACGAGTGCTTGCTAACGGAAATACATCGGCTCGCTCTTTAGGGTCGCTGCAGAACGGCACGCACACCCTCAATGGTAGTCCACAGACAGCTGACATGCCGCCTATTGCCATTACCGGCATGGCTTGTAGATATCCTAACGCAGACACCACGAGCGAGCTATGGGATTTGCTGGAGCTGGGGGAATGTACAGTGAAGAAGGCCCCTGAGAGTCGGTTCCGGATGCCAGACTTGCAGCGGGAGCCGAAGGGCCCATTCTGGGGTCACTTCCTCGACCGGCCAGATGCGTTCGACCATCGTTTTTTCAATATCTCAGCGCGAGAGGCCGAGTCCATGGATCCACAACAACGCGTGCTGCTGCAAGTAGCATATGAAGCCATGGAGTCTGCCGGATACTGCGGATGGCAGCAGGCTGAGCTATCGGACGATATCGGCTGCTATGTGGGCGTGGGATCTGAGGACTATACTGAGAATGTGGCGTCGCGACATGCGAATGCCTTCTCGGTTACAGGAACCCTGCAGTCATTTATAGCCGGCCGTATCAGCCATCATTTCGGCTGGTCGGGCCCATCGATTACGCTGGATACAGCGTGTTCATCCGCAGCAGTGGCTATCCATCTGGCATGCAAGGTACGAGATGGGACTCACGTTTGCTTTCTGTCAAAGTGCAATGGCTAACTGGTGTGTAAATGATAGGCCCTGCAAACAAAGGAGTGCTCGATCGCCGTGGCTGGCGGTGTGAATATTCTGACAAACCCCAGAGTGTACCAGAACCTGGCTGCTGCTTCTTTCCTGTCACCGACTGGAGCATGTAAGCCGTTTGACGTCTCTGCGGATGGATATTGCCGCGGAGAGGGCGCTGGCCTCGTTGTTCTCCGGCCGTTGCAGGATGCGATTGACAACGGCGACCCGATCCTCGGCGTGATCGCTGGCTCAGCTGTCAACCAGGGCTCGAACAGGTCACCCATCACCGTCCCCGATGCGGAGTCTCAACGATCGCTCTATAACAAAGCTTTGTCACTCGCTGGGGTTGCCCCGGATGAGGTCACGTATGTGGAGGCCCACGGTACTGGTATGTATCCTGCTTTCTTCCTCCCCTTGGTCTCCTCTATTCTGCCCTCTTCCATTTGGCCTGCAGTTTAGTAACAATGTCAAAGGCACACAAGTTGGAGATCCGATCGAACTGGAAAGCCTTCGCAAGGCATTCGGAAACCCGCACCGAAGACAGAGTCTCCATGTGGGGTCCATCAAAGGTAACATCGGACACACTGAGACCTCCTCGGGGGTCGCCGGACTGTTGAAGACGATCCTCATGCTCCATAAGCAACGGATACCGAAACAGGCAAATTTCAGGCACTTGAATCCCAAGGTCATGCCTCCGCTCGAGAACGACCGATTGGTGATTCCCGTAGAGTCAACCAAATGGGCATCAGCGAGACGGGTTGCCATGGTCAGCAATTACGGGGCGTCGGGGAGCAACGCTGCGCTTATAGTGAGAGACCACACTCCTAGCCTTTCGGGGCAGGGGAAGGCAATGATGGAATACATTCGAGATGTGCCTATCTTGATCTCTGCACGGTCTGAAGAATCTATTCGGGCCTACTGCGATGCCCTTCGCACCACCCTCTTGAGCCACCCGCAGTCCGATATCGTCGTCCGGGAATTGGCGTACAACCTCGCAATGAAGCAGAATCGAACACTGCCGTTTACTCTTACTTTTTCAACCTCTTCTGATCCGGCATCGCTGAGCACCCGCTTGGAGGCTATTGCCGCAGACAAGTCTGCCGATATCGTCCAGAAGCGGCCATCCAGCGAGCCTCCAATTGTTCTGTGTTTCGGCGGACAGAATGGAGTTACGTCGAGCATTTCACAAGAAGTTTATGACAGCTCGGCCCTCTTACAGACGCACCTCATGACATGCGAGCAAGCAGGCCAGAAGCTGGGCCTTCCCAGTCTTTTCCCAAATATCTTCACATCAGAACCCATCGCGAATACCGTTCACCTGCACTTCATGCTCTTCTCTATACAGTACGCATCCGCCAGGGCCTGGATCGACTCAGGACTGCGCGTAGACCGCATCGTGGGCCATAGCTTTGGTCAGCTCACTGCGCTATCCGTGGCTGGCAGTTTGAGTGTTCATGACGGCATCCGCCTGGTTACTGAGCGTGCGCGCCTGATCCAAACCAACTGGGGCCCAGAGTCTGGGGTGATGCTCGCTGTGGAGGGTACGGAGAGCGAGGTCCAGCGGGTGCTGGAGCAGGCAGCCAACCGTGCTGACATTGCCTGCTATAATGGACCACGGCAACAAGTGCTTGCCGGCACGGGGGAATCCATCCGGGCGGTTGAAGACGCTCTCGCTGCAAACCCATCGACGAGAAACGTCAGGGTCAGACGTTTGGAAAACTCGCATGCCTTCCACTCTAGACTTGTTGACAGCATTGTGCCCGGACTCACAGAGCTCGCAGAGTCCTTTGTCTACCAAGCACCAGCTATTCCCATCGAAGCCTGTTCGGCGACTGGCGACTGGTCGATTGTCACCCCGGCAAAGATCGTCGAGCACAGCCGCATGCCTGTGCACTTCCAACGCGCTGTCGAAAGAATAGCTCAAAAACTACAAGTTCCCGCCGTCTGGCTCGAAGCCGGCTCAGCCTCGCCTATCATCCCCATGGTGCGTCGAGTGCTGGAGAAATCGTCCACAACTCACACATACCACAAGGTTGACCTCGATGGGTCGGACGGAAGCCGGAATTTGGCAACTGTCACCAGCGCCCTCTGGGGACAGGGCGTCCATGTCCAGTTCTGGCCCTTCCATCAAGCGCAGCGTGGGACCTTCGACTGGATGAACCTTCCGCCGTATCAGTTCGCGAAGAACAGCCACTGGATTGACTTTGACCCTACTGCTTTCTTCTTTTCCAGCTCCTCGGCGGAACTGCAATGTGGGAGTCAGGAGCAAGCCGGCCTGTTGCGCAAGTTGAGCGACGGCCCAGAGGAGTATCTGTTTGCCGTTAACACCCAAGATGCATTGTATAGGTCATGCACGAAGGGGCACGCGGTATTGGACCAGACGTTGTGTCCCGCATCCATGTATATGGAGATGGTCCTGCGGGCAGCAACTTCCGTCTTCACCTTGGGTGAATCCTCAACACTGGCTATGTCTCATATCGAGGACCTTGTCATATCATCCCCCCTAGTATTAGATCCGCAAGGAAGCGTGTTCGTACGACTGATCCCGGAGGGAGTGGGCCCTTCCCAGCCGTGGTCGTTCTCGGTCTTCAGCAGTAGCGAGACGGGTAGTGAGTCATCGATTCACGCCACAGGCAGTGTCTGCTTGTGCAATGAAAGGTCCAGGACTCTGTCCCGCTTTCAGTCTATGGATCGGTTGATGGACCCGGCACGGGCAAGAGGAATTGAGGACCATCTGGCATCAAACGGACTGAAAGGATCGACGGTCTACTCTGCCCTCGAACAGGTCACCAACTATGCAGACTACTTCCGCGGAGTGAGGCAGGTGTTTGCAAATGGCCGTGAGGCTGCGGGGCTGGTCAGTATGGCGCCGTCAGCCACTGAGACTACCTGCAACCCCATCCTCCTGGACAACTTTCTGCAAGTTGCAGGAATTCACGTCAACTGCCTCTCTGGCCGCGAAGCAGAGGAAGTCTTCGTGTGCAACGCTATCGGGGAAACGTTCGTTGGCGAGTCATTGGTCAAGAAGGAAGACGGAGCTATTCCGTTGTCATGGAAGGTATACACCAACTACGTCCGGCCGTCCAAGAACGAGATCGTGTGCGACATCTACGTGATGAACTCTCAAGGAGACGGTCTTACCGCCGCAATGATGGGCGTTCGGTTCATGAGTGTCTCCATCCGCTCTCTCACTCGCGCACTGGCCAAGCTGAACAACAATTTCCCTAACGGCGCGGATCACATCTCCGTCCCACAACTCCCGCCCAAGACCCAGCCAGCAATTGTGACAGCCGACCATGACGAAGCCAGTGACAATGTAAATGTGGATGGCGACCTTGCTGCTGTCCAAAGAATGCTTTGCGAGCTGTTTGGAGTTGGTGTCGAAGAGGTATCTCCATCAGTCTCGCTGATCGATATTGGAGTGGACTCGCTCATGAGCACAGAAGTGCTCTCCGAAATCAAGAAGAGATTTCATGTGGATATTTCCTATTCCACCTTGGTGGATATTCCCAACATCCAAGGTTTGACAGAGCATATCTTCCCGGGACATTCTCACCTAGCTCCTTCGCGGGTTGTGGTCGAACCAGTACGGCAGCAGACTGTGATACCGCAAACTGTAACTCCTCTGCCCGTGCCAGCTGATGCCGGACCGTCGCTAGTCTCAGTGGCACACCAATGCTTCTATGAGACACACGCCGCGGTATCCCACACACACAATGCCCACTGGGCCGGCTTCTTCAATGCCATTTATCCGCAGCAAATGACACTCATCACGGCGTACATCCTGGAAGCATTCCGCGCCTTGGGCTCCCCGCTAGAGTCCAGTCAGCCAGATGAGGTCCTCCCTATTATTTCCGTCCTACCACGCCACGAGCAGTTAAAGAAGCACCTGTATACAATTTTGGAATCAGTCAACCTCGTGCGCCAAACTCCAACTGGTCAACTCGTGCGCACAGCAACACCCATCTCGCCGCTCCAATCGCACGCCTTGCATGCCCAGATCCGGGATGCACACCCTCCATATTCACTGGAGCACGATCTTCTCCAGATCACAGGCTCGCGATTGGCTGAGTGCCTAACCGGGCAAGCGGACGGGGTATCGCTGATTTTCCAGGATTCCCAGACTCGGCGCCTGGTGGGAGATGTCTATACGGACTCCCCGGTGTTCAAGTCGGGTAACCTCTACCTCGCACAGTATCTCACGGATGTCATCCGAGCTCTCGGCAACAGTCGGCAGGTTAAAATCCTCGAGATCGGCGCTGGCACAGGAGGCACCACCAAGAATCTCCTCGAGCAGCTCTCGGCCCTCCCTGGAATGGCGACACGCGTGGAGTATACCTTCACGGATATCTCGCCATCGCTTGTTGCAGCTGCGCGGAAGAAGTTTTCTAACTATGATTTCGTACGGTACGAAACTCTTAACGTGGAGAGCAGCCCTCCCCCGCTCTTGCACGGCCAGTACGACATTGTGTTGTCGACCAACTGCGTCCATGCTACTCGAAACCTCCTCGAGTCCTGCTCAAATATCCGCAAGCTCCTCCGGCCTGATGGGATCTTATGTCTCGTCGAGCTGACCCGTGACATATTCTGGTTGGATCTTGTGTTCGGACTCCTCGAGGGCTGGTGGCGGTTTGAGGACGGTCGGAAGCACGCGCTGGCCACCGAAAATCTTTGGGATCAAACGCTTCGTCAATCTGGCTTCGAGTGGGTGGGCTGGACGAATAATGAGACTGTAGAGTCGAATGCCCTACGTGTTATTGTCGCATCGCCGACGAACGTCTCTTCTGCTTTAGAGATTTGCTCCAAGCCTGCAAAGATGGAAACTGTTGTTTGGGGTGAAAGGGATGGTCTACAGCTGCTGGCTGATATATATTATCCCGACCTGGTTGACACTACGCGGAAACGACGACCAATTGGTAAGTTCAGATTCATCTTTTGTCCCTCGTAATAAGTCCGTTTCATACTTTCATTTGTTAACCCTTCTCTTCAGCTCTGATGATTCATGGAGGTGGCCACGTCATGCTATCTCGTAAAGATATCCGTCCGGCCCAGACACAAACCCTTCTCGACGCCGGATTCCTGCCCGTCAGTGTCGACTACCGCCTATGCCCTGAGGTTAGCCTTGCAGAAGGCCCTATGGCCGACGTGCGCGACGCGCTAGGTTGGGTGCGCCGCATCCTCCCAAATCTCCCCTTGCTGCGTCCAGATATCCGACCGGACGGGAACCAGGTTGTGGCTATCGGGTGGTCCACTGGTGGTCATCTCGCAATGACGCTGGCGTTCACGGCTCCCGCTGTGGAAATCACCGCTCCAGAGGCCATATTGGCTTTCTACTGTCCAACTGATTATGAAGATCCCTTTTGGTCGAGGCCAAACTTCCCCTTTGGACAGACAGTCGCATCAAATGATATGGAGTACGATGTCTGGGAAGGCGTGCAGAGCGCCCCGATCAAGGGCTATAATCCAGCGTTCAAGGAACGGCCACTCGGGGGCTGGATGTCAACCAGCGACCCGCGCAGTCGGATTGCATTGCACATGAATTGGACGGGACAAACCCTCCCTGTTCTGTTGGGACGCATGCGCAAGGAGGGTCGCAGTCCCAATGACCTACCTCGTCCCACGGACGAGGAGATTCAGGCAGTTAGTCCAAACTATCAGATCCGCACCGGGCGGTACCGCACACCTACATTTATGGTTCATGGAACGAGCGATGACCTTGTCCCGTGCGCGCAGACCGAGTCAACATATAGCGCGTTGGTCAAAAACGGCATTGAGGCGGATATCAGGGTGGTGCAGGGAGCGGTGCATTTATTTGATCTTTATCCGAGCTCTCATGCTGGCCAGGATGCGAAGGAAGCGGTGGTTGATGGGTATGAATTTTTGAAAAGACACGTTCACTCTAAGGGTAATAGCTACGAGGATTAGATTTAGATTCAAATTTTGCTTCCGCATTAGAAATTACAATTTGAGGATTATATTGAGGTCTTTCTATATTCACAACATCCAGAACGGGCGAAAAAATGGATATCTTCAGGTTCACTAACGCTGGAGCATTTTGAATAACCTGGATTACTAGCAGCGCCTAGGTTATGCCATATATTGCAGCAAATGGAACAGCCATGTACGGGGACTACTCAATGTTAGTCTCAATACTTATTTGGATGGGTTCCGGGGCGGGATCTGGATGGGACATGGGATGCGACTTGGAGGGTTTATTCGGTTGGGCATTTGGGCAAGGCATTATTGGCAGCTCCTTTGGTGTCATGAGACATGACCCTCAGGCTCGCCATATATAGGGGACATATGAGGGATTGAACCTCCTTACCTGCTTATGGAGCAAATCCCCGTAACGAACAGGGCGAAAGAAACAATAATACATCCAACAAATTGGAAGACGTCGGTGTGCCAGTAAGCGGCCATGGCCGCAACAAGGACGAAGAAAACGAATGTAGGAACAGGCATTGTTGCTAGTGAAAATAAGCTTGAGATGGTAAAACATAGATGGGAAGGGAGGAAGAAGAGATAGAAAGCTCGTGTCGATATATGAAAGAATGAGGTATAAACGAGAGTTTGGAGAGTGAGAAGGGAAGAAACTATAGGAAAGCTTGGAAGAGTGAAAGTTAGAAAAGTCATATGAACGATGTTCTCGAGGCAAAATGTGGGAATAGCCTTACATTTGTGATACTGGTAAGCTCACAGCATCTAATTGCTCTTCTTCTCACTTCACCAGAAAACATACATAAATCTTTTCAACTAACTCTTCCTTGCTCCTCTGTCACCTCCTTATCATCAGATGAAAATTTCTCTAATCTTTCTTCCTGGTCTCAGAATAGTCTCAGAATACAAATATTTCTGTGTCCTTTCATTTTACAATCTAAGAGTTTAGTAGACTGTATAGATCTGCTTTTCTTCCAAGTATCCCATGCGCTCTCCAATACTTCACTGAATCATGAGATTTACTTTAAACTAATGAAAAGGACACTTCCCCGTCCTAGAAATCTTCAGTTCCTTCATCGTCTCCTCAATTGCCTTCTGCCCCTTTCCTTCAAAATACTTCGGCCCGATATCGTGAATATGATACCCCTTCGGATAGTACTTCTCGCCCTGGTCGCCCGGGACAGGATGACCGCGCGCCCAGGCAACCCACGCCATTGGACCCCATCTATTCCAAAATGTTGGTTTCACGTAGTAGGGAAGTGCGTCCCAGGATTTGCGGTGGTAGCGGTTGTTTGTATCTGGTTGCTTGGTTGTATTTGACACCGCGAAGATCAAAGGTCGTGGGGGTGTTAGGTAGCGGAGAATGAATTTGCGGGTTATTAGGAGAGTAGAGAAGACTTTTGTCCAGAAGGGTGTTGGTGGTTCGTATCTAGTTGATGTTAGCGCTCGATATTTCGTTGTATGAAATAAGATCTTGTGATCTCAGGTGCGACTATTCCACATACAACATAGCCTTCCTCAACCGGTCATCCATCATAAACGAAGTGAACTGCAATCCCACCAGATGGAATGCCTTCGGCAAATTATAAAGCAACACAGCTGTTGCCTGATCCGCTGATTCCCGATTCTGAGCATCTGGAACCATATACTTGGCCTCATACTCCTGACTCCAAGTATCCACCTCCTCGAGCCACTGAATCCCATCCCTAAACCCCGTCTTACCCGACGGGAGGATGTCAGAACTAATACCTAGCGCGTCACCTAGACTCTTCCAAAACGTCCCAATAGCACAGCGTTCCAAATCACTTAGCGGCCGCCACTCGAATGCCGAGATGAAATTTACAGGCTGGACCGCAAAGAGCGCAAGTGTGTAGAGCAAATCTGTATCAAGGATCTTGCCTGAAGCTTGGTAGCCGCTGTGCAGAAAACGCGTGCGGGCTACAGAGATGAAAGCCCGTTGCGAGGTCGGGCTATTTTCTACCATTTCGCCGATAAGCGCGGCTGTGTCTGTGTAGCGCTTGAAGGAGGTTTCTGGTTTAGAAAATTGGCCTGTCTTTGTGAGAAGGTGGGAGATTGTTGGAATGCCGTAAGTCTAGGGGAGGTTAGAATAAGAAAAATATATATTGGTGTATTAATAAATGAGATATATTTGCGTACCCGGAACAAAGCAAACTGCCCGGCTTTCACAAACATGAATGGGAATTCTAGCTGCGCCGTTTCTTTTTGAATTTGGAATGCTTCTTCGTCTGTCATCTTAGCCATAGACTCGCGCGTCGGGAAGTAGAACTTCTTTTCTAGCTTTCTAAGTCGTCTATGGCGCAGCAAATTGATGATAAGGGGGTACGCAATCAACAAGCCCACGGTAAATGAAAACCATTGCGGCGTGGTATCGAAAATAGCTCTCGCGGCCGCAGAGAACGGTGGAGTTGTAAAGAAAGCTGTGCCGTTATCCATAACGTGGATATTGTAGTTTGGAAGGGTATCTCAATCCCGTATAGAAAGCTCTGATATTTAAGTGATTAATGGCCCCAAGGCCCAGAGAAAGGGGCTATGTATGTGGCACTATTTACATGTAACTAGCTGGTCGTAATACAAGTACTGTAGAAGATCGAAGTTCAGACGGGCTTGAAGCAAATCCCGAAACGCAGACGGGAAGCAATCGTCCAAGGTGTTAGTGTTACTTCAAGATTATTCTTGATCGTTAGGTCATTGTAGGCTACTACTATTCCTCTCTCCTTGCACCCAATTATACGCAAGATACACTGAAAAAAAGACACAAGGCAACTAATCTATTTTAACCGTAAACCCATAAATGGGCATCACATGTACCGTGGACGTCTAAAATAAAGTTAATATTATATTTATTTTATTCGAGATTTTCTGTAACAGTTTTACATATTTGTATTATTCCTCAACATGGCATGGATTCTTCCAAGGTTACGTGTGGATCTAGTAAGCATTCTCCAAAAGATGGAGTCAGCCCGCAGGGTTGTATCGTGGGGCTGATCTTATACCCATCGAGTCTCTTGCGTAGGCCTGGCCTTGGCCCACTATTATTATTTATTAAGATATACTACTATACAGTGCTTTTCCAAAAGTACATACATGTACGGTAAATACTGCCCGCATATTACCTAACTAGTATATTCCAAGGTTGGTATAGATGCATTGGGCATAGGAAGCAGCTCGGTCACGATAGGCTCCTCAGTGAAACGGTGGCTCTCGCTGCGGTAAGATGGAGCATTCCTCGTCACTCATGCACCTGTTCCACAGTCTGTGTCTTAGTCGTTATTTTCATGCATGGTAATTAGGAATTCATTTGTCTGATCGTCGCCATAACGTGGATACGGCAACGTGGGGCAGTAAACTAGGATGATGCAGCAATGTAGAGAAACCTGGCCTCGTATAGTACAGGATATCGCCCCCAGAAGTGCTCTCTGCTGCGACACCGGGTATAACTTTTGATAGTTCTCAAGGACAGCCCAATTTCCTAGTTCATCTGCAAAGATTTCGAGTTTCCGTCTTTGAAGGATATTTGCCATACTATATATAACACTATACTGCATTGCTTTCATCAACATGGTCAGTTCAATGGAGAAGCCTGGTTCATGGGACCTTGCCTGTCTTCTGATCAGCACCTCGCGGTTCAACCGATATATGCCTTACTACACGATGATGGCCGCTGGTAAGGAGAGCTCCTATTCCTAGCTCTCTCATGAATAAAGTATTAACTTCGAATTTCCGTTGCAAAACAGTATGGTCTACCTTAATTGCTGGCGCTTTGAAGTTGCAAGAGGACCCCGCCAGTCTCTCCGTCGAGTACATCTTCGTCAAAGCCGGCCTGTGTTTTGTACACTGCTTGTTACTCTGCGGCGCTGGGAACACATGGAACGACCTGGTGGACCGTGATATTGACGCCAGGGTGGAAAGGACAAAAATGCGGCCATTGGCATCTGGAAAAGTCTCAACCGTCGAGGCCCTGGTGTGGATGGTCGGTCAGTATTTTCTGTCGGTGAAAATGCTGGACTTGATATTGGATAACAGAAGCATGTAAGTCTGACATTCAGTGTCATATAACTCCAGCGCATGGAAGAGCCAAAGTTGATTAACCCGTCCATCCCTCTTAGATGGGGCCTAATGCTGCCTTTGACAGCCAGTATCATGCTGTATCCCTACTTGAAACGACCCGTATTCAGCAAAGTCTTCATCTACCCCCAGTATATCCTCGGTCTGGCCGTCGCCTACCCATCGATAACAGGCTGGGCCTCAATCAACGGGCAAGAGCAGTCCATGTCTGAGATCTTCACACATTGCACCCCGATCTGCCTTCTCATCTTCTTCTGGTGCCTCTATTTCAACACCGCCTACAGTCACCAGGACAGCGTCGATGATCGGAAGATGAACATTAATTCTGCTTACGTGGTCGCGGGGCAACGTATCCGGTTATTCCTCGCCTTCCTGGGTGCTCTACCACTGGCGGTGATTCCGTATGTTGTGTTGAAAATCAACTCTCCCTGGCTGTGGTTCTCTTGGATGGCGGTTTGGACCGTTTCTATTGTGACGCAGATTGCTCGATTCGATTCGAGGAAGCTTGAAAGTGGCGGGCGCATTCATTGGGAGAACTTTCTGTTGGGATTGTGGACTACCGTTGCTTGCATAGTCGAGGTCGGTCTGCAGAAAGTAGAGTTCTGGAACAGGGTTTAGGGGTTGTTGATCTTTGAACGAACTGGTCAATCTAGGAAGCACATCACAACATTCTCAATTGATAACCTAGGCTTTTAATTGATCCTTGAAAATGTCTCGTAAATGGTCTGAAGTACAGAGCGACTCATTTTTCGTGCAAGAAACCTCTTTGTCCCCAAAACACAACTCTACTTTGCACGCTCTTGCCAATCAAATCGCAGACTTCTTCAATGCTTTGTGCTCCTTCTGCATAGCCCGAATGATCTGTTGGAGGGCTCTCAATTCGTTCTTCTCAGACGTGTTCACCTTTGGGGGCATCATTGAAGCTGCATCTGCGCTTTTGCTCGCGCCAGTGGCAGCATGTGCAGTGCTTCTCTCCATGCACCCGGACGCCGGATACGAAGGCTAGGAGAGCTTCACCGTTTGCAAGTGTATTTCCCACCTGTTGGTCAAAACGGGACCCATCCACCCATTTCCGCTGTCTTCGTTTGACTGATACAAAGCACTGGTTCTCTTCTCAACTTCATTCCGCGGAGATAGTATAAAAGGTTTGTTGGATTTGTGGCGTCCTGTTTGCTCTTAATCTGATTGCCGAATGAAAACTCTTCTAGCTACTAACAACTGCGGGGAGAAAGAGGAAGAAGAATTACGATCTATTTAATCTAGCAAAAGTAGGGTATCTATACCCTGTAGACTCACAAACTAACTGCTCAGTCTGCTAACAAACGAGCCTGGACAATCTGGCATCAATGGGATGATCTAACAAAAACATTAGGGAAAGCAGCAAGACAGCATTGGAAATAAATCGCGTTCCTCTAAGGCATCTATTCGTCAACCCTTAAAAGCGACCGAACAGAGGCAACAAATTCCTCTCTCGTCATTTTCCCAGCGGCATTGAACTTTTCCACTTTGTCCAGATCCTCGTCATACTTAAGCAGGTCGTTCATCTTCCTTTCGATGAAGCTCTTAACTTCTGTAGTATCGCGAAGTTCTTCCAAAGTTAGACTCCATCTTTCAAGCCCTATTTGCTCTTGCAATTGTATATAGGGAAAATTGCCCATATCCAAAAAGCCACAAGAGAGAAGCATATGGAGCCACATAGCGCCCGAGTCCACGGACCATTTAACCAGAGTGGAAATTTCTTTATGTCCTGGCCCCGCGTACACCCATTCCAGATCAACTATCCCGACGGTAGTAAGATCTTCAGAACTTTTACCGATCATATTAGCCAGGCCAAGATCATCGCAAATAAGCTTAAACGGGCCTTCGTCGAATTCTGTAGCGATCATCTCGGGAATCAAAGATTCCAAAACCTTCAATGATATATATCGTGGCAGAGCATTTGTCTCTCCGGCGACAGAATTTGCTTGGTTTTCGAGCTGTTGCCAGTCTTGCCCGAGAACATAATGAAAGTATTGCCGAATCGTGGAGAACTTCTGGTTATTATGGCCTATAATATACGTGTGAGAAAATATGGGAAGATTCAAAGTTTCAAGATGTTGAGAATCCAGGTTAATTCTCAGTAATTAACATGGAGTTTTCAACGCTAACCCTAATTCGGCATTCTTTATGCATTACGAATCACTATGCAACCCCCATGCCAAGAGCTTCGAGGTCCTACGGAATCGAGGTTAGTCGATGCAGCTTGCCGTCTACAACACCAATTCCTGTATACAACCGCCAGCTTGTTATATCACAGGAAGTGATTTCAGTTCAGGCTGCTTTCAGTGCTATCACCGCCATTTCAGCTTCTTTCTTTCTGTTTCTATTACAAATTGATGGATTCCAGGGGAGGAAGAAGAAGCCTATAAATATGGGCTTCTTTCTATGTATGAAGAGATTAGACAGTTTTACAATTCCATTTCTGGCACTATATTCATAGTTCCATTTATCTTTGCAAGAGATACTCCACCCATTTTACATGCTGTATAGTCCCTCAGTGTACTATTTCAACACAAGATATATATACCAAAAGTGTTTACCTCTCCTATCTGTAAGATATCATGAGCTTTCCATGTGAGCGGATGTGTGGGCACAACAAAATTGGTAGTTATTGTAGGTATGCTACCAATCGGACGAAAGTTGATTTTGAATAGTTGAAACATGATATTGGCCCTCTGCCTATAGATCATCTCGATTGTGTCGTCGGGAATATCATTCTTGAGCACACGCGAGCCACTTGCAATGAGAACGTCTTTAAGATAGATACCCTCGATGAAAGTCATGAGTATAAATGGGCCTAGATGTAGGGGGTTCATATCGGCTACCCCGCAGGCCCGAACGTCTGGGACAGGTAAAGCAGTTTCCTGGCGGATGATACGGAGAGCCTCAACTACCAGAGCAGTGCTATCTTCAAACAGGATTTGCTGGGCAGTATTGTAAGAGTCATTCAGAAAATCACCATCTAGACGGCATTTCAATTGCTGAGGATGCAAATTTGAAGCCCAGGCGCAAAGGCTTCCATTCGAGCGGGCCTTTGGAACCTTTTCAAATCATATCTCTTCTTCTGCCTCGTGCAGACGGTCAATACACCTATCGTAGTCCATGACTGAAGAGGTATAACATGAGAAATTTCAATGCAGAGGTGTTTAGATGAAGAGTGAGGGGTAAACAGTACAGACGAACGGGGGGTTGCGCGCTCATTTTGTCGATCAGGAAACGTGATCTTTCCAGACCACCTATAATCCAGGGTAGAAAGTGGGCCGTGCCTATATACCTACACCTCATTGATCACATAAGACCATGTATTTAACTGGGCACGGCGAGGCACTACCTAATCAGGCCTTTCGCATCCACAGATTCCTCGAGTGCTGACTACATAAGTACTTACCTCCTGTGGATCCCATACTACCGTGATCGAGTATACAGAAGATGACCATTTATCTTACAGGTTTAATTACGCGAGATAGTCCTTCCTTCTCGTTCTAACATGGATGGCCGTCCGGTTTTACTTCAGCCCGATGGGGCAAGATTCATCGGCTAGGGTGCTGCAGGGACTGTTTTTGAAGATAGTAATAGTGTCATCAATCTTTTCTTGGGCAACCCACGCAAAGTTTGAGAACCAGAACAAAACTCATGCCGATCTCAGCCGTCCATCTTGTATTTCTCATCCAGCTTTCTGTATCGAGCAGATCGATGGTACACAAATCCACCTTGCAGCTTCTTTTGCATAACAAATCCAACCGCCCCTTCTTCATCCTGCCTTGCCTTCCACTCCTCCCATTCGGTTTCATCTTGATATTCTTCGCGGAAGTTGCATAACGCGAAATCGATCATGAAAACGTGGAATTGATTTTCCGGGCGACTTTGCACAATGAAACTCCTCGTTTTGACATCCTCGTTTAGTATTCCTCTATCACCGACAAGATTGACGATTCGGATGGCATCCTCACAGATGCTTTGCCAGCTATCCCTTGGGGCGCATGTAGCGATATCGGTTAAGGGAAACCCTTCGATGTACTGCAAAAGGATTCCAGGAATGTCGCTGTATTCGCTGAGCAGAGTATTTTGCGCGGTGGTAGAGGTAGGCACTGTCACACACGAAAAAAGTCGGGGTATGTCGTTCCCTTGCATATCGGCTAGGGTGTTGTATGCTTGAGTTTCTGTCTCGTAGAGAGCTTGCATAAAGTCATGCAAATAGGTTTCTTCTTGAGAAGAATTCCATGTGTCAACATTTCGAGCTGGCAAATCTCTGTCGGCGGTCAGCTCGGCAACAAGCTTCGCTGCATCACCATCGAGAATGAACTGATGATAATTCTGTTCGATATCCGAGGTCCAAGGACTTATTTCTTCCCTTTCTCTGAGTTGTGTTGCAAAACGTCGGTCGAAGAGTTTCAGTACCATATCATCTTCCCATGCGGTGGTAGGGCACACTGGTCGGACAAGCATCGCAGTGGACCAGGTAAACGGTTCAAAGACCTTCATGATTTTGGCGTCTATTGTTTGTCCATCATATGGTGTCTTCAGCTGGAGCTTTACTATATTTCCGGCCACATAGGGGGATCTAAGATGTTTAGTGCGCCCATCAAACAGAATAGTTGGCGGGATGATCACCTGATTTGTTCATGGTCCGTCATGATTATGTAGCCAGTTGAATTTCAATGCCGGTGGGTTGATTAAGTCTTCGTGAATCGAGATAAATCCTATGAAGTTCGTAGTCTCTACATTGTAATGAGTTATCAGGCGGCAAGCGTTACATAGTTCAAGAGTTAAGACGTTGACATAGCGGACGGAGTATGTGGCAGGGTCATCCAAAGCGGTGAAGAAACCAATCCAATCATCTTAGAATATATTTTTTTCTGCCCGTGCGATTTCATACTAAGTCAATTGAACTTTGCGCTAAGCCTGATTTAGCTATACGATGTGTTGATCCAATGTAGACAGTACACGCAGATTGAACTCTCATCCCCTGTCGCGCCATGCTATAGCGGCGCTTACCCTCCTGTTCTTCATTTTTTCTACCCATAAATTTACATCTATCATCCTCTCCCCCACATAATTTGGTACATACAACGATAGATTAACTGACAGCAGTGTTACCAGTGGCTGGGCAACGACCGTCGACAGGAGCAATGAATATAAACCTGTGGATGGCACGGTTCATAAAAATTGGATGCTAGACGGCAATGATGCGCCAGATGTGAGAGACTCTGATGCTTGAGAGGTCAAAGACATAGATACAACCATACATCTCGTGGGTAGACCCAAGATAACTCAGTTGATATAACTTGTACGCAAAGCTGATTGGTTTCAAAATGTAAGGTTACTTCAATATTTGATTGCTTTTCATACACAGGATGTACTGCAATGTCGACAAAATAGAAACTCGCAAGATTAACTGTTTCTCGTGACTGCATCTGGCTTCCGCTCCTGCCACAAAACCAGTTTCTTAGACTGCAGTTGTCGCGGCGTCTCACCTGCTGAATTTGGCTGGTCCATCATGCTATCTCCCTCAGCTGCCTCGAGCAGGAGACAAACCATCTCGTCCAGCGCTCTTGTCCGGTCAGCAAGCGTGGGGTTCAAGGAGGCCCCTTTTCTCGTCTGCCTTTGCAAAATGATTCCCATCACCATGCATTCGTGTAAAGCTGTATCCCCTTTTGCGTTGGTGAGACTGACATCAGCGCCTCGACTAAGTAAGAATTTCGCTGCCTGAGTCTGACGTAGATTTCTAGCCATAAGATGCAATGCAGTGTTGCCGTCACTATCTTGTTGGTTCATTTTGACACCGTGCAATAGAAGGATCCCTATCAGAGTGGTGTCTATGGGTTCTCCAGCCATGCAGCGGGCGGCGAGTTTGTGAAGCACGGTTTGACCATTAATGTCTACCACAGATGCGTCCGCCCCATTCTCCAGTAAGAACATTACAAGGTCATTAAAGTGCTTGCTTCCACCACAGCAGGCGTGTGCTCTCACTGCATAATGTAAGGCACTCTCACCCTGATTGTCTGGGGCATTGACATTGCTGTTTCCTGGATAGCCAGATAGAAGTAACTTGAAAGTACTAGTGAGCCGACTATTGATTTCATCGTCAGGAAGCCGGGATTCAAATGATCCGGGGCCCGCAGCTGCCCAATGAAGCGGTAGACGACCATTGCTATCGAGGCAGGAGAGAGGTTCCGTGATATCGCTATCGTGATAGTCATGCAGCGCCTGCACCGCCTTCATATTCCAAAACATGCTGCTAATGTGAATTGCTGTAACGTCCAAAGGAAACACAAATTCCGAGTAAAATGTGGAACCAGGGTTGTGCTGGTACTGCTGTTTAGCGTGTGGATTGGCCCCATGATCAATGAGTCGTTTCACCAACGCACAACTAGCTCGGGAGGAAGCAAGACCGAGAACCGTGGAAGGTTGGAGCGGTCGCTCGTCATCACTATGTTTTTCAGCGTAACTTCCGGATGGTAGCCTGGTCACCCACACCTGCGTGATGGGCGGTTCAACCGCTTGAGCAGAAGCACCCTTATCGAGATGTAAGTGTATCAATTGTTCACCACGGCTGATGCGATTGTTCATCCACTCGTCGTAATCACAAGGGGTGTCTATTCTAACCCCGTCTATAGGCAAAGACGTCAAAGACCTCGCAGCCGCCAGCAGCGCTTCATCGCCGTACGAATCGTCGACATGGGCTAAACGGAGCGCAGGCTGATAGTCCAGAATAAATCGCGCTGTCTCAATATGCGCATCTTTGCATGCCAGAGTCAACAATGATACCATCCGTTGGTGGAGCGGGACTTTTGTTGGCTCGGTGTTGTAGTAATCCACGAGAACACGGGGAGCATCGGTGCGCCCCGTCGCCGCGGCGACACAGAGCGGGTCAACATTTTCCCTGGTCTTAATTTCAAGAGGCGGAGAATACACAGAGATATATTGCTTCAGTCTTGGAACGTCATTGAGCTCGATTATCTTGTGCAGCAGGGCCCTACCATCGGTCTCATAGAGTCTGGCGCCGTCTGTATTGTGAAGGGCGGTCTCTGGCGTTTCCCAGGCTTCTTCCACCCAGGGGGTGTGAAGCTTGCTATATGGCATGATCCGCTAGAGATGTGAAGTGAGGGAGAAGAAAGGTATGGCATCAGGGGACCCCATCTAAGAGACGGGAAACCTTACTGTACATAGGGAAAATCCAATGGTTTTATTTTTTCAATTGTAACATACTAGTGAACTTTAAATTAACCATAACAATAACATTCCATGAACTAAACGTATGGTTATTTATCACTTGATGTTGTTCAAATAGTACACTGAGGAACTATGCAGCATGTAATAAGTGGAGTAAATCTTTCGCAAAGGTAAATGGAACTATAAGAATGGTGCTAGAAGTAAAATTCTAAAACTGTCTGTTAAGGCTGCTAACTATGGGGGAGAGAGAGAGGGAGAAGAAGAATCATGATCTATTCAATCTATCTGAAGCAGGGGATTTATACCCTGCCAAACAAAAGGCTGTCATCTAACAAAGACAAGCTCAGTCTGCAAACACATGGAGGCATCAATGGGATGACCGACATAGTCCAACACTGTCTAATCTCTTTATATATAGAACAAGAATCGTTGGCCGCTCATGCGGCGTTGTCAAGTATTTTTGGTCGTATTTTATGGTAGTCTTCTCAGATAGTCTGTTTAGATGTCTTTTTGAATAACTTTTTCCGTAGTCCTTTTTGGTGGTCTTCTCAGATTCTTCTCAGTTAGTCTTCTCAGTAAGTCTTTTTAGATGTCTGTTTTCATAGATACATGTCCTTTCTCCAGTTTGTTACCTACACGACAGAAGGAGGCGGGAAAAGGCTTAATTTGTGAAATGGACTTTCCTATGTATAACCTTTGAAGAAGCCGATACCTATCTATGGGCTTCTTCTTGGTTCCAGAACCCCTCAATTGATAGGTATAAGTTTGTAATAGAAAATAGAGAGAAAACCAAAAAAGGCAGCTAAACGACTTCTGATTTCTCACGCAGACTCTCACTCTATCTATAGCGCATTCACCCTTCTCACCCCAGGTCGCGCGACGCTGAGGTGTCACTCACACCACTACATGCTCACTACTTGCACTCTATCATTCTCTTCCACTCATAGCATGATACATACGACCATAGGGTGTGGAAAACAGGGCTTCCCGTCCGCTCAGCCGTACTTAAGCCACACGCCGGTGAGTTAGTAGTTGGGTGGGTGACCACCAGCGAATCCTCACTGTTGTATGTTTTTGTTCACCAGTTTTTTTTGGTCCGGGAAACTCCCTTCACCCTAAGTATTATTCAGTCGCTCCAGCCCCCCTTCACCTGAATGCCCTGAATGAACACCACTATTTTACACCTGAATATCCTGCACACCCCTGAACCGCTGACATGTCCTTCCCTCCCATACTGATTTTTTCTCACAGGCAAGTTTTTTTGATCACAACTCTTCGGTACTAGCTTCCACAAGTTGACCATGTCCTCCTCCTAAGATTCAAATGACAAAAAGCGGAAAAATAAGAAAAATAAGAAGAGAATCCAATTTATTATTGAATATAAATTCCCTGGTGGTCACCCACTACTAACTGACCGGCGTGTGGATAATGTGCGGCCAGTAGACGGGGGTGAGAAGGGTGAGTGCGCGATAGACAGTGTAGGAACCAGGTGAGAATTTTCCGTTCCGGTGCGCTAACCCCAGACCGCCCGGCTAGACCATAGCGACCTATCATTAGGTATAACTGCAGGTATTATACAGGCTATATATATCCTCCAGAAATCAGTTACTGCCGTACCAGAGGACCTAGGGGCTGCGCGTGCTGATAGAGCCGCTGCTGGCTGATTTGCTTACCCTCGATAAAGACCTGCTGATCCTGATGGCAACTGGTTAGGCAACATAGATCGATATGTGCGGCTACTTCGACCCTTCATCATTGATGGCGAACTACCTTGTCTTATTCTAAGTATCTATTATGATCCTATATTTGGCAAGTGGTGGTCTAAACAGCTAGCTGTGCCCGCCGAGATCCAACAGGCGGCCAACCATGCACGCTTCATTATGAACAACGACCTGTTCGAGCTGACAGACACCCCACCAGATGCCGATATTCCTAATGTAATCTGGTTCCCACAGCTCGCAAGAGACGAAACATATGCCTGGCTTGCTCGACGCTGCCAGTCGATGACGCAGAGGTTGACCAAGCTTGCATTCGAGCCAACTAACAGGGATTATTGAGTATCTAAAAGCAATGCGAAGTGCAGCACAGTGGAGTGACGCAAGAAAGTCATCAACCGTTGCTATATTGAGCGAATTGATCTCAGAGTGGTGGAGCTGGGAATTGATATGTAGCGCTTTATATCGCAGAGACCTCAGAGGACGGATTTTGTACTGTTATACCGGTTGTAACGGATATTTTGTGGGCTTGGAACGCAGATACCACTCCATGTGTTAAGCCCTGGGCCCAGTACCACCCAGACATCATGGATGAATATCCCGGCTTGAGGGAGCATCTATGAACCTAATTCGAAACCACAATCGGCCCTAAATTCATGACCCAAAAAAACCCCCAGAACTATGACACCACATATCGAATCTACTTGATGGTTGACGAAGAATCGCTGCAGACATTTCTGTGCTCCTCACCTTAGGAAAATGTGCCGCACCAGAAGGTACTGAACCCGAAGGGGTCCTTCAAGATTCCAAATGAACTTCCAGAGACTGAGGATTTCGATAGTTTCTTGGGTGATAGAAGCTTCAGAGCTTGATCCTTTAGACGTTTCCGATGTTTTGAATTGGACCAAGGACATGAAAAAGCAACCCTATTTAATGGATATGTAAGGTCCCGTCTGGAAGAACTTGATTGGTTTCTCGATATTCCAAAGCTTGCCCTTGTATAATTTTCATAATCGCCTTTCTAAGAATAGTGAATCTTAACTAGATTTTTCAAACTCTAGATCCGCTTATTGAGGTGATAATTTGCACCGAATCAAATAATTGGTTCGGGTATCAATGCGACCGTCTACATTGGAAGAGCTGCTGCCTGGTATAAATCAACGTCTGCGGCACCTGCGCCCGCAACGTCCGCGTCCTGACGCCCCATTTCCGAGAACCATTCCAATACTGCCTAGAACCTCCAGAACACGCCCGGGACTTCGTCATTACAAGGCCGCGCCTCGTCCATTTCATTGATCTCGTCGATGACGCATCTTCACGCGCAGAAGCAAATCCCCGTCATCCGCAATTTCCTAAACTACGCACGCAGAAAAGGCGTTCTCCGCAAATGTCGTCGCGACAGTATATCTCTTGGTACATGGCATTGCATCCTTCCTTACCATAACTAAGCGTCTGCAAAGACTGCTCCCACAAAATGGTCTGGCCACTAGTAAAATCCCACCACCCCAGTGCACGGATGTTCTGTACCTCTGTCCTGTCCGCCTTCTACCGTTGTCCATATTGTCGGGAGGCGTGCTGCAAGCTTTATTCTGGATGGATTTGGTGCGAATGATGATCTTGCGGGGTTGAAGTCTATTTTATGGTTGCGGTTTGAGGCGGAGAGGAGCTGTAAGGATCGCAGGGAGGAGTTGCTTGTGGCGGAGAGGAAGGGCTATTATTGTAATGTTCTTCTAATGAGATAAGGAATTCTGTTGGAGAGTGGAAGAGGTGGGAGTGATTAGGCGTATAAGTCTTAAAAGCTTGCGCATTGGTTGGCGCGCATGGATATTGTTATCAATAGCATAATGTAGTTTTAGTTTAGCAATATGTACGATTTGTGCTTGCCTCTTTATCGATATTTTATGTACTTGTGTATTCTTCTTTACTGCTCTTCCGTCTTCCGTTGTGTTCGCGGTGGAAGCGTTAGGCCTTTCCCACGTCGTTAACGCACCTTGACTGACTGGCGTTTATCATGCTTCTACTTGGTTAGTCCTCCTTAGATAAATCTTTCTTTTTCATCTCACTCGTTCCTCTTTGCCGTGTTGTTTATTGTTTTGTCGACCCTTTTTTTTCCGTTCCCATCATTAGTGCTCAATACGTTCTACCGAGGTCGGGATCTACCTGTAAACGTACTCTACACTCAACTATTTCGGTAGCCATATATAGAGAGAAGGAGAACTCTATAGATTTGATTCCAGGCCTATATCAAGATCAACTCCCAGTGAATACCATCGCGAAGCGACCAAAAAGATCGTTCATGCCCTCCAGGCATGCTTGCGATATGCCATCAAAAACCTCCCAATAGCTAAGTGGCCATTGGCTAGAGCTAGTCTTGACGCTCGTTTTCTGATGATATCAAACTCTTCCGTGTCAGGATGATGGTTCAACAAGAGATGCAAAGTATGAAGTCTGCCATTCTCTGCAGCGCCCTCAGTCGCACTGCGTCCTTGTTTAATAGCGGGCGCTGCATTGACATGTGCCCCAGCTTGAATTAGCATGATCACAATGCGTATCTTTCCCTCGATCGCAGCTCCTTGTAGCGCAGTAAAGCCCCCAAGTCGTGCTGCTGGTAGATTAGGGTCTGCCCCGCAATCCAGTAGGTACTGAGTAAGCTCCACGAAACCTCGGCTTGCAGCCTCTTGGAGGGCTGATCGGCCTCGGACTGGACTTGGTATACCGTTGACATCTGCCTTGTGGCTAATCAAGAGCTTTACCATAGCATGATTGTTTTGGGAAACTGCTATCTGTAGCGCAGTCTGTCCACCATTCTCGTTCGCTGGGACATTGACATCAGCGCCTCTTTGAAGCAACAGCTCGACAATGTCATCATGCTTCCTCCGCACGGCAGATTGAAGGGGAGTAACGAGGCTATCAACCTTGCATTTCCAGTGATGGTTCACATTGGCACCAGCAGAGACTAGACATTCAACCATTTGGAAACTGTGTCCTTGTATTATTGCTCTTTGAAGAAATGACATTGAAGCAGAGTTTGCTGCTTCTCCAGCATATGCTCCCCCCCTGAGGAGAAGTTCTAGCAGAGAGACATCGCATTTCCAAGATGCCAAAGCTTTACCTATGATTCGACATTTCGTAATAGGATCAGAGGATATGGCGTCAGGTTCCTTTTCGAGAAGAAGTCGAGTAATCAGATCATTCCTTCCACGAACAGAAGCTTCTATCGCAGAAACTCCATCAACTCTTGCAATTCCTGACTTGATATCTGCGCCGAAGCTTAAAAGGATCTTGACTGTAGATTCATGTCCCCTCAAAGCTGCAGCCTGCAATGATGTGTGCCCACCTTTCCAGTAAGGTGGAGCATTGACCTCTGCGCCGTGCATTATCAGCTCTTGGACGATATCGTTATTTCCTTGGAATGCAGCTCTCTGCAGAGGAGTTACTTTTCTCGCCCCGGAATCGCAGAAACCAATGTTTGGGCTTGCTCCTCTCTCCAAAAGTATTCTTATCATGCTCAAATCTTCGCGTCTGACTGCAGAGTGAAGAGGTGCATATTGCTCTTGGTCGATTTGGTGCGCCACAGGAGACGCACCAGCACGCAGCAGAAGGTGTACAATCTCGCTTTTTACTTCCTGATCTGTAGCCATGAAGCCCGCTTCAAGAGTTGTGATCCCCCCAGTGAGACTAGGGTCGATATTGACAGTTGCATTTGCATCAAGCAGTAGTCTGACGCCTTCGATGTTACCTGCCGCGGCTGCTATCTGTAGAGCAGTCCTACCTTCAGACAGAGCCGGATGAGCATTGACGTCTGCTCCTTCTCGAAGCAAGAGACTCATCAGTGTTGTATCCAGATGGCTTGCAGCAGCCTGGAGCGCCGTTCTTCCATGATAGACACCAGCAGGAGCATTTATAGCTGCCCCCTTTCGCAAAAGGATGTCAACTAGCCGTTCATTGCCAACGGTGGCGCCAATTTGAAGCGCTGTAAAGCCGTGTTTGCCCTCCATCTTCTGGTTAACATGAGCCCCATTGGCTAAAAGCATGCGGGTCATAGTGATATTTTCTGCCCGAACAGCGGCCTGCAGTGGAGTGAGAACTGGTATCTCGAAGTTTTCTAGTTCCTCTTGGAGGACTCTAGAAGGGCTTTTTTTAGACCGGCATTGATGGCAGCCCCTTCCTCCAATAGAAGTTGCACCGCCTCCCAATTCTCATTTTCGGCCGCTAACAGAATAGGAGGCTTGACTGCATTCCCAAACACAGAATCAATCCCATCATCCTCATCCTCGTCACTTGAGTAAGACTCTGCATCACTATCCGCATAGTCTTTCTCCTCTCGGGCATGAAATTGGTACCCAGAGTAAGAGTCAACGTCAGCCCCTGCATCTATCAAAAGCTCAACAATTATCGCGTTTTTTGACATTGTACACGCCATCTGCAGAGCAGTGCCAATTTTGGAAGTTGTGAAGAGGTTCGGATCTGCTCCCTTGTCGAGAAGGAGCCGCACAAGCTCAGGATTCCCGGTTCGCACGGCAAGCTGCAACGGAGTAAGTCGGGCGCAATCTTGGGGTGGATTGACACGGGCTCCGTGTTGGAGTAATAGATCCACACTCTCGAATGCTGACTGATATGGCATGTACGAGCAGGCATTATGCAAGGGTGTCTTGCCGTCAACTACCAAATTTGGGTCTGCACCAGCCTCTAGTATCATTTTTACACATTCAGTGCGGCAATTTGAAACTGCTCGGTGAAGTGCTGTTGTCCGCATGGCCAGTCCACTGTGGGCATCCAAGTCTACCCCGGCCTCGATGAGCATTCGACAAATTTTGGCGTCTCCCATGGCTGCTGCACTGACCAGAAGAGTGGTCATAAATATCTCAATCGTTGTAGTGAGTGACTCCAGAAGCACCTTCAACATTGAGTGAGAATGGGTCTTATCGATAAGTAAAATGAGCTTTTGTGTTGAAAGATCAGAGAGGAGGTTATTAGATGCCAGATACACATATGTTTGGAGATAGTTGGAATAATTATTTGAAGAGGCGGATTGAAAGGCGTCTTCTGTTCCTGTCGTAACGGACTCCAAGGCCGTGGCCAAATCACTGGGGCCGCTGCTACTGTCTCCACCAAATTGTGTCAAGATAATTCGAAGGCCCTCCTCGATCATACGGTCGGAACTGAGAGAGCTTTCATGATCATTGGTGACGGCAGATGGCGATAGTCTGGGAGATAAGATTTGGTGCTCCAAGGCGACATTTCCGGGGGATGATAAAACGGCTGGCAGCTCATTCGATTGAGAGAAATGCCCAAAACCTGATGGGATCAATTCTTCTATATCAGACTGCCACGTAAGACCTTCATAGCTCGATGGAGCCAGAGGTATATCTCCAAGAGTCGCAAAGTCGAAACTTTCATTTTGAGGCCAGTCTGTGGCACCATCGTAGATAGCTTCTATCTCTGCTCTAGGGGTACCCACGAGGATCCCATCAGGTGTCTTCGGGTCTAGAAGATCAATAAGTAATTTGACCGGAAAAGCCATAAACTACTAGCGTTTTTGACTCACTAAGGTCTCCGAAGTATTGAGAGGACAAAGTTACATGACGAGAAATTTCTTTCCTGACCTTAGATTCAGGAATAAGTTGACCATGCATCCGGACAGGGCCAAAATTTTTCCCATCGCGTTTCCGCTTCTCGCCGCGGCTCGCAACAAACATCCACTCCTTTTCTTTCTGATTTTTCTTGAATCCCCATTTCTTAAACTGTCGAGAGTATTGATGTTCCCTGATCGGCCGTTTAAGTATTAGTCGGTTTCATCAAGCTTCTAGCACCGTCGCTAACTTACTCCTTCCAAAAATTGTGCGTCTGGGACATGTAGTCTTGCACCTGTTTCATAGTCAACCGCTTTTCTAGCCATAACGACTTGAGCTCCTCGCGGTGTCTCCCCCAAGCTTCTTCTGTTTCTTCTTTCGCTTTGTTTAGTGCCATGGGCTTCAATAGTAACTGATAGGTGAGATTGTTTCGCCCAAAGCTGAACTACCAATACCGAATTTATACTCGAAAGCAGTGCTGTGAGAGAAAAGATATTTCAGTTGGCTTCCTATTGGATCTTTCCATAAGATACAGAAAAAAAAATTCCACCCTGCGTTGCGCTTTGGCCTTGATCCGCAAAATTAGAAAATAAAAAAAGGGAACGTACGAAAGTAGACAACAGGGACAACATGAAACAGCTCTCAGGGATAATGGCTTGTGTTGGTTATGGCCTCGACGAATGACTGCACACCACGTCGCTGCACACTAATGTACCTTTCCTTCCATCTTGTACCGGATTGCTACTGGTCGAAGCCCTTAGGGGGTGGCTGATGGCTGGAAGCGAACAGCTCATTCTAATCCCTGCCAGGGGCAATTCTGCGTATTTGCTTTTTCCCTACCCTGTCATACCGCATTTCTAGTATTCAATGTCCCTTTCCATTGGTTAACTATACCGAACAAACATGCAAACAACAAAAATATCAAGAAATAACAATTCTCGTCCACCAGTGGGAGTTTCATGGCGACAAAGTGCGTTCGTCTCGTCAAGTTTCCTTTGTATGGCTTCTGGGCGCATCTCTTTCAACTGGTTAGGTAAAAAAAATAATTAGAATAGCAGAAGCAGAGGTGCGCCCTCGAGCTGTTATGTATCATCGCAGACTAGGTAGAGTGAAGGTAGGAGTAGACTTCGCCATAAACCGCAAGTGGGTCCAAACCCTCGCCCTAACCCCCAAACCACAACCGCACTGCGGTTTTTCCTCGGCTCTATTGGGGCCCTAAAATAACCACTGAAAACCCATTTTTGCATAATTTTATGTAAAATTCATTATAATTAATAAGCCATTTGGGGCCCTAAGAACCATTGCGGTTTCTATTTAAAAAATCATAAACCATTGCGGTTTCTAGACCTCGCCCCAAAACCCGTTCCAATTGCGGTTTGGGTTAGGGCGGTTTTGCGGTTTTGCGGTTTATGGCCATGTCTAATATTGATATTTCCATCATAAACATTTAAGCGCCCTTGCGAACAGATGGAGATATATCGTGCCTCATCCAAGCATAATTGATTGCTAAGGGCGCTGATTTGACTTCTATAGAATATTCTATAACAATTATGAATTCGAATCATTATAGTGTTATAAAATAGTCATGGGGATTGTACTCGGACTTAGGCCTATTGATAGATCAAATTCCGTCTACACTACACTCGTGCCGTCTTTTACAAACTAATCTATCCATGGATCTCATCGTAGGTCTCTATCAAGATAAGACATATATAAGGGAAGTCTTTAGACGTAATGCTATATTTTCACTACTGCAAACTGTCATCTCCCTAGGCTTGTTCCATCATTGTCTTTCATATAGTGGAGATAATTTATTGATTATCAACCGACCTATACAACACATGGACTTTCGTAATGGCTCTTCGACAGACGGACCTCTCTGCAGAATTCATTTGTTTCTATTAGTTGCCCAAATATTAACTTTTGAAAACATAATGTAGCCATATAAGGGCCATGAACACTAACTAGCTGGAATGCGATAGTCGACAAGACCGCCTTCGAGAATGCGCTCGTTGTATCCGAAATATTCACTTTCTGACATCCACAGAAGGGTGACAGAGTGTTCTCGATCTAACCAGTTGGATTAGATATAGGTAACTTCTCTTTCTTCCATTTCTCTTTTTCTAGCCAAAAGTGTGACTTACCAGACGGAGCAGACTCCCTGCGTTCTTGAAAATGAATCCAGAGTAGCACAAGTGATGGCGGGCCGGTAATCAGTAAAGTAATAAGCGCGATAATTGCCTCCAGTGACCAACCCATTCTTCAAACCATTCAGACGCATGAGAAATATTCTTTTGGGGATAAGGGAAGTTTTGTACCGTCTTATAATTGATCCCAGGAAAGCATTTTGGTGTACATGGACATACAATGTAATACTTACTATCGATTTTGTTGGTGGTGAAGCCTGTCTAGACTTAGAGGGTACAAATTGCGGTAAGAGCCAATCATATGGCGTAGAGACCAGCCGTTTGATCACTGTCCATTTGATGGTTCCATTTCTGATTTTGGAGGATCCAAGCCAAAATCTGGTTTCCACCAATCAATCAGGGTTGAAACCAGACCCACCTTATTTGAACTATCTAATCTGCGTCGAACTGTCATGGGCCCAACACCCAAGTTGTATGGCGATTTCCGATCCCTCAATATGGAAATGACACGCAAGCACTGGTAACATTTACCAAAAACCCTAAAAAAGATTCTATCACTCTTTCCTGAATTAGTATTCTAGTCTGTAGTGTCTTAAAAATTGTGAAGCACAAGTATTGTGCCCGTTCTAGCCAACCATGTCACTGGGCAAATGTGGCGAGCTAAGCCTGCAGAATACTTCCCTCCTAAATTCGCTCAACCCAAAGTTTAAATTTAAGGAATTTGCGATGGGAATCATTTCAAAGATTTCACTTATATCTCGGGTATATCTTTAGAATACTCTTGGCGACGGAGGTCAAAAGTTTGCCCTAAAGAATCGGTATTACGCTCATCAACATTGCGAAGTCTCAATGAGGGTATTATTTTCCAAGTCTTCGCGATTTGATATTGAACAAATTTATCGACTGATCTTCACAACGGTGAATGGTGTCTTCTAAGTGAGCAGATGCAGGAGAGCTATAATGATTATTCCCTAGGTAGATGGATTTGTTTACAAATATAGGTGACATAGTACATGAACATTTCCTTTACTGTTAAAGCTAAAACTTGGTTTTGTCGGTTTAGACGGGCTATGGTAGAATTAAATATTATTAATATTCGCCGATATTATACAAAGAGCTAGTATGAAAGGGAAAATGAAAAGAGAATAGAGAGTATAATTCGACAAATTTGTATCAGTTAACGGTCCGACTGATCTGGAGATAAACAAATAGGTAGATAGATTTAGCTAACTCTTCTAGAGCCAAAATAACAGATCATTGAAGATATATAGTAGGACCCATAGCCAATTCCACCTTGTGACGGATCAGTACGTTTTTGGAGAAGTAGAAGTCGAAAATAAGTTCTGGAATCTTCCAGCTTTCGCTAAAGAAAGGAGAGACGTCATGTCATCTGAGCCACTCGAAGTTTGCACTATTGCATATGCGATGCAATCTCTTGGGGTAAGCCTAAAGTAGACCAGAGCCTGCCTTTAGCTCCACTACAATTTCTAGAAATGTAATGTCCGCCTGGGATCTGTGGCTAAGACGCAATTGAAATTAGCACAAAAACTCCCACAGTTAACGGGCGAGTTCTTATCAGCGTAAATATATAATGCCCTTTCAGCTACAACCCCGCTTGGGATCTAATTCTATCACATTAGACAAGGAATAAGCATAACGGGGCCATCTTGGATCGAAAAGGCCATCGTAAATCACTGTGCAGGTCGACGCTTCGCCATGCGATCTAGATAGGACTATTTAGCTTCTAGTACTCTTTGATAGAGATTTGCTGTCAGACCCGTAGCTGTGGAGATCCAGTGGTCCGGCCTAATAGTAAAGATAGCGCAGTAAAGGGCATATTTCCATCTCTACGAATTTGGGCGATGCCATGACAATATCGGGCTAGCCGGGAAAAAGGCCACGCCCTAATACCCACGCTTCCGACAAATTAGCAGATCTGTCTGGAAGCTAGCGAATGTGTATTCTTTGCGAGGCTCGAGCAAATTTCTAAGAATGCCCGAGCCCCTAGACATTGTTAGGGTGTGTTCAAGCCTGATCTCTCTGGTCGTGAAAAAGAACAAATGAAACGAGAAAGATGGAGAGAGGACATCAACTGAACTGCAGCTGGCCCATTTATCGGTTCAGCAGTATTTGAAATCCGGCAGGATTGCAGTCTCTTTCGACCAGGGAAGTAGTGATGCAGGAATATACATTCAGAGTCGCCTAAGCGAGATAACGGCAAGGGGAGATATAACGAAAATTTGTCTCTCATATTTGTCAGATCTTGACGGACGGACCCAGATTGAGAAAATTAGGACCAGGTTTCCATTCTCGTGCTTCGCGGCGCAGTATTGGATGCATCATGCACAAACGGCCGAAGTCAAGACAGATGTCCTTGAAGGTATTTTGAGATATCTCCTTCAAAGTCAGGTATACGCAATTTAGGGTAAGCTCTATGACCCAGACTATCCTTGGCAAGAACTATGGGCTTGAAGCAGACGAGACAGATGGCGACTCCACTATACTACGCTTCATTAGCGGGTCTTCAATGTACGGTCGGGGCTCTCCTCAAGGACAACATAGACGTTAACACCAAGGGCGGACTGTATGGAAACGCGCTCTAGATCGCTTCATCTGGAGGTCACACCGAGATTATAAAGCTGTTACTTGAGAAAGGTGCTAACGTTAACACCGAGGGAGGTTGGTATGGAAATGCGCTCTAGGCCACTTTATCCATAGGTCACCTCGAGACGATTCTGCTATTACTTGAGAACGGTGCCGATGTTAATGTCTAGGGAGGTCGGTATGGAAATGCACTCTAGGCCGCTTCATCTAGAAGTGATACCAATCTTATACTGCTATTTCTCAAGAAAGGTGCCGATGTCAACGGGCTAGCAGCGCTAGAAGTTTGGTACAGAAATGCACTCCAGGCTGCTTCATCTTAGGGTTATATAGAGATTGTGCAGCTACTGCTTGTGAAAGGCCCTAATATCAACATACATGGAAGAGAAAATGGAATTGCACTCCAGGCTGCTTCATATGGAGGTCATATAGAGGTTGTGCAGCTATTGCTTGAAAAAGGTGCTGACATCAACACCTATGGAGGGATATGTGAAAGTACTTTCCAGGCTACTTCATTTCAAGGCCGCGGAGAGATGGGAGCCGAAGATCTGGGGATATAAGCGACGGAAACCTGCAACAGCTGCTCGGGCCAGAATACCCCGATTCCTTGACTATCATGGCCAACCTGGAATAGATGTATTGGACATGTGAGCCACCTCTAATAACTGGAAACGATATAAACCAATCCGCTCATCTGCTTTCTCCGCCTATCACGAGTGTGGCCACATCAAGAATAGAAGCTACGGTGCATCTGTTGTTAATGCATTCTGATCTTGTTCATATACCACCAGAACCACAATGAATGTTTTGCTTTAAGATCATTATGCTGGGACGTGTTGTTATGATCATAGAAGCGTCAAACTGATGAACCATTCTGCTTCAGGCCCCGTTCGAAAGGGCTGGGTTTGTAGTGGGTACGCTTTTTGCCTTTATAGTACTATAGACTAAGGGTTAGTGAAGAAGGGAGAAATGGTGGAAGACACCTACAGTAGTTTCACACAAAATACGAAAAGGCACTTCTTGCTGCACGGGCTGGATGTTCAGTTGAAGAATACTCAGGTGGGTGAACGGCTGCCTGGATACCTCTGAAGAGGACCTCTAGAGCGGCGAGCCGCCCACGACATCGAATCGTGTGTGCTAGGTGACCATAGCCATACTTATGCTGTTGTATGTTTTTTTTGTTCACTCATATTTTTAGAAAGGCAAGATCGCACGGGTGGGTCAGTTCTGCTCACTCGTCGATGACCTTCACAGTCTGGTCGTCCCGGTGGATGGAGAAGATATATTAACGATCATTGGTTGGTATTGGACAGGCTAATCGAGGAGGATGGAGTACGGACTCGAAGTTTGGAATGATCTTGAAAGGGATAGAAAATCAGATCTAATGTTAGTCTTCTGTTAGTAGTATTCAAGCTTTTAAAATCTCCTAACTGGAACGTATAAAATCAAATGAGAACTCCTACCCATGGCTGTTAGGTCCGTATATTCAAAACTCATCGATGTCCGCACATATTGTTGAAAGCGGGTTTTTGTCTTTTTAGTTAGTTAGAGATTTCAATATATCTGATTTTGTCCATACGTTGTCGTACTGCCAGATTTCTGTCACATATCTCAATACAGTAGTTGATCAGCCCATTGGTCAGTTGCAGTACCTTGACGGACGGTTATCAGAGTCGACAAATGTATACATTCCAAGGGTCCCATGTTGGTATATGGGTTACATGCATAAGCAGCTGCACTAATCTTCGTCGCTATTCTTTCCCTGCCATACTAGCTACCTAGACCTGAACAATCTGACCAGCATGAATTGGCAGCATTCCATCCAGTGAGTCCATAACACTTGCATAATCATCATCATCATCACCACCACCACCACCACCAGCACAACCACTACCCTCACTCCACGAGATCTTGACTACGGGGCTCGTCGCCTCAAAGATCTCGGGCCCTTGTCGCTCCGCGGTCACTTCAATCGCCCTCATACGCCCGTAATGGATGACGCGTGCTTTGTAATTTCCACCCTCTAGATCCCTCCGTCCAATACGCAGTAGATACCATTGCCGGTGCCCAGACTCTAGATTGGAATGCATCAGGGCATTGACTCGCAGTATTTCCATGAGAGCTATAGCTTTTGGTCGGGCACGGCCACTCTCCGCTTCAACTGGGATGGGCATCGGGTATCGATCAATTGTGGGATCCTGGCTGGAGCAGACCGTCACCTCCGGCAAATGTTTCGGACGGAGCCGCTCCGTAGAGCACTCTGGTAGACATTCCGGATGGAAAAATCTTGCAAGCGTACAGGGAACGGCAAGGGCGGCGGTTAAAAAGGTAGCGAGATCGGGCGATTGGTACAGTTGAACATGCTGAGGAGCGTTGCTGCAGGAGGGACGGCTGACCTCCTGGACGACGGTGGTCCAATATTGATAGCTGTCTGCCTTATTGGAGGAGTTCCTTTCACCCGGGTGGAACAGTGGAATTTCCATAGTGCCTCGCAGTTTAGGATGGCTCTGCTGCAGCGAGTGGTGGACGCTGATCCGCAGAATCCCGTTTTCGGAGTCGATCTGAGGCTCGATAAGTAATAAGCGTGGAGCCTCCTTCTTATCGACAACTGATCCGGTTTGCAAGTTGACTAGACACCATTGGCGGTCCCACTGCAGGCCGGTCGAGTTGACCTGCCAGGATTTGTTCTCTGGCACGGTGTATGCAGCGCAGCCCTTGATTGGGTAAACCATCAGAGTATGCACTCGAAGGCTCTGGGGCGAGGGAAGAGGCGCGGGTGTCAGAAGAGGAAAAGAGCCAGCCGCAAATAGGTCGTGGATGAACCCCACGAAGATCTCGACATCGCTTATAGTACTCATGGCGCCCAAGCTGACTCTGATTATACCCGAAGGCTTGTATCCAATGAGCACGCTGCGACATCCGCATCGAACCCCGGCGGTGTAGTTCTGGAACAGCTCCCACTGCTCCAGGTTTAGTATCTTTGCTAGGCCCCCCGGGTTGCATACGGTACCCGTGCGAAGATGGATGCGGTGCTCATTGGCAGCCTTCTCGATATGAGAGAGGCTTAGCCACCGGCCTTCATCAGAGCGGATGTTGAATGCGATGATAGCCCCTTGAGTCTTATTATCGCCATATGTGGCAGAGTGGTCTTTATAAATCTCGCACACTTTCACGCCGTTCGGGTGGTGCATAGAAGAGAGGAGCTCGTAGAGGTGTACAATGAGGCGGGTTGTGTGGCGAGACACGTGCTCTTGGGAGATATACAGCTGCTCATGTGTGGTAAGAGCACATCCTAGAGCAACGATATTATGGAATGGCACGGTGCCATCCTCGAGCGCCTCATGGATGCAGGCTACCTTTCGAGAATGCCATGGCTGGTCGGAGCAGGTGGCCATCTCCACGGTGCCGCCACCGAAGTAGGGACGCTGCAGCAGTACATGTGCGGATTTCTTGCGCACGATCAACCCTCCTAGATCAGGAAAGCCGAAGATCTTGTAGAAGCTGACGGCTGTGAAGTCGGGGGCTTTGTCCGGGTCCCGGAAGCAGTCCAATGACATGGTCGAGGCCAGAGCTGCGGCATCCAAAAGGCTGAACACCCGCTGGCAGGAGGCATATTCTGATTGGCGTAGAACTTCTGGCCAGTGAAGAGGCAGCCGTCGTCCAGTCATATTTGTCTGCCCTGGGTACGCGAATAGACCCACTTGGAAGGTTTCCGAATTTTGCCCTGGACATCGACCAGTCTTGCCCTTGGAAGGCTCGGGCCTGAGCCAGGATTCGACTTCATCATCCGAGATGAAGCAATGTTGTCCTGCATCGGCCAGTTCGCGCATACCCACAATGCTTGTATGGGACTCCAGATGATATCCGAGCCAGAGCCCCGGCCCCCGGGAGGTCTTCTCCAGGCCCTGCGACACGGGTGCATCCTTTAATGCCTCGAGGACGAGTTTAACCGCCGCAGTAGCATTCATAACGAAAACCAAATCAAAATGCTCCGGGTCGGCGTTGAAGAACTCCAACGTCCGCTTTCGGACATCTTCGACCTTCTTTGTTGAGAGCTGGGATGACCGTGAATCGGAGTGCGGGTTTCCAAGGAGGCTGGTGGACATTTCGTTGATGAAGCTTTTGAGAGCCGATTGTGCGTAGATAGTCGTACCGGTATGGTCGAGATATGTCTCCCCTAGACAAATTGGTTATCCAGTATTCTCGCTTTAGCCAAATACATTTCTAGAGTATTCACCTTTGAGCATAGGGTATTCAGTCTCCCGCAACGTTTCAGCGCTGTAGGCATCGCGTCTAGTCTCTCTATCCATGACTTTATCCGAGATGAAAAGTTTGATTAGGTATACCTAAATGGAAGTATAGGGGTAGTGTCTATAGCAGAGGTTGCTCAATCAAGCTAGCGACAATTGAACCGGGTTGAGGAGATTAGCTTGATCTTTTAAATTGCACGCTCCTTTATTTGCTTTCTATAGACTATACCACCTACAATGATGAGATGGCCCCCGGATGGTCCCCGAGGACACTTTGCATACTCGGCGAATGGGGCCAATCCTTGGCTTCCTCGTATTCTCGAACTAAAGGGAATAGTGTGTGCAGTTTGTTTCACAGATACTCTGGATTTGGCCGGTTGCAGAGACATGGACACCACTTCGGCGTCGACAAGGTTTACACGATATTCTTCCCATCGTCAACAGGCACCAGGAAGATATTATGACTGGTTCTCACGTGGGGATAGGTGTGATGTATGACCACAATTGATGCACATCGACGAGATTGGAACCCTGCTCGGGTGTGATATGAGGCCACGATTGATGCATATCGACAAGATTGGAATCCTGCTCGGCAACATATGACGATGGCTATCATCGGGGACCAGACGAGAAAGATGCTCATTCGCCTAGCCAACGTTTGTGGAGGATTCGATATACGTTGAGCCGAGGTCACCTGCAATCATGAAGGAATGCTTTTGGACATAAATTGACCTGGTTAGCCCGTCATCCAACAGTAGAAAGGCCTAAAGCGACGGAAACCTGAACAACACCTTAAATTCAAAACACTCTGTTCAATTCCTTTTACAAACACATATATCTATCCTCCAATATGGCCGAATCGGGAAAGCCTCTCAACCAGGAGGAGGTCTCGCGCCTTCTGAGGCATTTTAGTGGCGAGGGCCCTCCGGCCAATGATCGGTGGGCAGCCCTATGGGATGCGGGCGACTTCCTCCCTTGGGATCAGGGCATTCCCAATCCAGCCCTTGTGCATGTCATGGAGAACCGGCAGGATCTCATTGGTGCCTCTGTCTTTATTCAAGACGACGAAAAAGGGGAGCGTCGGCGGAAGCGGGCATTGGTGCCAGGCTGTGGACGTGGGTATGACGTCCTCCTCCTGTCTAGCCTAGGTTACGACGCCTATGGCCTTGAGGTGTCAGCTAAGGCAGTTGAGGAAGCTAATACTTGGGCTGAGGAGCATCTGGCCGATTATCCTGTTCGAGATCAGGCAGCAGGGCCCGGGACGGCGCGGTTCATCATAGGCGACTTTTTTAGTAACGAGTGGATTGCACGCATGGATCCGGTTGACAAATTCGAGTTCATTTACGACTATACCGTGAGTGGTTTCTCTCGCCCGAATTATCTGTCCACCTTCAAGTCGTGGTGTTGGTTATAGGTCTTTTTTGCGTGAAAGTCGCCATCGGCAAGCTCTATAGCGTGCTCAGGGGAAATAACTTTAATGTGGCCTCTCAGTGTGTATGTAATATGTGACTGACATTGCAACGACAGTTCTTCTGTGCCCTCAGCCCTGACCTTCGTCCCTCCTGGGCTCGTCGGTACTGGGATCTCCTTTCCACGCACCAGGAAAGTGTGATCGTCTGCGTCGAATTCCCGACCCAAAAAAAGCTGTCCCTCGGTGGGCCCCCCTTTGCCTCGCCCTCATCCGTCTATTTGGCGCACTTGAGTCACCCTGGACAGGAAATTCCTTATGACGTCGAAGGAACACCCATCAATACTGAGGAGGGGCAGCTCGAACCTGCGAATGGATTTCAAAGAGTCGGCCATTGGAAGGCTGAGCAGTCACATGCGATGGGAAAAGGTATGGATTGGGTGAGTGTGTGGAGACGTTCGATGTGAGGCAAGTGACAAGGAGCTGGAGGGCTGGGGAAGGATGTGTTTGGTGGGGAATCCGTGCTAGGTACTCCGGAGATAGTCCGACAATCTAAATCAATCACGCTGTGCACCACACACCTTGTAACGTAATCTGATGCACAATCTGACAATCTAAATCAATAAGTCTGTGCAACACACACCTCGTAATGTAAGCTGATGCACTTGCTCTCTTCCTGATATGGAACCTACTATAATTTCCGGGGGGGGAGGAGGGGTGGGTAATTGGCTCTGGTGTTTCAAAAGAAGTTGGGGTTTTAGACCAGGTTGTATCGGTCTAAAAGTTTAAGAAGTTCTATTCTACAACATAGATGAAGTACATACGCATAGTTTTGGAGTATCAGGAATAAATAATAAAGGTGGGATGATCCTCTGGGGACATCTCGCTGATCCAACAGCCCTGAAGCAACCTTCAAATGAAAGGGTTGCGGGACACATGTTGGTTCTCCCCAGTCATAGAACCATCCACTTTGCCCATTATTAACATCCATATCCACAAGGAATTCACGGATTAGAGCAGATCCACGCATGTTGCTTCCAGTTTCGGCGTCCTTAGGTTGCCAGTGGAACGGGCCATCCCGAAGTTCTCGATACGACCCTATATTCATTCCTCTTCTAACTCACTCGACAAAAGCTCTATATTCTAATATCCGGCGTAGTCTTCCACACCACCCAGTAAAACCCAGACTTGGGTTGGGTTTTGGGTCGAACCCTTCGACCTAGTAATGGGTCTGAGGCCCCAAATTGGGCTACAAACTATACAAACACGCTAATTATGTGTATAATTCTGCTGATTTTATAGGTTTATGACCGCCAAGACCCCTTTTTATGCAAAAACTGGGTCGAACTGGGTCGAACTGGGTCTGGGTTGGGTTTTGGGTGGAAGGTTCCGACCCAAAATGGGTTCTGCGGAAGTCGAATCCGGCGGAGCGCCGACCTATAGGCGGAAGTTAATAAATCTAGGACAATTTAGCGACTTGCTTCTTTATTTTCAGGGTTACGACTATAACTAGATTCTACATGTGGCAGCACCGTCCGCTAGATTTTATTACTACTATACTCCCCGAAATCTACAATATTAGCTACATAATTTAACGTTAGGTGACCACCACCTTATACATGCTGTTGTATGTTTTTTGTCTTTTTGTCGTTTTGTCAATGAATGCAAAACAAATCCATTGCTCATGGAGGTGTAGATAGGTGGAAGGTAGGAGGTGGTGGCTGGTGGTTGGTGGGTAAAGGTAGACCACCTCTGATCAGTTCAGCTTCCCAGACTCCCCACGCGAATCCCGCGCAACGTGGAAACAGGCGACGCCATCGTTTGCCAGTTGCGCAACAAGCCCATACTCCCAGTCGAGATACCCTTGCATATCCTTGCGAGCGTTGCTTGTCCCTTCATACGGTCTTTTATACACGTCGATTGGCTGCGACAGCCACCGCGATTCGGTCTCGAGGGGATGCCCGGCCGCTACCCAAGCCGTTGTCCCTCCCACCAAATAATAAACATCTCGCGAGACTGATTTTCGTGCGTCGTCAATATTCATGGCGGCAACATCACCATCGGGTGAGGTCAGCACGATAGGGCCATCACTGTCGATAGCTCTCAAATCTCGGGTAAGTTCGGGCCCAGAAGCAAACCATGCGCCCGGAATGTGGCCTTTGCGATAGGATGGACTGCGGGCGAGATCGACCACAGTCGCTCCTGCAATGTTTTGAAGGTCATTGGGCTTGATAGAGCCATCGCTTGAAGGACGCCATGAAGGGACTTTAGGCAACGAGAGTCCATCAGGCACTAAAGATCGCTCTTCAAAGACATACACCTCCCATCCGAGTTGCAGAAGCCAGCTGGCTGTCATACGCGCTCGCACACCGTCCGTGTCGTATAAAACAATGCGAGCTCCTCGAACACCGACCCATTCATCAGTGGCTTGTACCAACTGACCACCAGGAGCATTCGAGAAGCCAATAGGGTGTCCAAGGGCGTACTCCTCTGGATCTCTCACGTCTAGCAGGTATAGAGTCCTCTCTTCCAACTCCGCGGTAAATCGAGTGAGCTGACATCCATCAACAAAAGAGACACCGACATGATTCGCCCACGATTCAGCGTATTGCCGTGCCTTTTCTGATGCTTCGAATGAAGGGCTTGGAACCCGTTCCGTCTTTTTGGTCTCCAGTTCCAAACCCTCCAATGTCCACCCGATCGTCCCATTTCGGAGCGCAACTACTCTATTCGGGATTCCAGAGTTGATCAAAGATTGGGTCCCGACAATACTCCGCGTTCGACCTGCACAGTTGACAACGACTGTGGTTTCCGGCGAGGGTACAGCTTCAAAAAAGCGATACAGAAGTTCTCCCCCCGGACAGCTGCGGCCACGGGGAATACTCATCGTATTATACTCCACAAAACGTCTCGCATCCAACACAACAACATCAGCTTCGCTCTCAAGAACATCCTTAACATCCCGCGCAGATAAGGATGGGGTGTGGTTGATGGATTCGACGAGCTCGCCAAACGCCTTAGATGGCACATTGACATCGCGATAGACCTCGCCAACGAGGGCGTAACCAGAAATCCCGCCTTTTAGGATGGCAACATTCCGATACCCCAGGGCGAATATCCGGGCGGTAGCCCGATCTGCATAACCTTCGCCATCGTCGTAAACAACAACCGGGGCCGACAATCGAGGAACCAATGGAGGCAACTTCTTCTCGATCTCTGAGACCGGCACACTTAGTGCGAATAGAGGGTGGGCCTCGGAATAGGGACCTTCTTCACGGACGTCGAGGAGGGCAATTTCATGGTGATTAACCCAATGCTGGCGCAACTCGCGTGCAGTTATAGATTTGGCCATTTTGCTGTTCAAATCCTGCAATTAAGATTCTCTGGTCATTTGAATTAGAGAAGGAAAGAAAGGATAGAAATAGAGGCGGAGCGATCTTGAACGATATCTCGGGGGTTTTTCCTCGGGGGTTTTTGGAGAAACCCGCAAACCGCGACAACTCCGATCATTGATATTCAGAAACACACGCAATCCTTGGGCTTATATTTTTTCTATGATTGATGGATTGCATCCTAATCCCCGAGGGGATGATGCATAAAATCTTTTGTTCAAGACGCTGCTCCTGCTGTACCCCGCTCGAAGCTCGGTTGACGCCATCTCAGCGCAGGATGACCAATCGTGCGATTCCACCTGGTGGACATCAACTCCCGACCTCGGGCCTGTCCTTGTTAGATCAAACTGTCACATTCAACATAGTATGAACCCCACTCGACAGCGAAATTCCTGCGAAACATGCCGTAAGCCGAGGCGTTCTCCAGTATGAAAGTGTAGCTAATGATGAATAGGGGCACGGAAACTCAGATGCTCAGGCGAAAAGAGCGGTTGCTCTCGTTGCCGCAGCTTAACATTGACTTGTAAATTCAAAGACAAAGGAGCCCCGGGAAGGCCGAGAAAGCGTGCACGACAAGAGGAACCAGACCGCGATTTGCCGAATCGAGAGGAGCGAATAGGATCCTCAAGCTCCTCGCATTTCTCGCCTGTCATTTCTCAATCGGCCTTCGGTCCTCATGAAACCGGCAATATGCCAATGGGAGCCGGTGAGTTCGACTCGTTGCCATACGAGCTGTCTGGGAACTGCGGATTCGATTCCTCCCACTGGGAGATGCTCGGGAACGGCGATATTTGTTCCTTTCCCATTGAGTTATTGCAGACATCACGTCAGAACGGACTGCAAGACCCCGAGATACCTTCAATAGCCTTGGATGCATACGTCTCCCCCATGTCGTTCTCACAGTGTTGTAAATGCGACGAAGAGGTCTCCGATCTAGTTCGGAGCCTGAGCCGCGCGAATATATCACACGATATCGTTCCGATGCTTCGCACAGGCGTGTCCCTCACGGAGAGACTACTGACCTGTCCTATGTGCTACGACGTGTCTAAACCGCCTCGGGTAACAGTTCAAAATGTGCTCCTTATCGGCCAGCTCATGTTCGAAATAACATCCGGCTACCAAAAGTACCTCCGCTGGCTGAATAAACACTGCACTGAACTCGATATCAGGAACGAGACTAGGACCGTTTATCTTGACTCCGGGCTTGGAATCCCGTCAGAATTGAATTTGCAAATCACCGGCGAGAAACTACGAGATCTCGTGGTGCACGGCCTACAGACAGACACCGAACGGCTTCTGGTGCTGGGTAAACAGTTTGCGCAGCGGCAACGCAATCGCCATATGGTCGGCCACGAAGCTTGCCCCAACTCTGAAGGCCGTTGTCGGAGAAAGGAGGATGCTGCTGATCACGACCCGCTCGATCTCTGCCCGCATGATCCGGTAGCGCGGAAGTTGGTGCCTTGTTTCCGCATTGTTGATGAGGTTCGCGGGATGATTAAGCAAGTTGCAGATACCGTTGTGTGATACCCATGTTTTTAAATTATTTTCTCAAGGTGTTGCTGAAGACCATGAAGGGCTGACATATTACAATTGGTGCCTAATCTGGTGGGCGCGAGCTATCCTTTATGTCTTTCTACATATCTTGAACGAGAAGCCAGCGGAACAATATTAATTCAATCAGTGTTCATCTAGCTGTTACACGTCGACTACACACTGTGGCAACCATTCACCTTAGGCTTTCCACAAGAGGAAGGCAATTTCCCAAGACGGCAAAAGCATGAAGATGTGATTTCAACATCTGCCTCCACAAGAGCAAGGGAAAGTTGTTTCTTGATAATGTTTGCCTCTGCATGGCGACCCAAGAGTTGAAGACACTCGTGATAGCCATGCAAAGCCCAAACATTATTCGGGTGTTGATGGGCACGTTTAGGTGTCGGGGAGAGCCCCAAATCTTCAGCATAAGCCTGTGCAGCCTGCTCAACTCTTCCCTGTTCCAATGACAGGGCTGCATATGGATGCCGAGCTGGAAGCATCCAACCCCATGGCTCTGCGAAAGGCAGCTCGTCTTCCAGAGTAATTGCTTCTCGTAACCTGCAGAACGCAGTATCATAATTACCTCTTCTATACTCAATTTCGCCATCCAGCATAGCAGATGCTACTTTGAGAATATCGGTGATTTTGTTGGGGAAGTCGAGACGTGTAGGAGGTACAAGCTTAGAGGCAGTTTTGAAAAGTTCTCGTTCTTCGTTGGCTTCCTCGAGCTGAGACGTGGCCGCATACGCGATGGCCTTTCCATAATGTCTCATAACGTTCGTGACGCAATAGAGCTCCTTATCTTCGAGCGGGTCGAGCCTTTTAAGTTCTTCCCACATCCCAAAGCGAATGAGCACATGGACTCTGACTGCCTTAAAAAATTCCATCCAGTTTGCAAGTGCAGGCGTTTCGACCCGAAGAATTTCCTCCGTGATAGTCGCTTCCATTCGATCGGTCGCCGACAAAGCCGCCTTTGACTTCCCACCAAGCATCGCAGCGTAGATGAGGGAGTGATAGTCGTGTAGACGATAGTAGCTGTAGAATGTCAAGCCGCCATTCAGTTTAAAGTATCTATCATCTGCGAGGGTCGCTTTCAGATTGTATTCCACCGCGCGACGATAATCGCCCACAAGAACATCGATATGGGCAGGCATGTGGAAGGTGTGGCCTGTATCGGGAAACATTTCACGGATCATCTCTGCTGCCGGGAGAGCAGCCTCGGGAGTCGCCGACATTTCCATCAGATGGATATACATGTGCGCGGGACCTGGATGCAGTTCGACTTTCGGCATCTTCAAGGCCCGATCTAGTAGATCTTTCACTTCGAACACCGGGGATGATGCTATCGGGAGCCCCGTGGAGGCGTCGTATAACTTTCGCGGAGCACAATTCATCAATGCGTCGGCGAAGAGTGTGATAATGTCGAAATCTTCGCGACCGAAACTTATATACACTTCTCTCATGGCATCGGCGTACGCTCGGCTACATCCGGCAAGATCCCTACTCGGATCATCGTTGGGGTAACGTTTAGCAAGAGCCTTGATGAGCGCTTGCTCCCAATCTGATGCATTGTTCGCCCGCCTCAGCGCTTCTTGCGAAAATATATAACACTGTCTGATCGCATTGAGTCGGTCTCTTTCGTCGAACAGCGCCCATGTTTTGTTGTAATTGGAGCCTGAGCAGAAGGATATCCCCCAATAGGCCATGGCGCAGTTCTCGTCGTGTGCGATCGCCTGCTTGTAGCAGGTGATTGCTTCATCGTGATTAAAGCAATATGTCCAGACAAGCGCCCTGTCGAACCATATCTGGGCTTCCTGGGAATTGGTACTGACTTTGCGACCTAATGTCCCCAGGTCAAAGTAAGGGTCGCTGGAAGCCCTTGGGAGTGGTTGGGCGTCAGAGGGGTTCATTGTGCAAGCTAGAGGAGCCGAGTACCAACTGTGCTGTGTCAGAAACCTTTCTGCGAATAAGAAATAATCTCCAATCTAAAAAAGCACATGAAGAAGTTCCCACAAATTGTGAGGGGAATGTATGGAGTCGGAGGGTTTTTATTAGCGCCGGTTAGATCGCTCGATTTTGATTCGACCTCTCGGACCTTTTTTTTTTGTTGGAGTGCATGGCGCGGAGTAATTGAAACTTGGGGTAACTAGATAATTAAGATCGCGATAATATAATGTCACTTTTTATAAAGAGATCCACGCCATGAATCTTGGTTACTTGAGTTTTGTTCAGGAAGGGTGGAGTTGGGTTTTGTCTATAGCCCCGGAGGGTCTCCCGCAATATATCTCAGCTTCTAAATAGCTCTTCCATCAATGAGTCTTCAAATCATTGTCCACAACATCTTCCAAAATCGTCTCGCCCCTTCTTTCCGCCGCAATTTTAGCTAGCTTCAACCGCCTCGTGTCGCGCTCCGTGTCCCAAGTCACCCACCACGTCACCACTGTCAAGATCGCGCAAGTACCGACCAGGCCCATGGCGACAGAGAAGGGCACTGTGTAGTGTGGTGCGTACATGCTTTGAAACAGCTGCGGGCCAATAGCGCCACCAATTTGACCGTAGCTGTTGACAAATCCGATAGAGAAGGCGGATCCCGTAGCCCGGGAGGTGGTTTGTACGCGCCACGGCCTATTACCTTGTTAGCTATAGATGAACATCTGAATTGGGTTAAGATGTGGGAAACTTACCACATGACAGGATACCATCCTGCAGTCAATGCATTTCCGATCAGCGTTACTGCATATACTGCAGCATTACTTGGATAGGCAACAAATACGCCGTAACATATTAAAATGATGAGAAGGAAGGTGAGTGGGTACAATGGTCGGGGTATCCGGCTGCGGTCTGCTGTAATTCCTGTAACCGCAATGAACAAAAGACCGCAGACCGTAATGGGAATATTGAGGAGTTGGGCTTGAGCAATTGTCCTGAGAGACTGTTAGCAATGCTCGTTGAAGTCACTGTTGTGTTTCCAGCTGAATGCGGAAAATATACAACTTACGTGAAACCGAGGTTGGCAATGACTGTTGATTGGTAGAAAGTCACGCCGTTGGTTCCAACAGTAAAGGTAGCCCAAATAGCTGTAAACAGCCACAGCCTCCGATCTTTTAGTGACTCGATAACTTCACGTAGCTGGAAGTTTTGCTCGTTTGCACGAGGAGCATTAGATGGCAGTCGAGCCTGGATGAACTTCTTCTCCCTCTCGGTCAACCATTTCGCTGTCTCGGGAACTATATCACATTTTCTCATGTTAGCCACTGGTGGTGTGAGAGCAGAAAAGAACCCTTACAGTCTGGGAGTAGGAACCAAATCACAACTCCGAAAAGAACGGTCGCAATACCTTCTGAGAGAAACAACCTGGAAGAACTTTAGTACAGATTCCAGAAGAGGAGTGGAATGGGCTACCATTGCCACCCGGAAAGTCCCCCTGCGCCAGATACAGTGTCAAACGCATAGGCAAGAAGACCACCGAAGATACCCGAGACATTTCCGCAAATATCTTTATATTATGGGTAAGCAAAATTTCATGCAGCGCATGATTTGAGAGCAGATCATGGGCAGCTTACAGAAGTAGAGCAGTCGTAAGGACATCTCGTCCGGGCGATACCAGTAAGTCATCTGGAGAATGACACCAGGGAACTGTCCAGCCTCGGCCTATTGCAGTGTTAGTTCATTTCATAGACAATCATGAGTTCACATGTAAGTGTCTTCTTGAAATCATAAGACCTATTCAAGCGGAAACGTACCACTCCTAGCAAGAACCGTGTTGTATATAAACCCCCCTTGTTCTTCACGGCAGCATTGCACATGAGAGCGATACCCCAGCTGATCATAATTCTTGACTGCCACTTCGATGGAGAGAACCTCTTGAGTAGTAAATTTGAAGGTGCTTCTAACAAGATGTATGGGACCTGGCATGTTTATGATTAGCAACACCCCGCGGCACCTGGATGAAGACTCGCTTAATATCTTACATAGTAAAGAACAGTCACGAGATTGTACTCGTTAGATGTAATTCCCAGCTGTGTCATGATATTCTGATCTGTTCCCTTGTTCATGATGCGAGCATTGGATGCCTGCGAGGCTGTAAGTTATGATGTAACCTGGATATCCTTGATGGGATGGCTGTGGATACGCACATTGTTACTGTCCAGATTTTTGAACATGAAGATGAGTGAACAAAGCGTCATTAACCGCCAGTCAATCTTGCGTAGTAGCTTCTTCTCTTCTGCTGCCGTGAGCAATGTCCTACCATTCATAAGCTCCGGATCATAGCCATTGATGGTTTCCTGGCTCGATGAGCCTTCTGCAAGAGCTTCACCACGTCTCGCAAAATGAAGTTCATGATCGGCATTGCTGTCACCGGCGGAAGTAATATCAGTGGCTGTAGTCCTCCCCAAATCTTTGGATGAATTGCGCCCGTCTTCTTTGTCTGCCATTATCGCGATGTGGCTTTTGACAGTACAATATTGAAAATATTACTGTTTACTGTCTCTGTTAAACGGGAGCAGTTATTACTAGATATCAATATCTCTCCTTTATCAGTTCGGAAACCCTCCGAAAACATTATAGAAGCTTAGACCAAGCTCCAAACCTAGCACAACAAGGATTGCCTCATAGTCCACAAGTCTTGCAAATGCTACGGCCTAGGCCATACTATTATCGAGTCCGTAGATACAACGCCGACTCGATAGATTTCTAACCCAGAGGGAAGCAGTATATCCGAATATTTTGAGATCAATTCGTTATTTTTGTCAATGATTCTATCGCAGCGGGGGTTCCATCAATTCCTATAGTAAATAGGTTGTCATTAAGTACGTTCCTTGGAGAAGTCTTTCGGTTATTTTGTAGGATCTGTCAGTATCATAACTTTGAATAATCTTAAGGGGGTGCCCAAGTCGTGATTCAGTCACGGCAAAGTTCGTGATCACGCAAACGGAGGATATCATGATGAGATCTGAAATCCACGTGGCGCAAAGCGGAGATCGGCCTGCACTCGCACTAATAATCTCACTCACCTTCTATTTCAACCTTGCGAGCTGTCAGTGGAAGAAGACTAGAAATTGCCCGATTGGAATAGATTCAACAATAATATCAAAAGTCAATCCCGAGTCTGCTGTAAAGCCAGGGTATCGCGATCTTGATAAACCCCCCCCTCTCGCAGATATACTGCAATCCAAGGCACGCCATTGTCTCCATAATAAAACAACTTTTCTGAAAGTTACTGTGTTTATATTCATTTTGTATATTTTGTTCGAATATTTTGCATAAACCATGGCAACTTTGACTCAACCTCCCGCCCCAGTTCCAGGATCTGATATTCCGACGTACAGCCAGGTCCCGGAGACTTCTTTTGATCGTAAGCTCTTTGCGTCCTCCACTCAGCTCTACTGCAGAATCCAAGATCCTGGTGAGGCCGAGATCTGAGACACCATGGCTAACGTGTGATTTGCATGTAGTGGACTGGGCGGACCTCGCCACCTTGGATCTGTCCCTGTTTGACCAGCCCGGTGGTAAAGAGCAGTTAGCCAAGCAGCTCTTTGAGGCTATCCAGAACATAGGTTAGTATTTTATGCTCCCGACCCCTTGCCTTTTATGCTTGTAATACTTATCATTGGCTTTAGGCTTCTTTTATATTACCAACTTTGGCCTGTCGCAGGAAGATGTTGACCGCCAATTCTCTATTGGTCAGGAGATCTTCAAACTTCCAATAGAGGAGAAACTTAAGTTTCGTGCGGAGCTTGAGAAGGGTGGTTACAATGGTTACAAGCCAATGGGTCTCCGGGTAAGTCGAAAATTGATAATATATGGCGAAAAACAATCACTCTAATCCTTAGCTTAGGAAATCAGTCCGGGTGTTTATGACAAGACAGAAATTTACAACATCCCGAAATTCATCCCAGCCCTCGAGCTTCCCCAACCGGACATTGTGAACCAAAATCGTCCCATTATCGAGGGCTTCGCACGCCATATTCATGACCAAATCGCGGCCAAACTTCTCACGCTCTTCGCCATCATCCTCGAGCTACCCGAGGACCATTTCTTAAATGTGCATCGCTATGACGAGAAGAGCGATTGCCACCTACGGTATATGAAGTACCACCGACGTTCAGACGAAGAAAATGAGAAGGCCGCCAAGATTTGGTCGAAGGGTCATACCGACTTTGGCAGCTTGACCTTGCTGTTCCGCCAACCCGTTGCTGCACTGCAGGTTCGCACCCCGGAGGGCGAGTGGAAGTGGGTCAAGCCGTATCCTGGGAGCATTACGGTTAATCTTGCGGACTCCCTCCATTTCCTCACCAACGGCTTCCTCAAGAGCAGCATACATCGTGTCGTTGCACCGCCGCCGGATCAGAGGAACGTAGATCGTCTGGGTGTTTTGTACTTTGTTCGACCGGAGGATAGCCTCGAGCTGCGGCCTGTTGTGAGTGAAGTTTTGCATCGGCTGGGATATGATCAGACAACTGATAACAGTGCGGTTGGTATCACTGCTGGTGAGTGGGTGAAGGCGAGAGTCGCCAAGGGAGTTGACAAAGGTGTGGCTCGGAGTGAAGTTGGAGATCAGCCTATCATTGGGGGCGTGGTAGCTAAATATTACGATTAAAGTCTACTAGTACATATCCATGGATTAGTCTTTCTGTGATGATGTCTTGTAACTTTTCATATGTCTTGTTGTGGGTGAGTCGTGATTCCCTCGGCAGGGTCAGCTCTTTCAGGAAGGAGCGGCCTTGACCCAAAACATTTCTGTCCATGTTCCCACTACTTCTCTCTATTAAATTTTCTACTCAATATTCTCCAAGTCCCAAGAAATACTCTGGGCGCCTTTTTGGCAATGGCCACCTCTATTCCCTCGTGCCGCTAGTGAGTGGCACGATCGCGCGATTTGGGGCCTTTGAGCACCAACTTGAACGAACTTAGTTCATTCGATGTCCAAGATGATTGGCAAAAATGACCAGTTTTCATTCAATGGTGCTGGTAGGTTCAGGCTCTGTCTATGGGGAGATAGAGAGTGCTCTGGTGAGGCGATTACCAGCGTGAATAGTGGCTCGGATTTCTCTGCGTTGCCTTTAGGTGTACGTCAACAATATTGACAACAGAACAAAACACCTTGCTGACTGTAAACTGGGCGCCTTTCTTTTTTTGATACAGTCTCAACTCAAGATTCAGAAATTCCGTCGGCGCTCGACTTAAGCCTCGAACCAGATGCCACCCATGTGATACCATCCAACGGTTGCTCCACCAGTCTGCGACCTCTCTACTGCAAGCGTCGTTAGAAGGAGTATGCCTACAGCAGTCTATCAGACAAGAGGCTGCAGAAATGGTTGCATGGATAATGCACTGTAAAGGGAATGGATAAATGTTTGCCTTTCATTTGTAAGTCAGATGAGAATGGATATTCTACCAAGAGTTTTGCTGACGAGCTTTTATAGATGCCTGCTTATCTCGCAAGACAACCATGATTGTTCCTGATCCGTTGTCACGTACGACAATGGATAGATCAAGTGCCCTAAAGAGACTGACTGGACATCGGTTTGAATCTCGATAGTCAAATCCGAGAATCACGCACAACAACAAAGCGATACAGGTGTTTCGCCTGCATCTCAATATCACAAATTTTGGTTTACACTAATTGCAAAAGCCCCGTGCGGAGCACAATGTACGCGCTACAATGGACCTAGAATACCACACACTTCGCTTTTGCAACTCATTGCAACAGTCCCGTGTGCTGCGCACGATGACACATCCGACGGTCAACCCCTTCACTTTCGTCACCAAAAGCCCATGAGATGTGTGGCCCACGCACGACGGCAATGTGGGCTTTGGTTTTACTTGATCTTTGGTTTTAAATACTCAATCTACCGCACAATACCTGCGGCAAGCAGCCTATCTGCGTGGCGTCGGTCGAGGACGACCGAAATTTAGGATGTCGAGAGATGTCACACGACCGCTGCCTTGATAGCTCGCGTAAGACCTCATAATACATGATCCTCCTCCCGCCATGACAGGAAGACACTCGTTTGGCCCCAGCGAGGCTGAGACCAGTTTCTCTCATCCGCTACTTTAACATACATATCGCCCAAATACAAAGACGAACTGGAGATCATGGTCATGTTTGAATCTAAAGATCTACTCCGGAGAGTAAATCCTGCTCAAAGACTGCTTGTGTAAATCGCTTTTCTAACAATACCATAGGCCAAGCTACTCAGTTCTCTCCACATGTAAGTCCACCGTTTTCATCAGGGGAGGGTTGATTTCTGCTTCCATTTGCCAATGCCCATAAGCGAAGACGCCACCAATCCCTCTCTGAGGGAATGCGTCGCTGGATTTGCAGCTATCGCCACACAAAACCCGTGTACATGGAAAAAAAAAAACTTGATACAAGACTAGTAAGTCTGCTGTTCTATCGAGTATGCAGATATCGATCAGAGAAAACAGCTCCGCTCGTCGGGAAAGCGCGGCCTTGTCACTTCCCCTTGACAATCCGCATGCCGCAGCAGATTTAGCGACCTACGGACTCCCCCACCCCTCACATCACCCCAGAGTCGATCGTCGTCAGCTCCAACGGGGTCGCATGTCACATTGTGAATTGCCTTGAGCTCCTGTCATCCACGCGGTTGGGATATGAGAAAACAGTGTTCGAGAAGCTACAGGCCAAAAGAGGAGCGTACAAGGTCTTGACGAAGGCACCATCAAGACTTTTAAGGGGTGCTTACATCGATGAACGTGCTAACTTGTGGTCATTTCCGATATATCATTTTTGTTTGCTTTATTTGCTATATTTGCAAGGGTTTGATTGGTTTGATTGGCTTGGTTTGTTTGGTTTGGTGGGGCGCTCTCCGGGCATTTGGAGGGTCAGATGAACGCAACCAAGCGAAAGGCGACGAAGGCAAAGGTGTGCCGACAAAAACGTGGGTACTTGACCTCACTAATCCTTCATACTATCTATGGATGTATTGCTGGACAGCATAATTCTCCAAACACTCCTTCAATTTTCCTCCTCGATCAACCCGACGCAACCCTCTACCCCATTTCCCTTCCCTTTCTCTTTTGCCACTGGCACCTTCACACTCCACTGTAGAACCCACGCCTTATCCTGTCTCTGCGCCCGAATCTCATCGTACTTTACTAGCTGGGCTTCATATCGAGCCTCTTGCTCATCCCAATTCCCGGCTCGCAAAGCCAAGTCCCGAAATTCGTTGATAGTAAATCTCGCCCCTTTCCCCTCAGGCTGTCGATAGCCCTTCTCAAATTGCTCCGTTAAACCAACCTGTCGACCCCAGATTGTGCCCCCTGGTGCGACCAAATGGACTAGATTGCGGAAGAATATCTCCTGTTTGGCTATGCCAAAGAGATGGATCACGTTTGCTGAGTGCACAAAGTGAAATCGATTTCCAAGCTCCGGGTATTTCATGGCGAAGTTGGGGTCGACCAAGTCCGCTTGCCGGAAACGAAGTTTGCTGGCGTTAAGGTCTTCGTTGTAGAGAGTTCGACCGACATTGAAGTAGCCTGTACATACTATGTCACTTTGAAGGTCCACTTCACAGGAAGAAAGAAAGAAAGAATTTGAGGGCTTCGGAGGTTAGCGGGAAATATCTTACGATTCTCAATATCCAGACCTAGAATATTCTGTATCATATTGATGTTAGTGATCCTCCATTCATGTGTCATGAGATGAAACCGCAAACGAGTGTCCTACCTCGGGCCTATATCCATCCAGGATCAGTTTCCGGATGTCAGTGCCCATGCAGCATCCCACATCGACCAATAATCTAGATGTATCCAGTTCGAACTCGGCCAAGATATCTCCGTATGCGAAATGGTGATCGATCCGTGGTTCGGCAAAGATACTTTCCCGAATGCATGTGTGGGGGGAAATCTAACCATCAATAAATCAGACTAACCATATCGAATTGGATCAGAAGTTTGGCTGGGGGGGGGGTTCCAATACCATCATACCAGCCCGTCTGGCCGCCGAAATCCGACGAATAATAGACCCCTGTGACTCTTGCCCCGTTTGCGAAAACCGCTGTTGGAGCTGATACGTTTCATCGGCTCTCTTCAAAAAGACATCGTCCGGTTGGAGGTTTGAAGAGAACAAGAAGGCGAAGAAATCCATACTCAGATCTTTCGCGAACTGTGAAGACAGATATTGGGTTTCTTCTGGTAGCGACAATAGCTGTAGCTGCATGCCTTCGGTTGAATCATCAGAGATACCTGGGTTCCTCCCAGCAGGCAATCCATCCCACTCGAAGGTTTCAAACAATACTTCATTCAGCTCGGTCGCGAGTCGGACCCCGATGGCGAGGTTCAAGAAGAAGATATCTGCCCTTTCTCGGAAACATCTAGTCAACAGGGCGCAAGTAAATAGAGCGGAACTCAGAACGTCCACTGAGAGATTGGCCTTTTGTGTGTCATATTGATTGACCAGATCGAAGATCGGCCGCAGCACGTATTCGAATTTGGTGATCGCCACAGTTTTACCAATCGTATCCAGTTGCAAGTTGTAGTTAATATCGATGACATCGGGTTGTATGTTCCAAGAGACCGATGCGCCAGATTTATTGTTCGTCGGCAACGATTTGGTAGCATCATCACAAAGTAGGTCGGCGTAGAGGACATTGAAAAAGGCATCGTTGTAGATTGATTTCGCCATGTCGAGGAACGGGCAGTGAGATCCAGAGACTTCGTAGTCGATGTAAATACTTCTTGCTGCACCCCCTTTAAGATCCTCGGTGACCATCAGGTTCCCTCCGTGGCCATCTCCCAGGCCAAATGCGACAGGCAGATCAGATAAGGCCCCTTGTCTGTTGGGGTCAAGGATGTCGGTGGCACGGTCAAAATGATGTCGAAGCGGAGGGTATGTCACGCCATTGATGATCAGGGGTGTATTCAAAAAGTCGCTTGTGGTGAAGTCTTGGTTTGAATCCAGACACGGCAGTCCGAGAACCTCCAAACAACGGTCAGAGTAGAATTCCAGGAAACGGGAGTCTGATCGCAGGCGTGCATGGTAAAATCGATGGATTTTCTGCTCTCGGCAACTGGTAGGATCTGGATTGACATCGATCGTCTTGATATATGAATCAAGGACAAGTTCGGCGCGCCTGAGCTCGAGGTCCAGGAACCAGTTTACTGTGTCTAGGAAATTTCGTCCCTTTCTGTATTCATGTTTGTCCGTCAGGAATGACCTGCCTTCCAAATAGTAATCCAGCCGAATTTGGTTCAGTGTTTTGCCATCAAACAGACGATAAAACAACATCTGGGCATCATGATCGACCGTCACAAGTTGCTGCAAGCATTCAGGTGGGAAGTGTTCCTGAACTGTAGGGAATGCGAGGAGTTCATCATTGATGTATCGTCCCTTCTTGACAAAGACGGGTGACCATCCTGACTCTGATCCAGCCGCTCTTACGCGAATTTCCCCGAATGAGCCTTGAGAATTGGAGGTAAATGATGAGGGGTAGTATTTTTCTGTGACCGGCCGAAATTCGAAATCTCCATGTGGATACCCTGGAGGAGGATGGGGAAAGGTGGATACAGGATGCTCATGTTGTAGAGACCAGAGTGTTTCTTTTTCCTTCATTGGCAGAAAGCTTACCACACCATAGTCTTCTACTTCCTCGTCCATTTTAAACTCGGAGGTAACTGAGCTACCGCCGCTGTGGCTTTCATCTGGGGATCCAGGTGGGCTTGACGAGGATGAAGGATTCTTCGTCATAAGCTCGATCTGAAGACGGTGAATTGTTTTCGTATCAAATCGGCCATATCCATGAAATAGGGGGATCAAAGATGCCAAGTCAGGTTGGTCCATAATATCATTCCATTTGCGCATCAAAGCACCCTTGAGAGACCTCATGCTATCCGGAAACTGTTCGAAGAGCGCGTATGAACTCAAAAGTAGATCACAAGTGACTCCCGGGCTCACTGCGGTCGGGTCATCTTTCCCTGCGAGAAAGTCGACGTCGACGAGGACTGCTAAATTCTCCGCGATTCGTAGTGGCTGATAAACAAAGATCCGATTTCCGATACGCGGATGATGATTGCGGGTGTATCTGACTATCTTAGCCGACAGGACGCCGAATCGACACACTTCGGGGTCTGCGGCAATGGTGCGGATGTGCTCTTCACTCCAGAGTTTGATGGATCGTTTGGAGCCATCGTGGGCCCAGCCGGAGAAGCGGACGACGTCCCAACCACTTTCCTGACCATTGCAGTTGTTGTTGCCTTCATGTGTTTCTTCTATGATCTAATATGGAAGTTGAGCAGCTTTCATTTCAGCGAGATGAGAAAAAAATAGGAAAGCTAATAGACGCACCTCCCAAGGGAAGTCCTCCGGTTGAACAATTCCAATCATGTCGCAAAGTACCTCTCTCCTATGCCGCACGAGATTAAGAATGTCATGTTTCTGTTCCACAACACCCACAAAGTCCCAGTCTGCTGTGGAAACTTCTCGCTGCGGGTATTGGTATGCACGACTGCCACTGAGCGCAACGGAGACAAAGCAGAGCTGTTTCGCTAGGAGGGGATCGATGAGAAACCCGGTAGATTGAGAAGGAGTATCCATTTTGACTGCCATGTCAACAGAGAGAACGCAATGATCTGTTGAATACAAGCTGGACTAACGGGGGTGGGGGAAGCGTATATGAGGGGGAACAAATTGTGACCAGCAATGCACTACTCCGTACATGGAAGGATATTCGTGTGATCTATGTATATGTTATCGGGTGTAGGTCGATCACCAGAGTAATATCGAAGACTTGATTACAAGAATATTTATGGAGTATGATCGTGATTGTTGGCGGTTTGGTAATTTTCATGCCGATCCTTCGATCGAGATTGCAACAGGGAACGGGATATTGAAAGAAAAAACAAAGCCACAGCTCCACCGAGCGGGGAAGCAAGCACAAGACTGGTCAGCGATCTGCGTCAGTGAGTCGAAAAAGTCTTGCATGATGAGTTGGCCGCTTGTAGGCACGCCGAGGGCCTCCACATGTGAGGGGAACTTCGCACAGGCATTGGGCAGAAGAAGGCAAACCACTAATCTCAGCAACGAGATAAGGCATCGATCTTCTCTAGGGTGAAGATTTTGCAAGAGTGGATATCGTCCTACGGCAGTCTCTAGGTTCCAGTGCGCCATAACTAACTCATTTTGCCTGCAGAATACTTTCAAGTTGTAATATCAGTATTTTGTACCAATATTACCAATTCTAAGATTCAAGTTCAATTCTCGCTTGAATTCTTAATGCTTGAATTCTTAATGCTTGAATTCTTAATGCTTGAATTCTTAATACTTGAATTCGATGCCTGATTTCTTAATGCCTAAATTCTCGATGGTAACTAGTTAACTAACTATACTAACTACTTTAACTAAATTCTTTAATATACTTGACACTTAACTTTTTTATACTTGAATTCTGTGCTTTATACTTTATAGCTAAATTTATAGTTACTATAGAATGTATGCTTAGATTTTTTATACTTCGATTTTATACTTGGATTTTATACTTGGATTTTATACTTACATCTTACACTTAGATTCTCTATACTTCAATTCTTAATAATGCCTAAATCTTATACTCTAACTTTCATTCTCTATACTTTTATATTCTAATTCTCGCTAATATAGTTCGCTATTAAATTAGTATAGTAACTTACCAGTTAAAAGAGAGTAATTATCTAGTAAAAGCGGCGTAAAAATTGGATTTGAAGAGCTGATTGAAAGGTCCACCGGTGTTATACGGAGTTAGTAATGAGTAGATAATGAAAAACTGGCGGTGAGCTAGGCGGACAAAATTTACTTTGGGAAAATCAGTTATGGCGCACTGGAACCTGGAGACTGCCGTATATCGTCTCCACAGATCATAGTTCGAACTTGTTTCAAGCACACGACAAGGGACCATAGCGCCCGTAGTAATGGAAGATTAATACCTTCTGGCATCCAAACCATTTTTTTGTACTAGCCAGTTTTTCAACCCAATTTGGTGAGTATAAACGAGCACATGCTTTTGACCAATATGGTTATTTACTGACTGAGACTGACTGACGGACTGTGCTAGTCATCCATCATGGCAACTTCACCCAGCACCACCACCCAATACGCGTCGGAACAATTTGTGGAAAGCTGCGGGGCGATCCTGTTCAACTTATCCGATAGTCAAAACAAGACTGTGTGCCTTATCCATTACCATGCGAAGAACGAATGGCTTCTCGCGAAAGGACGCCGCAACTGTGGTGAATCCAGGCACGAGGCCGCACTGCGCGAAGTCCGCGAAGAGACTGGTTACCAAGCCCACCTTCATCCCGTCAGAATGTATACCCGTGCACCTCCGATCGACGAGCAGGGACAGATGCCAGACGAACCTCGCTCTTATCCAGATCTCACCGAGCCCTTCATGGTGACCGTGCGGCAGTTAGGCGGTGACGGTGAGAGCAATGTCAAAATTATTTGGTGGTATATTGCTACGCTAGATGAAGGTGGTTTTGCTGGATCGGGTGGCAGTGAGGAGGAGTTCACGCCAGTTTTCTTTTCTTTAGAAGAGGCAGTGAAGAAGCTCAGCTTTCAAAACGATCGTATGGTCCTTCAGAAGGCGATCGCATTAGTGGAAACTTGATTTGGAAGAGAAAGCGGGATGTCTTTTGGGGGTCTTCCAGGGCCGAGGCCCTCGGACCCATTTGAATCGGGTGATTGTGGTGCGAAGGCCGATACGAATGATAATATGAAAGATGTTCCGTGATAGAGAGACACCCTGGCCCTTTCGGCTACGGCTCAAAAAGCAGTGCGGGGACGAGTACAGGTACATACACTTATATCGACAACCTCATTTCTCTGATGACTACGACCACTGTATTTAAGCTTCTAAATTCTGTAAGGATTGCACGATGGTCAATAAAAGGCGAAAATGGTCTATTCAATAATAGGGGGTTATTCATTTCTTCGGTGTACAGGTAGGTAATATATATAGCTAAGGACGAGGGAAAGGGGGTTACACAGGTGTATGGGACAAAGTTCATACCACTTTTTACTTCAGTGAGCGGCTTGAAATAAATTCGGCCGTCAACCTGGGGGATGCTAGCGTATAGGATAATGCACGTGACTTCAAATGTCCTCGATGCCTCCATGGATCTGATATTTCAATCATAATTCGATCTTTCATCCGTACCCGTGGACTACCCCCGGTTCGATAGCGGGCCCGCCCGAACACCCAGAGGCCCAATCAGCTAGCTATCCGGCCCATCGCGCCCCGCACCGCCCTTCGGTTGTGGGGTGCGACTCCTCCAACACCAAATTTAGCCTAGGCCAGCCCGGAACGAGGATGGCTACTACCGGTACTACTATCAAGCCTGTTCAATCAGGAATGGCCAATCGATTGCGAAGCAAATGCGAGTTAGAAGTGAACAGTGCACACTCCTCGGATGTGATATTCATGCATTGACCAGAGGGCTCAAATAAGACGAACAAGACAATTTATGGAACCGCATGCCTATCTACTAGTCTCGATATTTACGGTGCAAGATGCACTGTATCTTGCGTTATGGCATCCCCGAACTCAGCGACGATCCACTGACAATATTCCTCAAACTTGACATACCACTGCCGGAGACGGGCTGCCTTCAATCCATTACCTCCTCCACTTTGAATACCCGCCTGCCACTGTTCAGCGGATTGATCCTCATAACAGCTCCAGCGGACAGAATTCTCCGCCATATATCCTAAGCCCGCCAATCCCAGGTTGTCCAATGCCTGCAGCGTAAAGAAGAAATCGTGCGTCAACCCATTCTTTCCCTCACCTCGACCGCTCCCACGCCCAAAGATGGCCGGATCATCGTTACAAAGTGCCACCGGAACTCCACGGCTCAACAATGCCGGTAAAGGGTGGGACTTGATGGAGCTTGTCAGCCCGAGAACCTCATTGGAAATGGGGCAGCACTCAATCAAGATTTGACGCTCCTTTATCATATCAATTAACAGTGGGTGCTTATATACTGAGAATCCATGGCCAATCCTCCGGCTTTTGAGCAGAATGGCATCGAATATGTTTTGGTCCGTTTCGTCTCCATCGCCTAGACATTCGCCTGCGTGCAGAAAAAGGGGGATCTCCTCTAGCCCTTGATCGTGGCAACGTTTTTGAAACCACAATAGCGTCGGCATGAGCTCCACCAGAGACCGCCCCTGATCTTCCTGGCCGACCAGGTCAAATCCACATATCAGTGCTGGAAAGGCTTTTTTGAGTTGGATGCACATTTCCATCCGATTCATGATCTTCTCTATGGGGTAGGACCGTTTGGGGGCGTAGATGATTCGCGCCCCATAAAAGTCTTTCCCTTCCGCACTTGCTTCGAACAAGCTGATTTCCTCTTCCAATACTCGGAATATATAAAAGGGATCTGCAAGCAAGTCGTCGTGCCCTTCCCTTCGAAAACCATTCCAACCACCCATTCGAAACTCCGCGTATTGAATCCCATCCTTAGCTAGTTGACTGAGTGCCCGTCGGAAACCGCATCGGAAGATGGGCTCGTATGACATGATACTGATCACAATGGGGAAAATACGCTTAAAGAGATCCCAAATTCCATCGAACCCGTGATGGTGGTTTCGGGGTGGCTGTTCCGGCATGATAACACAACGACTCTTCAACCAGGCACGAAACTGAGCCTCTCCGCCACCAGGAAACGAGGAAGCGGCCACGCGAATCGGGATCAACGATAAGGACTCATAGCCGGGCATCCAGATGGAATTAGACTGCGTCTTTGGCTCGCCGCTAACTGACGCCGAAGCATATTGGAATTTGAACGGTGCTTCATTAAAGTCTTTTGAGGTGAGCAACGGCTTCTCCGCGCACATGTGGATTCCTGGCGTGTTGAAGCACTGATCAATCATGTATTCGACTTCGAATATGGCTTCTAAATGGGCATGTAGCAGGGAGCCTTTGGGCATCCGGTGGACTATCTTCCAGAGGTCGGTCTTGGTTGGGTCCATGTAATTTAGAGCCCGGCTCTTAAACAGGTCTCCGGAATGCAGAATATCCTGAGGCTGATAAGCCTCATACTCATAATAACCGCAGTCGAGTGCCTTCGTATAAGATTCCAGCGGTTTCGCTTCTCTTGCCCGAATTTCGGAAACTATCTCGCATGCTCGAATGGCTGTCGGTGATAGCGAATTTTGGAAGTGACGGTCTGGCACAGCAACCAGTCAGCCCATAATATCCATTATCGCTATTGTTTTTGACTGGGGGCGCAGACCATGTCGTTGTTTTTGCTCCTCTGTGATCAATGCAGCTCGTTTATGGAGATATTGATCTACGAGGGCATCGTGGCTTGAAGGAAAGCCCTCCGAACCGCATTCAGCTTTATGTTCTCGCATTTTGACTGAGATTATTGTCATAAAGGTATAGTCGTGGTAGGTGTGAGTAAACTGGAAGATAAACAAGACCGCCAAGAGGAGGAACTGGGGTGACAAAATAAGCGAATAGCAATCGGAGGGGCAACTACCAGGAATCGACCCACTTCCATGAGTTCATGGCCAATTTAATCTAGTGGAGCATTCTGTTAAAGGATCATCTTTCATTTTTATCGGGTTTCTATTGGCCGGCTGGACCTTCACTATAAGCAGGGTGCGTAAACTGTGCGGCCTCTTTATTTGTTACGATATTGCTGATTATTGTGAAAGTCGCGTAGATCAAGTGTTTAACGGCCAGCAGCTGGCTGAAAGGCGTCGTACTGCACAAGCGGACATTTTGTTAAATAGATTGAATAGAAGAGAATAAACTGGCAATAAAGGCCAAATCTAGGATACCAAGGAAAATGCCCTACCCGAGGACAGATCTTAGCTTCCTGAAATGATTGCTCGTTTGAGTAATGATCCCCAGCACCACGAAGAGGTGTTTGTCCTATTGCTGGAGGAAGTGGTAAACCACCGGTGATCATGCCAGGTACCAGCGACAGAGCCGTGCCAGTTGTTACGCTGGAAGGCAGCACGATCGGCCCTTTGTTTTTGTCGCGAGGATCTCGCCTTTGGAAGAATCAGACTTGTTCATTTTCGTGATGCGTGTTCATACAAAGTGTAGCATTATCGAATACTTGCCACATCACATATCTTCCCTCACCTCAAAGTTTAGATCCCATATGTTCCCCATTGATAATATCAAAGGGCGCATCTCCCTCAATAGTCTCGCAATCACCAACGAACGTCTCGTTAGTATAGTTAGGTCCGAACATATGTATCTTTTATTTTGAAAAATAAATTAATAAGCTACATAAGAGGTACATAACTACACCTAAGTAGATAATTAAGCCAGAGTTGTACTAGTGCGGATATCCATATATATCCTCATTGGGGATATGGTATTGAAATAATATCCATTATCCTCAATTTGCGGATATGGTATATGACCCGATATCCAATGGAGAGGATATGCCGCAGTCTATCGACTACTAATTTCTTATTTTATTCCCCTGACCAGCTCTAGCGGAATGGTTGACGTCATCTTTCCCTCGGTTCATCTAAACTTTCGATTTTGCAAAGTGAAATTCATCAGAAGTCGTGAAAATAATTATCCGCACGACAGGCATCTCTATGGTCATGAAGGACTCGAAAACCTTGGATTCGCATTTCACTGGAGAATTTGGGGTTTTTATTTTTTTGCGGACACTTCCTTCCATTGTAGTTTGACTTTACTCAACTATATTTTACACTCCCACTTTTATAGCGTGTTAAGTCCTTAGCCTTCATTCTACGATTATTAGACTCCTAGATTAGCCCTACTGTAGTGCTATAGAGTTGTAATTTATATAGTAAAATTAGTGTGTTATTCTAAAAAGTAGATAGATAGCTCGCTATTTCTCCCTATATAGGATTATCAATTAGTTAGAAGCTAGTAGTTTCTCAACACGATTATGGTACAGTGCACATTGCATTACAAAATCACTAAAAGCCATGTTCTTTGAACTCTTGCTCTGTCCATCGCCACAATTCTTCCGCTTTTTCCATGTCACTCTCGATGCCTATCCTTTTCACTTCTTTGAAGAAGGGGATATAATACGCTCCGCTCTTCACTTCAGCAGGATCAGCGGCACTTGCCCATACCTGATTGAGCGCGCCTGTAGAAACATCCACGGAAGCCACTGAGGTGACTAGTTGAAATATGAATGACAGAATCCGGTTGGCTGTCATGCCACCCCCGATGTTCGTCCGGACAAGCCCTGGGTGTAGAGCAACCGACTTAATATTGGTGAAATGTTGGGCGAGAGATTTTGCATTGTATATGTTGGCGAGCTTTGAGTGAGCATAACGGGCGACAGTGCTAATCTCGGTAAGGGGTGTCTTGACCTGGTTGAGAAGTAAACCGGCTTTGGGAGCGTTTCGATATATCTCGGAGCTAATGTTCACGACACGAACATCAGCCCCGGTACCAGCGGTCTTGGTGAGGATCGGCAGAAGCAGTCGAGTGAGTAGTGCCGAACCCATGTAATTCGTGCCAAATTGGACCTCATATCCATCTTCGGTCAAACCCGGGGGAGAAGCAAAGACACCGGCGTTGTTAATGAGGATATCGAGACGGTCATTTGTGGACAGGAATGATTCAGCCGCGTGTTTGATGGAGGCAAAAGACGCAAGATCCATTTCCAGAAAAGCGATGTCCGCGGAAGGGAGTTCTCGCTTAATATCAAGAATTGCTTCTTCTGCTCTCCCAGCATTGCGACCACCCATGTATATTTTGGGATTGTGCATCGCCAATTGCTTTATGGTTTCTTTCCCAAGACCATTGTTGCCCCCAGTCACCAGAATGACCCGTCCAGAAAGACTTGGAATATCTTTTCTAGGGTCAAAAGAGTGGCTCGTGCCAAAAGGAAAAAGCATATTTGAAAAATGAAACAATGGATCTAATTTTGACCGCTGCCAATTTTCGTACAAAGAGTAGGTGCCATTCAGCTAAATACTTGAATCTCCGTAAAGTCATGATATAATTTCTTCTTGTGATCTCCGAAGGGTGAGATCCTGATGAATAATAATCCCGAGTCTCGGTCGATGATCATGGCGATTACATAGCGTGTCGTCAATATACTAACTCCCCAAATTACCGATAGTGAGATACTAGTTTGACTAAGTGCCACTGCCCTCAACCCGGTTGACTACAAAGATATCGATTTCCTCTATCCGAATAACAGTACTATGGCTAGAGTTACATTCTGCTCTTTCTTTTTCGGGAGAGTGCATTGATTGAGCCCTGGAACAATGGATGAAAATAAATGGAAGGAAAGTATAGTGTAAGAGTAGAGTTCAATTGGTGAGCTGTGACTAAATATCCATGCTAATAAACTTTACCTGAGCAACCTCGCCCGGCATGGGATGATTACTCATCATTTCACTTGACCATAACTTAACTTGACCGACGGTGAAATTTTTTAAGCCAAGGCTTTGCCGTACTTAGTGTACAGGAGACCGGTTTTGATTTGTCAGCCCTTGAACTATCGCCGAGTCGGTCTATTAATCAAGCCGAATCGCGTTCAGTCTCAACAGGCGGTGCACAACACTCCCAAACAATGTTAGACCCACAGGTTATAATTGGTTCTCAATCATGGCTTAAATTAAACCATTTTCTCACATCCAACTCTCAAGTCTGACTGTATAATCTAGACCTTGCTCCAGTACAACCAACTCCAGTACGATAAAGGCAGAGAGACCTGTCACGCAGAAATTGAGATTTTGGAAATGCCTACATCTAAAGATCCTGAAAATCAGGGTTCTATGGATCATTTTACGGAAGTCCCCTACGAGGAAAATTGCCATTGCAAGGCTGTGCGTTTCTCTGCAAAACTACCGTCTCTGCTGTCGCAATTGTCGGTAGTTTCTTGCAACTGTATTTACACGCATGCATAATGCCCCCTACAAGGTTTATATTCATCTGCCCTGCGAATGAGTTATATCATGCAATTGACCGAATAAAACCCCATTTTAAGTAGCTATTGTCACATTGCAGGCAGTCTGCTTGCGTTCGTGGATGATATAGAGATTCACCAAGGGACAAACACGGGCCACACCAAAATGTAGTGGGTGTGGAGGAATAGAGCACAAATTAACTAGATGTCCAGATAGACGTATTAGTTAGTTGAATTAATTTAATGGCGTTTGGGTTAAGATAAATACATCTAAATTCAGTAGGTTGGGTAAGGTGGTGGCCCACTGGCTTACCGGTCACGTTAATCTGTCTGCCGAATACATCAAATGATCCAGCACGTCAGGTGACACCTATGGCGATCCTAATACAATCTGCATTTGCTCATTCTTAGAGTATTTCTCTGGTCCTTATCTTGGTCCTCTGTTAACATACGTCATACGTAACACCCTATGGACCAGCCATCATCGCTTCAGCCATCTGGTGACCTACATCTCTCGGGCTATGAGGATAAACAGCATAGTACCTTGCCATTCGGCCAAAACCGACCTTTCGTACCGCACTCAACGACCTCCAATATTACATCACTGCTGCCAATCCCCTCTTATCCCCAGACTGAATCATCTATTTCACAAAGAACTCAAATGCATGGGCAATTGCCTATATCTGGCGACGTGTTCCTAGAGAATCGTTCTTGCGAAAATCAGAAAAAACAAACAACTCCCTCTCAATCCAAAACCCAGAAACCGCAGAAACGCCAGCGTTATGAGCCAAGGCCGGCCTCATCGTTAGCCAAACAACGCGGAGAGCCACGAGATGCTGAACCCCCATTAAGTGGAGTTCCAGAAGATGTTCGTTGGATATTGCTCAATCTCCATCAACCTTTTATGTGCATTAACCCAACCACTGACTCTTGCAACAGCGCCGTCGCATGCAGATTCGCCTAGCGCAAAGGGCGTTTCGCTCTCGCCAGCGGGAGGCTGTTACAGGCCTCAATAACCGTATTTCCCAGCTGGAGACTATCTTGGATCAAATGAGCCTTACTGTTCTGTCATTTAGCGGACAGCTAGTTCAATCTGGGGTACTGGCGTCACACTCTGATTTGACCGCACATCTACATGATACGATAAAGACCTTTCATTCTTTGGCATCCGAAGCAAACCCCGACCGTGAGACACAGGTTTCTAATGTCCCCTCACACAGTGAAGACTTGCCCCAATCTTCATTTCCCGGGCCAATAACGATCCCACCATCCAAAATACCCCCGCATTCGTCCCTTGGTCGCAGCGGATCGGATCATTTCACCGGTGGCAGTTTCCCACATACCCTCGAATCACCAAGGATTTCAGTCATAGAATTGCCTGAATTCATTGAAAGACTGAATTTGGCATGTCTCTACCAGGGAAAATTGGCTTTATGCGATCAGTCCATCGGTTTATATCGTCTTCAAAAGCCATTCGGGTTCCTTTTCAGTATGATGAATAGGGAGCGTCTCACAGCTTACTTCAAAGAGAGATTAGATGCCCAAGTGAACCAGAAGCCGTTAGATGGGTGGGAGGAAATCCCCTTCTTCGGCTTGGGTAGTGCAGGAACCCACTATCCCCGACCCTCATTGCAGAGCCAGGGGGTAGGCTACTCTTGCCGCGGTTATCATGAATGGGATATGATTAAGGATCCGTTGTCGCTTGTCTCGCCAGATACTCAAGAGCAGCTAAAAGGGGATTGGTTTGACTTGCAAGATCTGGAGGGATTCCTCCAGGAGGAAGACGTGAATCTGATTTTGTGTTCTGATGAGCCAAATCAGGGCTCACCAACGAAGACCACTATCAACATCGCGCGACTGATGCCAGGTAAATATGTACTCTAATCTGGGATCTGAAGAGTTTTCTGACTTTGATAGCACTGGTAAGCAGGGGAGTCTGCTTAGGTCGCACGCCTGGATTTCAACGCGAGGATGTGGAGAAGGCCTTGCAGCATGCAAAAATATCATGAAGTTTTAGCAACTAATACATATATACGTGGTATGGGGGATATAGTAATGAGTACTAGAACAAATATCTGCATGGGGCTTGATAGAATCCGTCATGTCATCCATGAGTCCATCAAAGATCTGGCGCAGAAGTCGCCAGCCTTTTGGCCAACCGGTAAATCTGGTTCGTAGGTCGAAGACGGCTCGAAATTTGCAACATGGAAAGACATTGCTCGTATTGTGCACACGGCCTACCCCAATGTTGGTGCGAGCTTAATATATATATCGTATCATAAAAGAGAGTTCGAGAATTTCGGCTATATAAGGGTCGAGATTAATGCGAGGGGGCATTAGAATTGGCTTAAACGCCTAAAATTGGGTGAATATGGAGATTTGTACATTGGGAATGGAAAAATGGTATAGAGCGGTGCCGAAGACAGTTTAAAAATCGGGTGAAGCTAGTCCCAATTGTCATATATATTTATAGAACCAGACATCCAACCTTTGGCCGCTATACACCTTCGAAGTCGGGTGTAGAATGCGAAAGAACCTGCCTACAGTAGCTTCTACTCCGTTTGACTCATATAGTACCTCGCAAGTTCATGATTAGTGATCGAGCTGCGGAGCGAAGCTCCTTACCGTCGGTTAAATACAGAAATTTCACTTCAATTGTAGTTGCTACCCGGGGCACGGCATAATACTTGGGTCGCAGTAATTTATGAGGCGTATTGTCGCTTTAGTAATCTACCGATGGATCTTCCAATGTGGCAGCGCTTCGGATGATCGTTGCGCTGAAATCAGTTGAGATTGTCCGTATGGGCAATGCATAGGCCGGTGTCTAGGCGGTAAGGATATCTCGACATCACCGAAATGCACGATGATGTGGAGCAACAGTTTGGTTCGCAGGCCCAGTCCCTCTTGATAGTTCAACTTTATTTGTTATATTCAGAGGATTGCATAATTTCTTCGGATTTGATGAAGTATACGTCGTGCCAGTAATTCTGAAGACCGAAACTCGATCAATCTTCCTATACCTATGGTAATTGACCCACGCACAGGCAAGCTCTCTTGTGGTTGTACTAAGCCTCTCGGACTTGAATTGAATTCATCTCACTTCGCATAATACAGCGCTATACTAAGCTGGAAAATCCACTACTAACTTGCCCCCGGCTACAGCGCCTGCTCGTAGTTTGTTCAATCCATCTAAAATACCCTCAAACCCATCCTTTTGCTTGATAGTAGGAATCGGTTTCAAAATGTGTGTGATTTTTGGAAGGTCTTTGTAAAAGCGGACAAGAGCTTTGCGGTCGGCTGGTTTGGCCTCGAACTTTGGGCCAATTGGGGGTAACCACTGAAAAGGGTGACCAAACATCGTATACGCCATCACCATCTCGTACGCCACGCCCGATACGCTTGACTTGCCGTTAGGCAATAGCGTTACCACCGTACCGCCAGTGTTTTTCAGTACTTCTGCACATACGGAAGTAGATTTTCCTTCGGAGAAACAATCGACGGCCTTCGAGATCTTAGGATACGCCTTGACGACATCTGCTGCAACGGTTGCCGACCTGTAGTCAAACACTGCAGTGGCCCCGTACGCCTTGACAAGGTCGAATGAACGCGGTGAGGCCGTCGTAACAACTCTATACCCAGCTGCCTTTGCAATCTGGATGTGAAAGAGCCCAGCGCTGGTGGCTCCAGCATAGATGAAGATCGCCTCATCTCTGAGGGCTGCCTCGTCACCTTGGACGAAGGGGAGGCCATGACGGACATTGAGGGTCAACATGGCAGTCACGGCTGAGACGCCGTAGGTGGTGGCGTCCGTGTCGCTTATTTCATCAGGAATCTTCCAAGCCAAATCCGAGTCGACTTTCAAGTACTCGGCGAAAGCTCCCTTTTCAGGAAAAAGACCACCGTGCACGGCGCCCGCCACGCGATCGCCGGGTGCCCATCCCGACCTGACGGCGCTGCCGACCTGTTGGACCACGCCGGCATAATCGCAGCCTATGATGGAGTGAGGAGGAGAAATGGCGTCTAGGTGCTTGAAATCCGTCGGATTCAACGCGACCGCCTTGACTTTGACCAAAATCTCGTCGGGCGAGATTGTAGGAATGGGAACATCCTCCTTGACCTGTCCGCCTTGACCACCGACTGATTTGCCACAGACGAGGTTGACAAATCTGGTGGCAATCCTGCGGTTGGAAATAAGAGCCTTCATGATGTGCCGGGTGCGCAACGAATGACCAAAAGGATACGGTGAATGGTAGCAGGCCCTAGTATTTATGGAACTTTTTTTTTTAAAAAAAGGGTTTAAAAATGCCGCCACGGTAATCTGCGGTGGGGATGGAGCAACTATCTTGCCGACTATAGTAAAGTTAGTTGGGTCGTTGCGGAAGGTTGACATAACTCACCCGAATATCCATGGACTTATGTTACCAACCTAGGTATCTATTTATCGATCTAGGTAGCTTAGAAATTTGTTTAATAATCAGCTTCTCTTATTCCTATGCCATATATTATACCTTGGTTACTCGTGCTTCATACTACTTTAAATGTATACATAGGCGGTATTGCGCCGTGAATATCCTTCATAATTAGCCTTGTTTCTCCCAATATGTCGGACTCAAAGCAAAGGTCAATTCTTATCACCGGGTGCGTTGAGACCTATCCACTCCCTCCATATTCCCTGGCCTAACCGCCCACCTACCAGATGTTCCCAAGGAGGTGCCGGTAACGCCCTAGCTTTACAGTTTGCTTCTAAGGGCTTCCGCATATTTGCGACCGCCAGGTCGCTGAAGACTTTGGCCAACCTCCAGGGAAAGAATATCGAAACACTTACTCTCGATGTCACGGACGCGAGCAGTATCAAGGCCCTAGTGGCAGAAATTTCGAGTCGTACAGGAGGTTCCTTGGACATACTCTTCAACAATGCGGGCACTCGTGGGTTATCTCCAGTACAGTCGACTGCAGGCTTTCGTACGGGAATTAATGCTGCTAGCACCCTAGTTTACGAAGCACCCGCCGTCGAGGCAGATCCCGCCCGCGTGCGTGCACTCTTCAACACGAACGTTTTTGGCCTCATGGAAGTGACTACTGCCTTCACCCCCCTTCTGCTCGCCAGCGTGAGCCCAGGCTTTTCGCCGATAATAGTTAATGTCGCCTCCGTCCTAGCGCGCGTCCCGAATCCATTCGCTTCCGCTTACAACGCTAGCAAAGCGGCTGTAGCATCCTACTCGGACACTCTTCGACTCGAGTTGCAGCCACTTGGCCTCAAAGTCAAAACCCTGTATATGGGAGAAGTATCGACTCCCTTGATGGCGGCCGACAATATCAACTTTGGACCGGAGAGTATCTACCACGTCGTGGAGGATTCTGTAAAGGCGCGAACAACCACTCACCTTGCAAAGACGATGGGGCCGGCCCAGTTTGCCCGGGAAGTTGTGGACGAAGTTCTCAATGGAAAGAGTACCTCCATTTGGAAAGGTACTAATGCCTTTGCTGTTTGGTTTTTGAACGCCGTGGGACCAAGAAATGTATTCGACAGTACCTTGTTGAAGGGGGTTGGACTAGACAAGGAAGAGGCCAGGTCGAGTATTTTTAAGCTTGGCCAAGTAAAGGCCAAGAAGAATGCGTGAGGAACGGATCGAAGTAGCTAGATATAGTCAGGCTCACAAGCCTTGGGGATGTTGACATATTTGGCATGCATATAGTAACAGAAGTGCTCAGTGTTTGACTTTCCCACCTTGACCATGTCAATTTGACCTTCATTTCTCATAATCTCCTTTAATTATTATAGAGATAATACCTTTTTTTGAGACAATTTGGAATATCTGGTTAGCCAGACTGAGGCGTCAAAACAGGGGAGCCTATTACTAGCCAATTAGAGAGACTTCTTCCCTCAAGAGTAACCTTCCATACCTTAAGCTTCTTCAGTATCTGTGAAAGCTTTGCTTTTTAAGCCAGTCAGGATATTAAGGGTTATACGGATGTATTTATATGCAAGAATCGGGAAAATGAAGGTGTCTGCGATCAACAACATTAGAAGGATATAAGCTCCTAGGAGGTATAATTGGGCCTCGTTTTCCAACAAAGTATGACTGGTCCCATATTAGTATTCATTACCCATATACTCCTAAGAATCGTGCGAGTATATTAGCCGAGGCGCTAAAGTTCGGAAATACATGGGTAAAATGTTGCTCTACTCCTCAAAAATCAATACGCGCTCCTAGGAACTAGTATCGAGTCGGAGATTATTTGTAGCCAGAAGCTTCCTTAATCCTAGCTCCTAGGAAGCCAATTTACAGCACTATACATTACGCGAAGTTTTCTATAGCTAACGAAAACTATAAAGTCTTCTATCCTCGCCGTAAGAAATCATTCTTGCCAAACATCTTCTTTAAATCTGAAAATTACTATGCAAATTTGTTCTATCCCGACTCCGCTATAGTAAGGTAGCAAATTCACCACCCCTAGGCCACTATTATCAGAAGCCTACTTACTAACCAGCTGTCCTAGACCCTACGCCAAATCTATCCGGATTCGAAAAGTGACTTAGGTGAAAATACTATAAAGTAGGATACGACTTGTTTACTTTCACTCCAACAAAAGCTTACACTATAGGCAGTGTGATACAGCCAACTACTCCCAATTCACCACTCCCTCAATTCATCACTCTCCATAGTAATACTTCTTTTCCTCTTCTTTTTGCCATCGTTGACGTACTAGGCCCAAGGTCCGGGCTCGACGAGCCCCCCCTTTCGAGCTTTGGACCCAAACCAAAAGCCCGAAACCCGCTGCGAGCTTTAGAATCGAAACCTGACCCTTTTGAGGGTCGGGTCGGGTCGGGTTTCGGGTTTTGCGAGCTTTGCGGAAGTCTAGTATAAGCGCCGACTATTCTTGTATGTATATATTAAAATGAAGCTTTTGACACTATACTCCGTGCAAATTCGTATATCACCACTTTTTAAGTGGTACAAAGATCTCAATAAAGGCTTTTTAGGGTAAACCACTCAAAAAAGTGGTGATATATAAATTTGTATGGTGTCAAATGCTTCATTTTTATACTTCGAGATCAGCTAACAGAACTAGGATACGGTGCTTATTAACGCCTCTATAATACTCCGGGGCCGTGGACTAATTCAAGTATCTTCATTTTTCTGCCAGTCTTAATTCAGGCATCAATATTACCCCAAAAAGGGGTTTTGTCACATGGCACCTATACCGCTGCGTATCGGTTTCATGCTTTCTTCACTCTGGCTGCGAGGGATCTTTCTGATAATATGATCGTCCAAAACATATACTTCAGCAAAAATTCCAATAATCAAGAGTTTGTGATTATCAGGGCATTGGGAGGCTCGTCGAATAGTAACATTAAGTGGAATATTTTCAGATGACTGGCTGTCAACCCAGATTTGTGAGATTAGGTAGAGTCACCGAGGATTTCGACTTCACTCACAGATTTCAACCACGCTTGATCATCGTGGTAGTCTCCTTTTGGCGCCATTGAAAAAAACGCAATGAATAAACGCTAAAGCGGCTGGAGAATGAGGCTGGATATATTTCAGGTCAACTATTCCGTACAAAATCGAGTATCATATAGATTACTAAGACTAGTGTAGTGTGCTTTTCATGTGAAAAGGGAGGAAGAATTCACCGGGGCAAGGGGATGGAGAGAAGGATATGCAGACCCAAGGAGGGAGGGAGGCAAGGAGAACCTCCTCGGTTTGGCGGCAGACGCACTACCCTCCGTATCAACATAAGTAAATTGAAAGCTCTGGTTTTTACGAGACTTTGAGAGAAACTTAAATAATGATGGCATTCGTAACAATCATCTCTTTTTCCTAGCTTGGGCTCATGGTTATCAGAAGTCCCGACATGGCCTATCGACGTTCCAGCACTGGTACGTAGAGTAATTATATACAGTAAAAAATCAAACAACCACGAAGTTCGATACGTCATGATAAATCAAGTACAAATGAAATTTTGTCGGCCCGTTAAACTCTAGGAAGAGTAACGCGCAACGCCCGAGGGGATAAGCTCGTCGCATTCCCATCATGATTCAGGGCGAACTCAAACTCTGGGAGACCGACGTTGCCATACACCAGGGACTCGAGCAGAATCCACGAAAAGCAGGATCCAATAATGGGCCCAGCCTCTTCCGAGACATCAAGCGTATAGATAACAGCCAAGAAGGAGATCCGCCCTGGGGTCTCAAGACCGCTAGGCTGTAGGCGAATGCTTATCGCAGAGCGATCGGTCACTTTTTGCAAAGTCATCAAAGACTCAATCATGTCAACCGAGTTGCTGGTCCATTCTGAGACTGCCAAGCCAGCCCCGTCGTCGGCCGTGATGGTGATCGAAGAATTTGAGGAGCCGCTCGTCAAAGCATATGTACCCCCAAAGCGTCCAAGAGCTTGGTCTCTGGCGACTTCATCAAGTCCGGGAAGCATAATATCGGCAACCATCTCCCCGATTGTCGATGTCATCGCGTGAGAGTTACCACCGGCGACTAAAACCGTGAAACCGGCATTGTGATCTGGTGACAGACCGATGGAACTGGAGTACAGTCCAAGGTCCCCAGCCTTGGTGTACAGGTCGACCCGACGAGGTGTCAAAAACGTATAAATTTCCCAGGGGGCGCCCACGGAATGTTGCAGGGATGATGTGTGTGTTACCGGTTTGAGCCACCGTCTTGTCACGGCAGGGTCAACAAGGGCGCTGGAAAGAACCGCACGGCCGAATGTGCCCATATCCTTTGCAGAAGAGAAAATGCCTCCAGCACTAGTAGTTCGTAAGTAATGTATACATCAAACAGTTCATTGGCACTCACGGAGCTTCTTCGCCAATATCAAAACTAAACCAACTGAAAGTCTCATTGTAGGGAATCACAGCCAAGCTAGGATCTGGGACCTTAAGACAGGACCGAGTCAAGTTGAGTGGCTTGATAAGACGGTCCATTAATATGTTTTCAAAGTCGTCTTTTGCGATTGACTCCAATGCGTAGCCAAGAATTTGATATCCTGCGTTCGAGTATATCGGTGTGTGTGAGGTCGAAGTCAAGGGATCTAATAGACCAGGTTAGGGGTATATCCAAATCCAGGAGAATCACCATACTTACACGTTCTTAGAATGCCACGGAAAAAATCTTGAAAGCATCCCCTCTGTCAGCCAAATAATTTGAGCGATAATATTAGACACAATTGACTTACCATTCCTATCGCATTGGTGCTCACTCCCACAAGTCAGTTGCTGGTTTTTTGGAAGCGCGGGGAAACCCATGCTTTGGAGAAGATCGGATTGGAACCCGAGGTCTCCAAATGCATCTAGAATCCATGGTCAGTTTCCTTTTCACACTGCGCACTCGGGTCGTCGGGCTAGGCTCATCATACAGTCTCTTGCAAGGCCCGCTTGGTGACTCGCCAGTTCGCCGATAGTCATGTCGCTCCATTGCAAATAATTAATTTTATCTTTTGCTTGTGCTGAGCTGTAATTTGTTCGCAGCTCAGGGACGTATTTTGAAACGGGCTCGTGGAAGTATCGTGTTCCTTCCAAGGTCATGAAGAGAAACATAGTCCACAGCTTTGATATGCTGCCAATGCGGAACATAGTATCCTCGTCAACCTCACGAACTCCCACAGATCCAACTTTAACTGGACCATCTGTGTGGTAGAAACCGAATGCAGATTCGTCTTCTTCGCTGCTGAAGACCTGCACTGCGAATGATATAGCAGGTAGACTTCCATCCTCAATGGCACCATTGAGCTTTGAGGTCAATTCCTCAGCTTTGCTGCGAAAAATGGGATCCACTGACAGAGCGGTAGGGGCAGGGAATGCTGGTCCCAAAAGAGGACATCCTGTTGTTTTGATGGCTTTGGCTGAGAAAGCCAGTGCCACTAACGTCCACAGCGAGCGCATTATGAAGGTAAATAATAAGTAGACCAATTAATAAATGTATAGAGCAGATCCAAACATTTAAGGCGAGGAAATTTATCTTTATATGTAGGTCCAACCTTAAATTGCCGGGGGAAAGAATGGGCATTACTGACTCCCCATCTAAGGTCCAGGAATGTCTTAGGTTACACTCCAGAGATCGTACTACCGAGCAATCTAGGAGAGTCTAGGGCAGGCATCAAACTCAACTTAATTAAACTCATATAGATTAGCACAATCGCATACGTGCAAATGCAGAGAGACGGCCCGTATATCGGAATCAAAGCGCAAAGCGCAACGAACCCCGCATAATTAGTCCGTACACTACCATGACACTAAACAATCCTTGCCATCCTAGTCGTCCTAGTCGACCATTGATGTGTGGATGATTCTTACCGCTCAGTCAGAGCATTCACTTTCATTGCGAGATACGTACGATAGTTTAGAGCTATCGCTTAGTTGCATGAGGTGGTCTGTCGTGGTATGCCGTTGGTCTGTCGTTGGCCGGACCGCCCAGCTAGTTCTCGCACGCGATGCGCTACTTGTGTTGAACCGGGCCTAGTGACCTTGGCAGATAAGAGTTCTTTGTTTGATTTCGAGGGGTCTGATCGGAGAATTTCCCGGAATCACAAGGGAGCTGAATCGAAGAAGACAAATTTCCTGCAATGTTATTACAGGGAAAAGAGGTGCCGAGGTCACGGCAATCAGTTGTGATACCTATGAGATCAAATAGGCTTCCGCCCTACGCAAACTTCAATGTTGTAGAGCTTCGTAATACGTGGTGTTATCTAAGTGCCATGGTCTTCTTGGCAGACTCTATCTATTCTTGAGAATATGCATGAGTATCGACAATTATAACCACACAAATATGCATGAGACGAACTATAACGCAGCCATACTCCTAACGTTGAATGCTGTATGTATGCATGGAATTCAAAAAAATAAAAAAATGGGGCTCAGCCGGGAATCGAACCCGGGACCTCGTCCATGTTAGGTAATTTTGAAACCTAGAGATTTCTCCCGAAGGACGAATTATCCCACTAAACCACTGAGCCGCATAGCGGATAATCTGACAGTTCTGTCATCATCACACATCCGCCTGGTCTACTAACGCAGACAATCCGGGGTAGAACCTTGGTAGATCCTTGGAATGTAAATAGTAATTAATGAGAATTATATGCAGGTCACCATGAAATGCCAACCTGCATAACCCTGCATGCATATTCTCGCATTCCTAATCCCCGACAAAAATTAGCATGCTGATCCCTAGTGTCTTAGAACAGCACCCCTACCTACCTACATATACCCATTTCACGTTTCAACGGGAAGTTAAGTTGGAATTTATTAAAAAAAATATTCTACTAAGAAAAGATCCTAGCTCAACCGTCTTATTTAATGATTCCGCCAATTCAAACAAATCCACAATGTTTAAAGCGAACTATTGCTCTTCGAAGCACCAGGGAAGTCGTCTTGAAGCGCTTCCCATAGGGGCTTCCCTCCCATCTGAAGGTCTTGGAATGCCGGACAAGTAAGGTTGAGCAAAGGCACAGCCAGGATATTAGTGACAAATTCCAACGGCTTAGCTACGGTCGAGTATATCCCAGCGAGCGCGTTGGGGCTAGCGAACTTCAGCACCTCAGTCACGAAGCACAGTAAGTTATTATCCTTCAGCAGGCCAGCCAGGTTCAAGACACCACCTGTCAAATCCCCTAGGTCAACTCCGGCAAAGGTGTCCACTTCACCCATATTTCCTCCAATACTTTATTCAAAACATTGTTAGAAACTGATCAATATGGGAAACCTGGCACGGTCTCTTACCTTCCAAGCTCCGGATATCTTGCTATGAAGCCAATGGTATCCACATTGAGTGAGACGAGTCCGTAGTCCACTGGAGTCTTGTACCAGTTCTCAGGAATCCTTTCCCATCCTTCGCGGTAAGTCAGATTGTGTTCCGGGCCGTAAATGCCATAGAAATTCCGGAGGTGGCTCTTAGCTAGGATGGGGTTAGCAAATCTTGCATCATCGGTCGCATATAACCATCTCTTATATCAACTTACTCAGTGTCCCCTCTGGATTCTCACTCGAGTGATTTCGGAACAGCCGACCTGCGAAAATGTAACCGGCGTTGCGCGCAATGAGCCCCGTCACGGGCCCGTAGTAGAAATCCGGGTTTGTATGAATAGTCTCGTCCATACGGATCTTTGCTCGTTCGGCCATGAGACTCATATCATAAGTACCGTCGGAAGACATATTATACCAAGTCATGAACTTGTCCATGTTCAGTGTCCAGCTGTTGCCCGTAACGTAGAGATCGTCACGGGTGTTGGAGGAGTCTGCTTCGATAAAGTTGTGCGAGCCAATCAGGCCTTGGGGTTCGCCTGTAGGTTGTGTTAGCAGTCGACGGGGATTTGCAAGCAAAGAAGGTATTCTAACCTAGGACGCCACCCAAGTTATTCAGCAGGTTGTTAACGCCAGTATCGGGACCGCCGATGGAGAAGCTGGGATCGAGGGACAGCACGTCCCCAGTCCAGACGGTGCCCATAATCGCAAGGACGGTTGCTAGATCGATGCCCATGCCATACACTATAGAAGTAATGTTAGAATATGCTGCGTTCATAATTTCATGAGGCAATTGTACCTTTGTTGATTGCTGCAATCACATTTACAAACTTCTCGCATTTAGCCTAGGAGTTGATGCCAGCCACAAAGGAATAACCTACCGATACCACTCCGCTCCGAGGGATATATCCATGGTTTGCGAGCGCATTCAGACCTGGACAGGGGCCTCGCTGGTCACCGTTCTCGAAGTCCGGGGGTTGGAATGAATGTTCGCCGGTAACTAGAGTTATTTTGTTACAAACTGTGACAGCGCGAGGGAACTTTTGCGACGTACTATCAACAGGCGATTTCATCAAACTGAAAAGAAACCGCTTTTCATGTTCTGTCGTTGGCTTGGCTTGGTCCTGGCCATTGGCATATGGGCAAGACTTGTGCATGCCTTGATGTCCTGAGTTGCCATTGTGGCCGTTCATTGACCCTGGGAAAGCTGATACTAGGGTAAGGAGCGACAGTGGCCAGAGCAACAGCCCTGAAGTGAAGATGCGCATGATGAATGACTATGTTGGTCCCTCCACTAGAAATGCCAGTTTCCACTTGTGACCGAAGGAATGATCATGCAACGAGCGACTCAAGAACACCGTTCCACAAGAGCGGAATATTGCGTCCCTTAGATATCCCGCGGCAATTCTGTGCCTAGGTAAATCCCCGAATGATACACATGCTGAGAAATGATGACCCCCTGAATGGCCCATTTTAGCGCATAAGTCCACTGAAGAATATATACAATTATGGCCCAAAGGAGTATGTACATCGTAGAGACAACTGGCCAGCCGTATGGTATTTGTATTGCGCAGAATACATCGTATGTATATCGTAAATTAACCGTCCCACCATCCCTTTCAACGCCCCTATAAACAGCTCTGAATAACACGGCACAAGGCCCTAATTTCTGCATGGCCATCCGTTTGGCTATATCGCGGGTGGGTTATGGATATATTTGTATGTTGAGGTTGATCAGGCCTGGTTGGGGAATGTTCGGACGCTCTTGTGGCGGACATGAGCCTTGGCGCACGCCTCGCAGTGAAGTCAAATCTTAGCAGACGCCTCCGTGGTGAAATTGAATCTTAGTTCAATGACAGTGTCGATCACGGCACTGGGATTTTAAGCTATGGGTAGAAGGATGGGTGCATCTCGTTAATACTGAAGCGATCTTTTCCTCAGGGAGCAAGACTATAGACCCACTGCGGATAATATTCGGAACTTCTTCACCGGGTCTAAGCAATAATGTTGTCTCGGAGCCTGTCCCGCTTGTGGGTCTTCCTGGAGACGATTAGACTCCATTATAGAGACGGAACGCATAAACCCGTTCCGAGTAGGGCGGAATGTCAAAGTCCCGATTTAGATCGGCGGCTTAGCGAGCTCTTTGTTTTGCTGCATGGACGCTCAGGCCGATATTTGTGGGCCCTTGAAACGTCTAGAGTCGGGTTGAGAGCTGGGGAAAAGCTCGTATATGTGCAGATCCCAATTTTCTAAGTCAGCCACCATGCCCACGGCTCGAACCTTGAAAGAGTGAGAGACCAACTTAGTCAATTTGTCGATGGATCCCGACAGATGTCCAAAGTTACCGGTTTTACGGCTGGCCGTATGAAAAGTGTTTGTACTTGTTTCGATTAATTTAGGAACTCCTGACGCTGTGGACTACTTCCAGACCACATTGTGATGCTTGGCAGGGAGTTGAAACAGTTCCCGAAATATTTGCCGATGACAGATCTAGTGCCTAAATGCCTAAACATGCGGACAAGTAGAACGGCAACTTTTCAGCGAGGACGAATGCGGCACCAAAATTTGAGGTGTTTATGCGCTAACAATCCCAATGGGGAGGCACATCAAACTCTTGTATCCTAGCCAAGGGATCGTCGTGAATCTCATAAGATTACTTCATAGATTCTCCTGACTCGCCTGGTCAAATCCAGTCGATGTCTCCTCTGTCAGTCTCTTGATCCCGAATGCATCCTATCCTGCAGACTTCACGATGCGTTTGTTCGGTACAGCAGCCCTCGTGGCCGCCTTGTTCGCGACGACCGTGATAGCAGGGATGGAACAGTTGGCGGCTGTTTTACCCTCGTGTGCGGTAGGTAGTCCAATCCTTCTACCCCTCTTTTGGTGCAAACTAGATAACACTGACCCTTTGAAGCTGGATTGTATGATTGCTTCGGTGTCGCAATCGTCCTGCGAGACAACCGACCAGGCATGTCTATGCAATGATGCACATTACACAGCCGTTCTCCAGAAATGTGTTGTCACTAGTTGCACAATTCGAGAATCTCTAAGTCAGTCAATGGTTTCATCTTTCATCCACACTAGTCATCACTGCTAACATACATAAGCTACAAAAAATGTCACGATGACAGTGTGCGGGGAGCCTATCCGGGATCGCACAAAGATTGTTTCTTACGCAGGAATTGCTGGTGGAATTATAGCCCTTGTCGCTTTCATCCTCCGCATGTTGGCTCGATTGAGCTGCTGTGGTGGCGTTTTTGGCGCGGATGATTGGACAATGATATTGACAATGGTACATACAACCATCCCTTTTGCTCGAAACTGAATTTATTTCTGACTACGAATTAACAGGCTTTGCTCATTCCACTCTCAGCACTCTCCGTCGTCTGTATGGCTCCTTTGCGGCTGGTTAAACCCATCTTCACTCAACTAACCGTTCTGTATAGTGGCCAATGCAGGGTTAGGAAAGGATATGTGGACCCTTCCTTTCGACAACATCACCCATATTCTTTATGTGAGCACCCCAAACCCCTTACTCCATGCACTTGCCAAGGCGAACTTGTCTAATTGCACCAGGTCTATTTTTGGGACGAATTGATCTATCTAAGCATTCTCCCGCTAACCAAAATATCAATCTGCTTCTTCTACCTTCGTATCTTCCCTAATCGAAGGTTTAGGATAGCAACTTACATCACCATTGGACTGAATGTCTCCTACTGGATCGCCTTTATCTTGATCTCGGTGTTCCAGTGTCGACCTCTACCCGGAGCGTGGCACCGCTGGTATGGGGAAGAAAACTACAAGTGCAACCATATCAATGCACAGGGCTGGGCAGCGGCAGTTCTCAACATGGTCCTTGATATTATTGTCATGGTGCTTCCACTGCGCCAGCTATACGGCCTAAACCTTTCTGTGAAACGGAAATCATTCGTAATGTGCATGTTCTGCCTGGGTATCTTGTGCGTTTCCCTATTCCAGCCTGTTCCACAATGTCAGTGACTAACTCATGAGCCTAGTGTCACGCTTGTCAGCATCCTGCGGCTGAATTCAATGATTCACTTTGCCTCTACCACTAACCTAACATGTGAGTGTCTCGTTTTCTTCTCTTTCCTGTTTCGATATGTGCAATTTTATTGACATCTGTAAGGGGATTACGTGACTGTTGGGTACTGGAGTACTATTGAATGCGATGTTGGCGTTATCTGTGCATGTCTGCCCGCCATTCGATCCTTACTACGTCGTGTATCTCCCGGACTCTTTGGCGATACTGAGCAAGCCAAGTCATCATACGCTATGAACTCCCATTCTCGCGGGAATGGATCTCAATTTGCAGCTGTCCCTGTCCAGAGCAAGAATGGTGCTCGCCAGTTCTACCCACTTGATGAGGTGGACACCTCTGATGAAGCCCGGCTACACCACCCACACCCGGTGTAGTTAAGGACGGAAATGAGGCGTATTCTTATGTGGGGCAATCGCTTTCATTCCCTTCAATTTTTTTTATATATTTGTATTTATTTATTTACAGTTATTGGATTGTTGGGTCCAACCAACACGACGATGTTCGTCTTTAATATGTATATTTTTTTGATACGTATTCAACATACTCAATAAACCAATATAAAACTCTAGTCATTCACAAGACCATGTGGTATTTTTTTTTTTTCATACGAAGTTAACCCCTATCGTATAAGAGGGTCCTTCAGCAGGCGTTAGTGAAACAGGGAGGAAGCAAGATTCGCTATATCCCTAGTTCTACACCAACAATAAGGGGCTTTAGCTTTCAGGCACGGAGTAATTATTTACACGCGTTTAACCGGGGAGTGGAGCAACTCCCGAGTGGCTAGCCTTTGGATCTCACTTCCAGTATGGATATCAGGTCCCAGCCCACTTAGTTTTCCCGATAATACGGCTTAGGAGTGGGACGTCTACGATGTATTCCGTACGCCACCGAAACAGTAAACTGTATCATTGTTACGAACAAAAGAATTGGCACCCAAAGAAGACTAGCTTCACCGTTAGATTGGTGGCTGTTTGGAAAGCTATATGATCGGCATGTCAAACGGCATAGAGAAGACGCTAGGAGGTCGGCACGAGTGGCCATGATTTAGAACATATTGATTGGCTGGCCAGTTCCACAAGCCAAGGGTATCAATGCCTATCTCTACTTTGCCAAGTCGCCATTGGGTTCAGACCTAGTTCAATACGAGTCACAGCCATTCCCATGTACAAGGTTCATGGGAATGGTATGTTACTAGGGCTGCATTGGTGTTGTATTTCGGGTTAGATATCCATGGGTGATACAGGCTAATTTGGAAAGTGGAAGGTTATGTCGATCACCTTCACAAGGAAAATGAAGGAATATACTCAGTAGCACGGGCAAAGATCGTACTATGGGTGCCCGCCGTGCTTTTGCTTCTGTGGTCTTATAATAGAGTCAGGAGAAGCCTTCTGCGGCCATTCATATATCCCAAGTCGGTCGTTTGTTTGTTTGTTTTCTGCTTGAAGATTTCTTTTCGGTTTTTCTTTTTTAATTGTGGAGTACGTCTCCGTCCTTTCTCTTTCGCTATGCGTCTTTCTGCAGTAGTTGGGCTGCTGTCCACCCTTTCAGTTGTCTTGGCTTCGTATGTGCACCTCCAGTCCCTGCTCGGACCTTGACGACACAGAAGACTAACACCCGAATACAGTGATCATAGACCAGGTCATCGATATCATAATGCACACAAGCGGTCTTCGGATAACGAGAATTCGACCACCAAGTATGATTATGTCGTTGTTGGCTCTGGTGCTGGAGGTGGCCCTGTAGCCGCACGATTGGCCATTGCAGGATACAAGGTGCTTCTTCTAGAAGCAGGAGATGACCAGGGAAATGCAACCCAGCAAATCGTCCCCGCTTTGCAGCTCCAGTCCACGGAATACGAGCCGATGAGGTGGGATTATTTCGTGAACCACTACTCGAACTTGACTCGTCAGAAAGAAGACACCAAGATGACTTACCGGACACCTGCCGGTGACCTCCATGTTGGAAACAATGTGCCCAATGGCTCCGAACCCTTGGGGATTTTATATCCTCGAGCAGGTACTTTGGGTGGATGCTCTGCTCACAATGCCATGATGTGAGCCACACCTTCACGATGTCTGTTGGACGTGGCTATCATATGCTGACCAGTATCTTGATAGCACCATCTACCCGTACGAGAATGACTGGGAGCAACTGGCCAGTCTCACTGGCAACGACTCATGGTCCGCCTCCAACATGAGACAATACTTCACGAGACTAGAGCGCAACCGATATCTGCCAAGCAGCTTGCTGGGCCACGGATTTGACGGATGGCTTACAACAAGCCTTACAGACTTGCGTCTCGTCATTGAAGACCAAAAGCTTCTATCCTTGATCCTGGCCGGGGCGACCGCCGCGGGTCAAACACTGTTAGGCAAAATAATCACCACGGTCACGGGCCTTGCCGGAGTTCTACTGCGTGACCTAAACAACCCCCTCCCCTCGCGCGACTACGATGAGGGTCCATACCAAGTGCCTCTCGCTGTGGATGTCCCCGAGTACAAACGGACAGGCCCTCGAGAATTCCTCATGAAGACAGTCAACGCTGTGAACTCGGATGGTTCACGAAAATATTACCTTGATATCCAGCTGAACACCCTGGTAACCAAGCTCCTGTTCGATACCACCGGAGCTAAGCCACGGGCTACCGGTGTTGACTATCTTCGGGGACAGAGCCTGTACCGCGCAGACCCCCGAGCTTCCCAGACATCGTCTAACGGGACACCAGGTAGCGTGAGTGCTGCTCGCGAAGTGATTCTGTCTGCAGGCTCGTTCAACACCCCCAGCTGTTGAAGCTGAGTGGTATTGGTCCGAAGGAGGAGTTATCCAAACTTGGAATTTCAACCCTGGTGGATCTCCCCGGCGTCGGTCGTAATCTTCAGGACCGGTACGAGATGGGCACAGTGGGCAAGTCGCCCACTGATTTCGTCCTTACATCCAAGTGTACTTTTTTGTATTCTCTTCCCGACCCCTGTCTAGAACAATACGAAAACGATCCCTTGTTCAAAGGCACCTATACCACCAATGGGATCGCCATCGCCATCATTCGCAAGTCGTCTGTCGCAGAGGATGAGCCCGACCTATTGATTTCAGGAGCACCCGTCAACTTCCCGGGCTACTACCCCAACTACTCCTACGAAGGTCTCAAAGACGCCCAGCACTGGACCTGGATCACGTTAAAGTCTCGCTCCCGCAATAACGCTGGCACGGTTGAGCTGCGATCTACTGACCCGCGTGATATGCCCCTTATCAACTTCCACTCGTTCGATACCGGAGTTACCACGGATGGTGCGGATGACAAGGATCTTCAGGCTGTGTATGAAGCAATGCAGTTCTCTCGCACGATCTTTGATGATCTTATTCCTCTCGACGGCGGGTTTGAAGAGGTCTGGCCAGGACCCAATGTCACTACCGAGAATGAGATGAAAGACTTCATTAAGCAAGAGGCATGGGGTCACCATGCCTGCTGTACTGCTGCTATTGGAGAAGATGGGGATCCTCAGGCTGTGCTGGATGCTGACTTCCGCGTTCGTGGAGTTGATGGGCTGCGTGTTGTGGATGCTTCGGTCTTTCCTAAGATTCCGGGGTACTATATCGCCCTGCCCATTTATATGATCAGTGAGAAGGCTGCTGAGGTTATCATTGCTGATGCTGTATAATACTGGTGCTGGTACCTTATTTTCAATCTTCTTATATTGTTTTTTTCTTTTTGCTATCCATGAATGTGATCATCTTTCCGGTCATTCTTGTATAAGTTATTTGGTTGGATATGTATGAGCGACTCGTGGACTAATGCCTATTTTTCTTAAACAAAAGGCCATCTACTACATCAGGGATCTCCAACATTATAAAAGTGCAATAATAATTTCTATCTCTAAAAACAATCCCAATAATTAAATACCAACACCAGTGGATGCAAATTATTATCAACCACTTAATCAAATCATATAGCTCATGCAGCTCTAGCCAGGGCAATAGGCGCAGCAGTAACAGGTTCAATCTCAAATCGGATCTGCGGCGCAGCCCAATTACACCAAGTAACAATACGAGTGATCTTCATCGTGCCCCTGGGGAATGAAGAAAGGATAAGACAAGCCATAGCCTTACCCAACTTTGTTCCGAGGAGTTCTTGATACTCAGCACTACCATGCTTGAATACCATGCACTCAACGTTTCTTGACTGTGACCACGTAACACCCAATCTGGGGTAGAGTTCATAGCTTATATATGGAGCTGTTTCTTCATTGTTGATATCGGTAAAGATAACATGCCTGAGAGTTTTCAAGTTAAAATCAAGCAAATATTGAGCCCGAGCAACCTCATTCCAATGAGGTCCATCTTCCCTACAAATTCTCTCGGCAACAAGAACGCCCCGAGCAACCCGATGTTCAAATTCGTTGGCTTCGAGCATGTTTGGCCCGGGATCTCTTCGGAGGTGTGTGTACCGGTATCGCGGACCGCGGCGAGCAATATTCATCGATTCGGCGTCGCCGCCTTCTAGCACCGTGGGCTCGACTGTGAAGTAGGATTCATCGATTGTCCAAGGCATTGGTTGGTCTTCGTCAGTCATCTCCTCTATGGTTAATGTTGCTGGTTGAATTTGACACCCTGGCACTTCAGGGTTGTCAATCCATGCTTGGTATTGTGCTCCTATATTTCTGTATCTGGTGACTTCCTCCACGGTCGGTTCGATACCCGTTCTCACTCTCCCGCCTGCGGTATCAACTGAGCTTTCAAGACGCTGGCGTTTGCTGCTGCCGCTACTGTCCCTGGATCCATGAAGACCCCTGTGTTCAGCATCGGCTCGAGCTTGACTATCTAGAGAGCGCCGACGTCTCCTATCGCTGGAATTGCTCGACCATGATTCGCTGTAATATTCGGGTTTTTCAGGCTCCCCCGGATCATCGTATATTACTTCGTCGTCGTATTGGTTCAGATTGAGGCTGTCTTCATCAGCTCCATTATAATTGTCTTCGTCGGTATTGTGTTCACCTGTACCAGGGGCGCTCACGAAAAGAGAGCTTTCTCCTGAATCTGGGGGATAATAATCATCGCTGCTATCTGCATCTTCGTTGTCTTCATTTTCATTGCTGGCTTGGGGCCGGTTAGCTGGAGCCGCACATCTGACCACATTCTTAGGGAGTGGTTGACTCAGGGCGCGCTTTGGTGCCTTTTCTCGTGGGCGGTTGGGTTGGGCTCCTGATGATTGACTATCGTCATCACAATCGCAACGGCGTCTTGGAAAACACCTCAGCGAGTGACGAATCATCTTGAACATTGTGGTGGTAGTTTGGTATAACTCAAGCGATTGAAGTAAAATATAATAAGTTATGGGGTTATTGTTCGAAATGATCTTGGAATGAAGACCAAGAGAGATGCAGAGGGGGATTATATAGGTTACTTTGAACATTAGAATGGGCTTTGTTGAAGTTATTGTTAACTCATCGTGATCAAACACCAAATTTACTAGGAATAGGACCAAAGAATAAGTAACAAAGGATGAACAATCGACAATACCCCGAGGATGTGGACGAGGGAGCCAAACATAGCCTTGAAAGACAATGAAACTCGAAGTGGAACGGATAACCTTGGGAAAACAATGAGATCGAGAATATATTAATGACAATGATATGGTATATCAACTTAAAGATAGTAAGCTTGAAAACCGAGAGGGTTGCAAGAATAGAAGGCAAAGAACTTGACATGAGATTCATGAAAGAGTTGCTAACACCACATTTTGCATAAACCAAACAATTTCATTATGCTGAATTAGAGGTACAACTTCTATTATGTATACCATGCTACCATAGTGAAAGAGGAAACTGTGTTTGATCTCCCAAAACTGGGACGATATTGGACTGACTATGGGTTGTTCAGCGGTGCGAAGTTCTTAGGGAAAATACTTTACTTCAGAGACCGAATTCTGTTTAGTTTGTTTATACGACAATCTCAGGGAAATAAATGAAGTAATAAAATCTTAGAATTCTTGATGGGCTCAACATAATGAGCTCATCTATTTTAATTGTACTTCAGCACAAGCCATTCCATCATCATCGTCAGACATAGTATATACAGTTGGCAACGTCTCAACAAATTTAATCCATAATTTAAGCATTCTCCTTCTGGTCAACCGCACCCTTCTCCTCGGTCCGCATCCACAAGTCCACCTCAGCAGCCTCACCCTGGGGCAGGTGACGAGCCATGGAGACAATATCCCATGCAGTCGGGGCATCACGGAAGACATGGTTCAGAGCCTCCAGGTTGCGGTTCATGGTCTCGGGGTAGAAGAAGTAAACCGAGACTGGAATGCAGGCAGAGATAACAGCGTACACAATGTAGTATCTGTACCCGATGGTATCAAGTGCGACGGGGGTGATCATGACAACCACGAAGTTCCACAGCCAGTGGTTACCAGTCGAGATGGCGGACATGGCGACACGGAGACGCATGGGAGCGACTTCGGTACAGTAGAGGAAGTTACCGCCGAGGAAACCGATAGGGTAGAACGAGTTGAAAAGGAAGATGAAGACCGCCGAGACAATCGACGCAGTTTTGTTGTTCTCGAAGCTGTTGGTGATGGCGAGAACTGTCATACAGACAGCCATACCAGTACCGCTGATCATGAAGATCTTTCGGCGGCCAAGTCGGTCGATGGCGAAGAAGGAGATGAAGCTGCAAAGGAACTTCCAGGTCATAGCACATGAAGACAGAATGCGAGCCAGGTCGCTGGACATGTGGAGGTTCTCTTCGAAGATTGTCGACACGTATGTCGAGATCAGGTTACCACCACACATCTGCTGGAAGAATTGCAGTGCGACGCAAAGACAGAACCGGTAGATAAGGCGCTCATCGTCGGCCTTGCTAGAGGTGAAGATTTCCATGAGGGAGGCGCTGTTGACCGTACTCTCGAGAGAGGTCTCGATACCAGCGATTTCAACGCGGACGGCCTCATCATCGTCAGGCAGACCCTTGTAGGCAGCTAGACTGCTGGTGGCCTCTTCGATGCGGCCAACTCGCACGAGCCATCGAGGAGACTCGGGGAGCAAGAAGACCGAAAGCACGACAACGAGGGAGAAGAAGAAGGAAACGGCCAATGGAACACGCCATTGCAATGAGCCGCCGACTTTGCTCAAGCCGAAATCAATCCAGTTACAGAGCACATAACCCAAACAGATACAAATACCGTCCACGACAACGTGTTGTCCACGATGTTTAGCTGACGTGCACTCGGACTGCCAGACAGGAACGGCAACACTCAATTGGCCGACACCGAGACCGAGGATGACGCGGCCGACGACGAATTGTGGCAAGCCATAAGCCGCGGTCTGCAGCAGTTGGCCGATGATAGTAAGGATAGCACCCAAGAAGATAGTCTTGCGGCGACCGAGACGGTCACCCAGGAATGTACACGACAAGGCTCCGAATAGAGCACCGAGCTGGAAGGATCCGATGACGGTACCCTTGCCTGTGGAGTTTTGTGCGCGCTGGGCACCCTCTGTGTTGATTGTGTCGATTTCGGGGAACACACTGACCCAGCTCTGCAATGTAGCCAGAGGGCCCAAGCCAGACTGGTTGTAACCGAAGACGATGAAGGCCGGTGCTACAATGAGCAAAGCCTGCGCTACGCTCAGTGCTTTTCCTCGGAATAACGTGACCATGTTGGAGTGTGTGTAGGGAAGGTCACTCTGAGGGATGAGAGAAACAAGGAGAAATGGGAGGCCGGTCTCTCCATGGGTTTATAGCCTTCTTCGGTCAACCCTTCTCGTGGAGACCCCGCATCAGAAAATTAAATTATGTGCCTGTGGGATGGAGAATTCCACAGTGGATAGTATATATCCACCGTGGTGGCACCCTTTGAGTCAAATTTTGGAAAATGTCCGACTGTGACTCGGTCACGTCGCCGACTCCACGGGGTAGGTTTGGTTCCGGTGTGCAAGGATCCCGCGCCTTCGCCACTCCCGAATCAAAACCCGCTTTGATCCATACACTTAGGGCCGAAAATCAGAGGTAAGTGGTGGGATGATCTGGCTAGCTGTCCGGGCTGATTGGAGGAAATGCCGAATATCGGAACTCAGAGGAGCTCAGACGGGGTTCCGAATTCTCCCCCATGATTTCTCCAGTGATTTCTCGGGTACTCAATTATATCTGGAATGGGGGAGGGGTGAAGCTGTATAGAGTAATTTATATTTTCCGATATATGCCGGCATGAAATTTCCCAGTTTTCGGTTCAGTTTACTTAGTTTACGCGTCGCTCATTGCCTAACTCGGGCCGGCGTCGGCATTGATAGGCTGGGAAAAGGCTTGAGCTAGCCCCAAAGGCTTAACCCTGCCAAGTGCCAAGATATAATTCGATTTCGAATCTAACCTGGGGTGTCGGGGTTTTCATTCCTGCACCCCACCATCTCGGTCACTCTCCGGATTTGCCCGTATTGACGTGCACTGTTTCTTTTATCCAAATCGTGGGGGGATTGTGTCATCGGAGCCTCACGAAAAAGAAAAGGAAAGTCTCAATCTCGTACAGGCGAGCCACCTACGTTGTTGCTGACGATGTACAACATACATCACATTCTTCTCTGGTGGATACCTTCCCGTGTTCTCCGAGAGATGTCCGAGGAATATTGTTGAGACGAAAGACTCTAGCAAGATGAGACACCTCCACACCGTGGACGTATTCGGCTCACCTGCAGTCAGAGATTTCAACATTATTTGCGGGGTCTAGTCGATGTCTATGGTAAGGTAAAAAATCCGACCAATTACCAAATGGGTGAATTAAGCAAAGGTCGGTCAGTGGTTTTCCTAACAGCCAGAACATGCTCGCATATACACCGCATAGCCTTGGAGCCTCAACAAAACCAGCCACCCTGACATAGGGATATTCTCGGCATTCCTCTCCGGTGTACTGACACGCTTTGATGATTTGCAGCAATCCTTTGATCAGGCCAAAAATTAATACGCCCATCCGGTCCATCCGGGGTCATGTTCTAGAATTTCATTCACATACAGTGCACATGAATCAGACAAAGATTTATATGGGTCAGGTACGGATTCTAATTTCCGTCTGAGAATTCCCGATCTCGGGAATCCTGAGCCCTGGAGGTCCCGGCCCCGGGGGGATTCATATGTATTAATAATATTCGAAGGAGCCCTGGAGACTACCTAGGTAATTGATGGTTAAATTAAGCGCGTCATATCCATATGCCTTTTGTGTGCGTGACCCAGTTTCCCGCCCCCAACGGAGTACGGTATTGGTTCGACTTCCCTCACAATTCGAATATTTTGTTTCATTTCGCTTCGATAATTAAATATACCATCTTACCCTCGTGCCTAGGCCCATCTTCGGTCAACATCCGAAACTATATCGCCTACAAGCTCCCCGGTCTTTGGAAGATATATCCGTAGTCTGTCCAAATTGCAAATGGAAAGCCAATATATCATTATCCCGGGCCTCCCTAATGAGAGTCTGTGCCAGGGCAAATATAAGGCACGTTATAGTAAACTCGGAGCTGGTATATTAATTACACCGGGTGACACCATGGCTACATGTATGTATTCGGTTAAATCAATTTAAATACTACTGGCTCTGGCTGATATGTGGATTTTTGATAAGCACCGAAACCTTCCAAGTTTGGTGGCAACGGGCACTTTCCGAAAGTCAAATCGCCTTAGAACCACGAGGAGGTTCAAACTCTAATGTGCATATGTAAACTCTGATCTCATACTTTATTCTCCTGTCGGCAGTTAATAGTGGAATAGCCCTGGAGATTATATTGAGACTTAGATCTAGCCCTATAGGCCTCATATCATACCTCACCATATCGTAGCAAAAAATCGTATGAACTTCATGGTGTATAACCTCATAACAAACCTTGGAAGAAAGAAGATATCTCACCTGGTCACAGACCTGGATATGGTTTGGCTCAGACCACTTTTTGGCCCCCTTCCTGAATCATGGAAATCAGTGAATCCACGCATTGCGTTGTTAGAAACTAAATCAACCGAAAATCCATTCCTCAGTTGATCTATGATTAAAATGAGTAAAATGATTAAAAAAGAATGAGATCGTCAGCTACAACATTCGACTGTGCACAATTCACAGCCCAATTCCGCACTCCAAGGCTAGAATTCTTCTGTGTTGGGCGAAGATCTCGGGATGGGTGGATCATGAGATCTGAGGCTTACGAGACAACCAACCTTCTTCCCGATATTATCTACGGTTTTAATAATGATACATATTTCGGCTCTATACTGATTATTGAGATTGAATATAAAATCATTGAGAATATCTATTTAGTTACTTGGAGCTGAATGCTTGACAAATACCTTACCTAGCCAGCTCGGCCATGTCAATATCTACTTCATCTATCTCTCATTGGGCTTATCTACCTCTTTTATAGATATAACATTAACTGCACCAGCGACTATATTTGAACAATTATATTAACTAAACGCTGGTGTACAAGTTATGTACTACCAGTTTCATTATGTGGGCCTTGACCGCCTACTATATCTCTATTATCAGAGCCTCATATGTCTGGAATATTACTATGAGGTACTAAGGTTCCCTCTGGTAGCTGGAATGACCGAGGCTAGGCTCAGAAGCAATTGCAGATGAATTTTCTAATACCATTTCGAATTTGTATCTAATTTATACAAAAAGGGGAGGTTACATGCTGTGATCTCAGTTTCATGTGTGTTCAATAAGCCCGATAAAGTAGGCAGAATAAAAGGCGGTCGGAAATCGGCGAATTGTAATTTGTCTACTGCTGAATGACCTCACCTTGACAATTAATTTCCCGCTTATCTTTCCCCTGCCACCAAGGTTCACGTTGTCGCAAATCACAATGGACACGCAAGAAGATATTGTACCAACCGAATCCCTGTTTCGCCCAGCAAAGAAGCGCAAGTTCATGCGACGCCGTCCTGATCAGGAAACCCCAGACACCGAAGAGGCCGATAATCAAAATGACAATCCTAGCGCGTCACAACCTCCGGGGAGCAATAATATTCGACGTCCACGCGCAGTTCGAAAGGGCGGCATTGGGTTTTCTACCGCGTCACGACTAGGAGATGATCAGGGCCAGCAACTAGCGCTAGTACCAGCGGCTGGACAAACTGAGGACGAGAAGATACGAGCAATGAATGAACGTTTCACAGGATATACAGGGCAGACAGTGGATGTTGACAAGCACATGTACGAATCCTTTCCCACGGCTGATCGTCCCGTTTCGTTTGATGTGGACTAACGAGATAAGGATGGCATTCATAGATTCCGAGATGGCTAAGCGCTACCAGCCTGAATCAAAAGCGGACCATTCAGGTTCCAACCAACCAACTCAAGAGGAAGTCGCCGGGGGGCTGTCGCTACCTGGACACCAGACACGCGAACCTGCATCGCTAGGCAAACTCCATGAAATCGACCTCGGCCATGAAGCCACATTGCGAAACATTGCGCGGACAGAAGCTGCGACTCGACAAATGGAGAAGGGAGAGCTGCCGACATCGGTGGATAATCATGCTTCAGAGACGAGTCGCCCTGGCCCAGAGGGCAAGCCCTGGCGCAATCGCAAACAGAGGACAGATGCAGACATTGCAAGAGACCGTCTTGTGGAGGAGGTACTACGTGAGAGCAAATGTATGGTATTCAAAAGAGAAATTTTCCAAAAACTTTATCTTTGCTAACGCTGGCTGTTATAGTGGAAATTTATGATGAACACGAGGAGGAAACACAGCTTGATGACCAACAGGCTGCTGATGACCGAGTTGCTGAGCAATTCAGGCGTGACTTTATGGATGCGATGCAATCTAGGCGTCGAACTCGGCCCGCAGCAAAACCGGTGGCCAATGTTGAAGCGCCTCGGGGTCCGAAACTTGGAGGCAGTCGCAGTGCAAGAGCTGCAATGCGGGAAAAAGAAGCACAGGCGGGAAAGAAATGATGATTGTTCTCAACCAAAATGGCTGGTTTCCTTGAAATGGACTTTATATACTTGATCCTCTGCGGCATGTGTTTTTACTTGATATGCATACGATACCATAATGATTTCGGGCCAATGCTATTTCTGACCTCCTTTTCAAAGAGCTACCAACTATGTCACAGGCTGCTTTTAACTGCGGGTGATCTGCGATTTGCGGCCAATTTTCTCTTTTCTCTGGCTCCAAACACCAAAAAAGAATGAAGACATTGGAGTACTATCTCGATTACTAAGGTCTGCATCATCATCTCGAGCCAAGTGGATGTTCAATCTATTAAAATCCTACGCTGTCAAGGATAGAGACCGCCTAATCGGCTGACTACTTTGTTATATATATCCAGAGATATGCTAGATGATTTATGTAGATACTCCAATAGGCCGAATGATTATTTTTACACAAAGTTGAATAAGATGGGAAAACAAACATGAGAAAAAGGGAAAAGGAAATGATATCTTCAATATTGTTTGCTGGGTGCATTTTGTCCTGTATAGATCCTTTTTGCTTCATTTCAGATTATAGGTACACCGCCTCACCAGTTTATCTTTACTTTCTCATATGGCCCATTCCTTTGAAACCCTTTGTATATCTCCAATATTTAACCATGAAAAGGATGCAGACCTAAGGAGGGCCATGTATAATGTCCTGAAGCTTTTAGGTATCTGTCCCGATTAGTCACCGATATTCACTCCCGAGGTCAGAATGACTAAGCCTGATCTTGAACTGCCCGTTTGGGTGCCAAAGCCAAAGCTACACCCGCACCAAAAAGACCCGCCCTTCTCCTGCCTCCAACCAGCCCCTCTGATTGTCTGTCCAATATACATGGTCACGTCTTGATCTGTCTTCAGGCGACTTCATTCCAAAATATTCACATGATCCTTGTGGCAGCTACTACCCTTATCCTAGATATACCTGCACAACTTTCGCGATGAACCCTTCCAACCCACCTCAAGCTGCCGAGTATGGTGGAGGTATGTGATCCCAGATATGCCATTCCAATTGCGCCTACCGCTTCGATCCCAAAGATCGCTTGGCCGCTATTTACCGCGCAAGATACTAATTATCGCACGGCTACAGATGAGGTGTCGGCTATTGTCCTAGACCCAGGATATTCAACCACTCGCGCTGGCTTTGCCGGTGAAGATGCTCCCAAGTCACTGATCCCAACCTACTATGGAAAATACAACGCCGACGGCCAAGAGAAGCTCGTATTCGGCGACGACGTATTCGTTACCCCACGACCCGGTCTGTCCATCTACAACCCGATTGGCAAGGATGGAATCGTCGAGGATTGGGATATGGCAGAGAGAGTGTGGGAGCACTCATTTATGTCGCGACTCACCGGCACGAAAGCGGGAAATCCCTTCCAGAACGGATTAAACGACGTTTCCCCAGAGGAGCTCCCTACGGAGATGGAGGTGGAGTCAGAGGAGAAGCCTTTGTCGGACAGCCCGTTGTTGATGACAGAGCCTGGATGGAACCCGGCGAAGGCACGCGAAAAGACCATTGAAATCGCAATGGAGAAATGGGATACCCCGGCCTTTTATCTCGCGCGCAGTGGTGTTCTTGCTGCGTACGTACGGCCCATTAACTATGATATGTGTACCATTTGCTGACCCAATTCCATGCACAGTTTCGCTTCCGGCAAGGCTTCCGCCCTTGTTATTGACATTGGAGCTTCCAACATCTCTGTTACCCCAATCCACGATGGCATGATTCTGAAACGCGGCGTGCAGCACTCTCCGTTGGGTGGTGATTACATCTCATCGCAGATCAAGGCAATCTTCAAGGCCAACTCCCCACAACCCATCACAATCACGCCGCATTACCTTATCAGCTCAAAGTCGGCTGTCGAAGCTGGCCAACCGGCCCAAGCGAGTTACAAGACCTTCTCCGCAGATAAGGCACCCGATGCGTCGTACCGTGCTCTCCTTGAGGAGCGCACACTGTCCGAGTTCAAGGAATGTGTCGTCCAGGTTTGGCCCGGGCCTACAAGGCTCTCAGCCCCCAGTCCCACGGGCGTCTCCAACGAAGATATGGCTCGAACCACCCCCGGTCGCCCCTTCGAGTTCCCCGATGGGTACAACCAAGTCTTCGGTGTCGACCGTTTCCGCGCGGTGGAATCTCTGTTCGACGCCAAGGCTGCCATTCCAGACCCTGATTCGTCTTACCCTCCCCCGACACCCTCCCAGACTATCCCAGAGCTTGTCAAGGCTTCTTTGGCTGGCGTGGACGTCGACCTCCGCCCCCACCTGCTGGCCAATGTCGTTGTGACCGGTGGATCCAGCTTGCTTTATGGCTTCACTGATCGTCTGAACCATGAACTGATGCAGATGTTCCCTGGCCCCAGGGTGCGTGTCACTGCTCCCGGTAACACCTCCGAGCGACGCTTCGGCTCCTGGATTGGAGGAAGTATTCTGGCTAGTTTGGGAACTTTCCACCAGATGTGGATCTCCAAGAAGGAGTACGAGGAGCATGGGCCGAACATTGTGGAGAAGCGTTGCAAATGATTCCATAGCTTCTTCGCATTTCACTCCTGTTGGTTTTTGTTTTTGATGTTTACGGGCGTTACTGCGCTATCTTGGGCGCTTCAAAGGGGGTTTTGAGCAACTCCGGATCTGGCCTGTCTGCAAGGAGGGACCTACAAAAACTGATCTAGATATTTTGTGTACGACTAATGCCACTTGATTTGATTTGTCTGAGAATAATATGCAAGATATGAGGGTGCACAGCAGTGTAGATCAACTATGTAAAGATATATATGAAGTAAGCGCTGGCAGGGAATGATATGCGAACGATTTACAACGGAATTATTTTTTCCGGCTTTCATATAATCACCCACAAGAGGTGTTTAATGTCAGAAGTCCATTGGCGGGGATGCTTATTCGTCTGCATCGATGCGTTGGCAGCCAACACATCAGTGCCGGGGTGGTCCGTGTTTCCTTTATTTATGTTGGCCCTGCCCAGGTGGACTTTTGACAACTTCTTCACCAGTGAGCATTGCCAAAACACTCTAATACACACCAATTCAGGAAAGCGACCAGGGGAGAAAAAGATACGAAGAAAAAGAATAGGGACGAAAAAAGCGCACATGACCATTAACATACATCATCATCATGGGATTCTCAAATCCACAAGCAACAAGAAAAGAAACAAGACTACATCGTCAACGTCGTTACATCCGAGGCTGCGGGCCAAACACGCTAGAGTCTACAGGATATGAACACAATCAAAATGCGAGACAGTCAAGGGTATTGAAAATCAAAGGGATATCACGAGTCAAGGTTGAAGGTCAAAGCTGGCAAACACAAGGGACAGTATCCTCATCGGTTAGCTCGCGCAATGAGCCAGTGCAGGACAGCGTCAAGGTTGGTTTCCTCCTTGGCGCTGATACCATAGCAGCTTACTTCACGATGGGTGATAGATTTCAGATCCATCGCCTCGATGATCTCATCAACAGACAGCTTGTCTGGAAGATCGGACTTGTTCCCGAGGACCAGGAGGGGGATACTATCCAGCGTGGGCTTTTTCATCAGGTCGTGAAGTTCTTCTGTCGCTACTGGGAGTGCAGCGCGGTCGGCTGCATCCACGATATACCTTTATTGACTTTGGTTAGTATGCCGGAAAGGGAGAGAGGACCCCAAGAAATAGGGAAATACACAAGTCTTACACGATCGCGTTGACACCCCGACAATACCGTTCCCACATCGGCCGAAATCGAGGTTGCCCGCCCAGGTCCCAGCTGCGGGGATATATTAGCGCCGCTGTGCTTGATCGGGAAGGATGAACATACCATTTCAAGGTCACATGGCCTTTCTGCACTCTTTTGGTGTTGAATCCGATTGTCGGGATGGAGCTATAAGGAATTAGGACATGGCCGGGATGAAATGACGAAATGACCTCAGATGTGAGACCACGGGTCCATTTATAACTTACTCGATAGTGAACTCCCCACCCTGTTACGGTCAGCAACCGGGACCCATAAGGACTTTATCAGATCGACTTACCGCCAACACACGCAGCAGAGAAGACTTGCCGGCATTCTGAAGACCGATCATGGTGACATCCATCTCGCTGGCCCTGTATGGAGTCTTAGCAGGGCTTCATCTGCGGGGACGGGCCGTGGTCTCCCGAGAACTGCATCTATCTATCAAACGGCCCACTTACCAGAACATCCTCAGAAGCCAGTCATAGATAGCACGAAATATGCCGGCCATGACGAAGAGAGGGGTAAATTTATGAAAAAAGAAAAGGTAAAAAGGAGAAAAGAGAAAAAGAGACAGTATAGTAGAAATAGAACTAAAAAAATCGAAAATCAGAGAGATTAAGAGCTGGGTAAGTTGCCTTGTGTGTGGAAAAAGCTTAGGATGACAAAAGCCAAAGAGTGGGGTCAACCTTGTAACTGCGCAACAGGTTGATATTCTTGATTTCTGGAGATTCGATGAAGAGATGAAAAAGGTAAGAGAAGGAAAAAAGAAGGAAAGGAAAAAGAAAGATCGTCACACCAGAACAAGAAATCAACTCAGAAACAACAATTTAAAAGGCCTATTATTAGAGGGAATGATGTTTTAAGGGGATAACCGCCAGCAGATGTCAATAGAAAAGGATATTGGATCTACATATGTACTATTTTCCATGGAGAATTGACCGATCTACCTACACACATGACCCGAGGGCGCTTAGGCTCCAGTGGCCTCAAAATGGAGGGGGGTGAACAGCCTTGTGCAGCATATCCCGTGTGGCGTTACAAAATTTCCACATTTCTGGCCGTTGGTGTCGCAAGTTTAATCAAGCTAGAGTTTACTAGGATTAGGGGTTCAAGAGCATGTCAGGAACCTGCAGTTGAACTAGAGTTTCAGTAGGGATGAACGGGATGAACGGCAGCTGTCTGAACGTCGAACTTTTGGACTTGAACCTCATTTGGGCGCCTCAGGCCCATAATGCATATCACCACGTGACGATAAGC